ATACTACTAATTAGTCTATAGGTCCTATTTAGCCCTAATCGCTATAGTATAGGTATTAGAATAATTAATCTAGAGATTATTAAGATCACTATATAATCTAGGACTATTAGTAGTCTAGGGGGTAGATATCTAGGATATAGTTAGTTATAAATAGAGGAGATATATAAGAGGGACCTACCTTAATATAGATTAGGAGTAAGAGCTACTAGAGTAGTAGATAATAGATTAGAGAAAGTTCTTCCTAGGAGACTAAAGATTACTTTAATAGAACTAAAAGATAGAGAATACTATAAAGGAGCTTTTAGTAAAAAGTAGAGTAGGCTAAGCTAGGTAAAGATAAGAAGCTATAGATTAGTAAAGATAATAAAGAAAGGAGAGAGAGAGAGGAAGAGATAATTTATATATCTATCTCTTATAGTAAATATTATAGTGAATATTATAGTAAATATTATAGTAAATATTATAGTAAATATTATAGTAAATAAGTATACTCTAGTAAATTAAATAAAATTAGATAAAATTAGTTTAAATTAAATCAAAGTAAATTAAGGTAAAATATATTAAATTAATTAGAATTAAAATAAAAAATAGAGTTAGATAAAATTAGAGTAGAAGTAAACTTAATAGTAAATATAGAAATATATATTTAATATAGTCTAGCACTTCTAGCTATTAAAAACTACTAGATAAATTAAATATAGTTAAATCACTCTAAAAAAAGATATAGAGATTCTACTAACTATAATTACCCTATTTATTAACTTTTAATAAATAAAATCCTTGATTTACTAATATATCTAACTATTAGTTTTCTTAGGGTAGGTAGATAAGCTATATTTTAGTTAGGGATAATATAGGAAGAGAGTTACCCTATTAAAAAAATATACTAACTTTATACCCTAGTAACTACACTTTTTACTACGCTAAATACCCTAAAAATTAAATAGAGGGTGATTAGACTATTAATTAAGAATATATATAAATTTTAGCCTTATTAGAGCCTAGAATATTAATATAATATATAAAAGAGTGTGTTTAATATAATGCACCCTAACCTACTTCTTTTTCCCCATACTTAAGAAATCTACCCTAAATATAATGCAGTGTATTATAATTACCCTTATGGGTTAGAGGCTCAAATAATTTAGTTCAGCTCGTTTAGTATAGTGGGTTCCATAGCATATCATGTTATAAGGAATATTCTAGATAAAGTCATAACTTATAAAAAGAGGTACCAGGTATTACCTGGTAGGCAAGAAGAAAGAAGTGAAGGTGGTGCTCGTTATCTCTCTATTAACGTAACATGGATAGGAAAAGTTCTCGATATCGGATGATAGTGAATACAGTAGTCTAACTACAATAGGTGTAATGTTATGCAAGATAATGTTCGAGAACTTTTTGAAATGGAAAACCCAAGTGAAACTGATTTCGAGCGGCCCTGTACAGAGAAGGAATGAATGTTTTGTTGTTCGCGACTGATCAACAGAGCAACATCGTTTGGGGGCAATCGCGACATGACGGGGAATTGGAGTTGCTTGCGTGCGTGGCCAACCAGACCGCCTATCACCGATTTGGGTTCTCTTTTTGATCTGACAGTTCGCGAAGAATGCCACAGCCTTAGGCCGTGACACCGCAGACCCTTGTTGGTCAACTGTCAGACGCCTGAAAAAGGGGCTGGTGGGCCCGGCAGAAACGTTGTCATTAGGGGTCGCAGCACTCCCTTATCGGGTTACCTTGTCAGGTTACAGAGGTCGAGCTCTCCAGCCACCCGAGGCTTCATGCAACAATCATTATTACTTTATTTTAGCGCTGGAGATATGCAATGAGATTCCACTATGGTCGAATTATCTGGCTTGATCTGTGTGGGCGGCCGAGCTTATTATCTTACAAGACCGCATATGCGGTGGCAGATGATAAAATGGGGTCCGTAGTACGCCATGCTTGGCTTGATCATCCCGCCAGACACTGACTAAGAAGTCCTAAGCTATCCATCCGTTGAAGCCGTCCGTTGAAGCCGTCCGTTGAAGCCGTCCGTTGAAGCCGTCCGTTGAAGCAGCCGCCATCTATATACCAAACCATCCAGCAATGTGAATGTAAATTGAAGCGCTGCATTCTGGCCAAATTGAATATTTGGAGCAGACTATAATAAATAGATATAATAGATAGAGTTCTAGTAGGTGCTTCTATGGTGGTTGGTCATTGTCCACCACAACCAATCTTTCTTAAGGGCGGTTTTGTTGTGTTGAAATCAAAGTGACTGTATTGAATTCTGTTCAGTTGTCTATCTAGTTGGAGGTGGAATTCCTGATCTATTCGAGTCTCACAATGACCCCATCACCAGCTGTATCCAATATAGACTAGTCTCTATCTAGGATAAGGCTAGAGAATTTCTCTAAGAGCAGAGAAGGATGCACTAGTTCTGGGACGTACTATACCCAAAAACGCCGTCGCACCTCTTTGTTTCATGGTCGCGGCATGCGAGTATACATCACAAGTAAGTGAAAGACATTTCTAGGCTCGACCTAGGGGGACGAGAGTATTGTCAAGTACACGTGCGCGGGAAGCTAAGTAGAGAAAGGTAGGTTTGTTGAACGGTCTTCACCTATTATACCAATGTTCACCAAATTTTCATTTCTTTATTTTGTTAATATTGTCAGACCTGGTTTTTGGACCGTATCCAGGGGTATTTTTGATGTTGATAGTCGCAAAGTAACTCAATTAATCTACGATAGAAAAGAAATAACAGGCGGTAATGCATCAAATTCAAGGTTCTTGACGTCAGCCCCCAATATCGAAGGAACCAGAAACCACTAAAGCCAACAAAATGGGACCGTCCTAGATGTTGAGTTGAACGAATTTTATCTAACCAGCCTCATTGCTCAGAAATTAGCGCCCCATCATCCATCGTGATAAAAGATCTCCCGCGAAGACTCTGGTGAGTTTTGATTAGCTTACCAATTTGGAGCGACCAATCTTAGGTTCATCGTTGCGCTGTATGTAAACGATAATTACCGTCCTTGAGAGCGGGGAAGCGGCTGCAGACAGTCGCGAAGGTTTGAGGGAAAGTGGAGTAGGGTCCCAGTGAAGGCGAGGACCAGGAACGTTCGTTTTAATGCAATGCAAGCAGTAAGTGGTTGAACACTTGCAGTCTGCTTTCCTGTGTCTTATTTTATTTGTACATCCAATGGGACCAGCGAGCTGCATCGGGCAAAAGAATCTCACAACAACAATAATATTGAAAATAAAATAGTGGGTAGACCTAAGGCTCGATCGACTTAAAATTTTTGTAGACCACTTCAAGTTGACGCTCATGATGCACGGATCATGTTCGTATTCGATATAAACATCTTATAGTCCTCGTTAATCCCGAGTGACCTTCCAAGGCTTAGGCTGGAGACAAATTTCTTCAAAGAGCCCATACTCTACTACTGGTCATCACTCATCTCCAAATGGGCAGGGGTTGAGTTGTGTGTCAGAGGGTGGGTTGCAATTATTGCCTGAGATTACCCAGCAGGTCCCATCACTGCAAGAGCAGTAGTTGGGAATGCCACTGGCGGTCATCAGCTTATTAAACAGGCCATAAAGTGGGTAGAGCCTTACTTGTCCGGATCAGCTTCGTTGTAGCATGGCGGCGTGCCGGAGGCCAATGCAAAAGAAGCAAGCGCAAAGATAGTGGAGTAAAGTAAGATGTATTTCATTTTTACTGTGAACCTTTTCAGGATGTTTGAAGGGTACTATGTTGTTGGATACGGCAAGGAAGTGGTGAAATAGATGAGTCGAAATCAGTGTCGTGGCAAACGTGATGTCTGTACGCTTTAAATACATCCGTAGAAGTGTTCGATACTTGTTTAGATGATCGTATGTACAAACTCCAAGTGTTGGGGCCAGAGACACCCTCGTGCATTATGCTTGTTTCGGTAGGTAGCCTTCCAACGCAAACTTTAATACCCACTTGGGCAAACACCCATGTTTCTAGTCTTAGTATATCTAGCCTCAGATGCCCTAGCACGTTTTTCTAACTTCAGTATGTAGTTAGATATTTACATCATATGATTGCATTACATGGTCGCATTACATGGTTGCATCACAAACTATGTGGGTACAGTATGCCCTGTCCCCAAGTTGGTTGATGATTGGAATTTTTGATTGGATAAGTGCCCGAGACTAATAAAATTCCCGTTCAGAATGATCCTTCAAAATGATCCTTCAGTAGCGCATACTTTGCCCGAGTGCGAGTCGTACATCAGATCTAGCTTGATAACTATTGAACAGCCATGGAGAGGTATATAGGTTCTCCAGACGTCCAGTGTTCGAGTAAGTCCAGGTTAACCTTGACCGATATCACATTCGTACAATTTCGTACCGCTGAAATAGTTCCATACATACTGCAACATGATGCTCAGACAAGGGCTGTACATTGTCGCTGCAGCGGTATCCACTGCCAATGCCGTCACTATCTCGGGATTTTCCTCACAGAAATGCGGTGGTTCTACTGTCACGGTGTGCCCTGGCATAGCTGATGTAAGATGCCGAGAGAGAGAGAGACATACATCTGCATGGATAACCCCTCCCCCCTTACACTACTTCATGTATACATGCTTGAGGCACCTATCGCTGACAAGAATTCTAGTTAACTTGTTGCCCATTCCCTCGAGGCGGTCTACAGGTGGATTCGGCCTATTTTACCCTTATTTATGCCGGCTGCATCGGTGTTTTCTTCCAGTCTTTGCCGGACCAGTTTTGCAATGGTCCTATTAGAGATTCAGAGGCAGGACATATAGCGGGAGCGTGCCTTAGCGGAGGCCAGATCTCAAATTACTTTGGCGGGGGAGCTGCTTGGATCGACTGCATAAATTGTGTTCCAGGTAAGTGAACCTATTCGCATATCATCACCCGTAATGGAAACCGCATGAGCTCGGCTGACAGAATACCTTGTAGCGAAACGGGACTTATCGGAGGACCTTGCTATCGGGACTTGCAACAGTACAGTTATCCCTACGATGCTTGCCTGGGAAGGAGAGGGGGCGTGGGTTTTGGACCACCTAGATGGCGAAGCTTGGGACCGGTACAATGAGTTGCCAGTTACTACAGACGTAAGTGATATTTTTGCGGCTGAGATTCACCTTAAACCCGGACTTCCGCTCTTTGACTTGCTGATTCTTTTCAGCTTGATGTCCACCGCGAGAACCTTAAATCGATCGGTGCAACTTGGTATGCTTGGGATCATCCCATGCCATGGTTGCTGAGCTGCTAGCCGAAGAATAGTCAGATCAAGGGTGGTTCGAGACCTTACCATGGTGAGGTCATGATAAGGGTGAAGGTGCTAGGGCCTGTTATATCCTAGTGGAAGAATATTAGAAATCTGAATAGGCCAATTCATCAACGAGTCTTGCAAGGGTGTTATACATTGAAATTGGGGAGTCGCAAGTTGGTCGTGGCATACTTGTAACTACCACTGGTATTGTATGTACTATTTTGGACGGGGTGCTCGCTTAATTCATGTCGTTTCCAACATTGAAGTCTCTATAATTGCAGTAGTCTCCGTCGTATGTGTCTACTAAAATATCCACAGAAATTTCGACTGCAACAACTGCCCAGTGGGATATTATCCGGCTTAATATCTATAATCAATATACTTCCCGCATAGACCAGTAATGATATATTAGATTATATTCATGAATGCGAATTTAGGCCGATAAAAAGCAAAGAAATTAGCAATAATTCACAGTTTCGTAAGTCTGGAATGCATGATTCTAGCCTGTCTCAGCTATTACTGTTCATCTTTCCCTTCGCCTGGCTTCTCAAACTTCAACCACTTCTCCGGCACCTCAATTTGTTCTGCTTCCTGAATCCCCATGAACCACCGCCTAAATTCTCGATACTCCCCTTTTGTCGAGCCCGATTCAGGGCCTAAATCAAAGATTTTGCCAGACGCGGTTACGAACGTGGCGGGCATCGCATCGCCAGTAAGCACATCGTTTAGAATCCGAACGCCGCGACGAGTCATGTCCATCATAGTAGCGGCGTAACGCTTCGTATATTGGTCAACAGAGTCGTTTTCCCTTCGAGGGACATGATTGTGTAATTCGCTCTGTAGGATGACTGAGTCAGGATTAGCACCTTTAGCGAGGAGGCGTTGGCGCTCCCGACGCGCTATAGTAGCGTAGTCTACTGGAATCCTGTAGACCATGGGCTCGTCGTCCGAGTCGTGACGAGATCCGTCGTCTCCATGGGTTTGAGCGGATTCGGAGTACATTGCTTTTGAGTGTTGGGCCGGGGCTTCTTGTTGCGACATGATAAATGTTCCAATGAGTGTTTTGATTCTTAAGTCGTAGTGATTGCAGTAGTCTTCGTGGAAGCTTTGAGATGCTTAGAAGCCCAGAAAGTAACTTAGAAATGATAACGATAAAGCGTCGGCACTAGGGGGGATCGATCGGAGTTAAATACAGGGCACAGAAAATTTATGTTATCTATATATAAAATATAAGGTACTTAAAGTGGTATTTTACCCCTCTAAACCCAATATTTCTACATACTTTATGAAAATTATACATAATTTTGGACCCATAAAAAATGGGCTCAAATGGGGGCCCATTTCAAAGGTAAATGGGCCCCCATTTTTGGGCCCAACCTAACCCAGCCCATCGGGCCCAACCCATTTGCCAAAGCCTAATTATTATCATAATATATAATCTAATACACACCCCTATATAATAGGACTTAAAATGGTGGCTAGAAAATAAGGACTAGTATACTATTTATTGTTTTCTGATAAACTAGGAGATTGGTTACTTACCGCTAGAACCTTTTAGGGATAGGCTCGTTCACCGTTTTCTCAATTTCCACTAGTTTTGTATTCGTAATGAAATAGAATACAGCGTAACAACACGCTAGAGCACGGACAACAGTCTATAGCGATCGCTCAACCGATCAACATACCTTCAATCAATCATCTGATTGTATTGGACATGTTCATTACTAGCCAGTACATCAATTCCTAATCCTGTCATTTTCTTCCGGCGGAAAACACGCAGAATAAAACGCGGTAAAAATGGCTGTGTCAGATGGATGGATCCATTCATTGAACGCCACTGTGTTATACGCTTGACGTTTCGCTGTTACAGTCGTCTACGGGTACTCCGTACATGCTACGGCCTACCACGGGGATGCTCCCCATCAGGTTTCCAACCATTTCCTTTCTCTCTCTTCTTTTCTTCGACCTCCTTCGCCTCTTACACGTGCGTGCCCAGGTGTCCGTTTCAAACCCGTCAACTGGTGGCCACTTATCAGTCAACATTGAATACATACATGGGGCCTTTTGAGTTACTTTTTTTACGCTTTGACAACCCTTTCTCATACCCCACCCTCCTTAAGACGGCGTTTCTACACTCAGAACATCTCCTTTGCGATTTCAAGGTCTCCATTTTCCAGCACAAAGGCACTTCAAATGTCTTACCTACCGCCAGGATGGACCCTGGAGCGACTTCAAACAGCAACAGTCGATGATCTACGCCAAATACCAGAGGAAGTAAGTAATTATTCTATATAAAGTAACTGATCTAGATCCCTAATTATCTCGATCATATAGAGACTCCATGAGATTGACGAAAGTTTAATTCCCTTCGAAAATGTTCCAGTCCGACAAGTCATTGGCCGTGCAATCCATAACGAACACCGACGAAGAGTTCGCGCAGATCGCGGCCTGCCGCCTGCTCCCGGGGTACCGCTTTTTGAAAAGAACGACGATCCAGTGGTGGAGGTAGTAGAAAGAGGAGGATTTGACGATTTTGGATTTATCGTTTTTCGGACCGATTACTCAGACGAAGGACGCTGGGAGCAGTGGCAGAAAGAGTTCCATCGCATTATTGACGCCTCGATGGCGAGTGCTAGTGGGGGAAAGAAAATTGAAGACAAATGCCTCTTACTAAACTATGAAGACGAGGATATTGCTGGTGCTACTTATGGGCAGATTTTACAGTAAGACCCTATCTCTATTCTGCGAGTGTTTGCAATGTTGACCGATGTACTAATAATCCTTATAGAGAATACTCTGAGTACCAAGAGACTGAAAGTATCCCTGAGGGACTTGATACTGGTATGTGCCTGGTTGTCGACTCAGCTGCTATGGACTCTATAACATCCGACAAGCCGTGGGTATATGCATTGGACTTGTCATTCGATCATGCCAGTAAGAGTCCACTCGCAGATGGAGCCTATCCAGGCTACTTCCGAGTTGCCGTCGACTCTGTAATCACGGAGCTCTACCCTTTGCTCACAGCAATGACACCTCCGGAGCTTTGGCCTTCGGACAACACAATATGGGAATCCGCGTTTTAATAAAAGAGCGATGGGAGCGTTGTGGCTCCTGAAAAAAAAATTGTACAGCTCCTGGCAGCAGCTGTTGGCTCACTAAGTCCAGCTTTTTATCCAATAATTTTGCATACATTGATTGACAGAGATTGTGAGTGTGGTCGATGCTGCTGGATCCTCAATACCAAGAGCCCCAGGCAATATGGGGGGCCGGTAGGCGGTGTCCCAATCAAGTTTAGCCCCACGTGATCCAGAAACCTCAATCTTCTAAATCTCTAAGAAACACGAATATGGAATCATTTTTAGCTCTCCTGTAGTATTGAAAGAAGGTGACTAAGTATGCCAGCACAGCAAGGACTTTTGGTGTGATTGCGCATCTAACGAATCTATTTTCATGCTGAACAGACAAAATTATCCCTTTTTTACTATGTAACGACATGTTCAATTTCCACTGGCAGAATTTAGGCGGTGACCTGAAAGGAGCTCAAACCAGTTGTCTACGACTGCCCAAGCACTTTGTTAGGTCAACACAACGAATATCCTGCATACATGGGTTATTCCCGATCGCTGTTTTAAGTGCAATCACAAATTTCTCATATCTAGCTCTGGAAATGTCCTTCAATGTCCGTTGACGTGGGCGACTTCATTGAAAAAGATAGAAGAAAAGGGTACTATAGGGCGCCATGTCTTGTTCGCAAATTAGCCTTGTATTTCAGCTGCGCTTGGTAAAAGCTTGGGATTATAGGTCAAGTGCAAACTTTTCATCGATGTTCTTTCTAAATCTGAATGCACTTGGAATTTCAATAACAAAGCCTCAATCCACCGTCAGCCAGGCATGCACTCTGCAACCACTTTCACTCTGCTGTTCATGTCTGTAATTGAGACCCAGACCTAGCTTGTCTGTTCAATATAATATTTCTGGCACATACTGTTATATTGAAACATGGAGTTTGGTATTGGAATGGTATTCGATGGATGATTTACAGTCAGTCTCCCTAGCGGAGAGATCTTGAGGTCCTTCTCTGTGAAAACGTCACATATTTGAGTGGGCTTGCATTTCTTTGACTTTTGACGAGTCCAAAGGGGCGTGAAGTGGAACGTGAGTGTGCAAATCATTCAAGTGCGCTAAATAGCCTCAGGGATATCTGTTGGTCCATTGGGGTCAAAGTGACTTGGGCCGATCCCTGCTAGAGAATCCCAGGAGCTTTGCATCTAATTGATTGATTTATTTATTTATTCATAGACTGTCCCAGCCGCCCTAAGGCAGCTATGCAGCGTGTTCAATTATCAATACATCTCTCCCTGCTCTTCCTGCATTTGAAAATGAGTTCGCTCTGACCAGACCAGAATGACCTCTTTCTCGCGCTCCTAGTAGTCACATCATACTCATAGTTATAATAATCGTTCTATATCTTTGACTTGTTAGGCCTTTCCTGGCCTTCCTCTGCTTCTGTTTGACAAAAATCACTCGTCTGCGGTAAATTATGCACCGTGGAAGGGTTCCTGGTAGGGCCCCTCCTGTAGAGACTGCGGTGGTTTGATCTGTATGTTGGGGGTACGCTACTTTGAGTGCCGATGTTACTGTATCTGTGTGGCAGTGGAATTGTTGTGGCTTGCTCGTTGATGGGTTCCAGGTCTATGTTGACTTGTCGCTACGTAGATGGCTCGTGGCAAAAGCACACGTCTGAGATGTGTGGCTTTGCATGAACGACTGTTGGAACGTAAGTCAACTGTAAAGTTGCAAAATATTGTAGAACTCAAAATGACGTTTTGAGCCGTAGGTGGTGTTTTTGGTGGTAGTGTTGGTGTCGTTAATATTGCGATATCCATCTGTTGAGCCCATGAACCATACCAACGTCTCTACCCCGAGCCTAGCGAATCATCATCAATCTCCAAGCCGTAAACCATTGTCGGGCAGGACGAACGGAGTGACGAGTTCCGTTCTCCGTCGTGGGGGTGGACGTGTGAGGGGGCACGACTTCCTCTGTGGTACTGTTCTATGATGTTGGGTGTTTCGTGAGGTTCGGAGACTTGGCTTTCGGCGCTTCAGCGCGTCGTGATAAGGGGGGAAGATTGTGTTGTTGAGCTCCTCCTGGCACTCAGAGAGCCAAACTATTTCTCTGAGAGTTCATAGCGGGCACCACGTGGAGGTGGGAGCTCGTCGCCCACCGATCTTGAGTGACATTTCTAGGAGTATTATAGATCCCAGGGCCAGGCTAGGGGATACTAGCACCGATCTTACTGTAGATGGGATAGGTCTTGACGGGTCTAGCACTAGTTTGTGAGTGTATTCGCTAACGGAAATCCTAGAATACTAAATAAGATTTTTGTCACACGTAGTTAAGGATAACAGGGCTACAAATCAGAGGCGCTATGCCTAGATTCAAAGTACTTATTGGCCTTCCAATATAACGCCTTTGAGGTGGTTGATAAATTACTATGTAAGCGCATCTTCTTCTATCAGGTACATAAAGGCAAATATATTTCCTTAAGTAAATATCCAACACGCTGGTGTATAAAGTAATCAATAATCATCCGAAAATTTACGGCCTAAAGAAACAGTTCACGTCTAAATCTTCAAACGTGCCAATAGCAGCCTACGAGTTATTACTCACATAGATATCGTGAAAGCTTTGGGCGGGATTATTACGATGACGGGAATCTATGATCCCCACTTGAAGTTAACTATTATCTTTGATTTCGATACCCCGACCAGTCCGTAGCGAATGAACCTCTTAGTGGAGCTTATTAAGTAATTCTCGTGAGTAGTGGATCTTAGTAGCCTGCTCTGAAATTTGATAAACAATACGATTAAGAGTCGCTAGTTTGTCCTGAAGCACTTTCTTATCCTAGTCAAATCCCTTAAATTACAAGCATGAGAGCCGCTATGTCGAGCTTCACTCACGTGCTCTAGGTGTAATATTCAGGGGCATACAAGAACGCGCTGTCCAATCCATTCAAATAGCTTATACATTGAATATTATGTTGTTTTGGTCAATATATAGTGGATTATTATAAATATTTGATGGGGTGGCCCGGCCGACCGTGTGGCCCGCAGCCCACTCGCTTATGAAACACGTTATATATTGCGTTCGATGGCTTTCCTGCCTGTAGAGAGCCTGGTGATTGACCATATTTAGTCAAATAGCTTAGACATGTAGTGTTACGTGTTTATGGTTGAATTTCCAGGTTGAACTATGAAAGGATGACCAAGTCGCCTGGTCGCTGGTGCCAATATGGAGCTACTTACGCGGCTACGCCACTAGGATCCACATCGCTCTCTCTGTTGCCAAGTTATCATCGCTATAGTGGGTCCTTCTATCCAGGAGTGGACCTGTTAGCCACCTCCGTTTCTAAGTATCGATCTTTTGAAGAGGCTGGGCATATGAATTCATCTATCGTCTGCTGAAATTTCCAAATATTTATTCAGCCTGACCCCGATCTTTTCGAGTCTGCCGCCAACATATTTACGCTAGGATCGCCGCGATTAAAATTAACATGCATACGAATTTCTCATTATCTGCCGCCATTTGGGCCGCATTTCTTTCCCTCGCAACTGCCCAATCTTATACAAGTTGTGATCCTATGGAAAAATCCTGCCCTGCCGACCCGGGAATAACGAGTACCGAAATATCTTACGACTTCACCAAAAGCTCGGATCTTGCAAAATGGAACACCACTGCTGGGACAGTAACGGCCAGTGACGAGGGAGCAAAGTTCACCATCAGTCAAGAGGGAGACGCCCCGACCATTGAAACCGAATATTATATTTTCTTCGGGGAAGTTAGCATTACCATGAAAGGTGCTTCGGGGACTGGAATTGTCAGCTCTGCTATTTTAGAGTCGGATGACCTCGACGAGATTGACTGGGTTAGCAACTCCGGAACGTTCATTTTCGCTTCTTGATGCTAATGACCCGGCCCCTGTAGGAGATTTTAGGAAGCTATAGCTCCAAGCTTCAAACTGACTATTATGGCAAAGGAGATAGTGGTTCCTACGACCGCTGGACTTGGGTAGAAGCCTCGAACCCTCTGTCCACCTTCCATACTTATAAATGGGTGTGGACTAAGACGGAATTGACTTGGTCTATCGACGGCACCGTTGTGCGGACCCTGAAATATGCTAATGCTGTACATGACGGTGCCTCTCGATACCCCCAAACGCCCATGAGCGTTCGCATTGGAATTTGGGCAGGCGGCTCCAGCAGCAGCGAGGGTACCGTTGAGTGGGCTGGGGGTGTGACCGATTACTCTGATGGCCCATTCACCATGTATGTCAAGTCTGTCTCTATTGTGAACTATAACCCAGCGGAATCGTATAAATGGACGGACAAATCTGGCTCAATGGATAGTATTGAGATTGTTGGAGGCACCTCGAGCACAGGAACCACAGACTCCTCAACCGGGACGGCAGCGGTTCCAGCTTCAGTGGCTGCTACTGGTGGTTTATGGCGTTCTCACCCTTCGGGCTCGTCACAGACTACCAGCCGTCCCATGTTCTCTACTATTGGCATTGGCCACTTGTCTATTTTCATCTCTATTTTAATGGTGATGATATGTCTTTAAGGAGGCGCATTAAATGATGAAAGTCCGGTTTTAGCGTGTCGCTTTTAGAATAATCTAGATTATAAACTGAACAAAATTTCACGCTAATCTCAATCTTCGGTAAATATATTAATTAAAGTATAGATGTACACCACAGGCCAATTAATATACAGAGAAATATGTTAGAGTCGAATAGAGTCATCCACTACAGTATAAAGATAGAATTAAGCATTATATATGAGGTCACTATGAAAAGGAAGGTTGCTCTAATCAAGGCAAACATAGTATAGAGTATTGTTCCCTCAAACTGAGCAATTCAATCCTAGCAAAACAAAACAATTATTGACGATCATCAGCTATATCACCTTAACTAAACAACCTTCGCCTTAAAGAGCAATTCCCAAGACCAGCGCAACCATGCAGGCGACTCCTGAGTTCCTATCCACAGCAGACGCCTCAGAAAACAATGTAGTCTGAGTAGACTGTGCCGACGATAATACAGAGGAAGTAGGACTAGCAACACCAGAAGACGAAGGAACCCCAAAGCTACTACCAGAAGCAGTTCCATCGTCACCCACAACAGAAAAGCTCGAGCCCATAGCGCCAGTACTCGACGAAGTAGACACCGGCTTACTGAACACCACGCTACTAGAAGCTGACGCTGTGGATGAAGCCGAGATTTGCTCCATAGACGAGATTGACGAAGACGAAGACTCCAACGACGAGGTACCCGTTGTCTCAATTCGAGACTCTGACGAAGTAGAAGTAGTGACCACCTCCGAAACATTCGCGTAGGTCACCATATACTCTGAACTAACGCAAAAACTATTTGCCGAACACGCATACCCATTGTTACAGCATAGATGGCCGCATACCACGTCGCCGTAGCAGGCCACATCGCAGCCGCGCTGCCCGTCAATGACGGTACATGCCGCTCCAGAGGGACAACAGCCTTCCCAGCCTACGCAGGAAGTATAGCCTGAGTCACAGATGTGAGAGACGTCTTGGCGGGGGTGGAGGACGTGGTAGATAGGTGCTGCAGTGATTTGGGCGTGAGCGGCGAGGAATTCGGCCTTAGTGGGCGAAAGGACAGATAGCGTAAGAAAGAGGAGGGAGAATAGGCTGGTGGTTTGAGTCAACATTGTAAGAATGGACAACTGTAAAGTATAGTGATTCCAAGTAGGTATAGTTCAGATATGAGGGTCCTGTAGGAACGCGGAGTTTGGTTCAGAAAAGCGCATAAGGCACTTCTTTTGTACACCCAGTTTAGTCTTATACAATTGCATAGTCCTTGAATCCATCAGAAGTGAGGCTTCCAAGCGCGCTATTCGTATACTCGCGGAGCGGGGAAAACCTCGTATTCGATGTGTCCGTGCAGCAGGCTTCTGCTAATCAATCGAATTTACTGGGTAAATATGTTGAGGCGGGTCGAGGCGGAAATGAGGCCTTAGCTAGTAAGGCATGAGGGAGCAACTGGTTTGTATGACGAATTCCTCACTAAAGTTTCCCATGTTGGTTTCGCTCAGCGTTCGGCGGCTTGAAAAATGGCAATATCTAATTTACCATAGATGTGGGATTTGTGCCGCCGGTGTGGATCAGTGCGTCAAACTGGACTCCCAAGGGGGCAGCCCTGAAAACCTAGTTCCCGAGCCGTATAATCATGCGTATCTTCGCTTACGTGTAGACTAATACCCCGATACACTCTATAATTGTTTGCATTCCTGTTTTTACAATTTAGCCTAGAAGAGCCTTATAGTCAGGTGGTTCGCTTAGCATATTATGCTTGGGCCTTGACCTTTGAAACGCGCAACGCGGAACCAAAGGGTTACTGCACCTCGGGGTCTTAAGCAACAAAGGAACGGAGAGATCATAGCGCCACAACGTGATATTGCAATTAAACCATTCCACGTTTTCCTCATTAATGATGGGATGTCGCAAAGATTGGTTCGTGTTTCATTTATGATTTATTTGCATTTATCACTTACCTCCGAAGTATTTCAGTGCTTTATATGAGATTGAACGGTTAAATCAGGTATGAGTCCTCTGAACTTTTTAATAATACTTTATTCTAGGCGTAGCACTACGACAAGCTAGTCAATATCCAGGATGAGCTCAGAATACCAATGTTCCCGTACCAGTAATATGCGTCTGACTGACAATTAATCAGAGAACTCTAAATGATCTAGCCGGTCTTGGCGCTATGGCTTGAAAACTGGATTAATGAGTATAGACATGTTCTTGCTTCTTGGAAGAAGTGCCTATTATACCACGGGAATGACTAGCTAGGTGGTTTTAGGTTAAGAGGATATCAACATCATGCGTAGTTCGCTTACTGACCATGTTATGACTTATCTAACCAGCGAAGTTCCTCGCCCCTATTCTTAGATGCATAACAGATCAAGGGGCTCCCTTTCTCTACGTATTGTGATCATGCTGACTGCTATGCATTGCAAATCTCGCATATAGAGCCTCGATGTTTCACCGATTTTCCGCAAATCCCGCAAAAGCATGTGGTCAAAGCAGAGGTTCCGGATCGGCTCAGCCTATTAATAAGAACAAGGCTCGCCACTCGCATCATATTCCTAGCCATGAGCACCTTGGTTTCCGCTTCGTCAAGCGGTAAAAGGCTGCCAGAGCCTTTGATCGCTGCCGTCTACACCGGACCAGGTGTGACCAGCAGATACCCTGCACAGGGTGCGTGTCAGCCAATGCAAAGTGCACTCTCTCCTACGCCCCTCCCCACTGCTCCCAGGGAAAAAGCACCAATATTGGTCTTACAAGTTTGGGGTTGGCGTCTATACCCCGCTCGACCTCTCCATCGCCCTCGTTCAGTCACACAACCCGCCGCTGTCACAATACCAGCACTAGCAGTTCTACCGCCAACACCAGCCAACCAGCCCATCTGCCCCGCTTTCTGGCGATTATTGAGTCAGCAAAACTTATTGGCGAGTAGTAGTCTTCCAGACACAGTCCCAAACGAGGTTTTCAATCTTCCTCACGTCCATGGCTTTTTTGCTAGTGAGCAGCAGGCTTCCTCACGTTCCTCAGCCTCCACTGGCTGCCCCTTCCCTCAGCTCCCATATCCCGCCGTCCCCTTGGGGGAGCGCCTCCTTCCGTTAGAAACTTTACCAAAGATCCAGCACAGTTACTATCTCCGGCTCTTCTGGGACGCCTGCCACCCGCTTCTGCAGATAATGGGCGAGCTGGAATTTGCAGAGCTCGATCCCTTGCCGCCACCAGCTATATTACATGAATATTCAGCAACGAATGCCCTGGTAGACTGTATTCTCTCCCTGGGTATACAGCACAGCCATATCACTGGCCTTTCCGGGCACATATTAGGACTCCAGGCAGTCGCATTCTCGGCTGTATAACCACGTAGCAGTGCCACCTGGAGCCAGCTGGCCTGGCTTCGAATATTTCAATCTTTGTCTTGCGGGCATGAGACAAACACAAAAGTAACCCTGGAGGTCCTACGATGCCATGCTTTGATGGTCGTATACCTCATGAAGGGCAACGCGTTTGGGGATGCCTACAACCTACTGGGCATTACTATCCGCAAAGCCTACGTTGTCAGACTTCATCGACTGTCCCCAAGCCATTTGCCCGAGTCTGGAAAGACTTCTCACATGCAACTGTGGTGAATTTTATTTACACTAGATCTTCAGTGCTCATTGCAGTTCGAAATGCCCGCTGCCTGCCAGAAGAGTTTAGTGAAATGCCCATTACCCACTGAGGATGGCCTCGCCCGTTATTTCTCTTCCCATGGTCATTGTGAGGATCGCGTGATTCTATATATGTATACCACTGGTTTGATCAACCTCGCCTTCACCATGTCCGACATTGCTGCGTGCTTCTCGACCGCGGACTTGGATGACGATGACAGCAACAGCCCGGCCACAGTCGAACAATACGCCGTCAAACTTTCGTCCACCCTCCAAAATCTCGAGATCTGGCACGATCAGCTACCCTCATTGTTGCGACTGAATCAAGGAGGGAACGGCTCTGGTAATGCTGAGATGCTTGACTTTGACCGCGAGCTGTCCCTACCTATCTGGCTTCGGAGGCAAAGGGTGCTCTTGGAGCTACACTATCACAACGCGTATATCCTCATCCAGCGTCTTTTTATCCATATTCCCTACAATCACTCCAGCGATATTCCTAGCGGTATGACCAGCTCCCCTGACTCCCGGCAGACGGAATTGCACATTACCAGTGCTCTCTACTATGCAGCCATGGTCATTAAGATGCTATTCGCCGTGTGCTCTGCGTCTGAAACCCTGGAGGGGGGTCAGAGGCCTTGCAGCCTCTCTGGAACGCAACACTGACAATGATGTCATATGTCAACTCAAACTCACTAAGCTCCGTGGTGTCACACGTGCTTGATTCTCTTATGCAAGCCCTGGCTGTTTTCGAGTTTTCCTCCTCCCCTTTATGAGCGCTCACTCTACAAAGGGCATCATTCAATCGCTTGCCAGCAGTCTGAAGATCAAGACAGCTTAAGAATCGAGTGCAGTTCCCAACGATGATTTGTTCGACTAGCAATTCTCCGCTTTCATGCTCGAGGAGGTATACCATTGCTAAGAGTGTCTTTCCGTTCAGCTTTCACGAGCCCGTGGTAATAAGGAATTACCCGAGCAGAAAAGGCAAAAAGCAGGACGATGCCCATCGCCTAGAGAATCCAGAACCTCCTGGTGACACGAGGGCGAACACTCCCATGATAGCGGCGCCTACCAAGCATTCTGACGCAGCAGCCCTGAAGCAATTTTAACAGCGACACGGCCGGCACAGCGGCATTTGGTAGCTTAGGCGACGGCCTTGTAGTCGAGAACACGGTTAAAAGTAAACTGCCAAGTCCACAGCGACAGACTACACCGAACGATGTATGTCTGGCCGGCAGAATAGGCCTTTGTCCTTACATATCGCTCAGTCTGCCGGACACAAAAATTAAAGCTTCCACCAAATTCAAGTCAATGAATAATTGAAATCAATGAGATAGTCAGATCAACGTGGGTCAAATACTCATGCCAATACACCAGGATCCATACGATCCATACAACGACCTTGTCGCAGCCCAGATAGAAACTCTTAATTGATAACAACAGCACAGTTCACAGCGGGGAAAGACTGAGAATACTGAGCAGGAAAATTCAGAGATTATGTGTATTTCTCTTCTAAGTTTAATACTTTTTATACTGCGCTTCTGAATTGTAGTGATAAATCTTATTCTTTCTATAAACTATTATGTATGGTCTATAGTTTTATCATTGTAAGCATAGCTGGAATCCGAAATTTCATATTGACACTATTTTTTGACATTATAGAACTGACATTGGGAAATTTGGATACTTATGCATAATGTATCACCATAAACTACTTTACGTACTCGGGCCTCCTGTCGGGTCCTTGGTCTGTTTCTCCTCTTTCAATACTATAATACTAGCCGGGAGATCGTACCGCCTTCTCCTCATCAGTAGGGGCAAGCGGTATTTCGTCTGTTGGCGCAAAGTGAGACCGCGCCCGAATTGCGCCACCATACTTATAGAATACAAATGGAATAGGCATAAGCAGCACAGCTATGCCTCCTGTAAGCGACCCAGCCCCACCCACACCGGGTGCATTGAACATGTACTGAGTGAAGAGTGGCGAAGCTGCGGCACAGGCAAATCGCAGAACGGTGTTTGCCGCCATAGCGGATGCGGCGTATGTCAGGTACAGGTCCATGATATATTTGATATAACAGACAAAGATGAGCAATATTGACATTGCAAGGAAGGTACCTGCGACTGTTGGGACGGCCCAGTGGACTGCATTGTATTCCGCTGTCCATGCGAACCAGAACTTCGTCAACGCGAACATGACTCCGCCCACCATCGCGCCAGGAGGGCGATCTTCTGGGACCGGCTTGCGGGTTAGGGGTTTTCTGAGCTGAATTTGCTCATTTATTGGCAGTATCAGTCCCCCATAAAGGCACCGATGACTGTGCCAATCAATGGGAGCTCGCCGACGCCAGCATTCCAGCCGCGCTTCTGCTGGAAAACGATGGGGTAAATACTGAACAGCATGTAGATTAGTGTGTAGGCGACTGCATAGTAAATTGCGACAAAGGCGCTGATTGGGTCATTAAGAAGTCTCCAAGGCCTCGTTGGGGCGACCTGGAACATGCCTCCCAGGGAACGATCTGACGCCTCGACCGGAGATAGAATAGCCCCATCACCGGTAATTCTGCGAATACGGCAAGCCTTGTTGCGCAAAACAATCATAGGAAGGGTCTCAGGAAGGTTGATGAGCATGATCTCGGTGGCGCCCGCTATCCAGAGGAGGACGTAATATGTCCACCGCCATGTCTCCTTCAATTGAAGGAATCCGCTGACAACTGGTGCTAGGGCAGGCCCCACGAAAGTTATTGTGGAAAACAGCATCATGGCATTTCCACGCTGAGTGGGGCCCCAGATGTCTGCCAGGGTGCCAGGGGCATTTGTCAAGGCAGCACTGGCTGCCGTGCCAGTTATGAAACGGCCGACTAAAAGCCCAGCAAAATTGGGTGCAAAAGCGAAGAGGAAGCCAGATTCAAGATATAAAGCGAAGGATATATGGAAAATCCAGCGGCGGCCGTAGACTTCGGATAACGGGGCCCAGAATAGTGGACCGACGCAGTAGCCTAGGAGGAAGAGAGTGGTAACGAGGCCAGCAGCTTCGGCAGAGACATGGAGGTCTTCACTGACGCCTCCGAAGGATCCAGATGGTGCAGAGGAAGAAAAGGTTGCGTTCATTACCAGAGAAATGGCGATAGCGGTGATATAACATTTGCGTCCAAACGAGTAGTTCTTTGGGCTTTCGGGGTCCTCTGGCTCAAATTCGAGATGGCCGGCGTTGCCGAAGAAAAGCTGCTCACCTGGCTCTCCGACAGTTGCCGAGGTCGGCGCTTGAGACTTACGCCTCAGGAAGTTCATTGCTCGTGTTTGTCGTCGAAACCGCTGGAGCCTGCCCGACTCTCGAATTGTTTTGAGCACAGAATGTTGGTAAAGGACTTACAAGTGGCACGATTTCAGACCTATGCCCTTTGATACATCATCTGTATGACGACATCTCATCGGCCGTGCAATTACATGACCAGTGGGCGTGAAACCGACTCTTCGACTAATTTCAAATGGCATGAATAGTCAAGCTTCCGCTTTGGGTATTCCGAGAGCCAACTTACCTAACATGGTGATTATAGGGTATTTTGTCAGCTCGGTACCAGCCCCAAGTTGAGTCTCTAAATAAGGGAATTTCTTGGAATTGTTCCGGGCAACATGATGGGATAGACTCAATTCACCCGTGGACTTATCAATCATCCGGATTCTCCTGCTGATAAATGCCGCCTTAATGGCGAAGATACATTCATTATGCATGGGTTTAGTTGGTGCTGCGCCGGGCTCATATAAATAAGGAGGATTACTCCGCCAGCTCTTTTTCGTCCAGTATATGTTTGTCACCATTGGTTCAATTTTTGAAGGATCTCAATATCTCACTCAACTCGTCTTCTCTCTTATTCGCTACACAGGTACTGGTATTTGCAGGGTTTCCAAGCCAGTGCTTTTTTCAATATCTATACAATGACAGTACCGTACAGTCCAATTAAGAGTTCAATCTATCTCCAGGCGGTCAAGCACCGTCGTACCGTGCATGGCGTTACCGACAAGATTTCAGTCTCTGATGACCGCATTATTGAGATTGTGAATGGAACCATCTGAACCTTGCCTTCGTCATGGAACATGCAGAGTACCCGCATCCTTGTCATCCTTGGCAAGGTGCACAAGAAACTATAGGACGCCATTATGGCTGCTGCAAAGCCACTCGTCCTCAAACAGCACGCCGACGAGGACTGGAAGCGAAACGATGATCGTTTCCAGTCATTCCAGGCGGCGTACGGTACAGTACGTCTTTTCCCATCTGTATCGAGAGCGACAACGTAGGATATGCCTTGTTGCTGCTTCTCTCTTCCCATGCAAGCCTGATTATATTTTATAGATCTCTATCTTTGAGGACCATACAGCTATCGAGAAACTACATGGGAGATTCTCCAAATTCCCTTTGACCGTCTTTGAGGGTTTCGCCGAACACTCCAATGCCATGCATCAAATTACGATTTGGACTGCCCTTGAGCTCGAAGGCCTTGGTGCCAGGCTGCAGCACTCACACTTTGTGCCAGGAGTAGAGGACGGTATCAGATCCGCATTTAGCATCCCGTCCACATGGTCCATCAAGGCAGAAATTGTATTTGGCGGCCTGCCCGGCGAAATGCCGACTGTTCCTGAGAAGGAACCCGTCTCCACTACCGTAAAGGTCTACCGTTGAAGGTCATAATTGTCTATGGCGGTATTTTGGCAGCAACTGCGGGCGCTTTGACTGCGTTAGTTGCAGCAAGGGCGAAGCTTGACAAAAGCTTTAGAAAGATATGAGACGTGAGATCTACACTGAACAGAGGTTGAATGATTACTTTACATGATTCAATTTGCGAATGAGCTCATACACTTAGAAATGAGGACTCATGCCAATATTGCGAATTTCTAGCTCTGGTTTTCGCTCGATATTTATGCCGTGATTCAAAACTCTCAGGGGCAAGGCAAAGAGACCATATAGCCCCATCAATAAAATGCCAAACATCATGTTGCCCCGACGTATCTGGATCGTCTCAGTTGCGTGTCCTTAGACTTGATAGGAGAATTGTATACATGGTTCGACTCGTGAGATCATTACCAAATCATGATGTAAATAGTCGGCTGAACATATGATAGAGAGCAGGATCCACTGGAAGGACCATTCGTCTGTATGCTAGCCTCTCGCCAAGCTTAAGAGATCATATAAATTCATATCTACCGCCCTGAGTTTGGTGCAGACGGAAACCTTGCGCTTTAGATGACGTCAAGCTACTTTTTCAATTCAAGCAGCTTTTTTTAAGCTCTTGAAAATTCTTATCAGAATTAGTATATCTAGGTTTTGCTAATAAGATATGGAGTAGTAAATCTAGACCGCCTTCCTATTATATTTGTTTTCACCTAATGATTGGAAGATGGAAACTTTCAAGTCTTCTGTGAAACACTCATGGACTAGGCAAAGGCTCATCAACATCGCCGTTGGCCTATTTTGACAAATAAGGAAAATGAGGGCTCGCAACTTCTCAACCCGCATCTGCATCCTACTTCAAGAAATGACTTTGACATTTGAATGATCAAAGCTTGCAACCAACCTTCCATCCTGAACCTGAACAAGAGAGCCCGAAGAGGCATCGAGTGTCTGTCCATCTTGCATTTGAGCCTCTGCGGATTGAAATTCGAAGATGCAGTTTGAGGGGACCGCGTTGCTGCTGAACTCCTCCACGATCCATTCTGCATATCTTCCTGTTAAGGCATAAGATGGTTCGTCGAAATTATACTTCTTTGATTCCCCAGTTCTTTCATTCTCAAGATAGACAGTCCCTTGGGTACTTGAAGAGGCAACAATGCGAACGAGCATAGTATCGCCACTCGATAATGGAAGTTCGTCTGTCGTGGAAAAGTTTGCCCCTTCCGGATACCATTCAAAGTATCCCCGAAATTGGGGCACATAAGTGCCATCAATTGCTTCAATGCCACGAACATCTAATCCAGCCTGGAAAAGATTGTTAAGACCACCCCAGCCATCGATACCGATCCATGCATAGGCTGAATATGCCGCATCAATAGGGCCAGTGACCGAAGGCACCTTGATAGTAGATGTAACTCCATTGAAAGAAGCCCCTTCCGGCGCGGTGACGATCGCGCCGCTCCATCTCACTGAGCTCAAATCTCGGCGGCTCACTAACCGCCTCATTTTGGATCAGCAATCGCATTTATCAACAATCATATGAATTACCCACAGGTATCTTTCTCGACATGAGGGTATGCGAAGGCGAAGGTGCACATATAGAGACAATGGAAGAAGGGGAAAGTCCTCATGACGAAGTAGTGCGTATTAGATCAAGGATGGATTTGTACTGATTTGAGAGTCGAATGAAGACCATATCTCGATTTCAGGACTCTTATTTATAGTCGCTTCTGTGTATCTAGGGAGATGTCGATCTTCCATCTAGAACTATGTGATTTAATCTTCTGTATGCGATCTTATCTACACATGCAGGGCCGGGTAGCATACCGGTCCAATTTTTGAGTTGATCTACCACGAACAATCCCTTTAAAACCAGGAAAATCGAGGCACCTATCAAGAGGCAGAGATAGACTTCCGGGAAACCCGACTTGGCCTTAAGCTTTCGACTCAAAGCCCAACCCGGGCTGGGTCCGGGCCGGGCTTCTCTAACTGGACCCAAAGGTCATGTGAATATGGAGTGCTCTTTCAACGTGAAAACCTGTTGATATGGGCATGTTATCTAGGAACCCCTTCTCTCGTTGGCGACTGTCGGTGTCTCCCGCTCTCCCCCCCTTATAGGGCCGCCCTAATCGGCCCTGATCGGCACTCATCGGCCCTGATCGGCTCTTATGTGCATAAAAAAGTGGACTATTCTAATTTGTATGCATAATCCCGATGTAACCTCAGAGGTGAGAACACAAATGTCATTTTGCAAATTCTCGTCTAAGGGGGGCCTGCGTTTGGATCTGATCAGGTCATTTCCAGCACTTTGCGCTGAACTGGGCAGCATGCTTCGCGCAACGGCCAGATAGTTTTGCCTTTCGCGCAAATCCGGCATTTGATGGTGCAGCATGAGGGCCAGGGTAGGTAACGGCCACGAAGGCCAGGACGGCTAATGCTACAACAACGGAGACATTCATAATAGGAAGATCCCTTAATGTAGGTTTAAGATGAAAACTTTGGCGTGATTCTTACGGTCTACATCAGATTATAGCAAATGGCCATACTGGTCTCTATCTCTGGGACCTTACCAATAGGGTTGAATTTCATTCGCGAGTATGAGAAAAATCTTAGTGCTTTGAAACCACAGTTTCCCTCGTTCGTCCCCCTCGCATGTATTCGGTGGCATTCACCTGGGCATATGCCAGTTGCCATGGTCACGTGCGTGACCCGGAGATCTCGTTATAGACAAGTGCTTCCCCCCCTCATCCTCTTCTTTACTTCGAAGTATCCCCAGACTACAGCATGTTCTGTCCGTCTATTGCTTCCCTATAAATTGAAGACGATGTCTGCAGCTCGTTTCCTTATATTCCTGTATCTTATTCCGACCAGCCTCGACGAGAGTGCAGACACAAGTCACATACCGGCTCAAATTTAACTTTCCAGACAACATCATGCACCACCCATCGATCCATCTATAATTATTCCGCGTTTGATACAAACTGCTACTAGTGTGGGAAGCGCAACACTAGCCCGAGTCAGATGATTCGCTTTGAAAGATAGTGGCATGTTGCAATGAGATATTATCCCCTTGAGCTTGAGTGATATGGATGAGCTCCATAAAAACCCTAATAATGTGCGAAGGTGAAAGGGGCTTCATAGCATAATTACCGTCCCCCCTGGCCCCACCATAATGCACACCGACTTTTGCACTCAAACCGCTATTAAGCCGTTTTGCACTTCACTCTGACTTACATTTGCATTATGCAGGCCTTTATTGACGTGATATCACCAGACTTTATATCAATTATATATCGGTCATAATTAAATCGCACCGTGAAATGGGGCCCGGGTTTGAGGTTCGTCTACCCGTTCACGCAAAGGGGACCCTCGCGCTGTATCTGGCCTGGGTGGAGGCATGGTGCTCTACCCGAGAATCCCAACCCACTGATCGAGTGTTAAATACTTTGACGCTTCCTGATGTCTGTCAAATTTTCCGAGAGAGGGACAAGAGACTCCCTTCCCAGGACATCATTCAAAATGCCACTGTTCTATTTCGAGAAGAGTTTGAAAAAGGCAAGATCACTCTTGGCGGCAGTCGACCACCCTCAAACAATCAAATAAATCTTTTGTCTGAAGATTACGATTCTAGGACAGATTGTGGGTGCAGTGGCATTGGCCCCACTTCTGCCTCTTTCCATACCGATATTGAAACACTTCATCAAAATTGCCGATGCAATGCGATCCTGAAGATGTTGGAACTAGCCTGTATGCTGCGTGATAGACCAGACCAATGGAATGGCCATGGAATTCTTACCCAACAAGGACTGGAAAGAGCCGTCGTGGAATTATCGCTGTCAAACACAGAATGGCAGGAGCCTATATCCAATAATTCCGGCCCCTGTACATCCTTGCCAAACGTTTCGGCCCCCGATCGCCGACCAAATCCGCATTGCGACACCCCGGCGAACGTGCATCACGCCATGTATCTAACCTTTGAACATATCAAGCTCTGCGCGGACGCTAAATATTATTATTCAATTGCCTGCGGGGGTAGTCTTTGCGATGAGGGCATTTCTCGAGCGCTGGCTAATATGGGGAATGATATCCTGATCGCCGACTACTGCGAGGCTGCGGACGAAGAGACAATGAACCTTCTCCAGAAGACTGGCGCCGCGGCGGTTTCCTTTCTCCGACTATGTAATATGGCTGGTGTCATAGCAGACTGGCAGTTTGATGTTGTGGCTGCCAGTGTGCTGCAGTTCCGCATCCTGGGCTACTGTCGGGACCATGCGCAGCCTCGATTACCACAAGGCCTTTTTGGATCTAGACAGACAGGAAATACTGTCCAACGTCATATAGATCTTGGATTTATGGTAGGCATTGTCTGTTCTTCACTTGGAACGGGAGAAAAACTCGATAAGTATACGTATTTCGATATTGTTGAAGCCTGTGCCTTGCTCAATGATCTTGTTGATTTCCGGAGCGACACGACTACGAGACAACGCGAGAACATTGTCCTGAGAAGTATCCGCAATTCAGTGTGCCAAATCCTGAATGACCAAATCCGCAAATGCTATCAGAAAGTGTTGATCAACGTGACGAAGCAGAATCTTTCCGCGTTGATTGTCATGGCCTTCTGCAATTGGTGTATTTTGGGATCGCATCATAAAGTTTTCGAGCTGCTTCGAGGGTTCAAAGTCAACAAATCAGCCCCACCTTGTGAATACGATGGGCTGGAACTGTATGATCAACTTCTTGTAGCTCTTGCTCCATATGGCAGTTTGCGGGACCAGTGTCCTCGACTTGACATGCCACGTGCAGATCTTGACAAACTTTATTGTCTATACAGGGAGGATCCCAAGACCCATATCGCTTGGCTTGCTGATTCGACACGCATTCTACTGAATCCTCGCCATTTCCGGATGATCGTTGATGTAATCCATTATGAGTGGAATGGATCGACTGGGGATTTGAACTACTGCCCTTAGTATTATATGTACTTTACTTGCCATATAACTCACATATGAGAATTGCGTACATCTACATGGGCTTAGAAAGAATAGCCGATTCTGAGGAATATAACCTGATTCTGATTGGCTTGACTGGGAGGGCCTGCTGTGTCTGCCAAACTCCCCACGAGATCTTTCGTCTGCCGCGCCCACAAACTTCATTTTTCCGCCCCACAACACCTCCGTGGTTTCGCCGCATCTCCGCACCTCTGCATCTCCCACTACTTAGAGTGGAGGTACCCCTATAGCATGTGTGGAAACCCTACGATCCGTTATGATTCTTCAAGGTTGGCTGGGACCCCTGGAATTTCAGCTTAACTTGCGGAACGGTGCCTGTTTAAAGGCAGACACGCCGGCAAAGGCGCAGCCCAGGCACGCACGTGGGAACACGTGAGGGACCCGTCCCCCTTACGTTAGCGCTGTTTGAATTGTCCGGCGCAGCTATTTCCAGGCCAGTCGATGGAACCATTTGAACGCTATGCGAACCCTAAGGTCAACATGGTAAATTTCCCGACGGCATCATGGAAACCAAGGTCAACGAAGCCGAGCCGTTTGTTTTATACTCCTTGAGATTTCATATCAAGTAGTCGTCCGTTCCGACAGTCACTCGTTCATCTTGCTTCTAGGTTTATTTCTCTCTCAGCCTGAGCATCATGGTCCCGTATACTAGATGGCTCGTCATGGCCCTCTATGCACAGCTCGGTCTAGCCGTCTCGGGAGGCTCAGGCACGAGTTCATCTAAAGTTACCTGCACGGATACAGAGGTCGCGACGAATCTCTTAGGAAACCCTCTTGGGAAGACGGCACGGGGTCGTGGACGTATAGCTTCGCCGCACAAACCACACATGTTTATGCCTCTGATGGTTCAGCTTCTCTGTACGTCCCCCTGAGACAGAAAAAGGCTTTAGAATTTCTCAGTCACTAACCAAGCCTCAGCTATCTCCCCGGTCAATATGTGTATTGGTGTGTCTACCAGAATGTGCAAAGTTTCGTGCCAGGTGGCACTTACCAAGCGTCTATTGACGTTCTGCCCTATGTCAACGCCGCCTACGGGTTTCCGAGACATGCAATATGTACCTTTAACACACCTCTCTCACGACGACGAACCTCATTTCATATAATACTGGGCAACCCTTTTCAAGAACACTAATTAGTGGATCAAATCAAGCGGCTCATTTAGACCAGCAAATGAAAGCGATCTATTTGGGCTCTATATGACCTGCTCGCCATATCATATTAACGCCATCTTCAACGTGTATTCGGATAATGCCAAGTTGCTCACCATCACGACCACTCAGGTGTGCACCACGGTGACCTCGAACTCAACTTTAACTACACCGCTAGCTCACCCTCTGTGAACCCATCCTCAATCCCCACGCCGTTCTCGTCAGTCTCGGCAAGAAATACGACTCCCAATGCCTCATCCTTGCCTGTGTTGTCGAGTGTGGCCACATCGTCTCTTCCAAGTTGGCCCGCCATTCCCAGCTCCTCTGCTGTCGGCTCCCTCTCTGTTAAACCATAATCAACCCCTATGTAGTCGCCATCTGCTTCGGCCACTACTACTATCCCCAATGCTTCCTCTACGCCTATGGCGTCGAGTGGGGCTGCACTGTCACCTTCAAGCCAGCAGACATTCTAGTCTCATCTAGCACGCCTCTTATCGTTTCCTCTTCTTCAGTGGTCGTCCCGGTGTCCTCATCTTTGACGGTTATCACTTTCATGTCCACTGTGCCAGTGTCGAGCCCAACGACCGTAGCAGTGATTCCCAGATCACCGAGTGGGCGGGTCGTTCCTTCCTCTTCCTCTGCTGTTGCTACGGCACCCTCTTCCTTGACGGCCGTTCCAGCAACAGAGTCAAGCGTGAAATTTATTCAGAGTACTTCATCTTTAATTGTGGAACCAATCGGTTCTTCATCTCTTGCAGCTTCATCATTTTCGGCTCCTAATGACTCTATCACCACGTCCATTATAGTGGCATCTAGCGAGGATGTTACCATGACGACTTCTACTATATACAGCACCCGCATTTTCACCATTAATGCTTACCCTTCGACAGTGGCAGATTGTCCAGCTCGGTCACGTACAACCTATTTTACTACCGAAACAATCATTATGGCCACTACAATTTGTCCAGTAGCTGGAAAGGATTTCGTGGCGCAGTATTATGCCTTGGCGACAGCAGTAGTTAGTGGCTCTTTTGGGCAGCCCTCTTATTAGGACATCCACAGCCCGAGAGTTATACTACTACCACCGTTCTCTCAACTCGCGTCGCTACCATTACTACCTGCCCATCGATCATCACAAGCTGCCCAACCTCTGCCGAAACCACTTTGCTTATGACTGAAACTCTCTTTATCTCAACTATCGTTTGTCTCATCACCGGCGCTGGTCTCGCAACCGCCACGTCCAGATCGGGTGTCATTTCCCTTCCAGTAGTTACAGCGATGGTCTTTGTGTCACCGATTTTTAGCACCCATGCTTCCACTTTGACCTCTTGTCCCTCTGGCGTGTCGGATTGTCCCGCGTCCGAGGCTACTCTTAAGGTTACGACAGAAACATTCCTCGTCGGCAAAATTACTTATACCTTACCTGTACCAGCTTCAACTTATCCTGTCCAGGTTCTTCTATCGCCATTGTTTTTCTCATCTTTCGCTTCCGGATTAGGCGGAAATGCTGCCGTTACTGGTGCACTGAATCATCACAGCACTAGTGGTATTGGTAAGAGTACCCCATACAAAGCTCGATCAGACTTAGCCGTACAAAAGGGTTTTCAGGTAGTTTTGACGCCATTTCATGGTCACTGCAAGGTGGCAAATGTTGTCATCAGGGAATATCCTTCGGCTTGGTTCAAGGTCAGTCTCTGATCACCTACCTATTCGTTGTAGAGATCGTGGGTCAAAAGGCGGCTCTCAAATTCCTTCGCCGATCGGTCGGGAAGCTTGTAAAAAGAGTAACAAACTTCTGGACTCGGGCTATTAGGGCTGCACGGCTTGGTCTTCTCCCTCATTGTAAGGTTTACAGGCGCTCTGGTCATCTTAATTGACTCCGTACTTTAAACTACGTACCAGCCCTAGCGATAGTACATATCTTTGATTTCTTGTCATACAGCGTGTGAAAACTAGGGACCCAGTTTTCTTTATCGTAAAACCTGCACGGCTCGGGAGATCTTGATTGGGCACCGACCCCCGAATTTTTAAACCGGTCAATCTCGGTGGTGATTACTGAAACTGGGATGATCGTCCATTCGGAGATGATCTTACCGTTTGATCTACAGTCTCCGTACCTTGCGGGATATGTCATCGTCACTCTGTTTGTCCACAGCCACATTTTACCGAGTCGTCCCATCAAAAGCTAGCGAAAATTACAAGGTGCACTCCCAAAAAGAAATCATAATTGTTATAAAGCTCCCGTCCATATCACGTCCAGGCCTTTTCCCAGCCAGATTTCTACTCATCTCCAGAAGCTTTTCTATCGCTTCATTCAATTCTCATCTCTTTGTCGACATTACTATTTATGCCTCAAAAGTCTACACTCGCGGCTCTCTGCAGCCTAGCACCCTTCGTCTCCGGTGCGCTTTATGACACGGTTATCGAAACCAAATATGGTAGTGTCCAGGGTTATCCAGCCTTCAACAGCACCAGTACTGGGAATCTGACGCACTGGAAGGATATTGCTGTGTGGAAAGGCATCCCTTTTGCGGCTACCACCGGAGGACAGAACCGGTGGAAGGCCCCCCAGCCAGCGAGTGCGTGGAATGGTACCTTGGATGCTAAGAATTGGGGTAATGTCTGCCCATCAGCCACCACAGGCGACAATGAGTACACCATCGATGAGGATTGCCTAAACCTGAACATCTGGAGTCCCGCCAATACGACCGACGCCAGGCTTCCTGTCGTGATGTGGAGTTATCCAGCTGACTCAACTGCCGCAGACAGTTTATTTGACGGTGGTGGCATGGCTGACCAGGGCATCGTCTTTGTCAACTACAACTACCGTACTGGATCTTTCGGCTGGATGGCTTCTCCAGAGCTCAGTGAAGAATTTCAAATGGTCACCGGACATAATAGCTCTGGCAATTGGGGCATGTTAGATCAATTCGCTGCCCTAAAGTGGATTAAGGCCAACATTGCTGATTTCGGTGGCAACCCTAACCATGTTACTGTGATGGGTCAATCTGCGGGATCTGCTGCGACCCAGCATATTCTCAATAGCCCATTGACGAAAGGATTGATCAAGGGTGCTATTATCGAGAGTGGTGTTCGAGATCCGCAAGATCCCGAAGCGGTGAGTCTTGCTGAGGCCTACCGAACACTTGATGTCTCATATGCGACGGCGAAGTCGTATATGGCTAGTTTGAACGTGTCTACTATTGCCAAGGCACGCCAGTTACCCATGGAGGACCTAGTCACGAACTTCCTTACCTCGGACTTTACCTTTTCCGCCACGCTTGATTACTACGCTATGCCCGATACCTATTACAACACTCTGGTCAAGAAACTGGCTAGCGATGTGCCAGTAATCACTGGTAATACTAAAGATGAGAGTGGTGCTTCATATGGACTAAATATCACACTGGAAACATACTACAACGATGTCAATGAGACCTATGATGGCGTCTGGGTTGATCGCTTCCTTGATTTCTACCCGGCTAATGATTCCATTACTGCGTCTGGAGCTGAGAATTCTCAGTATACCGACCGTTCTAAGATCGGCACATGGCTATGGTCTCAGATGTGGAATGAACACTACGATAGCCCTGTTTACAACTATTTCTGGGACCATGCCCCTCCAGGCCAGGACCAGGGTGCTTATCATGAGTCAGAGATTAACTATGTGTTGAATAACCTGTACGCCACTGATAAGCCCTGGACACCCGAGGATTATGCGATTGCCAAGGATATGAACGCTTATTGGGCTAATTTTATCAAGACCGGCAACCCTAATGGCAGGGGACTGGTTTCTTGGCCTGCCGTCAACTCAAGTGAGCTTGTTCAACACGTCGGTGATGGGTGGGGGCAGATTCCGGTTGCTTGGAGCAGGAAAGTTGGTCTATTCAAATCATGGTTCGCTACGTTGAAGAAGTACTAAGTTTGAATGCTGTGACCGCTTGGTATCTCGGAAGCCCTACGTTTCTTTTTCTGCTATGTAGATATTAGCTTTATGTTGGCCTAATTTGATGTCGTTAAAGTGTGATTGGAGAGTAGAACGAGTCAATAGAAGACTCGCGGAATCTAGAGAGATAAAGAAAAATTCTATATAAAGAAACCCCGTATTATGTTCCTCCTACGCTTACCTTTCCCTCGTCTTAGTTTATTGATTTAATGGCAGTAAAGTCATGAGCCTTAGTCTCAGCCAAGGATCATGGAGGTCGCTGTGATCTTGCCTGGCATCATCCTGGGCTTGAGCGCCCCGTCAAAATCGGCAGTGCATGGGGTCAGTTTGAGTGGCTCTTGCGTGATGCTGTATGTAGAGGCTGGAAGCTAAGCATCTCCGCCAACTCCGATAATCATCGTGGTCGATGTGGTGATGATGTTCCCAGGACAGCAGTCTTTGGCACACAAGGCGGGTTCACGGGTATTTTATCCCTACGAGTCAAGCGTCAAGATGTGATCAAAGCTTTACGAGCACGTCCCGCCTTCGCAACGGTTGAAGCAATCCCAAAGATAGAGCTGCCAGAAAGAGTAACTCTCAGTGGGCAACACGCTGGATCGCGCTCGATTTTTTGACGATCGAGAGTGAATTGGGCAAAAGGTCATCGCAAGCCCTGTCTTTAAAGACTATGTTGAGTCATGCGCTGATGTAGAATCAAGTCGCTGATCGAATCAGATCGAAGGTCATAGGAGACAGGACAACAGGAGCATAGCAGCGTGATGTACGAGTATGAAGAAGGAATGGAACAACACAGGCAGCGTAATATGTACTATGGAGGGTTGTAAAATGAAGAAAGGAAGAAGAGGGAAGCAGCGCTGATATCTAGGAGGTAACAGTCATATGACACCAGTCAAACGTCATCACACCCTGGTAAGAGCCTTCAGAACAGTTTCAAGGGCGGTGCGTAATATGTACTTGGTGTGAATTTTATCATAGCTTCTTGGGATTGAGTTGTGATTTTGTGGAATTGGCTTACGCCTTGCATTATCTAGTCGCAAGGGTGCTATGTCGCTCTACACGCTCCGGGATTTGCTTAATGTCAATGAATGATCGTTACATGACACCACCTACATCCAACCTCTCGCAATTGCCTTTTCTAGTCTACCAGTCTGAAATAAGAGAGAGGAGGAATATTTGGAAGTTTGAAGATTGAGTGAAGTTCGTTCTCGGGGTATAACTTTAAATATCTGTCATACGACAATATGAGGAACGGTTTCATCTTGACAATAAAACATCAACGGTGGAAACATTAATAGGGGTGACTCATGGGCATGTCATCATCATCATCACCATACCTTCGGCCCAAATGTTTGACCATCAGGCAGGACAACCTGAATAGCGGTATCGGTATAGTCCATAGTCGAGAGGGCCTTATCGTTACCCCACCAACTCGGGAAAGATGATTTGCTCAAACTAATAGCGAAGAGCATAACAATCAGGCACAAGGCAGTACCAACATCCAGCCCAGCGGATACAACATAGTTGTACTCCATCCACCAACCACGCCAGCGATTACGGATATACTTGTTGAAGACGAACCCAACGGTTCCCCACATAAGATAGGTTAGCGGGGTAGCGGGGGGAATCATTCCTGTACCACTGAAGATGACGGGAGCATTTAGGAACTTGGCCCGGCTCTGGGGCCATTTGCGAGCGACGAGCCAGATAATGATAGGAAGGGCGATACCGGCAAGCCAGAACCACTGGAGCGTGGCGTACATCTGGCCGATAGAGAACATGCGCCTAGGGCCGATTACACCCCAGATGACAGAGGCATTGAAGAAGACACGTCCGTTCGGACACGTGTACTTGTTTGCCTGTGTCTCAGAACAAATATCGGTGATGCTGCCAAATGCCCAATTAAGCACTGCCACTTGAACCACTGAAGACCAAATGCAGGAGGCCATTTGTGCCCAGAAGGTAACACGCGGGGGAACCTTCATATAATGACCTATGGATTGTCAGAATCGTGAAACATAAATTTCCACATGAGCGCAAAGCTTGTGGGACTTGAAGGGCCTTACCGAGCTTCATATCTTGACAAAAATATAATGCCTGAGACATGGAAATATATCCGTATGTCTTGAAAAGCATCATTGCCATTGGCTTGCCAGGCTGGATGTAACCAACAATGAACTCAGTGACAACATTCAGGCCGAGTTGAATATTCGTGGTAGCCTGGATCATGCCGATGGGTAGGGTCCAGACTAAGGCAATAATGATGGAGACGAAAAACGCCCACCAAGACATATGAGTGGGGTAGGAGAGAACGACTGCCAAACCAATAGCTGTCATAATAACAAGGACGGCCATATACCACCAGATAGGTACTGTTTCATACTTCGCCATAAGACGAGCGTGAATATCCTCGTCCTTCTTTCCGACCGCCCGCATGCGGTTCCAGATCTCCTTCCCATGGAATAGGCTGACATGGACGATAACGGCGGCCAGGCCAGCAAAGGATAAACCATAGCATAGAGCGAAAGTGGTGGAGAGGAAAAGCGGCGAATAGCTCTGATACTTGGCCAGGTCAAAGGTGTATTCGGATGTCAAAATACGAGTGACATTGTAAACCGCGCCAGTGTTGTCGTAGCTATCCGAGTCTGACATAGGCAGGAACTTTCCATAGTAGATATTGGAATAGTGGAGTGCCGGGGTCAGAATCCAAAACCAGGCGACCATGCCAATTAAAGTGTTGGCAATAGCAAACCATGGGGAGGTCATAGGACTGGTGACATAACCAGAAATGATAGACCAGTCGAAAGAGATGGGGATCAGAGAGATACCAGTGGCTCCACCAAATAGCTGGTTGACGATAACGTTGTTTGGCTTGATCCAAGTGACAAAGGCAAACACACTCAGGAAGGGGGCGATCAGACCCGGGAACCAATACCAGCAGAAGGCGCCGACCATGATGTACATGAATAGGCGATACCGGTTGATGGTCCAGCCAGCTGTCTTAGCGGGGTCTGGTGGATTTAGTCCACGTTCGTGCATGGCGGTAAATAGTGTGGTGTTGACCAGGTTAGAGGGCCAGATCATGGCAGGAGGCTCTACCAGGAAGCGATGCAGCACTCCACCCAAGCCGAATCCCAACGTTTGAGTCGAAATTGTTGTGAAGATTTCGAATGGCCATCCGTAGCGTTGTCCGTAGAAGCCTCGCTGTGCGGTAATAATATCGAGTGTATACGCAAACCCACCAGCGAAGGTTGCGTTGGCCATAATAGTGATAACGGCATGCTCTTTTTTAGTGAAGGGGCCAGGGTTTAGCTCAAGCTTGTTGCCAAATAGAGTGAAGGTGAGGTTGGGAAGGAAGCGAGCCCAGGCCACACCGAAGGGAAAAGCAACAACTTCGGCGATATACGAAGTGATAGAAATGGTAGGGCTGTGTAGAGAGAAGAGAGCGTTGAGACCAGAACCGAGAGTTGCAAAAATGAGACCTAAGACCCAGGCGCGAATGGTGTTGCCCGTGCCTCCTTCATCATAATTAGGGACAGCGGCACAGACCTCGGGGTAAGGAGAGTTTTCAAGTAGGTCCCCAACAACTTGGGACTTGATCTCAAGGTCTCCAGCCGCTAAGGCTTCGTCCAGTTCCTTCTCGATCTCAGTAGGGAGATTCGGGTCGAATTTGTGTGCCTCTTTGAGCTCCTGCAGATCCTCGATGGTTGCAGGAGGCATTTCGGCCACCGAAATGCCGGTGGACTTGCCTGACATGATTAAAAGTCACAATCAACTGTGGGAAACAGAATCAGTCTATCGAAGTACGAAGTTATGCCATCGGTCTATATAACATTTGGATTATCGCAGCTGAACGAATGGTGTTATCGCCTCTAGTCGCATTGACCTGGTGCAAAACCGGAGCTCCGTGTCGGTCCGGCGGCGAATGCTCAGATTACATCTGCAACTAACGCTAGGACTAGCCACATAGGGTACCAAAATCGCTTATTATGGACCGTTATTGCCCCCATGGGGAGACATCTGCCCCACCCAGTGCGACCCGCAATACCGACCGAAGTAGTACTTCGTATCCTGTAGGTAGGGATTGTTCTCGACCTCGACACCTTATCATAGGGTAAATCATTTTAAGTCAATACATTTCAATGTCAGTGTGCAATGTATAAATGATATAGTAAACTTTATTTCGGCTGATATCAACCGTGGTTGATTAGCTAGCGCTGGGTGATAGTGCTCAGATATCTCGCTCGAGAACTTTGATAGGTAAGATTGATTCGCGTAATCTTACCATCGCTATGTGCTAGCTTGGTTTGTCTAGCTTGCATTAGAGTTGAAAACCCGGGTTTGGCTTCTGCCAGCCGATGGAACCGTTGGCTTAAATCCTAAACCGCATTCCGACCGGGACATTGATTTTTTTGATTTATCTCCAAATTTTGATGGAAATTGCCGAGCAGAACTTTTGGTCCATGGCACTTAGGGGCGCATTACGAATTTGTTTCGGTCAACGCCAGGTTTAGCATAGATAAGAAACACTACAGAAGCACGACCCGCCAGCCCCACTCCGTCGATTGGCCCTACCCAATGGACACTTCCACACAACATCTGTTGATTGCGCTATACTTGACTGAGCTAGATCGAAGTCTAGATGTGAGAACCTAATTGCTTGGCTTGCATCGTCCGCCGTGAACGACCCTCCCCAAGTACCGTTTCCCTACGTGCCAAGCGCCGCCACCGAGATGTCTTGGGCGCATAGCTATCTATCACTTGACCCTATCTAGCCTGTTTTGTCACTTGTCACCGGAATTTAGTACTGATTGATGCGACATTGACCCAGCCAGGAGCTAATACTATCAGCTGAACGTTCCGGCCGCTAATAAGGCCGGAACTGTTCGAATTGATTTCCCAAGAAAATATTAAAAAGAGACAAAAGAAAAAAAATAAGAAAAAAAAAAGGGTTGCCACTTCGCAAGCCGCGACGCGCCTCGTTATCTCTTGCTAATCATGGGCCCGGCTACTGCATGCCGAAGCGCTTGGAATGAATACCCCACTGATAAGTCGAGCATTTCCTTTCGGTGATTGGCGGGAGAGTAAGATTGAACATGGGCGCCAGAAAAGAAAGCCGAGGTTACATGAGTGGTCGTGGCAAAGGAAGATTTGGAGTGTTAGTCCTTTAATTGGACATGGTCCCTGACCTAAAGAAGAGAAACAGCTACACGTCGACGGAGCTGAGAGCAAGAGAGGAAGGAGGCAACGAATATGACTATACGTTGACAACAAGGCCTCATAGCCCCAAGTGCTATTAGATCTCTATGTGCTAGATAGTTCGACGAGGAGTGTCTTCCCGACTTCTTTCGTTTCTCCTCTCCTCACTGAGTGTGTACAGAATCTAGGAGACCGTTCAGAAATTAATGTTACAATCAAACGAGGAATGCCAAGATGAACAGGGGTGACCAAGGGGCGTGCAAAACGAAATTCTGTCGTGGCTATCTTGGGGAAAGCAACTCCTCTCGAGCCACTTGTTCGGTCGCAAACCTTCCTTGCTTCCGCAAGGATTTACGTTGTATTCGGACTCTCCACGTGCAGTTTTTCCCCAACAGACATTTTTCCAGGTAGAGGTGACATCTGACAAGCAGATCTTTTTTTTTTGGTCACGGTGCGAAGAAGCAAAACAAGTCACCCACAACAATACACAATATGAAAGCACACTGGCATCATGGAAATACAAAGGATCTGCAGAGCACTTCCTGGAGCGGAAAGCAGCAGATTGCAGTGTAAATTCGGGGGAAACTCGGTATAACAGGGTGGAGAAGTTCTCATTTCTTGCCCGCACTCTCACCGCCGCAACATCTGCAAGCCAAGCAAAAATTGCAGAAAGTCTCCTCCCCGAGGTTTGGTCAATGGGGTTCCTTGGCTTGGAAACTGTGGGGTTGAATGAAGTCTAACAGCTCACTAGTAGTATTCTCGAGGCACGGGAGCCGAGTATGCGATTTCATTGTGAATAGTGGCGGTTAGGATGTCTAGAATAACATCACTGCCCAGCTGATCGCCCATGATTGATTAATACGGGACGAGGGGTTCTAAAATTAGGATCATACCCTTTTTTTTGGCAGGCTCTATGTCTCTCGATCTCATTCCGTTGGTTCATAGGATTGCTTTGGTTACGCATGCGGAGTCCGTGCGGGATCCCGGCGGTCGACGGTCGCGCCTCGCAAGGAGAAAGTCTATTCCGGGTAATCCTGATTAGCCAAGACGTACCCGAGAACTGAACTCTCCAACGAGTAGACTGGGAAATCCGGGGAAATACATAGCCCCGCTTTGGTACCCGATTGGAGCGCTCTAGGAGATTTGAAATTGAATTACCGAGGATAATCCAATTGCAGATTATGGGAACTGCTGCCCCAGGTGGCCCCTAGCGGTATTTCCTAGTCTTAAAAGTAGTAGCATTTATAGCACTTTTGATCTGGGATGCATATATATGCAGTACCGCATTACGACTTCTTGTTTCATCTAGTGCACAACCGCCATACTTAGAAACAGAATGCCACGGGTGAAGAGCTTGCACGGGACCTGATCTTCTTTAACCCCCAGATAGGGATTATTTCCAAACCACATACCTCTGATCAGACTCCTTCCATCATGGCGGGTGTGCTCAAGTGTCACATGAGCATAACACATTGCTAACTCTATCTATAATGCGATCATTGCCGATTTACGTGATCTCTTCAAAGAGGAGGAGAGGGGAAGGAGACGGAAAATAACAGTGGTAATTGACCTTTGTAAATACATACTTCAGCGAGGGATAATTGTACACACAGGTGTCGGCCATCAGTGTCCATGTGGAAGTGGAATCCAGACTGACTCCGATATAGTACGTTCCATATCCAGAGTACGCTGCTCCGATCCAAGTAGAAGATTCAGTCAGGGAGACCAGCTGATCACCGATTCGTTCTACGTAACCAAGTCACCCGTAAGGGTAAGGCTACTTTCAATCACAGCGATGAATGCCTTAAGCGGAAGAGAGTGCACTATAATCGGCATAAACAGCATGGTAGTCAAATTCTTGAGTCACTTGGGAGTAGTCGGCAACAACTACAATGCCGGACTCTGTCGTAATAGGTGGCTTCCAAAGCGACATATGCAATCACATTTCCAAATCACAGGGCAGGTATATCATCGCGAGCAACTCCACAAAAGATGGGTCAATAGCCAAAGTCGCACCGAAAAATCTTCCGGGTGAAGAAATACAACAAAACCAGCTAAAAGACTCCTATTTAAAGTTATATATGTAATATAAATTTTTTGTTTTATCTTTCCAAGAGCGTAGAGGATACTGTACCACTGCCGATACGAGCTGTATTTGTAACAGTGTTTTCGATTGTCACATAACCAGCAGGGCTATCACCAGCAGGTAAAGAACAGCGCTTGCCTCCGGAATGATGCCGGACATCAGTTGCAATGATTATACCATTGCCGGAGGCATACAGTCCATGGGCAGCAGGGCCAGAGCTGTAAAGCCGAGCTCCATCAACGTGAACAACAGTGTCAGATCCACAAGCGTAAATGTTGGCAGCACCGTTGTGAGTCGTTACATTGATATTATCGGTGATGTAAGACACTAAAACTTTGGACATTAACTGCTACGTTCAATCCCCAGAAGCTAGCTTCCCACAAATTGGTGAAGTACCCGTGTTTCACAAATTTGTCATCTATAAGATTGACGTCTGCACCGGCGGTGATGAGGATAACGGATGTGTCATTAGCAGTCGTGCTCAAAGTCTTATTATCAACTGTAGTACTTTCTGAAGTCCTATAGTATTCAACAGTGGCGACTGAAATGTCATGGAGAATCGTTGATTTTGGCAGTGGTACCGTAGTTATTCCGTCCTCCATCTCGAATCACCATATTCATGTATTGCATTATTCAGTGTCGCAGTAATGTATCGAGCTGGATCTGTCTCGTCCAATATTTGTCAAATGAAACTGATGATTGAAATGACATTCAAAATCCTACGACCGATGACTAATACTCTGGTTTGCTTATTGAAATTGGTGGTTTGGATAATGGCATGTTTACGCGCCGAGATGCACAATTAATCCACTTTTTAGCCATTGTGTTGCCCTTCAGAACAGGCAGAATAGTCCACTCTCCAACAGGTTTTCCGGATTTCCGAAGTTCCATAGATGCGAATCTTAGTATCATGCACGGTATTGAAAGTCCCACAAATGGTGATAGGTAACCCGGACGTGGGGTACCGCCTACTCGCCCTTCCCCTTGTTTTGAACATTTTTCCGACACACTTCAAGGTACTCGACCAGACTCTATATATCCGTTCTTGACTGCTCATTCCCGGCTTCCTTCTTCCATAGACCTATCGATTCTAACCTCAATCCCGAGGTCCTCTTGAATGTCGACCCGTCCCACAAGGAGCATCATGTCCCGCATCCCCGCATCCACAAGCCCCACGTACCCCGGAGTTCCCAGTGGCACGCTATATCCGATGCCCACGCCTTTCGGAGCTATTTGAAGCACCGATTCCTTTCTTCTCGGCTTCAAGATTTTTTTTTTTTCAATTCAGCTTCCACTTCATTCCAAAATGTCTTCCTGGACGCACCTTGTTCGTTTTGTCGCCGTCGAGGACAGCCAAGTTCACCTCGGCCAACTAGTCGATACAACTCGGGATGTTGGACGCGATAGTGCTGACGGGGTCAAAATTGCCGTTAAGGTCATTGAGGGTACTATCTTTGACGGTCGCGTTACAAAGGAAGTTTTGCATGTGAAGCAGGTGCGCGCTCCTGAATAGTATCTTCGATTCAAGTCTGGGTCTTCCGCTGACATGGAACAATTCCAGCTTCTTGCGCCCGTTACACCGGAGCAATGTAGCTACATCCGCTGCCTGGGTCTCAACTACGTGGACCACGCCAAGGAAGCAAACCTTTCTCTCCCCAAAGCACCAGTTCTTTTCACCAAGCCTCGCACTGCCCTCGCTGGCCCCTACCCTGCCACCATCAACATCCCGAAGTGTGCACAGGATGGTAGCAGTGACTACGAAGCCGAGTTGTGTCTGGTCATTGGAAAGTCTGGCAGGGATATTCCCGAGGAGGAAGCTCTAGACTACGTTCTAGGCTACACTGCATCCAATGATGTCTCCGCTCGTACCATGCAGATGATTACGGCACAATGGTCTTTTTCGAAGGGTCTTGATGGAAGTTGTCCTATTGGTAAGCATTGAATGGTTCTCGATGTACTCAGTTGCTCATATAAACCACCATAATAGGCCCTGTCCTCGTGGCACCCTCCGCGATCAAAGACCCTCAAAGCCTGTCGATTCAGGCCATTCATAATGGTGCTACCGTTCAGGATGGACATACTAAAGATATGATCTTCAATATTAAGAAGCAGATCTCATATCTCTCCCAGGGCACCACACTCGAGGCCGGAACACTCTTTTTGACTGGAACCCCTGCTGGTATCGGGTATTTCCGAGAGCCACGAGTGGTTCTCAAGGATGGCGACGAGATCTCTGTAAAGATTGATCAAATCGGCACTCTTATTAACAAGGTCCGTTATGAAGCTCGTTGAGACTTATAGAGGAATTTCAATAGACATTACCAAATATATTTATATTCATACATGACTTTGGTATGTACACTGGTACGAGATACAAGATTCTTTAAGTTGAAACTCAAGATGTAGGTATGAGTCTCAGTTGCTGAAGGTATACATCTCTCATAGCTACTACTCTCTCTTGAACGGGCAAGTGCAGTTGCTTGTGCATCTCATGGTGCCGCTCTTGGTTCCTTGGTCCGGGCAGGACACCCCTTCACAGTGAAAGCTTCCACTCCCATATGCTGCGTGATATCCGTTGCGTCGAGCTCTTGATGACTAGGTATAATTATATGAGACATGAATAATTTTTATAAGATGTGCTCACCTGTAAGTTGTTCGGATCAATAGGAAGGATGTTATTATATACATGAATTGAAGCGTAGAAGAGCTATTGTCGTCCGGGTCAATTTGGAGATACCGACGGGAAAATCGACAAGACGCTGCAAGTAGCATATCGAGGTTCCTGGAGAGAATTTTGCAACCTGAAATTGTTCTCATTGAAGCAAAACCTAATTTACATGGCGCTATATAGGTTACTCAGTCGAGGCCTGAGATAAGAACTCATTACTTCAAAAACCAGGAAGGCACTTCGGGACCCCAAACCGCCAACGACTCATCACCCGCAGGCCCATAACCTATTGGGGTCTGATCATTAACCAAATCTCCGTCGGCGTAATGCTCAATCATGTTCCCTGTAGTATCCCACCAATAATCAAAGATTTGACTACCAAGAATATGGCGACCAACACCCCAGACAGACTTGTAGCTTTTCTGAGCGAGCCATTGGTGGCCTAGCTTCTGTGTGTCAAAGTCGTGAACCTCGAATGAGCAGTGATGCACGTGAGTTGTTGGATTCGAGCTCATGAAGAACGAGTGGTGGTCGACGTGCTCATCGCCACGGTCAACGTGGGCAAACAGGGCGACGTTCTTTTTGCCTCCCTCTACCTCAACATAAAGGAAATCCGTTGGGACGATATTGAAGTTCTTGGTGTAGAATTCCACCAAGGCTTCAAACTTTGTGGTACAGACTCCATAGTGACCAAGCTGGAGGGATCAGTCAGTATCTGAGATAACGGATATAGAGGGGGAAAGCTGACCTTGTGGACTGCCGCAGGACCTGGCTGAAATCGCTGGAATCTACGAACTCGGGGCTTGTCGGTCTCGAAATTAATTTCGAGCTTTGCTGGATATTTGCCAGGAACAGCGGGCGTTTGCCCATGGAACAGATTCATTGCAAATCCATCAGGATCAGTCAGAGTCACCATGTGGCCTCCACCCGGAGCATCGGTCATCTCTTGGATCTCGCCCGCCGTTGGGAGCTTTGTTGCTCTGGGGAAAGTCAGTGTTGGACTTCCTCAATAATTCGTCTTTGATCTTCCTCGAATATTGCTTTTCGCCACTCACCTCTCCAGATCCTGGTACGACTCGACTTGAAAAGCACCACCCAGGAATTTCTTGGGTCCCTTCTTCGCATAGTAGACATAAGGGTCTACCCCATACCCCCGGTACCAAATTTCATCATCATTCTTCTTGGCAATGGTCATACCAAAGTCTGTATCAATATTAGTGGGGGAACTTATCTTAAAACGATGATAGCATACCTTCCAGGAAAACAGTAATCTCTTCTAGATCAGGGTGCTGGTATCGCATGTGCGCCAGTCTCACCAAGCGGATCTGGGCGTCAGTTTCAATTCCGCATCGCTCCCGCCATTGTTGCACACTTTCGGACTCGGGTCCGATCGCGATGATGTCCTGGATAGAGGCCCCGTGATTTGCTTGGATTGTCTAGAGTCATGAATAAGTGAACAGTTATAAAGCAGAAGGAATTCACGACCGACCATTTCGAGTATCTCAAGATCTGGTGTTGCAGTTAATGGGTTCCAAGTTGATTTTCCACACTTATACAGATGGACCACGTCACCGCAAGGTCCCGCTGCAGCCCCACATTCTCCGCATTCTCCTTTGCGGGACCTCACTACATCCGACTTGATGAGATGCGGAAATGCGGAGATATGGGGAATATTCGTATGCTGCTCGTGTGGCACATAAGTCGTCCCACGACATTTCCACAGGTATGATACGTCGATGGTGAATTCGTGGTCCAGGTCTTTTGATGCGGCATTGATCCGTTACACTACTTTCGCTGCCTTTATGTCTGTATCAACACTTCCAGATTTCCAATGACGGTCAAGAGCGTTATGGCTGAGAGCGAATATGAGACAAGCGTTTCTAGAGATGCATTATGGAACGGTACGCACCCTGGGTTCTCTTCTTCACAGGTCTTCCCGGCTCATATACCTTGACGCAGACCGAAGGCCGCACAGGCCATGTAGGGTTCATATGCCACAAAGCAACCAGTCCTTGAGAAACATCTAAAGATCGCGATAACTTCATCGAGCTTCTGTCAGCTCAAAGCCAGCTCTACCATGACGGAACTTTATGAGCAACCTTTTTCTTTTTTTGGAAGGTGATCATATATATTGCCATTATCTCGATGCTTAAGGGAACATACACCATGTGAAGTTGGTGCCGATGGGAAGACGGAATTTACCCGAAAGAACTTCCTTGGGTCTTTGTGTATGCGCATGGAATAGGCACATCAGTAAGCTGTAATACCATTTTGAAATCACAACGATCTCATATGCATTTTAACCTTTGGGTAGGTCCTTTTATGATGAAACTTGGTTAGCACTAAATTGGGAAATCTCACTTCCCCCTGAAAAGACGCATCCCAAATTTCCTTTGTGCAAACTCTACGACCTCTTCTTTCCAGAGGCCTTCAGGTTGGTCTGCAGTCCAAAATGCCCTGCTGTCTGTGGTCAGCACGGAACACCATCTGATAGGCTTTGGCGCTTTGGATTTGTGGTTCGTGCTGGTGAAGATGGATATCAAACTTCCACATCGGAGGATATCCAACAAGTCGTTTCTCCTTATATCACCCACAAGGGGCCTCGAAATGGGTGAGTCGGAAAAGCCTGGAGTTTGCAGAGAGCATTGGTCCTGATCTCTCTGCAGATTGACCCAAGACGTTGTATTTCCTGAAGACTGCATCCGCGTCCTTCGATCCAGACCTTTCTGCTTTGCCGCCCGGAGTTGCAACAAATGGTCGCACGGTCGCGTAGCGCTGTGTGGAGATGCAGCACATGTCTTTCCGCCATGTCAGTTTCTTTCCTCCCCTTTCAACCCCTAACATCTGTACGCACATTCACAATCCCGTGTAGTTGTGGTTAAGTAAATGCCTCGAGCTTTCGGGATGCTACCTCGCTAGCCTGGCGTCTCGTTATCCTATGTCGACAAAGTATCTCAGCCAAGCCGAGCAGACATGAAGAGATTTGACAGGCTGGTACATCGAACGAAAGCAGCAACTAGAGCGTTCTCTTGCCTCGACGATCGAGAATGGCAAGTTCGTGACGGAAGGTAACCCTGTCAATATTTTTCTTCGTGATTGGTCTCTCTTTTTCATGCATTTTGTTCCCAGCCGGAGGCGCAATCTCAGACTGGGCCGTAGGAAGGAAGGGCTGGTGCAGTATCAACATTCACCTGGACTGCCCTTTGATCCCAGTCATAACGGGGGCACCTGCCTCACACAGGTATATCTCAAGGCTGCGGACTGAGCAAGTGACATATTATTCTCGGATGATATTATCTTTGGTCAACAGAAGAAAGGTCTGTTCCAGCTGTTTGTTTCTCTAAAGAGCATGGATGAACTGACTGCTGCTCGCGAGGCAATATCTCGTGTTGAGGAGACGTCGAAGGGAGAAGTTCATGCTTCTGAGATTACTTTTCTCATCCAGTCCATTTCAATCATCTCACAGACTGTGGTCAAGTCGGAGGCTACTTCGGTTTGTTGTCTGGCTACTGGTGAGGAGTTTGCTGGATCATCTTTGTGTCTTGGGCGGCCAGAGCCGGGGTACTATGATCTGCTATACCTTTGGCGGGAACTGAAAGAAAATATGTTTGTACTGATTCGGCCTCATCGCAAGGTTTCATCTATGCCGCTTGTAACGATCCATGTCGCTCAGCTTCAGAAATTGGTCAACCCGGCTGTAGCATACCTGCACGAATAAGTTAGTCGCTTTGGAATTAACATGAAGTGCAGTTACAGTCCATCCTTGGCGCTATTGATCCGGTTCCTGTTGACTTATGTTTGTGAACTTGGACGTGCCTCCGAGAAAAAAGTCTGGGCCCAGAATAGAAACTTATGCATCAGAATCATTTTGTAGAATCGATTTCCTTTTTCAGAATTCAGCAATTCACAGACGTGATATTCACTTTGTACTTGAAGTTCTAAAGTATTGCAAGATATAGCAGGCAAACTTCTCCAATTCCATCACCGTACATATCTCTCCTCATCCTTAACATCAGGAAGCAATAAATTCAAGATCGACCACATCAACTGCGAGATCCCCCAGTGTCCAGCCCTCGATAAGATATCCACCAGCCCTGAGAACGTTCTCGACTCGGAAGCTGTTGGGCGTAACACCTTGAATCCATTCGCTTCAAACAGCAGTCTTTGGCAGTTGACACCAATCCTCTGCAATGCAGAAGATTGCATGGTCAGCCGCGAGTCTGTTGTATCCGTTCCGAAGCGAGTATAGCAGAACCAGACCAATGCTGCGCGAAATATGATTCGTGGAATGTGCATGGGTGGCTCAGTTCCGATGTTCTCCTTCTCTAGCTCGCGGAGTATAAGTGCGGCATGTAGAGCACAGCATTGGCCATCTTGGGATGATGCCCATGAACGGACGTGCTCTACGTGGTTTTCTGCCTCGGCGAACCCTTCTTTGCCGATTGCAAGTTCAAGTCGATTTATGTCAGCGTACAAAGAGAAGAATATCGAGTGCCATAAGGTGGATAGACAATACGAGTCCACTTTGTGACCTCTGTTGGGGCTGATGTGCAATTTGTGAAAGTTGATCAGTATATTCTCGAAAGATCTTCGCTCAGTCGGATCACTGGTATTCTTCGCTTCGATGGCCGACGCGGCAAGCCCTTCGAGTTCGAGATAGTTGTGGAAGTCACTTTTCGGAGGAGCAGAAGAAGACAGGGTAGCCTCATTGACTATTGTTTCCGGCGGGTGCAGGTGAGTTCCATAGATATGATTCTTCGAGCTGGATAATCGGCTCATCATCTTTTGGCTCCAGTCTTCCACGGTTGTTGCAGCCCAGAGGTCATCATCGGATAGCGGTGGTAGCCTTTTCGGTGAATGTCGCAGGTAAGGATCCGTGAGGAACAATTCTGAAATCTCAACATCATGGACGTGAACTCCTGCAAGTAGTCTTTACCGCGACATTAGTGGCTGAAATTCCCTTAGTCGTCTCTTTTGCTCACCTATTCTGTTCTTCTGCCTGGATCCACTTCTTCCAAGCCTTTTCTGGGGTATCCAATATTTCACTCAAGCTTATATAGTCCAATGCTTTTTTGGGCTTCGATGCGGTTGCTCTCCTGGCCCACTGCTGAGTTGATTAGAACAGGTCATGTGTGCAGTACCGGATTACCTACAACAACCAAAGTACCGTGAAAAGTCTCCGCAATCAGTAAGTCTTTCTGCCTCTGGACCTGTCAGCTTTGAAGTTCTCAATATACAACCCTCGAGCTTACTTACCCCCGACAGTAGTCCAAACGTCTGCCCTATGAGAGCCGCCTGAACCATGGCAATGGTCTCAGGCCCTTGCCTCGAGAAATGTCTCTCCCACTGTATGAAGTTAGTCGTGGCTCAAAAAAGGTTGGAAAGTTGACGGACCGATGATAAAATGGCCTTGTTGAGGGTCTCAAAGACTTTGAGCCCCTGAGATGCAGCATGGGAGGATCCCACAAATAGACTTCCCAAGGAACAAAGAGATAGCAAGAGGAGTGAGCTTTTAGAGGATGGTCTGAAAGTCGGAGCATGCACAATAGGAAACACGCGATGGAATTTGGTGAAGTACATTTGGACACAAAGATTCTAATGCGTTAAGCCGCGAACACAAAATTTTGGAAGGTGAGGAACGTACCAAAAAGTCCGTCGATGGAAGGGGGAGAAAGGGTATGTCTGGCTGCAGCTTCACGGCCAGGCTAGCTCGGTATGCCTCATCCACCTGTGTCCGCTCTGTACCCGTGTCTGGTGTGATTTGCCCTGTTCGTGAGGTCCCCATGAATGTGTACCAATACCTTTGTACCACATCCTCGCAACATGAGGTCATGTTTTCTGTAGGCTGTCCGGGGGTGTTGACGAAAGGTGCATGATGCCACTGGCTTGCATTTCCAAGGGGGAGCCATTGGGCAGTTGACATCATGATCTCTGAATTGAGAGCAGAAATATCAAAATCGTCGTCTGCAAACCACGCTGGCATTTCAGTATTCGTATTCCCGAAGTTCCATGGCCCATCTTGACTGGGCATATCCAGACTTGCGTCTGGTTCTGTCAGATTAGACTGGGACCCTGGCGTTGGGAACCCAGGCACTCCGTTTGTATGTGTCTGGGCCAGTTCTTCAACATTTGAAACGAGGGTGTTCTGTTGTTCAGCCGGATTGGAAAACGAGTATGATGTTGACCGGAGGTCAGTCGCCTGGGGACATTCCAGTTCCATTGAAGACAATTGTTGTGGAGACGTAGGGGTCTCATGACGGTCTATTGAGTAGTTGTGGTTGGATAGAGAGATTTGCTCATTCTCACAATGGAGTGGTGGAGCCCTGGCACCACTCTCATTGTGAGGTACACCAGTGTCACGTCGAGGTGATTGGTGAGATCTTGAATGTCGTAGAAGAGAGTCACTGGAGGTTCCGTTAGCGTACATCCTCTTTTGCAAGTTACACCACATACTGGCGACTAAAAGCTTTGCTACAGAATGTACAGAGAAAGGGTTTCTCTCTGGTATGAGTTCTCACATGTCGGGCCAGGTGCTCGTCCTTTGTAAACGACTTGGAGCACCACGAGCATATGCGTTGACGTCGACTACGGAGCCCTCCAGTCATTGTAGATAAGAAGATGGTGACGCTGTGTGGTCAGCACGACTGGCTCTGCCTGGATGATGTTCTCACCTCTTTCCGAGACCCTGTTCCGCCGAGTCCCGCACAATTTGGTCCCACGTTTACGTGGGGCCACACCTTCATCCAATCAGATTCCAGACCACTGGAGTGGTCTGAGTGGTTTCCAAGCGCGATCAGTGGGACCCCAACATATTCTGGGGTCTGGGGTCTGGGGTCCGGGGAAACTGGGGAATCGTGCTGACGGGGTTGATGTTCAAGCTGACCTGGTCGCTGGCATAGAAAGGCTCCACGATGCCCATTCAAGTACTGACGCCATTGGTTCGATTTTCAATCTATCAAGATGACACCTAACCAGCCTACCGTTGGGAATACTATAGTCATCGATATGGATCTTGTCCCTGGCACTGATCTCATGAGAGAGGGGGAAGGAGTTCATCTGACAAACGCACCGAATCATCAAACTCAGTGAGCCATAGCAAATTACTTGGTTTCCACGTACTTACCATGGCAGACTCATTCCCCGCCCTTCAGACGACCCAAACGATCCCTTAAACTGGTCTAGGCCGTGGAAGTGTGAGTGCCCATTCACAAAATTTCAGGAGTTAACTAATCATCAAACTCAACCCCTCAGACCTAGTGATTACAGTTCAATTCCTTTTCTTATTCGTCTCGGTGGAGTCGGCTCTCTCTATGGGACCGATGTTCCCACTCTTCGCTGCTGAATTTCACCTCGACGACACGAAGTTGAGTTTGTTAACTGGTGCGTGTGTATTGGCTCTGGGCTTTTCGAACTTCCTAATTGTTCCCTGCTCAAATATATTCGGTCGCCGTCTGACAAGTCTGGTGTTTTGTTTGTTGGGGATCGCTTCTTGCATTTGGCAAGCTCTGGCTACCTCATATAGCAGCTTACTTGCTGCACGCGTTGTCAATGGAGTTGCGACGGCCACCAGTGAGACACTATTGGTTCAGGTCGTTGGGGACATGCTTTTTCTTCATGAAAAGGGCCTTTGGACGGGCGTCTATTTGCAAGTCTTCTCTCGTCTCTGCGACGACGCGGGCTAACATTCTATCAGTATGGGCTATTTTCTCGGGCTGTTTATCGGGCCAATTGTCTCGGGGAATATCGCAGAACGGTATACCACTCCCCGCCGAATCTTGTCACCTCTACGAGTATTAGACTAACCTTGATATCACAGATATGGCTGGCGTAGCTTCTTCTGGCTTTCTCTGGCGCTCACCTGCTTCAACTTCTTGACTCTCCTCACTTGCTTCCCCGAAACGCGGTTTCACAGAGACGTAGCGTCAAAACGCTCGGGGCGTTGTACAAATTCATACGGTTCAGATTCTAAGAAAGAAAGTAATCCAGAGGTTGGGTCAGAACAACTTGAGAACATCGAACCGGTCACCACTGTCGGTACTGGTCGGCCCTCAAAATCTCAGTTCAAACTCTGGAAGGCCCCAGAGACCGAATGGAAAGCCTACCTTCTAAGGGATATTCTCTCCCCTTTTCGACTTTTTCTTTTTCCGATTATTCTTTGGGCAGCGTTAAATGTCGCTGGTCCGGCAAACATTCTCCTCTTCTGGAACCTCACTGAGTCCTCTGTTCTCAGTGTACCTCCATACAATTTCTCGCCATCTAGCGTGGGATATGCAAACTTTGCTTTCGTTGTTGGAGGGCTGCTTGGTCTTGCTACTGCAGGCCCACTTTCAGACTGGATTGCTGTGCGGGCTACAGAGCGCAATAATGGCATTCGTGAAGCTGAAATGCGTCTGCCTGCTTTGGTACCGTATTTTCTCTTTACGATTGTCGGGATTGTGATTGGGGGCATGGGCTACGATCGGCTTTGGCATTGGCCTGTGGTCCTGGTCGTAGGCTATGGGTTCAGTGGCCTTTGCGTGACGACTGTTCCCACTATTGCCATTGCCTATGCTGTCGACTGCTACAAGCCCCTTTCAGGCGAGATTATGGTTGTTGCCACTGTAATCAAGAATACATGTGGATTTGCCATGAGTTACTGGGTCATGCCAATGGCAGGCCGAAGAGGCTTTCTAGAGCCTGCCATGGTAGAGTTTGCGTTGACGATTGGACCGATGATGCTGGGACTACCGATATACTTCTTTGGAAAGCATCTACGTAGGCTGACGATGCATTCTTCTGTACACTCATATGCCGGTTGATTATCTAAGGTGTTCATCAAAGACTCTACAAGGGACTTTGTCAAGTAGCTTGTTTGGTTCGCATCTTTCTGTGGAAATATTCTTGATTCATAACACTTCTAAACATCACCCTCTCGTATACTCCGATACCCGCTACTCTTTTCATACCTCAATGAAGAGATACTAACTGAGTTTTCATATACACCAGACCTGCTTTATATGCAGGAAATTCCAAACGTGATTCACCTCGAGAGCTCGAACTCGAAACTCGAAGCGATCGGCACGTAACGAGACGCGACATGCTAACCGATACAAAGACGCGTTATTGGGCTTGATATTAATTATTGAGCAACTCATCATACCAAGATCTAGCGTTGAATGAAGTACTGCTTTGTCTATATCTTTCTACTTGTTCTGACTTTCTAATTTTTTTTTTGTTTACATTGTGCATCGAGAAACTCGCGGAGACTCACTGGATAATAGGTCTTCTGTTTTCGATGGCGAGAGACATCATGCTTTCCTCGAGCGAGGTTTGGGAAAGGGTGGAAAACGCGGAGGTTGATCATATTGAATACCATACTGTGTCGAGCGTCGTAGAATGGGTAGATAAACACGATTAAAGTTAAGAAAAACTTGGTGGTTGGTTACTTGATTCAAGGCTCATGCAAGATAAAGCAATTAAGAATATACATTGATACTTCCCGATGCTATTGAGATACTAGCAGCTCCAAGCACCTACCAAGGGGAACTCGAGGTTTGAGGGACAACAAAAACTACTGCTTCTGAATTCCCTTTCCGCTATCTGTCTAATATACTGGCACTGGGATAGCATCAAAGTCATAATGCCAGGTATCGATAGATGCCTGGTCATAAACACACTCCATTACATCATTGACCCAGAGAGGCCGAAGTGGCCAGGCACATAGCTGCTGATTCTCCCCCTCATGCTCTCCCTGCAATACAGTGGCATTTAATGTGGTGGGGAAGACGTCATTCTCGACCCATTCGATCAGAGAGCCCAGACTGGTGTCTGGGAACGGTCCATTTGGCATGGCATCATTAGGCGCGCAGTGACCAGCTCCAGGAATTAAAAAGAGGCGGTACCATTCATTCAGAGCTTCGGCACTGGAATTGTAGTCCTGGCGCGGATACATGATGCTCCGCACAGATTCCCAGTAGCGGACCGACGAGGCCGTGGGCACGCTGTAGTCCGCCTCGCCATGGTAGTGAATGATCTTACCGCCAGCTTTTCGAAAGGGGGATAAATCGGGCCATGTCGTCTGCAGCGTGCTGTCATATTCATGCAAGCCCGAGATCATCCAGTCGCGCAACGTATCGTACGTGACACCATCAAGGCTTTCGAGCGTGGTGGAGTTCTTGTACACCAACAGCGAAATGTACTCCCCACCGAGCTCATCAATGGAAAGCTCCCATTTCCCTGCATCCTCATTCCATGCTGTCTCCGCATCATCCAATGCTGCGCCAGGTTGGTACGATAGGTAGACTTGGTGGCCATCCGAGTCTTTGAGGCCGGCTATGATTTGCTGCACAAGTTCTGCGCCTTCGGCAGAGACTGTACCATTTTGTGCTGGAGTGCTCGATCCCTCCGCAGCACAGTAGTATGACTGGCCCACCGTGCTTTGTATGTCAAACTGTAGAAGACAAAGATCAGACCGCGCAATGACGCCGTCGACTTTACCGTCTAGGGGGTCACAGGCAGTTATCGTGAGATTGACGATTTTGTCCAGCTCACACGGAGGGGGGTAATAATCCAGTGTTTTCTCGACAATATTGGAAAACAAATGCTGTGTCTGCTGGAATGACCATCGGAAAGCTGGGGCTCCAACCGCCGCCCCGTCCCACTCGTCGCCGAAACGTTGTAACTGGCTCCAACCTTCACGTCCACCTTCCGAACAGGATGCGTAATAACTATATAGACGGTCGTCGTCGGTCATGTTATACACGTTTTTGGTGAAAGGCTTCCCAATTTGTGACATCTCCCACTGTGCCTTGTAGGCAAACATATACAGGGTCTCGTAGTCAACGCTTCCATTACCAAGCAACATCGCCGTGTCAGCATTGGTGTCGAAACTGCCGAATCCACCATCAGTCGACCCACTGGCAGCACCATATACAATGCCTCCGGGTAGGGTCCACATGCCTGAGTAAATAGAATACCCACCGCCACCGGTGGAGAGCCAGCGGCCCTGGAACTCATTGGGCGCTGGCAACAAGATTTGTAGTAACACTTGATCATCTCGCCCAGCATGTGAATATGCAACAGTTGTGTTGCAGAATTCCACCACCGAGTCGGGGAAAAAGTAAGAGTCAATGGTCTCGTTAAAAACCACATTTGCCGTCACCAGATCCGGGGATATGGTGATTCCCGGTGGGGTGGAAATGGCCGCAAGGGCTTTCTTTAAGTAATTTTTGTCACAGATATCATATATGGTGGCCGCATGGGCTACTGTGGCGATGCCCATGGCCATACTCAGACTACTCATTAACTTCATAGCAGCTGGAATGTGTGCAACAGCCAAGGTGTAGACAAAACTTCTTGGTAAGGGAGATTTCGTGCTAAGTGGTAGATATTGAATCAGGGAGTGCACATCTGCCCTCTTTATACCCAGTGCATTAGGCTTGGTATGCTATGGCTATCTGGTATGTTTACATTGATCATTTTGGTGCCGGTTATTTTCCACAAGCACTTCTCCCCAAATCCCTGGTTCCATTGATTGAATCCCCACAACTCATGGTCACTTAGACCTTCCCGGATGAATATATAACCCTTCGGAAATTTCTTCGTGATACTAGTGGAGAACAAGATATCTCTGACAATGGATCTGGCTTTGACAAACAACTTTGGACGTCATTTGACTTTCATGTCAAGAACATCGCTCCACAATTAAGTCCCCGTGCTCTGGATTGCTTTCTATGTGCATGGTATATTACTGCAATTTCCTTGGAAGCCAACGAGTCCTAGCTCACTAACCCCGCTCTATGTATTAATACGGTTCAGCTATTGATTCGGATGAGCGTATTTCAATACTCAGTAGAATACTTGTTTAGGATTTATCACTGCAAGGGGAGTGATTTATAGCGCTTTTTGAGTACTTGTTTGGTGCCTTGCTCATGTTAAAGCCCGTGTTGGAACGACCCCTACTTTATATAGATACGGCTTCTGTGGGTGATACATTCCGACATGAAGATTCATTCAAAATGGTCTCTTTTCTTTTCTTGCATTCCATACCTATCACATTGCATTTTTGGGCCTGTCTTCTCCACACGCGTTAAATCCAGTTTACCCCATGTCCCACCTTTTTCCCCCCACATTTTCCTGGGGAAATATTAAGCTCCTGCGGTCCAAGCTTGATCGCGGACTCTCGGGAGATAAGTATCTTCCGAATACTCTCCACTAATCGAACGTGCTCCTTGGACTATCTTGATTCAATCACTGATTTTGATTTATCCTATGCGAAATCACTCTTCCTGGTGCCAACTATGGCACGCTTGGCTTAGTCCCAAATGGTCGGACCACACGGTGCTTCCAATTTGCGATGTTAGCCACAATACATAAAAGGAACAATGACCGTTGGCTAATTCGCATGCATCACAAGTTGAAGTTCTTCGAAAATGCGATTCCTCACTTCCATTTGCCGTGCTGCCCTGTTCCTCGGTGTATACGGCATGCCGCACAATGATCGCCTCACAGTGGAGGCCCCTACCGGTACCTTCACTGGCCTGCAGCATCCTCTGTTCCATGATGTGCGTCAGTTCTTAAATATTCCCTATGCACATCCACCTGTTAAGGATCGTCGCTGGTTGCCTCCAGCTCGACTGGCCAAATCAAATTCAAAATACGACTCTACAGCGTTTGGTCTGGTCTGTCCACAGTTCATTAGTGGAGATCCCACCATTTGGAGTAACTGGGTGCCTCAATTTCTCCCCACCTATGGTCCTGAAAACGAAACTGCCGCTATAATGGCACCGACCTCGGGTGAGGACTGCTTGAATCTCGCAATTTGGACTCCAGCAAAGGCCACGACCACTTCTCGATTACCTGTGGTCATGTTCATACCAGGTGGAGAGTTCACAACCGAGGGTGTGACGGTACCATATCAGCTGCCCGGCCAATGGGTTCATCGCTCGCAAGAACACATCGTGGTGACGATCAACTATCGTGTCAATATTATGGGCTTTCCCAATGCCGCTGGCCTCTCTTCACAGAACCTTGGTCTACTTGATACGCGTGCTGCAGTAGAGTGGCTATCCGAGAATATCGCTGCATTTGGCGGAGATCCTGAGAGAATCGTCATCTGGGGCCAGTCTGCTGGGTCGAGTGACGTTGACTTGCAGAATTTCGCCTACTGGGAACGGCCTTTGGTGAAGGGTCTCATCATGATGTCTGGCACAGCACTCGAATATCCCCCTGCTGCGCTCAACTCATCGAGTTTTTCCTGGGTCGCTCAAGAGCTTGGGTGCGACCATCCCACCGATCCAGCGGAAGAGATTACATGCATGCGCCGCGTTCCGATTGAAACAATCCAGAATCTTGTCGGGCAAACAGTGGACGGCAGTAACGCCCCAGGTTTGAATTTTGAGACGAGCATCGATAATGTTACTCTTTTCAGCGACTATACGGAGCTTTATATGCAGAGGAAAGTCTCTCCTATACCTGCTATTATCGGAAATTGTGCCAATGAAGGCGCAGGTCTGGTTGATTACCCTGTTGGTCATGTCTTGGCAGGACCTAGCCAGACATCAATGACGGAGCAAACGCTCTCTGGGAAGCTATGTCCAGCAGCTAATTCATCTTACTATCGGTTTGAGGCCGGCGTGCCTACCTATCGCTATCAATACGCCGGTAATTTCTCCAATATCTCGCCATTACACTGGATGGGTGCATTCCATGGATCAGACATGCCGATGGTCTTTGGCACATACGGTATTGCCCGGGGTGAGGGTTCGACTTTTGAGGCCCTCGTTAGTGAAACGATGCAGAACTATTTTCTTGAATTTATCAAAGATCCAGTACACGGGCCTAAAAAAGCTGGGTGGCCTGCTTTCGACCCCGCCGCGCAACATGGAGGACTAATGCTGCGCTTCGCGGCAGATGGAAAGCCTGTTCAGTTTGTCTCTGGTGATATCGTTGATGGCGAATGTCTGGGTTTGAATATCACTTATAACCCTTCCCCTTGATACATGGGACAAAACATATTGTTTCTCTGGCTGGCTGGTGATATCGGTCGGCTAGTGGTAGGAGGAATTCAATTCGAATTTCTCTTTTACTACTAGTCATTATTAGACATACATGATGCATTTTGATATATTTTTGCTAGATGTTCTAATGCATCGTTCCGATGGGAAACCTTGTACATGGTGCATGTCTCGTTCTGAAGACGCGCATGGCCTCAACGAGAGGCATACAAAATCAATTTCGTGTCAATTTTTGCCAACAATGGTCATCCCAGAGTATCTCACGACCCAGCTCCAAACACTTGTTCATACTCGTCCTTTCAGGAGTGCAATGTTTGTTTGGCCTCCTGGTAAACTCGGAACGTTATGCAGCTTTCCTGGTGTTTCTGCCAAGCTTATCAGGCAGCAATGCTCATTCTGTCAGATGTAGCTAGCTTCTTCAATACGAACGAGTCTCTCACTGACTATTTCTGAAATTTTTTTCTGCTCTTCATAAAACCTTGTCGAAACAAAGAGCAATATTTAAGCTGATCATCCTTGCCTAACAACCACTTGACGTGACGGTAGGTCACCCGGTCTTAATCCTGGGACTGCCGATGACCTGCCTGAAAGGTTTCTGCAAACATCAAGCCACGTTCATAAAGTTGAATCCCCATTAGCCCCTGGGGACCATCCAAATCACCATACCCCCGAGCATCAAAAATCGCGGACCATTGCAAGTCGGGGATGTCAAGATGAATTGGAGCGGTGGGGCGAGTCTGAAATTCCAGCTCCCCATTCCAGGTCATATTTTTCCCCATTCCAGGTCATATTTTGAATGGCCAGCAGCGTTCCGTGATGATCAAATAGTCCCTATCACCGTTCGAAATCAGAACTCGGTTGGTCGCCTCAATGAGCTGAGGCAAGACATGCTCGGTCGGATTTGGAGACTCGTTGTATTGTTGCTTGGGGCCGGGGCTAGTGCCCACAAAAACACTCTCTGCACTGCAGAGCTCCCACTGGATGTCCTCGGGCACATGAAGGGCCCGCTTGACATCCGTATGGTTGAAATAGGAGTTGTGAGTGGGCTCATAGGCAAGATCCATGGGGAACCCGAGGACATCCCATAATAGCGGGCACATTTGATTGATCCGGTAGGGGCTCCAGCATGGGTTCGGGTTATGGGCCTCGTCATAGATCATGTTATAAATGTCGCAATCAGAATAGTTCATGTATTTGGGAGGCTGAACCCCAGAGGCTGGATAGGTCAGATATTCGTCAAGATACTGTTTGTAACCACACTTCTCATAAGTATCTTCTACATCATTCATGAAGTTTGATTGAAATTAAATAGTTCAGCATGGTGCTGCAAAAACGGGTATGCTGGGAGTTCGGCTTGGATGTAATCCCACTGGCCGATACACACATCATACATCAAAACTCCTACACTGTGAATGAGAACTGGGAACCGACCAAAGGCTTTTTTTCTCAGGGAAGGAAATCTGAGACATACCACTAAGATCATAATACTCTGTATCATTGTGATCAAGCATGGCAGCAGAAATATACGGCACATATCGACCCGCATAACTCTCACCACTCATGAAAAATCGGAAGTTTTTGATCTCGTACAAGTCCTCAAAGCTTTGGAGGATGTCAACGAAAGGAGCAGCGGTCTCTTCTTCCGTAGTGGCAGTAGGTGTGCCAGTCGAGAACCCGGTTCCGACTGGTTGATCAACCCTAACCAGCCCTCCACAGTCAGGGGATGATGCTTCAACCCGGGGAAGCACAGGCGCCTTGAATTACATACCATAACATATTGGTCAAACTGACCCATGAATACTGATTGATCACGGGCTCGTACGTACCGGACAGCCAGGTAAAGCGTCCATTTCCCTGCAGGAATCCCTGCATTGGACTACATCCTGGTCCCCCACTCAGCCAGGTTGTGAGGTCATCGGATGCCTCTCCGACTTTTGGCTGGAAGATGTAAAAGAGAGAATCATTTCCACGGATGGGGGTGAAACCTGAGTACATTTCCCCTATAATAAAATGCACGTTTGGAAGGCTCTCCACCAGGTGGGCTGTATGGCCAAGAATAGCGTGTTGTCAGTGAAAATACATAGTATGAAACAATACTATTGATGAAAAAACGCATACACTTGGTCTTATTAGTCAAAAATTGGTAGCCAGATGTGTTGAGATGCTCTAACACTGGAGTACGACGATGGGAAGGACCTCGATTCATACTCCTCGACCCAGTCAGCTTGCTTCCCTGTCATTGATCAGCAATATGATCGCCAGAACTGCCGCGAGACATTTTTTTGAAAGTCCTAGACGATGGATGGCCTTTTCCCGAATATCACCAGCACATACTAGAATGTCAATAGATATTCTGCATCCGAGTTAAACACTACGGCTTTGCTGGGGATAATGAATGTCTATCTGGAATTCGACAAATGAATGCGTGCAAATCTTAAAGACGATGATCACCAAAGAGTCGGTTCTCGTTCTCCTAAATAGTGCCAATATGGGCAAGGCACCTCCAACTCTGTTGACTAATGAGGACGTCGCCTCATTCTTCGAGAACAGAGACTTCTTTCTGTATAATTTCGAAGACCTCTTGGAGGGAATCCGAATGAAGGAAAGAAAAAAAAGATTCGCGAACGGACCGAAGTACCGACTCTTTTTTTCACGGCTCCGAAGACGAGCTCACAAGTTCAGTCAAAGACACAGTGGAACTGGTGAACAAGTGGAGGCTAGGTTCTACACTTGTGCAATGCTATCACTAATCTACAATCATTCCTCTGCTTTGGTGCCAGGGTTATTGCTAGCTCGGCCTTGGATGACTCGCACGTTCCCAAGCCGCGAAGGCAACGTTGCTCCTCGGCAAGAGTATCGACGATATAGGGGAGCTCTGCGAACAACTCATCGGAGACTCGGAATTCGATGACGACAAAATGGATATTCAGACCCAACTGCTCCTGGGCACTAGGCTCAGAACTAGTCGTGGAGACATTGGCCTTGTGGTTTGCTTATATGGGGTACTGTGGTTCAGATGAAATTGAGACACTGGCCGTATTTGAAGCCGAAGAGAAGAACATGGATTGCTTGACGCTGGCACGAAGAGCAATATCTATGCAAAATGGCATGATAACCTCATTGTATGCTGGCTGCTGTTTGACATGACTTATTTTCAACCCTTTTCCTTAACCCTCGGCTTGATCATAAGAGTTAGACTTATGCTTGGGCTCAAACTTGAAGTCTTTGTGTGCAGGACCAAGGAACATCTCGCTGTCATGTAATAGGTTAGATCAGATCCGCGACGCGAAAAATAAAATTTGAAAGAGAGAGAGAGAGAGAGAGAGAAAGCGAGACAAACTAACCTGATCTTGATCCAGTCCTTGTAGTTATCACTGCCCATGAGAGTCTCCATTTCATTTCGGCCACGCCAGGCAGGAGGTCTATCATTAATATGGGGAGGAAGGTACTCCAGCAGTCCGATGGGAACATAGCGATGTGCAAAGCTCAGCCACTCCAGCATGAATCGTCGGGTTGTACCGACACCATGCTCGTCAGATCCCCAAGCCTCCAGTCCGTACTTGGCAAACTTCTCGATATAGACAAGACGCTCTGATGCGGATTTGTCAAGGTATTGGCCCGTCTGGATTTCCTCGAACAGCCATGGCTTGATCAGCGCACCGCGGCCCACCATGACCGAATCCACTCCAGCATTATTGACGTGGTTATCGTAGTCAGTGTGCGAGTAGCAGTCACCGTTGCCGAGGAAGTAGGTCTTCCCACCATTCGGCTGGAAGCGAGCATCAGGCTCCCGAATAGTGTCGGTGACAATGTCTGTCTTTTCATTCATCCGCTTGATTAAGGCTGCACAATCCGCAATGTAGCTCCAATCTGCTTCTTTGGTGTAACGTTGCTGTCTGCTCCGTCCATGGAGAGTAACAGCCGCGACACCTGGAGGGCCCACACCAAGGAGACTAGACTCGTAACCACCCAGAATTAGTCGCTCAGTAAGCTTCAGCGCAGTGGGGTAGTTATCTCTGACCCCCATGCGAATCTTCACGGTGATGGGGATCTGCTCGGAGACCATATTCATACCGCGAATGATCTTCTCCAATTTGGAGTGGTGGTCTAGGAGAGCAGAACCAGCTCCATCCCGAAAGACAAGGTCAATGGGACAACCACAGTTCAAATCGATCACACGCAAGTGGGGAGTGAACTTTGAAAGAACCTCGGTGGCCTTCACGGCTTGCCAGGGCTTATTGGCAGCAATCTGCGCCCCGAATTTGAAATCTTTGGAGTTGTCGTAGCCCTGGACCACGTTGTCTCCTTTGGTAATAGACGGTGGGAGCATTTCCGATTCATGCGCCTTCATCAAAGTCCACTCAGACTTTGCGCCTTGGATGAGCGGCATGCTCATCGCCATCTCAGAATAGGTGAATTGAGCTCCCAAATCTGTGCAAAGTCGTCGGAAAGGCATATTTCCCTGTGTCGTCAAAGGTGCCAGTGTAGGAGTCTCAGGTCCGAAGTAGATGCGACGCTTCTCGGAGGGTAAGAACGGCGGTTCAGTAAACTGCGCCCGCTGCTCTTCTTTCTGTTCTTTGGCCATGTCCACATCAATCTTTTCAGCTTCGCCGTTTGCCTTTTCGGCATCTTCACCCGCGGTCTTTCCAGCATCCTCTTCTGTCTTCTTCTTTCCACTGTGCAGATATTGTTCTAGTTCCTGGCCAGACTTGTGGAGCCAATCATTGACGGCATTGGCACGAATGGTGACCTCCTTCTTCCGCGCCAAAGCGATTTTATCCTCGGCGGCAATGATATTGACAAGTCCATCGTCCGTCGCAAATGGGACGCGAGGTTTGGCTTTGGCCATGCGTTCCTCGTCTTCTAGTAGAATAAGCTCCTTCTGTCCATCTGCCGTCTCTCTCTCCTGCGAGTGCGATCCAACAAGACGGCACTTCCATCCAGAGTAACATTTGCCCAGTGCCTCGTACACAGGGCACATCCCATTCAAGGTTGTAAGATCCTCGCGCTTGTGTTCTTTCAGGTAGAGACGCAAGTCGTGCTCGAAGCGGCATTTTTCGTTGAATTGGCACTGCCCCGGTGAGAACTCGGGACTAAACATTCTCGAACCGCAAAGGCCTTTGGCATCTTTTGAGCTACCGAAGCTTCGGTTGGTGTTTTGGCCAGTATTCTTCTTCTTCTTCTTATTCTTTTTGTTGTCTCTGCTGTCACCCTCGCGTTCAACGTGAGAGGCAGCTTCGGCAGCATCATCGGGGCTGATCTCGGGTTCAGTAGGCTTGGGCTTCGGCTGGGTTTGAATCCGGTATCTTTGCATGAACTCGTTAGCCTGCTGTCACTTGAGTGTGATCGAAAGTGGCATACTCTGCTTTGATCGGGGCAATTCCTCTGTCACGTGCATCGCGAACAATATTTTCAGAGTCCGAGGTCCCCTCCAGTCGCGCTTTTTTCGCGGGAGGCTCATCACTGCCGGAGCCAACGTCGCGGTCCCGTGCGGGAATGTCCGCCTCTGGCGCGGCATTGTTAGCCTCTGAGGGCTTCTGGGCCGTCAAATCCAAGCTGGACATTATGAGCAGCTAATGGGTTTCAGGCGGACAATTTGTTCATGTGAATCTAACCCAAGTCTTGATTTTCGGCAAGAAAAAAAAGTTCAGCGGAGTACTCCGATCTATCAAAAATTCCAAGCCGCGGAGTGGCGGGATTTGCACTGTTTGCCCGTTGTTTCAGCTCAATATGATTGGTCAGAGTCGTCTCCACATTAGGTACATCTATGCCTGATATCTCGGGTATCTAAATTGTGCTGGTCAACTTAAGTTGGGTGTCTACAGGAACGACCTTTTCCACATCGAAGCTCTGGGCTTGAGAGGAATAGTATCCTCGCTGATTACTTACAACTGACTTCTGACTCATCTTGTCGGTGAAATCAATATTGTAATGGGTGTGGCCGAATGCCCATAAGCGCACTTGAGTATTCCTCCAGCACTCCTCCATGGACAGATCCGTCGCAAATCCTGACGACAACGGACTATGGATATGTCGTGGATCAGTAGCCCGTGGGTCACCACCGACAGGACTGTGGTGCGTGAAAATAACAATCTGGCGATCGGGTTCCTGGCTTGCGATGAGTGCAACCTGGTCATTCAGCCACTTAAGGTCGGCCTCATGAGCCATAGTGTGATCTTCGACAGTCCAGTCATTGATATAATAAAAGTCATTTAATCCAAAACTGACGCTTTCGCGATGTTTTTCAGAGACCTTGGAGAACAACGTGCATCCCAGAATTGTCACATTATCGTCAAGGTCAAATCGGGTTTGATCTAAGAAAAAAAAGTCGCCGAGAGGATCATCTTGGAAACGCCGCTGGTTGAGAGAGACAGAGAATTCATGGACTTTCTCTTTTGTTTGACTCCAAGTCAGATGATAGGGTTCATGATTCCCCAAGAGTAGAAACACAATTTGGAAATTCTGCAGCTGACGCTGAATGAACGAAAAGAAGCCATCATCGTTGACAACGCCTATATCCCCGAGAAGCGCCAGGAAGGGAGCTTTGGGTGGAATCTGAAATGCATCGTATGCAACAGGTTTCTCCAGATGTAGATCCGATACAATCTGCAAACCGGCCATTGGAAGGGAGGGATGCAGAGAAGTCCGGGAACTGCCAAGATCGGATTGAGTGGATTGTGGCGTTGAGGCGGTGCACTATGTCATACAGTGGCGGTGCATGCACCCTCATCCTGTTATCTAAGCGCCCAGACTGGGGGATTCATAAGAGGGCCCCTCCCTGGGCTTGGCTGGCGCCTAGGATCTTCTTCTCTTTAGATTGATCGTGCTCTAATAATTTGATTTTATTTTCAAAGTCCTAACTTATTATCGTCTTCACCGACAGTCCGTTCAGGAACGGTGTTACGACGTCATCTACTTATCCGCGTTATCGCGCCCTGGATTGCGGGCCCCCGAAGTATCTCTACAAGGTCGTGACCAGTCCAACCGCCATCATGGCCGGCATTCATGATCCTCGATTGCTGTATAGCATCACAAACATACGCGCCTTTCATATCCAAGATGGGGAGGAGCAGGAGTTGACCCCATCTGGGCCGCAAACGCTCTCACTCATCATGGTCCCCACTACTCCTTCACCATCTATGCCACCATACGCAACCGGTGCGGGCACCGAAACTCCTGAGGAGGACTTCTATCTCCACCTCTGCCTTCCCCCAGAATTGGATCTTGCCTTACCTGCGACCACTCAGATCTACCACCAATTACCCGATAGCTATTTGATTCCCCGCTGGGACCTGGCCCCGGGCGCCTTTATTCGGATTCAGTTCCCAGGGATTGGGTCCGGTCCGGACAAAGTGACTCAGGACGACATCGATACCTTCGAAACCATCCTCGCCCAGTGCACCGCGTTTCTGGAACGAGCGCCTGCTCCTTCCCAGAAGTCAAGTGGGAAGACTCATGGCCTTACCGCGTACAATCCGGCTGACTACGCGCCTGGTGAGGGATATATCTCCTCTGACGGTCCCCAGGATACACATGGCAAGATCGTGCTTGTGGATGAGGAAGATGGTAGCGTGGTCGGAGAATTGGGCGACGCGTACGATGTGGTTGAAGACCCAGATGTTAAGCCAGGGTCCAAGAGTGAGTGAAGCCGAGCCCCCCTCCATAGAAATTAACTGACATGGTTCTTTCTCTCTCATAGGACCGGTCAATATCGAGCTCCCCAGTGAAGGTGAAGGCAATCGGGTCAGTATTAGCAATGTCTCCGAAGAATACTTGGCCATGTCTCGACACCCCGCATACAAAAACTCGACCATCGTGCAGACATCGGCTACAGCATCTCGTCTGATTGTCGCGACTACTACGTCTCTCGCCAATGCGATCACCAGCGGTGCTGAAAGCTTTACGAAGAAGACCAAGCCGAATCAAAAGCCCTTAACCTTCTCCGATGCCACGCATGCGCGCATTCGTAAGGTTGGCAGCTTGTCCACTGGCGCCGCCGACCTTTCCGCTCGCACATTAGGCCAAGTCGAGCGGGTAGCCCAAAATGTCGGCGCATCACTATCACGCAAAGACAACAAGCCCAGAAGCTTTGACAAGACCCGGCCCCCACCGGACTACAAGCCCGGTGTGCTCAACAAGTCCTTGATTGCCTTCAACACGCTGGCCGACGGGATCCAGGAGGGCGCACGAAACATCCTCCTCACCGGCTCCTCCGCGACTGGTACAATGATTGGTCACAAGTATGGCGCGGAGGCCGGCGACGTGGCAAATAATCTGACCGGTGGAGTGAAGAATGTGGGCCTGGTGTATATCGATGCCACCGGAGTGAGTCGACGGGCTCTCCTGAAATCCGTTGCCAAAGGTATGGTCGTAGGACGAATGCGCGACGGAAAGCAGGTGGTGGTGGGTGGTGGTGATGGTGGCGAGCTTCCTCGCGATGCTCATGCTGCCGAGGCTGGGCCATCAACTAACCCCACCCCGCCGCCAGCGTATGGCGCGTCGGGGACTACGTCGCTCGGCGGCACGCCCATGAGCATGTCCGGGGGTAAGCGGTAAAATGAGCCTATGATTTATTGAGGCGCTTCGCGTGGTATTTTGGGCGGGAAATTGATCTGGTATTGTACGTTGATCTTTTTCCGGGGATGGCCAAGTTCCGATACTGTAGATAGTCTAATAGCGTTTAATCATGAATTTTCATACCCATTTTCAAATGTCGGCCCCGCGGAAAGGCCCAAGGTTTCGGCCGGGATATGGTCGGCGATTTTGTCCTTCATTTCAACACCGAACGTATCATTCCGGTGGCCGTGCGTTCAGTCGATGATCCCTATCAGGCTTGTATTTCTTCGCTTTGGGGCTGGGGGAAAGAGGGGGGTCGATTGGATAAGAGGCGCGGATCAGCCCAATTGCCAACGCATCACCCGCTTGACAGTTGGCCCCACAGACCCAATGAGGATTGTTTGGGGGTCAACGGTGGGTTTGGTATGATACTCCTTGTGTAGACATCCAATGTACCACGATTTGAATTTTTGATTCCAGTTCTCCCCCAGTACCCCTCTCCTGTGTGGAGAGGTCGGATACGATATGGCGCTACGGTGCCGTGTGGATGCAGTGGAGTGTGTAATTTAGAACTAGCGCGCGGACCTCCCGAAATCCAGGCACAAGTCAACTCGTAACGCCGTACAGTGTATGTATCCCTCATACGCGTTGAATATGTCGCTTGGAAGTTCCCACGGTTCGGTGATCTACTCGATCTGGTCCCAACCCCTGGGTCAAACTGGGGGAATGAACCATGGTTGATTATTTGATCAATTGGACGAATCAAGCAAAGGGAATTGTGAGAATGACAAAGGATTCAACCAGAATTGGATGGATTTTGTACAAGGTTTTGCCAAGTTCATTGTATATAGACCTAGTATACTCGAGGCCTAGTTATGTAAACATCATTCCACGATCAACATGGACTTTAGAGACAATTAGCCTGGGAAGGTCCTGCACAGCATTTGTCGATCATGCTTTAGTTTTTATAAGATCGAATCAATGCATCGGAGCAAAGTTGGGTTCTGGGGGCGTAATGACGATCGTCGCCAGCTAGCGAGCGAACCCACTTTTCAGCAACTCGAAACAACCGGTTATCGCCCCTTGTTTTTCCCATAGATGAAACGGGAATTTTCGAAAGCTATGACCCTTTTCCTTGTGATTCCAGGGTTTGTTGTTGACTTTGTTTTTTTTGTTTTTTTTGCTATTTGTTGTCGGCCCCAGTCCTCAGTTCTAATCATAGAATGATCAATACATAGGGAAATTTAGGTAAGGGGGACGTATTCCCTACTATAGGATGCTACATCTATCAGGGCATGACTGATCATTCTGTGCCTCGCAGACGAGTTGAATTATCGGTAATAAATATGGATTGGATGCAACGATTTGAGTATATTACCTAGAAGATCATGGCATCTAAGCTTCGAAGCTGTATACGGTGAAAGGTAGAAACATCGTCATCCAAAAAGACGTGTCGCCATGACCCGCTTTTTGCTTTCCCTAACCAAATCTCACTTCTCTCCCTTTAACCTCCTCCTCTGAGTAGTCGTTTTCTGTTTCTTTTGTTACTTCTTTTTTCTTTTACCGGGGGTTGATTTTGTTATCTTCTTTCACAAAACTGCACCCCCTTTTTCTCCCTCGACAGGAAACCGGTGTTTCCCGCTAAACCCCCCCCCCCCCCAACCTCCCCTCGCGCCCCCTGTCTGCCCTGGATTCGACCATGTTCAGCTTCCAACGTTGAACTTCTGAGGTCTTGGGAAATTCAATCGCGTCTGAGACATTTGACTTGTTTCTGTCCCCCGGCTTTTTTAGACAACGTGCGACTTCCCCAGTGGGATCGGAAAGAGGGGACTCCAGACTGCTGTGCAGGTATCGACCTTTCTTTTCTTCTGTTCTGTCGAGTTTCACGCGTCATTTTTGCATCTGGACTCGATCGCATCGTGTCGCTACCATCTCCTTGTATCATCATTGCTTCTTCCTGTTCCTCGGGCGCGACCCGGGCGTGGCATTCCTTCCTTTGCCCCCCCATTCCTCCCATCGAATCTTCCGTCAAAAAGCCCTATCCCGGATAAAGTTGTACATTCTTCTTGATTGCCGATCGGAATTGCGTGTGGGGATTGACTTACTGACGCGCATGTCCCACCTTTACAGCTTGTAAGGCTGAAGGTCGACACTCAGCGAGTGCGACCGATCGCCCCAATCAATATCCTCACCAATCACCCTCGGGAGGGTGTGGTGCTTCGGGCGCATTCATTGTACACCATTGACTTCGGTCGCCTAGACAATCAGCCCCAAGGGCTGTCTAGGTCATAAAGCAGAAAGTCGCGACCTTTGGCGCTTTCTGACCAGAAGGTACGTCGGATGCACCGGTGCTAACACGTCTCCCTATCACCCGTAGAAATTCTCACAGCTTCCAATTTGCTGATCGCGTTTCACAGCCATTATTCAGGCTGGTCCGGATCACCCTTCATCGGCTATGAGCACCTCCCATCAGCCGGCCCTGCCAATTTCCGCCCATGTGCCAGCTGCAAGCCACGCACCGTCTCCCATCCAGAAGAATGCGCGCCAGTACCCGGACATGCTAGGCAATCCTCCAGTTCCTCCGCCGAGGACCTCCTCCAACCGTCACAGCCCCAATGGATCAAGAGAGAAGGATAGCTCACGGGGGAAAACCCGCGCCGATCGTAAGGAAAACCGCGATCGCGACCGCGACCGCAATGGGAAGAGTCGATCTCGACGTGATCCTACTGAGCCGACACGAGATTCGGGACGATCCAGAGGAGCTCCCGTCGCGCCACCCGCAGAGTTGAGCTTGGAAGAGGGTTCAAGCCTGGTGAAAGAGCCTAGTACCGTGATCAACGCGGTCATGGTGAGCGATCCCGCCGTGGACCGTGAACGAGAGCAGGTGCGCCAAGCGGGCGCATCACCGGCTACTCCTGCGGACACGGACTTACCCATCGGGCACGAAGGCTCTGAGGATGGAGGCCGTGGGCCTCGGAGTCGCCATGACTACGATAACGGGAACACTATCAAGCGAAAGGAAACCACCTTTGGCTCATACATCCTGGGTCAAACCCTCGGCGAGGGAGAGTTTGGCAAAGTCAAGTTGGGCTGGAAGCGAGATGGCAGCATCCAAGTTGCGATCAAACTTATTCGCAGGGACACACTGGGTACCAATCCCACGCGCTTGCCGAAAATCTACCGGGAAATCTCGATCTTGCGCGATCTCGCCCATCCCAACATTGTCCGTCTCCACGAAATGGTGGAAACAGACCGACACATCGGAATCATTATGGAGTACGCGTCTGGGGGAGAATTGTTTGACTACATTCTAAATCATCGTTACCTAAAGGACAACTCTGCCCGCCGATTGTTCGCCCAGCTGGTATCAGGTGTTGGTTATTTACACAAGAAGGGCATTGTGCACCGTGATCTCAAGTTGGAGAATCTGCTACTAGATCGGAATCGTAACATCATCATCACGGATTTCGGTTTTGCTAACACCTTCAACCCTATTGATCAATTGGAGGAGGAGATTGAATACAACCTGACCAACAAGGAATACGTGAAGCGGAAGCGCCTCGACAGACTGGGACCGGATGGTTTGCGCCGCGGGGACCTTATGCAGACCAGCTGTGGAAGCCCCTGTTATGCCGCTCCGGAACTGGTGGTGAGCGATTCATTGTACACCGGACGAAAGGTCGATGTGTGGAGTTGTGGTGTGATTCTGGTATGTTTAGCATGATCATGCCCCGCTTGGTCTGATCTAACCTGTGTCTTCTCAGTATGCCATGTTGGCCGGTTACCTTCCATTTGATGACGACCCAGCGAACCCCGACGGTGATAACATCAACCTCCTCTACAAGTACATCGTCACCACGCCTCTCACCTTCCCTGAATATGTGACCCCCCACGCTCGCGATCTTTTGCGGCGGATCCTGGTCCCTGACCCCCGCAAGCGGGCAGATTTGTTCGAAGTCGCTCGTCACAGCTGGCTCAGCGAATACGCCCACATTGTCTCGCATATCACTAGCAGCACCACCAATGTGGCGGACATTGCCAATACCACCGTCCCAGCTGAATCGCCAAATGAACCTCCGCCTCTTGCCCGTAGTGCCTCTGTCCGTGAACCTCCTAAGACCAGCCAGGGCAATGTTCCGGCCGTCGGTGGTCTGAATCACCATGCTGGTGATGTCTCCCAAGAAACTCCAAGTGACAAATCCAAGACCTCCCGAGATGCGAAGCGGAGGACGGTGCAGGTTGAATATGTGGCTCCCCAGTCTCAGACAGCGAGAGGTGAATATCAGCCCGAGGCCTCTGGATCACGCAGCGGAGGGCCTGCTCAATCCGAGGCTCCAGCTGCCGAGGACCTTGTTAAGCCAGCTCCTAAGCCCGTCGGGAAACCACCGATCAACTATGACAAGCCATTGCCCACCCACTTCCCTCGGTCGGCATCGGATTACCCTGTGGCCACTGCAACACACACCACAGCTCCGGTCCCGGCTCCGGCACCGTCATCTGCACGCCCCCAAACAGGAGGCTCCATGGCATCCTTCAACACGGGTCGACTACCTTCTCGCGGACAACCGGTGGCGCCTATGGTTACCGCGACTAATACCGAAGGCCGTCTGGCACAGCCCAAGAGCAGGCAATTTGCATTCCCCCAGAATCCCGCGCAGTCATCCAGTACATCAATTGGTCGTCCCAGCACCCAACAATTACCATCTGCATTCAATCCAACCCCGCGACAGGACCCACCGGCCAAGGGTCACAAGCGATCCAACACTGTGTCAAGCATCGGTGAAAGGTTGTTTGGACGCTCAGCTTCTCTCATGGGCGGTAATCGCAACTCTCAAACCACAGCTTCCCGGACACGACCCAGCAAACGGTACCCTCCTACCAGCATGAAGGAAGCGGTTCCTCGCGATGATTCTCGTGGTTCAATGGACTCGCGCCGTTCCATGCAGAACCCGCATACTCGCAAGGCGAGCGAAGCGGGAGAGGGCCGCCCTCGTCGCTTTTCCCTCTTGCCAGCTTCTTTCTCCTTCCGAACCTTCTCATCTGCTCGAGCCCAGACCCCTGAGGACACATCCCAGGGCCCATACCCCGTGGATCCTCGCAGTCAACAGCGTCCAGCCACCGGACCTTTACCTAATCGCCCTCGTGCGACCAGTTATGGAACCCAAGAGGCGATGGGTATGGTGAGCGAGGGCCCTAGTGACGAGGTTCATGACGAGTCAAAACCAAGCGAGCCAGAGCCTCTCAGCTACGAGGCTCAGATTGACCAGCAATTTGCTGAGCTGGGGAACCGATTTGACCAGACCCAGGACTCCTTCGGCAACGTCTCTTCGGAGCACGTGTATGAAAACCCAGATGAGCAGTATTCTGGAACCAACTACACGTACGGGTCTTCCAAGCCCAACTACTATGATGATTACAACAGCACATATGATAGCTTGCCGCGGCAGTCAATGCAGGCTGGTCGGTCTGGGCGGGGCCCAGGTGTTCTTCAGAAGAACAACCGCAAGTTTGCTGATGCCTATGAGTATGAGCGGGATCTTTCCCACCATTCAGGCAGCTCTGGTGCGGCTCGGAAGGTCATGGACTTTTTCCGCCGTCGAGCCAAGTCCCGTGCTGGTGAGGGTCAATAATCGTGGCCCTGTGTTTTTGTTTGGCTTCCTGTTCTCCAAGTGTCTTCTTTTCCCTTTCTCTCCAAAAAGAGCAGTGAGGTTGTTTGGGAAACCATGTGATACCCTGCTTTTATTTCCCTTTATTGTATGTGCATGGAGCGAAATTCATCTTCATCCACCGGGTGTTTGATTAATTATCTAGCATGTTCTTTCCCTTTGTCAGAATACATTTTCCTTTTCTTTTTTCCATCTTCCCCCTTAATGTCTTTTGCCCTTGTCCCTTTTTTTTTTCGTGTGAATCACCTTTCCTTCTCCTGTCATTATTATCTCTGGCTGTAAAGTGGACCTTACCAATATTTTTGTTCAGAGTACTCTGTTTTCTGGTCCTTAGCTTCCAAGGCATCCCTGATCCGATCAGATACCTCTTCGTGTCTTTTCCTGTCTTCTATTCTAATCTTCTGTTTTACATGGGAGGTCGTCTTGGATGGTAATTGAATTGTGATAACAGTCCTTCTACTTTCTCCTTCTAAAGTTTCCTTTGTCTCTCCTTACGATCTGGTATAACATCCTCTGTGGGTATGATGCTATCATGGGATGGCTTCTGGTGATTATTTGGTGGTTTAGGGTTCCGGACTGTAGATTACCTTTGTTATGGTACGGAGAGATCCCAAGCTCTGGTATTAGTTTTCAATCAAATGATATGGGACTCGAACTATTTGAATACAATAAGCAACCTCCATCTTGGCGTTCAAGTGGATATTGCGTTCCAGCCTGCCAAGGTTGAAGGTTGATCTAAATGTATGAAGTCTACGGAGAGGGTCTCATGATGTTTATCTTAGAACACCCTTGAACATCAGATAATTCCATTGATAAACGTTCCGTTATAACCTTCAGATTGGAAAAGCAAATCAATTTGAGAAACATGGACAATAAGGATGTGTTTGAATCTTGATATCTGGCCTGTCCCAGGCAGAGACTGTGACAAAGTACAGCTTGGAGAAAAACAAAAAAAGATATGGAGCAGCGGCGAATCGAACGCCGGACCTTTCGCATGCAAAGCGAACATTATACCACTAAACCACAACCCCATCTCATGACAACTTGGCCTTTCTTTTGATATATATGGACGGGTTTTATCTATGTTGAGACTTCCTGTACCTGCTGGAGATGATCCAAGTTGAGCCTTGGGGAGGTTTGATGTTTATTTCAAAATCATTGAATTTCCTAAATTACACTCTTAAACTATTACTGCGTGGGACAGGATTTGAAAAGGGACCATATTTATTTGAATAAACTGATCAACAAACCGATCATAGCAGAGTTGTAGGGATTCCATGAAGTGATAGCGGTGGATGAATGTATTCCTTCTTGATCTTCATGTTACCAAACAAAGTGGATCCCCCAGCCGAGTGGGGTTATGGTGTAGTGGTATCACATTCGCTTTGCATGCGAAAGGTCTGGCGTTCGATCCGCCATTGCTCCATTTCTTTTTGCCATGTTTTGCCTTTTCTTGTTCAACTGAATTAAAGTTTGGTATCAGATACTATTGCTTGTTCTCGACAAGTTCTTGTTCTTCTCAACTCAAGCTATTCCAAAGTTCCGAGGCTGCTTCAACTCCTTTTGCTTGGGTCGCTAAGATCACAGTTTCCCCGCACGAGCCTTACGGATGGATCCGGCGAAGCTATCAATCCTCATATTGATGCTTTCGTTATTGCACCAACCTTGGAACTTCGATGCACCTCAGATATATCATATGAAACATGGACACCAAGACCGTACAGCTTCTAACAGGGCCTATCAAAGCATTAGCCCTCGAAAATACCCTTATACATGCGCGGGGTATTCCCTACGCCAAAGCCTCGCGGTTTCAAGTTCCACAATCTACCACCTGGTCTGATGTCCTCGATTGTACAAGACGTGCGCCAATATGCCCTCAACTACCATCCCGATTGGAGGCCGTGATGGGCCCACTGACAAAAGGCCACGGCATGGATGAAGACTGCTTACACTTATCTATCACGGCACCGCAAAATGCGACTCAGGCTCCAGTCATGGTCTGGTTACATGGTGGCGCCTATATATCTGGGTCTGGGGATCTGGACTGCTACCAGGGAATTGACCTTGCAAAACGCGGGATTGTCTGCGTGAACATCACGTATCGTCTGGGAGTTTTCGGGTATCTTTCTTTGGAAGGCATTGCACCCGCTAACCTGGGATTATTGGATCAAAGCGCGGCGTTGCAGTGGATCCAAGTGAATATTGCGGCTTTTGGCGGAGACCCAAAGAACATCACCCTGGTGGGGCAGTCTGCCGGTGCGGATTCGATTATCTGTTTGATGGCTGCGGAGAATACAGCTGGTCTGTTCCATCGTGCTATACTACTCAGTCCGCCACTGCGAGAACTGAAGGATCGGACCGCTACCGGGCCACTGGTTACAAAAATGGCAGAAAGCCTATTTACAAAAGACCCCAGAGTGATGTCGGTGGACGAGTTACTTGGAGTTCAAAGAAAACTGTTGATGGATCCTGTAAAGAAGCAGGTCATGCTATTTGCACCGAATCTTGGATTTGATCCTTTACCAAAGGAACAGGACTTCGACCGGAGAATTGACGAGGTAGTTCGGAACATTCCAATTCTAATTGGATGGACCGCTCATGATGGTCGCCCGTTTTCTAGCATGATGGGCCCGCGCAGTCTTCTTCAACTGCCAGTGATTGGATCGTATGTGGAGGCCCTTGGAACTTGGTATATTACCCAAAGCTACTTCAAGTGGCCATCACTCCGGTTTCATGAACAGATTTTGCGAGCAGGCGGTATATCAACCAGCTACTCGTTTGGATGGGCTGCCGATGGCAATGCCTTGGGCGCGTGTCACTGTATCGACATACCCTTTGTGCTCGGGGGATGGAATGCTTGGAAGATTGCCCCCATGCTGACTGGGCAAAACACCCAAGCAGATATAGCTCGCTTGGGATCGGACCTCAAAGACATGTGGACGGACTTTATGAACGGAAAACCACTGCAAAACGGACATATCAAAATCACGAAGACATTCAGATAGAAACCTCATATCGGGATGTGAAGTTTGATGGGGTCCGAGAAGCCTTGAAGATGAGGGGCTGACACATCCGACTACACCCTACGACTGTGTCTCTGCGATATAAATTCACCTGGGCAGCTGTTTAGTTGATTTACTAGTGAGGCAATGGCAATACCAGTGCAGATGCGGCTAATTTTTAGTGTTCAGTGTTGGCTATATATGGTGGGGACAAAGGGGCCATTGGACGAGGATGCCTGAATATAGACCCTTTCACCAAGACTATCGTAACGTTGATTCCAGATATGACTGACAAAGAGACATTTAAGACTTTCAAAGGCCATGGCATCTGTTTTTCGCTCCTCACCTCTCATCCGTTACCTCCCCTCCCCTCCCCTCCCCTCCTACCTTCTCATCCCTTTTATGCAACTCTCCTCAGACCCAAACCGTATCTCCTCCTTCCTCTTGAACGGAGCAGACTTTGTCTCGACTGCGGTATCAACTCTCTCGGCAAGGCTCACTGACGCCAAAATCAGACTGACACAATTCTCTCAGCCAAGATGCCTTCTCCACCGCAGACCCCCGATGTTGACGAGATGCCTCAAATCCCTCGCTCGACTTCTCCCTTTGACGTGAGTGGCTTCACCTACGTGCCTCGGCCAACCGACACCGATGGCCTGCTGCATTTTCAACCGAGTGACGCCTATGCTAGTCTGATCGGCGAGATCAACGCCATTGAATTCGACGATAGCCAGAGACATTTGCTTCGGACAATCAATCGACTGTATGGGCTCCATGCCGCAGGCCGAGCTTGCTATGTGATTGACGCCCAGCTGGAGCGTCACTGTCCAGACCATCTCCTGGAAAGAGCTGCCGCTCTTCGCATCCTTTCGATGGATGAGAATCTGACCGTGGAATCGGACACCCGTATCCGAGGCCTTTTGGACATGTGCGCTTTTCTTTACTTTGCTCCACTCATCAAACATGATCTCGATCAGCTCCCGGATAGCCCGCAGAAAGGTCTTTTGCAGCATCTACACTTTGAGATTTGTCCTGGGGGCCACATGAAGCAGTGAAGAATTTGCCATTTTGGAACTTCAAGATGGGTTTCATTGTGACATTTAATTCTTCTGAATCCCCAATGACCCCATTATCTGTGCCCCATGGCTTTCGTTTTCTTTGCTTTCTCGTCTGTCTCGTTCTTCTCGTTTTCCCTTTCTTTGGTGTTGCGGTGGTCACTTCTCCGTATTGATACCCCCATTAGCCACTTGCAGTCCCTGGTTTCTTTCCGACAGTCTTTCTGTTGTTTTCCTGTCATCTCTGCATTCCGTCATCTCAGAAAGATGGCATCAATTTGCATGATCATGTGTCTGTTGGATTGTTAGCAAACGGAGAAATGAACATGGAAATCTACCGAAGTAGTGTCCCCAACTCCAGGAGTTCAGCCCACAGATCCCTCGCTTAATATAAAACCGAACTAAAACCACTCCGGTGGCAAAGATCTGAAGTGATTGGTTCTATTGCAATTGCCGACCCTTCCAACAAAAAGCCATGTGCAGCCTAGAGACCGGATTGGCCTTAGCGGTAGACGCTAACTAACTAGCCCCGGAGACGCGTCGGCCATCCGTGCTCCAGAGATAAGTCCCACCTTTTGATTGGACCAGCTTGGCCAATCATGCCCTATCACCAACAATGCTTATGTCCAAATACCCCTGTACAATCCCGGGGCACTTTGACAGACAAGCTTTAGTGGGTCATGTAGGGTAGCCATCAGCATTTACCCGGTAAAGTCCGCTTCCACCTGCATTATCGGGCAAGATTGCGTGACAGCAAGGAATTTGCCATTAGTCGCTGATAAGAATTGCTATCCATGCACTTGATCAATGGTGGCGTGTGGGCTTTCTTAGGGTCGTTTGAGCGGCGATGATTTACTACTAATATCATGTCGCTTGCGCCCTCGGGCAAACTACTTTTGTTTTTGGCATACCGTCGCCATGGCAGATTTGAAAGTTGGCGCTCGTCCCCAAGACGAGGTCTCCTCTCAAGAGGATCCTTCTGTCCCTCACACTATTGACGAGAAAAAGGTCCCCGTGGACGTCAGCACCGACCCTTCAGTGGACGTGGTGGACGAGGATGAGGAGGTGGACATTCATCATCCAGCCAACCAGGATGATATTTTGACACAGACTCTCCATGTTCAAGATGACCCTACATTGAACTGTTTTACATTCCGTACCTGGTTTTTAGGTAATTCACCTAACCGCCTGCGCTGAAAATTCCCCGGAATCTTGCTGACCTATTAATTCTAGGTGTTGGTCTGGCAGTATTTGGCGGCACCATCTCATCCATCTACTACTTCAAGCCGCAAACCGTTGTGGTATCTACCGTTTTCGTTGCCGTCCTCGCATACCTCCTTGGCGAGGGTCTGTCCATGATCATTCCCAGAAAAGGATGGATTGGAAAATGGTTCAATCCTCATCCTTTCAACGTGAAAGAGCATCTGGCTATCATTGTCATGGCAAATTCAGCCAGTACCGCCGCCCTTGGTATCGAACTTCTGGCGGTTGAGCGACTCTATTACGACGCAAAGCTCAATGGTGCACTATCTATCTTCCTTTTATTCTCATCCCAGATGCTGGGCTATGGATTTGGTGGATTGATGCGCAAAACGCTCGTCTACCCAAAGACCATGATGTGGCCTCAGAACCTTCCAGTGAACAACATGCTGGAAACGTTGTATCGCCCTCGCTCACTGACTCGGAAACCTCTCAAGGTATTCGGAATTGTATTTTCTCTCATCTTTTGCTGGGAGATCATTCCAGAGTGGATCATGCCTATCCTCACGGGTGTGAGCATCTTTTGTCTGGCCAACCAGAATAGCTCTGTCTTTACCAACGTCTTTGGCGGTGCCAGTGGAAACGAAGGCATGGGCCTGTTCTCCCTGTGCTTGGATTGGGATTACATCTCGGGAGGTTACTCTCCGCTCTACTATCCGGTCGATAGTTTGATCAGCCAAGGAGTCGGCGTTATTCTATGCATTGTGGTGTTTTCTGGTGTTTACTACACCAACACCTGGAACGCACAGAACTTTCCTTTCCTTTCACAGGTCCTGTTCAGTGAGAACGCGACCATGGAAAACCAACTCCAATGGAACCAAACTCTGGTGATTGGCTCCGACAATCGCATTAGTCAAGAAGCGTTGGCCACGGTAGGATTACCGTGGTTTGCGGCCACCTACGTGATCAATATTCTGACGTCCAATATGTGCGTCTCCGCTGGTATCACCCATATGCTTCTCTGGCACTGGCCAGAAATGAAGACGGTGCTGAGAATCTTCCACTGGAAAGCCCTCGCACAAAAGTTGAACCCCAAGAATTGGAACCTAACGTTCTGGCGGGACCAAGCAAAGCCTGACCCCGAACAGGAGAACTATGACCCACACTACAAGCTGATGATGGCCTACAAGGCGGTTCCGGATTGGTGGTACCTTTGCGTGCTGGCGCTTTCGGTCGTTGTGGCACTGATTTGTCTCTACAAGGGAGATTCAACCTTGCCATGGTGGGGGTTTTTGGTGTCATGCTTAGTCGCATGGCTGTTCCTGCTAATTTTCGGATCCATGCAAGCGACAACCGGTATTCCCTTCATTATCCAGCCTATTGTCCAATTGATCGGAGGATATATCCAACCCGGCAATCCTGTTGCCAATATGTATTTCACGCTTTATGTTGGTACTCCACTCAGAATCCTGGTATACCTGCAAACTGACCATCAAATCCTAGGGTTACAACTCCGTGATTCAAGGTTCTCTTTTATGTCAAGACCTTAAGCTCGCTCAATATGGTCACCTGGCCCCTCGCGTCACCTTTACTATGCAAATGATCGGAACTTTCATTGGTGCCATTTTCAACTATATCATGATGAACAGCATCGTTACCAACCAACGGGAGATCCTTCTGTCGGTGGAAGGTACCAACATTTGGTCTGGTCAACAGCCCCAACAGTACAACACCTTGGTATGTGATCAGCCAGTTCTTTCATATTCTAACTAACCACCGCCTCAGTCCGTCGCATGGGGAGGTCTAGCCCACGAGTTGTTCTCAGTCGGCTCACGCTACCAGTGGTGCAGCATCATCATCCTTGTTGGCTTCATTACGCCACTTCCTTTTTACTTCCTCCACAAGCGCTTCCCGTCCCTTGGTCTAAACAACGTCAACACATCGGTTATGATCTATTATATCTCCTACCTTTGTGTGGGAATCAACTCGTCCATCATGTCATTCTTCATCATTGGATTTGCATCCCAGTGGTACTTGAGACGCTACCATCCCAACATCTTCATCAAGTACAATTATCTGGTCTCGGCCGCGTTGGACGGTGGCACTTCAATCATTATCTTCATCTTGTCATTTGCGATTTTTGGAGCTGCCGGAAAGTCGGTTTCCTTCCCAACGTACTGGGGAAATAATGAAAACGGGAACTATGATCTATGCCTGTATACTGATTAGGGAAAAGGGGGTAATTTGATGAGGAAATTGACTGACTCATTCATTATCATTGTTATAGCCATGAAGTACCAAATCTACACGACAGCGGTTTTCTTCAAGACCAGCCCGGATCATATCCATGGATTGGCTGGCTTTACCAATCGTCAAGTATTCCATGTTTTCCGACCTTGGAAGTCCTGGAAATGACCTATAGATCAAACCGGAATATACCTGCACTCAAATAAATGTGAAATATGTGATACAATCTGCTCATATGCTGGATGTATTATCCACCGCAGGCTCTCTAGATATGCAGGGCGGCAAGCTCTTCTGTTGGAGAACCAGCTCATTTACACGAGTTGAGAAAGCCTCGAAATAACTTCCCCAACAGACAATCTCCTTTCATCATCCGTAACTCTCTCATTCTGTGGGGGTGGAAACAATACCGAATCCACAATATGGCACACTCCATCGCCGCACAACCCATCCTGAGCTGTTATATTTGCAATCTTGTTCACCCGCATCGAGATTAACCCCCCATGTCGCGTCACAGTAATCAACAACGGCCGATCTTCTAGGCAAGTAGGGAGAGAAAAGCGACGAACGCCCTTGAGAACCCGCCACAGAGATTCTGCCTGTGTCACTGCAGTTGGGATTGTATGATCGGGCGTGGCTTCTGGTGTCTGCACAAATTGCTCTGGTGGAGAACCTATGTCGTAGAACCGATTCGAGTACAAAGTCCGATTGATAACGATATGATAGAGTAAGAGGGCCTGAAGCGAATTAAATCCTTCATCACTGAAGAGAAACTTCTGGACCTCTTCTGGTAGTCTGTGGAAAGCTCGGTTTGTGGGAATGAAAAGGACTCCACCGCGATGTGACTGGTCATGGAGAATAGCCTGCACTGATTGAGACTTTTGCACTGCTGTTTGGAATATATCAAAGTCATGCGATGGCAAAGTAGCGATAAGAGAGTATATTGCCGGCCGAGGAAGAAGAACCTGATCAATTATATGGACCAGACCGTTTGTCGTGAGATTTTCGGGCTCAATCACGGTCGCCTCATAGTTGACTCTAAGCCCGGTTAGTGAGGGGCGAACTGTGACTCTTTGGGCGCCATTTAATTGGCCAGGGAGAAGTAAGAGGTCCACCGTTGGAGCTGTCAGGAGGAAGTAGATAGGTAGGAACGTCGGCGAAATATGTGCCTGAAGAAAAGTGAGAACATCTCCCTCTGGCAGTTTGTCTCCCAAATCTTGGAGGGCAGTATCGCTCGGGGCCCACACAGTAGATGAGAAGATTGAGTTCTGCAATAGTTCCTTGATTTGGGGACATTGATCAACGAGTTGGATGAACTTGGAGGTGTTCGGTCTCGTTGAGAGGAATCCATAGATTGTTACTGGGCTTTTTCTCGCATCGGCGAGGAATGGCACGAGTGCATGACAATATCCGATATACTGATATTGAAGGTGATCGAGGTCATGTTCTGTTGAGGCTGTTGCAACCAGCCAGTGGTTTTGGTCAGTGGTCATGGTGAATAATTTGCTGAGAAAACAAAGAATCAGTTGGGTGAGACCTCTATTTGACGTGGACATTTGAACCAATTCTTCTTGTCATATTTATTCCGATTCTTCCCGGACGCACTGTCAGATTATAGACTAGGTATCAATACAAAAAGATTGTCTGACATGAATGAATATGTGGAGAAAAACATGTATCTCAATGACTACATTATGGGCTAGAATCTCTTAGAAGGGTGGCTTCTTCATGGCATAGTCCTCCGATTTCCTCGTTAAGGGAAACTCTATCGGCACAGAATTATCGAGTGCCCAGTTCAGGACAGCATCGTAGTCCCGGCACTGATGAAATGTGTTGTAGTCGGGATAAGGCTCGTCAAGGCCCTCCACCCAGTGAAACATGATCAAGCCGACTCCCGAATTGCACATGAGAACTTCTCGTAATGTTTCTGCGCAGTGATCTGTGGTCCGATATGAATTAGATACTGATCAACGATCTAAACTGGGAAAGGGAAAAATTGCCGGATCATGCACCACTTACCTAAATGTCCTCGCATCATCTGAGCTTCCATCTTGTCTTCCCCGAAGTAGTCCGGATACGAAGCTTTTCGTAACATGTTCTATCGTAAACATGCTTGTAAGCGGAAATTCAAGGTAAGTAGAGAACTTAAAAATATTAAGTGGCGTATTACCAAACAGTGGATGTGGTGAAACATCTCCAAAGTAGCCATATATCTTGTCTCGTCTCCATGTGAGATTCGAACAATTGAGTTAATCCATTCGGGATCGGATGCTAGAGGTAAATTTGCGACTGTAGCGCGGTTGACGGCGAGCGTTCCTAGACGGCCATCGAGAAAGGCTTGACTCGCTATGTGTTAGGTCCAATCTCAGGTCCAGGTTCTTCGTTGACTCGCTGGCTCACGATTTTTGGTAAACTGCTCCCATTCGGCATCCACTGCGTCCACTCCTGGAGACCCGATGAACCGCGATGGGTATTTGCTCGGAACGCGGAATGTGACATTGTATCGGGTTGATGTGACCTCCACTGCGTCAATCACCGGCGCTATAGAGTATCAGTATCGTGGATATTGATGCCCCTTCAATTGCTTGGTTCCAGGTTTACGTACACCAAGCCATCTCGGCACATGATTTTGAAGAGGAGACAATGACGAGACTAGATACCAAGAGGATTATGGCGAAGGTGAGAAGCGTTCCATGCATCAGCCATGCTTGTGTTGACAACAGTCGTGGGTGGACATCTTCCGATGGTTTGAGCGACTCGTTACGAAGCTGGCTATAAGCCCCGCGGCTTTGTGACATAGCAAATTTTGGTTCGGTGTTGGCAGCATTGCTATACAAATTCCATTGCTTTGTTATCATTCCCCCAAGCTACATCTGACACTGTCGACGCGTGTCAGCCTGTCAGCCTGTCAGACATCATCTGTCAGACCTTTGATCTGATTCCCTTGTCACTTCTGGCCCAAATATTCATCAATGAACAATACCATCTGGTTCATACTCCTCAATACTCTGGCTTGCCAAAAAGTGCTTGGAGCTTACAAATAAGGCATGGGATAAGCCGTTTCTTTTTCTTTTCCATGGGGGTTTCCGCCCTTGAGGACGACATGGATGAGATTGCCCCCTACTTGCAGCCCCCTTCGTCCATTTCAATGCATAGATATACTAATATATTGGAATATATCATACCCTCAAGAAAGTACTACCTGCATATTTAAATTGAGACATCAATTTCTGGGCGTGGCATGATGGAGATTAGAAATTAGAGTGAGAGTGATTAAATTGTAGCGGTACTAGGTATGACAGAAATGCAATCCTAGGAAGCCTTTGGCTAATATAAACCTGATAATGTACGTGCCCAGCAGCAGTCTCCGGATGAGTGAGTAATTTTCAATTAAGACTTCGTCAGGGAGGACGACATGGCGTGTCGTGGCACTTCAATGGTATGCGATCGTAAGGATTTTCAAGAAATGAGGTCCAGAAGTTGAGCATTGGTGAGAGGGATAGTACAGACACAGATGGACTGTTGCGGGCATATATCATTCAATGAAGCAGGATGAAGTATTAGCTTAATAAACTAAGAACGACTTTGGAAGCAACATATGGATCTGTATTGCTTCCAAGGCTACAGTTGCTCCAACCCTGGAAATGACGCGAGCAACTAGATAGCCCTACAAGTTCCTTTCCTATATACACTAGCTTAGTGCTTTGCATTATCACGCTTGTCCCAGTACTGCAGCTTGACATCGGTGCCGTCCTTGGCGGTATCATCACGCTTGTCCCAGTACTGCAGCTTCACATCGGTACCGTCCTTGGCGGTATCGTCGCGCTTGTCCCAGTACTGCAGCTTCACATCGGTACCGTCCTTGGCGGTATCGTCGCGCTTGTCCCAGTACTGCAGCTTCACATCGGTGCCATCCTTGGCGGTATCATCGCGCTTGTCCCAGTACTGCAGCTTCACATCGGTGCCATCCTTGGCGGTATCATCGCGCTTGTCCCAGTACTGCAGCTTCACATCGGTACCGTCCTTGGCGGTATCGTCGCGCTTGTCCCAGTACTGCAGCTTCACATCGGTGCCATCCTTGGCGGTATCATCGCGCTTGTCCCAGTACTGCAGCTTCACATCGGTGCCATCCTTGGCGGTATCATCGCGCTTGTCCCAGTACTGCAGCTTCACATCGGTACCGTCCTTGGCGGTATCGTCGCGCTTGTCCCAGTACTGCAGCTTCACATCAGGGCCACCCTTTGTTACCTCGTTAGAATCCTATTTAAGGCACTTAGGACATCCGTCTTGTCAGGGGGCTTAGGGGATAAGTGTTGGTAGGAATCGTATATACCTTGTTCTCCGGCGCAGGGGCTGGGAGGGCAGATGCAATCTGCATTGCAACTGTCACCAGCGCAACAGCAATGGGTCCAGTCTTCATTTTGTCGAACTTCGCGAGTTTGTAGACTTTGATTGGATTGGTGACTTATTGATCGCTGAGTGATGGTGTGTTTTGAGGTTTGGCCAAGTGCAGGAGGTCCCAACTTATGTACCTTTGCCCTCCGACAAGACTTGGAGATACTGAAGCCGTAGAGCATATGATCATATGTTGAGCATGACCATGACCATGTAAGATTATGTGGCAATGTAGATTATGTGACAATGTAGATTATGTGACAATGTAGATTATGTGACAATGTCAGCAGTATGACCGTTATGTCCGTATATTGTCCTTATGTAAATAAAGAGCGGCGTGACATGACAGGGGTTATGTATGGCCTTGCTGGGTACATCAATTCGGATCCGATTTAGCTGAGCAACTTGAGTCATGGTGGTCATATTGATGGAGAGCTTTCTCAATTTTTCCTGCATAGTCACTGAGATCTTTGTAGAACTAAAGGTCTGATGTCCAAGTACTTAGGTATGTCAGGTCTGCGCACCCAGCTGGCAGGTCATGTGGATCTTTTTATAGATGGTTTCTTCTTCTTTCTCTATCCTAGCTAGATATATTAGCATGATTAACCTTCTATCCTCCACCTTCGGACCTTATAAAGTATGCTTTCATTCATACTCGCTATTTTGATAAAGATATATTTGATCTGATAAAGTATTCTAGATCATAGATTTGGTTGAATTGTGAATCCGTCCCACTGGACTTCGTAGGTACATTTATATAGCCCCTCGCTAAATTCTGGAGCCTACTTCTAATACAGTGATTGAAGCCAACCCTTATATTAAATTTTAATATGTAGAATTCAAGTGGCATGACTCAAATTCTTTTGTCCTGGAACCCGCTCAATTGAGTGACTTATGGGAGCTTTTCGGCTAATAGCCCACTGTAAGATGGCCTCGGGATCGCGACACGAATGCTGAAACATCAGAATCTGCATATAAAATGCATATAAAAAAAAGAGGGACCAAAAAAAGAAGAAGAGGAAGAGGAAGAGGAGAGAGTGCTTACCATAGTGTTGAAGTCCGGAGTTGGAACATCCATTCCCTGAACCCAGTGGAACATTACCAAGCCCATGTCACCATTGCACATTAGAACCTGCCGAATTATATCGATGCAGTGGTCTATCACAGGATTAGAGAAGGATCAGGTAGCAAGCCGAGAGAGCTAGCATACCTGTGTGCTCACGTCTGTGATGTGAAGAATGCATGAAAAAGGAATCATTATGTTCGTAGTATTCCAAGTAGGTCCATTTTCGGAGAATGTTCTTGGAGTTGTTAACTCGAGGTTTGATTGATAGGTAGTTTCACTCACCAGACAATGTAGCTGATGGAACATCTCCAGCGAGCCCATATATCCTCCTCCATTTTCTTGATCTAAATGAACCAGTGTATCCACAGAGCCATCGTTTGACGACCGCTGAATCTGGTCAATCGTGGTCCTCAATACAGCAGCAGTCTCAACCATCCAAGCTGTATTTATAATATTGTCAGTATGCATATCATATGCCTCAGGTTCCACTTGAGAATGATCTCACGGTTTGTGGTAAATCGATTCCATTCGCTATCTATCTGGGCACTGGGTGGTCCTCGAAACTTGTTCAGTGAGTACAATGTTCCATTCAGTCGTATTGGTGACCAATTAATATCTGCAGGCGTTTCGAATACTGATATATGTTAAAGATGAAGACAATAGCTTGTTGAATCACAAACACATACACCATTCAGTATCAGAAGGACGTCGAAATTGACACGTGCTCAGAGCATTCCAGTACAAGGTCGCATGGACCCAGTACCCAATACCGAAGAGCAAAATGCCTATCACAGCCTGTAGAGCTATGTAGGCCGATATTCTTGGGCCAGGTGGGCTAGATGAGGGCTCTACATACCCATTCTCAGGGAGTAGAGGCTCAGCAGGACAATCTTCTTGGCTTTCAAGCTTGGTGAGTTGCCACTCCATTTGTGAATGCTTTAACTGAAGGGTTTCTCTCGTTTGTTTAGGACGTAAAGTATTCTTAGGAAGAAATTTTGTTCAGATTGCTTGGCTCTAGATACCGCATGTCAGACGTATCAGGTAGCAAGGCCAGCTGTCGGTCTCAGTTATCGGACTCAAGAGCTCAGATGTCAAATGTCAGAGGTCAGAGATGTCAGAGGTCAGAGACGTCAGAGGTCAGAGACGTCAGAGGTCAGAGATGTCAGAGGTCAGAGACGTCAGAGGTCAGAGACGTCAGAGGTCAGAGATGGTCATATTCTTGCCGACCCCAGTGCAAACGTTTTTTGGCAGGGGAACCTTTGCGTTTGAGGTACTTGATATTATAATTCCATCCTCAGTCATAATAACCAAGAGATGATTGACGAATCTCAATACCACCGCTTACCCATAGACGAGGAAAATGCTGCTGAGCTTTCAAAGCATGCATCAGTACCTCGATGGCAAAAAACTTGGAGTCTATTATTCACCGCGCTTCTGACTGCGTCTTTACTGCTGCTTTTCTCATTCCTACGAGCAAGCACTCCAGGGGCACACCCCACAATGTCGCCCCACCTTGATTATCAACATTGTGGCAACAGCACCGATATTGCAAAGTCCCGCGGATGTCAATTCGATCTCTTGAATTATGTCTGGCTGCCAGAGCCCTGTATAGAGCAAGAAACCGTGAATGAATTCCGCATCTGGCTAAATAGCCCAGAGCGCCAATTTGGGCGCTGGCCGTTTTTTTCCGATCGCGAAGGACAAGAACGCATCGCCGACGAGCAAGCCTTGTCAGAGCGGGTGCATGTGGACACTCGCGCGCCTCAAGAAGAACATCTGGCTCATTGTATTTTCCTGTGGCGTCGATTGGCACGCATTGCTGTTATGAAGGTGGAGCTGGATATCGGGATTGGTCATATTCACCATTGTACTGAGGGCCTACTGGATATTTTGCAGGGGCCAAATCCAGTGGATGCAGAACGGCCACATACAGTATTTCAGGTTGGATTCGGTGGATGCAGATTAGGATAGTCAACGTTGCACCTTATATTCATTCATGTGCCGCCTTACTCTACTATCTTTTGAATGCCGCCCCCATTTCTCCAGAGATACTGAGGGGGCTTCAAAGACGAGAATGAAGAACGATCGGAGCATATTGGAACGCCATTCTCATTTTGTTGGTCGCCTTAGCTGGACATATGAATTAGTGGTCACACAGCGTTAGATTAATTGGGTAGCCCAACCCATGATCAGAACTTGAGGGGTAATCTTGATGAAACTGTCAGAGTCTGTCTGCAGGCAGGTGACCTGGAGCCTCTGTAGATAGATGGCGCTGGTTCCTCATCTTCCTCCTTCTCTCCTCCATACAACCAAATACCATATTCTCTGTCTGTTCGTTTCTTCCCGTAACGGCAAGCTGTATCATTTTGTGCTTTCTTTCTTTCTCCTCTGATCCTTGACCAGCGTGTGACGCTGACAGAAACCATCATAAGGGAGGGCGGAGGGGAGGCGTTCGGAGCAAGCTCCACAGAATTGGAGTAGTTGCGCATCAAAGCAACCCTGCTACCTACTGCTTATGGCGGCCTTGTATATTCCCGATGGCTTCAGACCGATGAAAATTACATAGAGTTAAATGGGGCAGAGTGTCGGTTTACTAGAACAAGCCTACTCGGTTTTAGGTCAATCAGTTGTTGCCGAGGAAAGTTACATGCTTCCTTGTGTTTTGGGCGTAATAAGCAGGAGCCTCACCACTGCAGTCGTTTGCAACCTTGGAAGTCATATGAAAGATATCTAGACATTCCAATATCTCATAAACATCTTTCAATACAAGAACCGGGGAGGCCTATGATAAATATTGTTCGGCGGAGACCCTACTTAGCAGGCCAAAAGTACAAAGACCCCAGGAGAAACCCACGGTGTTATGACTTGTCTCACCACTGCGGGGCGCATCTCCCGCAGCCCCGCCGGACGTCCATATCGCCCTCCTCGATGCATGTCTGGGTACGGAGTAGATCTCAAATCATTGAATAAAGATAAGAACAAGCAATTGAGAGAAGCCTTGGCTCACGCTAGTCCCATTTCAACTTCTCACCACTTCCTAAATGACGGACTAAAAAAAAAGGCCAATGGCGAATTTTAAACATCTGGATTTTTGTATAATCATTCGAAGGGCTTAGAAGCACAGTAAGCTTAGCCCAATCTCGTCTCCCATTGCGAGGAGTTGGCTTAATCGCTAAATCTATTGCAGCAGCCCCATACTATAGATGATCTGCTGACAGCCATGGCAGATCGGAAGTGGGGGGACACTAGATTACTTCATTTCTGCGCGGGAAGGTCTCGCCGAGTCCTAGCCTAGGCTTTCCTCAATTGCGGGGGAAAATCGGCGCAACTCAAGAAATCGTGCCCGGATCCGCTCTGCAAAATCGACAATGCACCGGTCTTCCGCAATAATCTGTAGTTGTACACCGAATCGATACATGGAGAGCAGTTGGTCAATCATTTGATCGGCTTTCTGTTTCAAATTGACGAGGGGCCGTTCGCAAGGGTCTGCATGGCTTTCTGTATGACCGTCTGCACTTCGGGTAGGTCTGTTTTCTTTTTTCAGGGCAGAGGCATCGGATACTGAAACCTTCGGCCTGCAGCTGCTGTTTGCGCCTAACACATCACGCCCCCTAAGCTGGTCATGACCTGAAGGGTTCGTATTGGTGATTTCGATAAGGGTCTCATCTGCGTTGAGATTTATTACCGGCTCCAGATATTGGTCGGTATCCAATAGTGTACATGTGTCAAGAAGATCTGGAAACATTGCCGGATAGTCAATGGCATTTTCAGTACCCTCAGCCAAAAGCTGGCAAAGCTCACTGGCGGCACGAGAATTTAGAACTGGAGAGCAGGAGCGGCCTTCCGATGAGCCCTGCTCACCATAATCTGTCAGGATTTCCTTCATTTGCTTGAGGCGTTCTCCTAGTAGGGGTTCAAGTCAGTGGTGTGACATATACAGTAAATGGGTCCGCAGAAAAGATAATAAAAGATAAACAGAAAGTGCACTGAATATACTTACGTCGTTTACGTTGCGATATTCGGTTTTGGATTCGCCGTCGATCTTTGATATTGACAATACTGTGCAAATCGTCTTCCATAGCCGCAGGATGCACGCATGCTAGTCGCCGGGTTGTAGATCTGAGGGGTAGTCGGGTAGAGGACCCTTCTTTATAGTAGCCATTTTAGTAATTCCCTCCCACTAAAGGTGATGTACAGGGAGCTACTTGGTTCTTTTGTGATGGACTTAGTACTAGCCATGCAAGATAGCAATATTTTCATGAATTATGTGACCAAACATCGCAAATGGCCATGTAGGGACTCGGGAAAAAATACTCCAGGAGTGCTAGCTTGCATCAGTAGCCTCTGGGGCTTTTCGTTTCTGTGTACCACCTTTGCGCGCCGCGCGTCCCTGCCCAGAACCCGATCACTATGATTGAGCCTAGCATATCCTGATGAGATCTTCTCTGCCTGTTAGAAAAAAAAATACAGAATAGACGAAAAGGCAATTTTGATACGGAAACGCTGGTGCACTTGGCTGAAAAGGCCAAGAAATGTAAGAAATTTTGGTGGTTCTCGGGGCTTCGAACAAAAACCAAAGCCAAACAACCTGGACCCACTTCCAGTGCATCAACTAATCAAGAAGAAGAAGACTATTTGCGTTATAATGCCCGAAAGGGGTCCGACGAGTAAAGCGAGACTGAGTGGGGCATAATAATTTACGATGTAAGCGCTAAGCGTACCATTGATACCAAAGACTCTTCGCCCGGTCTATCTCACCGACGATCTTCATGTTTGCGAGCAAGGATATACAGTATCTGGCCAAATACTGTAAGCTACAAATTTTTCATCACACGCTAAAACTGACCACCATAGTAAATGTAAAATAAATTGTCTTTAGCGGTGTAACATTAAATAAGTATTGTAGTTGGCCATAGGGTATTGAAATATTCCAAAACGGCCTGACTAGCTATGCAGGCGGTTGTTGTATTCGTAGCTTATATGGCCGAATACTGATATTTCAAGGCAAAGGTTTTAAGAGAGGAACGGATGGCTTCCCCAGGCCCATGGCCAAAGAGGCTGATCAACGTCAATTGGATTGAATACCGGTGATGGACGTCTACCTAGGCTATGTAGTATCCAATACACCAGCAACGAAAAGGGTATGAGCGAGCGTGAATGAATTGACCCTTTCTAAAGTATTGGCATCGATGAGATAGTTGTTTGACCCTCGTTCCTGGCCTCTGTCATAGTGCGTATCGGAAGTTCTTAGACTCCATATCCGTCATATCCTTGAATCCATCCAAAATTGCCTGAAAGTTGTGGTCATCCGGTTCTTCACTGATAGCCAAAGCGGCGTTCCTCTGGGAATTAACCCATCGCATTCCTACATATGCAAGGGCAGAAAGCACGAATATTCCCGCATAACAGACCAAGAGTCCTGTCAGGGCAGATTTGTAACGCGGGGCCTCACGAGCAAAGAAGATATTTGCTCCAGCCACATTTCCACCAGCGTAAACCGTGAACCATATACCGCTAGCGAAAGCTCGCTTGGTGTGGCCAGCGACATTTGTGGACAGAAGATTCCAGCATACAATAACCGGAGCTCCAACAACATACTGCAACCAAGCACAACCGACGAGAGTCCAGCGGTGGTCCAGGCTTGTGAAACGAATCCCCAACAGCCCACCAAATGGGATCAGGCACACGACGGCGAGTACAATGCAGCGTGAATTGGGCACAAACGTCGCAACCAACCCGCAGATCGGCACGATAACTGCTTCAATGGCACCAAGCGGTAGCTGGAGAATTGTCGCATAGATGCCGCTGAACCCGAAGCCTTCAATGAGAGAGGACGCAAAATTGGACACGCCGCCGTTGATGACACCACAGGCAATGCCGATACCTGCACAGCAGAGTACCTTGACGTCGTACAAGCATTCCAGCGCTTGCCTTGGTTTGATTTCCCGTGTCTTCACTCCAATCATGTTCTCCGCTACCCGTCGGACTGCCACAAGACGCTGGCGATGAGTCAAGAATCGCGCCGAGCTGGGCGAGTCGGGCATCAACCATAGGAATACGACACCGCTCACAAAGTTCAGAAGCCCAATCGTCAGGAAAATGAGCTTCCAGCTCTGGAGAGCGCCATCGTGTGTATGGCCGAGACCAAACCCTAACAGTGCCCCAACTATCGTTGCCATACCATTGGCGCTCAGCCAGATGGCCATACGGAGAGGCTGCTCAGACCGTTTGTAGAACATCGAGGTCAAGACCATCACTAGATTGATGTATCAGTACGCTGAAAAAGGTCTTGATCAAGGTGTGTCCCCACTCACTACATGGACTGACTCCTGCTTCTGCCATTCCCAGCAGAAACCTGAGCACCAGGATTCCGGCATAATTGGTGGCTCCGATGTGCGCTATGACAATGACACTCCACAATAAGAGCATGCAGCCCATATACTTAGCAACGGGAAGTTTCTGGAGCAAGAGGTTTGATGGAATAGCCCAGAATAGATATCCGAAATTGAAGATAGCAGCAACCCACGAGTATCGCTGACCCTCGAGCCCGAGATCCGCCTTGAAAGTATATGCCGAGGCATAGTTTAAAGACAACTTATCTAAAAGGAATTAGTCTCGTATTGAGCAATTTGGAAAGATAGTCCATACCAAGAAATTGAATCACATAGGTAACATAAAGCTGGAAGCTGGTTAGTGACATGACTGCAAGCCGCAGAACATACGTACAATTGGCATCAATCTCCAATCTAGAATCCTCAGAACCTTTCCCCCTTCGGACTCCACTTCTTCGGCCGTCAATTGCTCGGCCTCCACATACAATCCGGCGCCGATGTCGCGAACCTCACCGAGTGCAACGTCTTTGTCTTTAGCTTCCTCTGTCGGATCCACCTTCCCCACTTGGTGCTTAAGATCTTGAGGGTTCATCATGACGCGAGACTGCAGATTGATTCAAGTGAGAATTCTGCCATATCTTTCACAGTTTCAAACACATTCAATTTATAACCTCGAGATCATCCCTGAAAAGAGGGGGTTATCATCGCCAAGATGATAACACGCAAGGTAATCATTGTTGAGAGAGATATGCGGACACTCTCCGCTTGGAATGATTCCCCACTTATGATCCGCGGGACTTGAGCGGACAAGAGTCCGCATCGGGCAACATATAACCTCAATGGCTCAGTCTCTATAATTGAACATCGCAGTCAAGAGGTTTTCATATTGCAAGATGACTGGAACAAGTTCTCAAGGCTTCTCTCTGCTTGATGCAAGCATCGCCGAGCTTCAACATGCCCTCTCGTCAGGATCACTCACCAGCGTGGACTTGGTCTGCCGCTATCTGCGTCGCATTAGCGTCTATGATGCCAATGGACCTAAACTCAGCGCTATTCCGATTCTCAACCCATTTGTTTTCGAAGAGTCCGCCGCTTCAGATGCCCACCGGGCATCAGGACTTCCTCCTCGACCACTAGAGGGAATCCCATTCTTAGTCAAAGACAATATCAAAGTGAAAGGCATGGTAGTCGCCAATGGCTCCCCAGCGTTCGAACATCTTATCGCAAACGAAGATGCCGCTTGTGTACAGCTCCTCCGCGAGGCCGGTGCAGTTCTACTAGGCAGAACTAACATGCCTGCCATGGCATACGGTGGAATGCAGCGCGGAATCTGGGGTCGCGCCGAGAGTCCTTATAATAGTGAATACTTGGCAGCAGCATATGCTTCCGGTTCGTCGAATGGATCGGCGGTCGCTACAAGCTCAAATTTCTGTGCTTTTTCTCTTGGGACGGAGACTGTCTCGTCGGGTCGCTCACCTGCGTCCAATAATGCCGTTGTCGCTTATACGCCTTCCAAGGGGCTCCTCCCACTCCGTGGTGTCTTTCCTCTCTATCCAACCTGTGACGTCCTAGTACCGCACACGAAGACGGTGGCTGATCTTTTCCATGTCCTTGATGTTTTGGCAATCTCTGATCCTAACCCAAAAGGGGACTTTTACAATGAGCAGAAGGTTGTCCCTCTGCCTGCAGTGACAACAATTCGACCCGAGTCCTTCTCCAGTCTACAGGACAAATCATCATTGCAAGGAAAGCGGATCGGTATCCCATCGATGTATATCGGAGGTGACGACTCTTCTATTTTACCCGTCAGTAAAGTGCACACCCGGGCCTCAATCATCAGACTATGGCAAGAAGCCCGGCGTGCTCTCGAGGCAAGTGGTGCCGAAGTTATCGAAACAGATTTTCCTCTCGTAACAACTTATGAGAAAAACGCATCCTCAGGCCAACTTGTGACCGTCGCAAACCTTCCGGAGGGATGGGCAGCCAAGGAACGATGTGAAGTTGTATCGCACGCGTGGGACGATTTTCTAGTGGCAAACGGTCAAAAGGGTCTTGAGTCCTTGACTCGTGTGGATCCTACTACGATCTTTCCTCTCGCACCAGGTTCTGTACTCGGTACACCCGAGGCCGCCAACAAACCACGCTGGGGCGAGATCGTCGAGTATCCGCATAATAAACCACCTTCTATATTCGAAGTTCCCGGGATGCTTCAAGCGATCCAGGCACTCGAAACCGCTCGCAAGGAGACATTCGAGGCGTGGATGGACAACCTGGGTCTTGATGCAGTTGTCTTCCCAGCTATCGCAGATGTCGGTGCTGCAAATGCAGATGTGGACGAGGAAGCTTCTCGATATGCTTGGAGCAATGGCGTCAAGTATTCGAATGGAAACCGGCCTGTACGTCATCTTGGCGTGCCGACTATCTCTATTCCTATGGGTGTGATGGAAGATACACATATGCCCGTCAGTCTCACATTTGCTGGGAAGGCATATGAGGATATCAGTCTCTTACAATATGGATTTGCGTTTGAATTGGCGACGAAATCCCGCGTTCAACCACCTCTTGTGCCCGCTCTTGATTCCGATCACATTCTGGCCAGTGGTTCTGCTCCCAAAAATGCCTCACAGATTCTGGAGATTGTTGTTGAGACACAGACAAAGGAAGTTCGAGATTCAGAGGTCGTTGTTCACATTGAAGGATCTGTGATTGGTGCCACATTTACACACTTACTGTGTTATGTCAATGGCCAACCATGCAATACCACTGTGAATGGCGAGAGATGGTCCCTGAGAACAACGTACCCTGTCTCCGAGAGAGATAACAACTGGGAAAAATGGTCCTCCCCCGCACTGAAGCAGACTCTTGTCCTTATTTTAGCGCACGACGATGCTAGCCCTACAGCTGGGAAGCTAATTATCCTGTGAAGTTGTACACTAAAAGGTTCTATTCCTTTATTGTCATGTAAATCATTGTCATCAAGCCTTAGTCGTTTCACTATATTCCCGTCATTAGGTCATCAGCTAGCGTCTCATATCGCACAGCTCCACCATACATCATATCCTCAATCATGCCCAGGATGGCTCTATGAAGATAGGTTCGCTTGAGTCGCTCGAGGTAGACTTCAGCCTCCTCCAGGCTTAGGGTGCCTGCCCCTGGGGCAATTGCATCTGAATCCCATAGAATTCTGTGTTGTAAGAATTCGAATACCTTCAAATATGGAAGGGCATCACTCCATTCGTCAGTAAAGCAAGCTAGGCTTTTTGTACAGGCTTCAATGGCCTCGGGAGAGTTATAGGATTGGTTTTGTTGCAGGTATGAATTGTCTGCTATTGGTCTTGTCGCCCATATCAGATAAAGAAGCATGATGCCGGCACGAAATTGATACACGAGCTATATAATGTCAGCAAGTCTGTTGGATACTCAGGATGTGCAATACTCACAGCTGACCACGTAAAACATAAGACATGTCCTTCCTCCTGCAAACGACGGTACTTAACACACACCTCCACTACGGCGGCAAAAATCTCTTCTGTTCCTTCATGATCCAGGAAGTTGTGTTTATCTTCCAGCAGGATCAAGATACTGTAGTCATATAATTTTGCCATCCAATTAGGATGGTAGTAGCCGCATGAAACATCTGTCATTCCATACCGAGGAATGTCTTGTCTCCATACATCAAGAGCCGACTTGAGAGAAGAGCTGAAAGCGTCTTGCTCTTCAGTAATTTGCCACCGAGACCTTTCTAGCGACCTTCTTATATTCGCTTGTATCTTTCGCAACCGGAAAAGATGGCTTAGTGCAGGGTTTGTATTGACAGGGGGGTTGAATGATGTCTCCCAGGGTACACATCTAATGCGCGTCAATTCAAGTCCCAGAAATGTTGGTGGAAAGGTGGGAGAAGAAGAATGCCCAGGAGTACTCACATCATCTTCCACCGCTTTGTATGCATCAGAAACAGGCCTATCCCACCCGGACGCAATGATGACATTCAACATATAGCAAGCAATGAACATGTTCTCTGTCAAGACCTCCCCCGAGGCGGCAGTCACCTCTCCATTGGGGTTGGCTCGTGCGTACTTCCGAATCTCCGTCATTGCTGCTGTACAGAATGGCACAATGGAAGCTACACTTGTAGCGATCTCATTTGAGGATGGAGAGTGCAATGCGTAGACGATCAGAAGCAGTGAGGCTTGAACATGCAGAACCATCGATGGATGTCCCACGACATGTGGGTAGTAATTCATGGCCGATGCGTAGAGCTCTTTGGATCGAATCGAATGTGCAGGGTCTCGCCGCATGATGCTACACAATGACGCGCCAATGGCATAGACCATGCGCAGGAAGAAAGTCCGCCATTCTTCTCGTCCGCCTGAATAATCGTCCTTCTGCCAGGATCTCCAGGTGTTTTCATTCAAAAAGGGCCACTCGCGATGAGATATTGAGAAATAAATGTTCGTATAGAGCTCGGTCAGCCACGGGGAGTCGTCACCGATCAATGGATAAACTGGGCTCTTATCAAGGCGGAGGAAATCCAGGGTTTCTTCGTTCAAGGAGAACGTGTCCGTAAATGAAAGCTGTGAAGGAGGTCTGGATATTCGGTCTTGAGACTGTGTAGCAAATAATACCAGTGTGCTGTCATCCGGCATCAAGTCCGGTTTCCAGATTAGTGATTTCTCTCGGCTTGCCCATGGTCGGCACGGAGTGGCAGATGTATCCACTGCAACTGGGTCTGTCTGGACACCGACATCTCGCAATTCAATCGTCGTGCCAGCCGTTCGAGAATGACCCTCGAGCTCGGCCACTGTTCTCTCCAGTTCCTTCAAGTAGGCCAGTGGAACTGTAATGTTATCCCCGGACCGCCGAGACCGGGCCGGTAAACATTCCGCGCCTTTACGGCGGCATTCACCACAGGTAGGTTTGGCATGGTCGCATTTCCGCTTTAAACGGAAACAGCGAGCGCAAGCGATTTCTCTTTGTTTCAAAGGGCGCGACATGCGGGAGTTGGAGAAGGCGAGTGCGGGGGAGAAGTCTGGATATTGATAAGAAGGTTTGGGGCTCCACTCATACTGTATGACACCGTTAAACATGATAGGCTCATCACGGCAAGTTATCTATTGGTTAGTCAGGAATACTACTGATAACATTGGAACGGTGTCTTGTTAAGAAGGTAAGATTGTAGAGGAATAAGACATAAATGCGAAGATAATACCATTTCAGATAAGCATGAAGTGTACAGCTAACATCAATATCATCAGTCGAGCATCAGCGTCAGCTCGGGTGATTGAAATTGCTGCCGAGGCTGTGAAAGATGGCTGCGCCAGAACTACTGTTCGGTGTCCAGTGCCTAGTTCATATATCCGGGATCCATTTACCCATCATGGGATCGTACCCGATCGTCTTGGGCTCGATGTTGAGAGTCTTGAGCATAAATCCCATCGTGAATTCCTGCTGACCTGGTTAGCTCACAGCACAGGCGAGAAAACAACCTCCGACCCTACTAACCTCGTCTGACGTGTCTTCTTGACGACTTGAATCACTCTTCTGATTATGAGCCTGCGGCTCCTCATCGTCCCATCGCATAGCATCGCGTTTGCTGCGCTCCATCCAAGCCGCTATTCCACCCATCCTGGTCACGCGCTCTTGAGCATTGGAGAAAACTTCCTCAGCAGCGTCTTGGCCAGCACGGCGCCATTTGATGATCAAGGCTTCGAGCTCTAAATCTTTGTTGGACGATTCAATTCGAAGTGCTTGGTGGATCGTGTCTCGGTCAGTGCGTAGAGCGGTGATTCGTGATTGGAGAGAGAGTTGTTGCTTCTGTAAGTCTAACAGCTCTGGGTCGGCGGAAGATCGCGTTGGTGTTGTCAGGCCAATGGATCCTGGGATTTGGCGACGAACAACTGGTGAGAATTTCGGCGTAGTTGCAGCTTTCTCTTGAATGTGATTGGTCTGGACTGGAGAGGCTGGTTGGGTTGCGTTCTGGGTGGCCGGGTCTGACGTCAAAGTTGGCAGACTAGCTTGTGTGGAGATGGATCTGCGTAGTGGTGACTTGAATGGCTTCGAGAGTGTAGCAGCAGCGTCAAGGCGGCGACGCTTACGGGGGTTGTGATCATCCATGGTGATGGATGATGATTACAGGAAGAAAGTACAAGTGATAAGATGCTTATCGATAAGGACTATCTAGAGATTTTGTATACATCAATGGCCCACGCCACCAGCCACCCACTGGCCAAATTCAGGGTCACCAGGTTGCGGGAAAAGGCCTCGATCATTGCCTGCATTAGCATTCACATTCACGTTGGCATTAGCATTGGCATTGGCATTTCCATTCACATTCGCCTGGTTCGCAGCATTCTGATTCTGCCGGTTCCTTTGTTGCTGCTGTCGAATATAGACCAATACGAGAAGCGTTGCTGCCAATCCAACAATGAGCAGACCCTCAAGCATGCCTTCATCAATGTCAAACTCGAGGTCGTCGTAGTAGCCGTCCTCATGGTCGGATTCCAGACCACGAGTTCGCATAAAGTCTTCATCCTCGGCATGGGCCTCGTAAAGCTCTTGGTAATAGGCAGCCTCGTCATTTTCAATAAAAGCAGAGAGCCATTCTGTAAACGTGCGACGGGGTTTGGCTTCTAGAAAGAATGTTAAAATACATCCAATGAATCAATTGCGTCGTACTCACCTTCATCATCGCGGATGGGATTGATGTCGCCGTTGGTTATGCGGTTCCAGTATCCTCGAGCTCGCAGCTTCAACAGGCTAAGCTTGACAGGAAGGTAGGCTTCTTTATTAGTCTCTAGAGCCAGATCATAGTACCGTTTGGCCATGTGGAAATCTTGTGCCACGGCCACGCCGTTCTCATGCATCCATCCCAGATTCCAGTAAGCCTGTGCGCTGTGGTGGGCCTCTGCAGCATTATGATAGCAGGTGGACGCCTTCTCAGCATCCGAGACAGCACCGGTGCCAGTAAGGTAGTAATCTCCCATTTTTATCAAAGAATCGATATTCGCTTGCTTGGCGGATCGAGTCCAATAGATCAATGCCAGTGCGGTATTGCGCAATAAAGAGGACCGGGCTTGGTGAAGCCAGGGTAGAATGCCATCGAGAGAAAGCAAGGACCGCTGCTCGTCAAGAAGGTAAGCTACATTAGCCTGGGCATTCTCGTACCCCTGCTCTGCGGCCATCATAGTCGGGATGAGAGCGCCCTCCTTGTCACCAGCCTCGTAGGCCATGTTAGACTCGGCAATTGCTGAGTGCAACTCCTCTGCCTTTTCAGAAACCATCTTGTAATACGCCGCGGCTACACCACAGTGTCTCTGTCTGCCAACGCCAAAATTGGCCATCTCAGCGAGGTAGTAGTAGGCCTCCATCCACCCGTGTCGAGCGGCAATGTCAAAGTAGCGAGCCGCAGTAGCCACGTCGCCTTGATCTAAGAACAACGCACCTAGTCGTGTTTCGGCGGCCGGATAGTCCTGCTCGGCTGCTGATTTGAAGTAATTGGAGGCTTTCCAGGCGTCTTGAGGAACGCCGTACCCATGGAGATACATCAAGCCCACGTGATGCTGGCAAAGATCATCGCCATTTTCCAGGCCTCGCTTAAACCAGAGCAGTGCATGAGAGAAATCTTGCTTCACGCCCTCCCCACGAAGGAACATCAGACCAATATGTCCTGCTGCTTTCGCGGCAACCTTGTCGAGTCCAGCAGGGGGGTTCTGCGTAATGGTACCATCCTTTTTCCAGTATTTTGCGGCAATGAGTCTGAAATACTTCATGGCCTTGTAGAAATTGCGAGGCAGGCCACGAGCACCCTCATAATTCATCTTTCCTAGGGAGAAAGTAGCCGACAGCTGGCCCTTGCGGGACATGAGATCCAAAAACTCCAGGACATCCTCCACGCTGGACTCTTGAGTGGCTTTGTTATGGTCCTTGGCGTTGGGGCCGGAGCTCGACACACTAGCCCCCTCTCCGTAGACGCCTCCCTCCTCATCTGCCCAACGATAAGACTCCCTAACCATGGCGTGGCCGCCCGGTGGGCCAGACCGATAATAGTCCATCGCCTTATCGGCCACCCTCTTATAATAAGCGACAGCATGCTCGCAGTCTTTGGGTGTTCCAATGCCGGTGTGATAGCGATACGCTAGCGTCATCTCCGACTGTGTGTTTCCTCCCTCCGCAGCGAATTCGTGGTACATCAAAGCCTTCGCTTGGTCACGCTCAACCGCATTCCCAATCCCGGTCGCATACATAAATCCAACCATTGACTGGGCCGTACTGTTGCCGTCAAGCCATGCCAAATCACTATACCACATGAAGGCCTCGCTGAAGTTGCGGGGATGGGTGAAGTTGCCATAGAAGTTCATTTCCGCGAGGAGAAAGATCGCGTCTGGGTCCTCATCTTCATCCGCTGCCGCCTTCAGTTCCTCTACAGCTCGTGCGACGGTCGAGCTGGTCTTCCGATCGGTTTTGCCCGTGGCGGGTCCATTCATGAACAGTATCCGGAAGGCTTCGCGGCCGTAGTGTAAGGTGTATCCGAGTAAGCCGCTAGGTTTATCGGTCGGAGAAGTAGCGGGCTTTATGGTTCGAAGAGTATCCCAGGCATTCTGGACTCTTGCTGTAGATAGGAGGAAGCCAGATTAGTACGTTAGATAGGTTGAATCTCCTCACGCGATAAAGTCCGGGGTCACTCACGGCTAATAGCCCGAGGGTCTGTCTCTCCGGGCGCAAATAGGTACTCTTGGTGATCGTTGTCGCCAGCAACATAATTCGATGGAGCATCTGCTAGAGGCGCTTGGGTTGACCCTGCTGTGTACGCGTGTAATAGCACTAGGAAGAGGTCAGCACGCCAAAAGGACTATTTGGAAAGAGAGCTTACGCAGGGTCGGTAATACACTAGCAAATGAAGTCCTCATGATGCTAGAGATGTCTGAGATATCAGGAAAAAGAGTCGCATTGCGACTCTTCACGTAGCACAGGGGAGGTGATGTAGATCCAACGGGCCACTTGGCTTGACGGAGCTTGGTTTTACCGAGGGCGAATCAGCGCTTATCTTAACTAGCTATCAACTTTTCTGGATACTGCGATTGAACTAGACTGCACTTCGAGGCAACATATATGAAGAACACTCATTAAATTCTTTTATTTTATTCAACTCCCTGAGGTTCTGTGTACAGCAGGGGAAAAGATCAAATCAAATACAAAGCCCGAGTACGCTCTTCATGCAAGTAAAAGAGAGAAGAATAAACGTTTATGTAGCCCCGATTCACCAGACGAAAGCTCCAAGTCGCCACTGAGGATACATCCGGTAGGGAAGTATCCCAAAGAACGACCCGAGCATTCATGAGGATTCATTCAGGGCCATCCACCAAGGTGGAAAGGGGAGCAGAAGCCATTCACAATCTCGATGAAAAAACAAACTGCTGAACTAGGGCATCTTGAAGGGGCAAAGAGAGGTAGAAAAAAGAAGAAATGATGAACAGCCTAATGGCTTCGAACGTTGCTAAGAAAACAGATACAGGTGAAAGGGTAGGAAGCCCCCAGATCGTGAAAAATGAAAAATGACTATTCTTTCCCGCAATGTCATATGCGAGATGGTTCTTTTTGTGATTTATCTGAACTGTTTGTTGGTACAATGGTACAGCACGAGCCCCGATTGAGCAAGCCGTATCTGTCCAAACTTCACTGGCGTGGAGACCTGTTCGAATTGTTAGCTACAAAATTCGTTGTAGCCAATGCTTAAGAGTAGAACTTACGTTGGGCTGTAGGCCGGGGAGGTGGGGCTGTAGCCAGGGGAAGTAGGCGACGTCGATGATCCAGCAAAATTAGGAGAAGTCGGCGAATATGACTGGGGGCTCGTAGGAGACCATCCAGGGGACGTAGGTGTGTACTTCGGAGAAGTGGGAGAGGTGGGGGATAGGTGCCGACCGCCACCGAGCGCAGGGCTGGTGGGGCTGTAGCTAGGAGACGTCGGGCTAAAGGCTGGCGAGGCCGGACTGAAGCTGGGAGACGTCGGGCTGTAGTTGGGAGACGTAGGCGAGAACCCAGGCGAAGTCGGCGAGTATGAAGGCGACGTAGGGGACGCTTGGCCATACGCTGGCGACGTCGGCGAGTAAGCCGGAGAAGTCGGAGCGAACGATGGGCTCGTGGCGGGCGAGAAACCAGGAGAAGTCATCGAAATACTCATACCAGGCGAGGTGGGAGAATAACTCGAGGTCGGAGAGTATCCAGGGGAAGTAGGACTGGTGTTGAAGGGGCTGCTGGGGGAGTAGGCACCAGGGCTGCGAGCGCCAGGACTGAAGCTGCCACCAAGGCCATAATCAGACTTGTATTGAGTAAGCCCACCAGGAGTTTCGGCGCCAGCCTGGCGGATAGGCGAGAAGGCTGAATCTGGGTCGCCATCGGCGAAGTATGGAGAGCTAGCCATGGGGGATCCAGTGTCGTACTGGGTGGAAGCACCGTCATTAATAATGGCGTTCTTGGAGCCAAGAGGTTCCATAATACCATGGCGGTTATTTGACACAACCGTGTTCAGCAGGTTCTGATCGAGGTAAACGTCAAACTCGCCCGTTCCAGCGGGGGCCATCTGTCCAAGAATCAGGTTCTCTGACACACCACGGCAGTCATCAAGCTCTCCGAAAGCGGCAGCCTCGAGAAGAATCTCGACGGTCTCTTCGAACGAACAGCGCATCAACGCACCGTTGTCCGCACGGTTGATACCGTGACGAGTAACGGGGGTCAGGTAACCTCGTACGGTCATGACATCAACCAGAAGAGCCAAGTGACGGTGGTTGACATAGGAACCGTCGAAGGCCAACACCTGGGTCAACTCACGGAGCACCGCAGTACGCGCAGCCTCGATACCAAAGACTTCGAAAATCTCGATGAACTGGTTAGAGTATGTACGCGTAGCGTCCACGCCAGGAATGGCAAGAACCGGAGCAAGAGCGGAACCACTGGTCTCGAGAACCCATTCCTTGCAAAGGGGATCAGACTTGCTTGTGAACAGAGTGCCATCCTCGAGGACGCGAACAATGCCCTTCTCGTTGATGAATGCACGTTCCACGCCAGGGACACCACGAAGAGTCAACGTGTCAAGAAGATGCTGCTCGAGCTTCTTCAAGGTTACATCGTACTCAACGTCATCATCTTCGTCGTCCTTATGATCTTGGATTTGACGGATACGAATAACTTGCTCATCGGCGTTGTTATCACTGAAGATGACAGCGATATCCCGAGGGTATGCCTGCTTAATCTTGGAGGCGACTTCCTGCACTGTGAGGCCTTTATCGAGAAGCTTGGGCCGACTGAGGATGATACGGAGAAGCCACTTGGACTGGTGAGCCGGGTCCTCACCAACGTCCTCGGGGATGATGAAATAAGATTCCACCATGTCCCGATCGTTCTCGATGACAGTAGACTGGATCTCGGGATCATAGTAGATCTCAGTTGCCTCGGTGACGGATCGTAAGCTGGTGTGCTCGACAACACTTCGCAACTGCTTAGCACCCTCCTTGTTGAAGGTCTGGTGAGGTTCTTGGTAGACAGTCATAGACGGTGTCTTGATGTTGGTAGCCACGTTCAAGATTTCCTTGAGACGAGGCACACCCAGAGTGACGTTCTTGGATGAAACACCAGCAAAGTGGAAGGTATTCAGTGTCATCTGAGTGGCGGGCTCACCAATCGACTGGGCTGCAAGGACACCAACCATTTCGCCGGGGTTGGCCACCGCGCGGGCGAAGCGACTCTCGATAGCTCCAATAACGTGCTGGAAGGCCAGCTTGTTGAGAGAGTAATCGGTGACAAGTCGTCGGAAAGCGAGACGGCTGCGCAGCTGAGCTTTGAAAAGCAGAGTCGCGTTGTCCTGAGCCTCACGCGAGATAGGATCATCACCACGGACAATCAAAAGTCGGTCCAGAAGAGCCTGAACTTGAGGAATAACCTCAGCAGGGTGCAGATCGCTAATGGTACCCTCACGGATACGGAAAGTAGTTCTCGCCATCTCGAGAATTCTTTGAATATTGATAGGAAGTTGCATCATTTCTTCGTCTTCCTTGCAGACAGTACGAAGGAAAGCGCGGTCCTTCAGGATTGCCTCCCATTCTTCGTCGAAGTACTTCTGAACCTCCATATCACCCGCAATTTCATTGGCTTGTTCCAGCACGTCAGGGCTAAGACTGCGCTCAGGGTCCATGACATCAACACGGAAGCGATCCAGCAGCTTCTCATCAGAGCATCTGATCGTATCAACTCGCTGGTTCTCAATGTGCGCGCCATCCAGTCCGTCCTCTCCGTAGATAAATTGAATGATATCGCCGAGGGAGTTGCGGACAGTGCCGTCATACTTGACCATGACCTCTTCCAGAGCCTTGACTAGCTTACGTTGAATGTAACCAGTTTCAGCGGTCTTGACCGCAGTATCAATCAAACCTTCACGACCCGCCATGGCGTGGAAGAAGAACTCAGTGGGGGTCAGACCACGCAGGTATGAGTTCTCGACAAAACCACGGGATTCAGGGGAATAGTCATCCTTGGTGAAGTGGGGCAAGGTGCGGTACTTGAAACCAAAAGGAATACGTTTGCCTTCCACGGACTGCTGTCCCACAACAGCCGTCATCTGGGAAATGTTGATGGTGGAACCCTTGGAACCGGAGCGAGCCATCTGAATAGCGTTGTTCAAATCCTTCAGACTCTGCTCGGTAGCAGCACCAGCTTCATCACGGGCGTTGTTGAGAGCACGAGAAACTTTACTCTCAAATGTCTCACGAACATTCATACCAGGCAATGCCTCGAGAGTGTTCTCTGTAGCACTAGCAGTAATCTGCTCGACTTCATTCTTCCGCTCACGGACGGCCGCCTCAATCTTCTCAATGGTGCGACGATCGGGAATCGTGTCACCGATACCGATACTGAAACCATGGTGGAGAAGCCAATAGTTGACAATTCTCTGGGCACCGTTGAAGAAGTGAACAGCCTGGTCAGGTCCGTACTCATTGAAAATGGTATGGATAACACCACCGCCACTTGCGCCAACGGTCTTTTTCGAGAGCATACCATACAGCAGCTGTCCGCCATGGATCAGCAGACCACCATCATTAAGAGGACTAAATTTCTCGGAGAGTGGCTGACTGTCCTTGTCGATACGAAGAAGGTTAAGACCAGAGGGGAATGCCATACTGATGATCTGCTTTCCGGTCCAACGCGGACGAGGCTTCAGGATTGCGGGAGGAGGAATGACACCATCCCATTCAGGGACCCAGAGCATGACGTTCATAACCTGATCCTTGGAAAGGAAGATGTCACGACGGCAAAGCTTGTAGATACCGCAAAGACTGTCCTGGACAATACCCATGAGAGGACCATTGCGCTGGGGGGACACAATGTTCTTCGGAACGAGAGCCAGTTCTGAAAGCTCGGCGCGGGCCTCCTCACTTTGAGGAACGTGCAAATTCATCTCGTCACCATCGAAATCGGCGTTGTAGGGAGATGTGACAGACAGGTTCATTCGGAAGGTGGAGAATGGCATAACACGAACACGGTGACCCATCATAGATTCCTTGTGCAGCGAGGGCTGACGGTTGAACAAAATAACATCGCCGTTGTCAAGGTGGCGCTCGACCTTCCAGCCGTAAAGCAATTGCTGGGCACCAGCACGCTTGGCGTGACGAAGATCAATACGCTCACCATTGTCTCGAACAATGTACCGTGCACCAGGGTGAATGTTGGGTCCGTTTGAGACCAACGCCTGCAACTTCTCGATGTTGTAGGGAGTCACCACCTCCGGATAGGTCAAGATTTTCGCGGTGGAAATTGGCACACCGACTTCCTCGAGAGACAAGTTCGGATCGCCAGTAATGACAGTACGAGCCGAGAAGTCGACACGTTTGCCCATCAAGTTCTGACGCAGACGACCTTCCTTACCCTTAAGACGACTGCGCAAAGCCTTGACAGGTCGGTTTCCCTTTTGCATAGCTTTCGGTTGACCAGCAATGTCGTTATCCATGTATGTAGCGATGTGGTATTGCAATAGGGACTCGAATTCACGAATAACGTGTTCCGGCGCACCCTCTTGTTCACAGCGCTGGACATTCTGATTCGCGCGCACAATTTCAGCCAGCTTGTAGGTCAAATCATCCTCACCGCGAGAGCCACTAGTAGCTCCCATCATGACACTGGGACGGACTGTGGGGGGTGGGACGGGAAGAACGGTAAGAATCATCCATTCGGGGCGGGCGTAGTCGTTGCTGAGACCCATAATGCGCACTTCTTCGTGGGAAATGTTCCGGAAGATGTTCAGAGCCATACCCGGGGTGATCACCTTCTTCTCCGGCTGTGCCATATCATCCTCCATCATGCTCTTGCTGGGCTTCCATGTGCCGACGAGAGTGATTCCCTCCTTTCGAACGGTAGGTTGGGCGTTACCACATCCACCGTGCAAGTGTTTCTTCTGGCCCTCCTTTTGGTATTCATCATCGTCTGCTGATGGATCAGCCTCACAGATCAAAACGTCCTTTGAAAGTCGCCAGATATGATCGAAGCGTCGTTTCGGGTCTCGCATGCGAAGAGCTTCCAAAAATTTAGAATCGGACTGGTCTCATTGTCAGTAAAAACATGCCATGTAAGATTTGCCATCCCCAAAGGGATGACTAACCGTATTAGCTTTAATCTTTCCACAGTTGTGGCAGACAGTCTCCAAAAGCTTCTTAATTTTGGTCAAGAAACCTGAGCGGAAGAGAAGAAGAACAAGATGTCAGCATACGCGTGCTCTCTCCGACTCAATATTTACGAAACCCACCGATGTGAAACACAGGAGATGCGAGCTCGATGTGACCGAAGTGTCCGGGACACTCTTTCGGGCCCTCTTCGCAAGTCTCGCAGTTGTACTGGCGATCAATCGTACCCAGGCGCGGGTCATTCACACCTTTGGTCCGAGGGCGCTGCCGTTGTTCATCCTGTTTGTTTCGGGTGTTAATTACTTGCTTCAATCCACAATCGAGCTTTTGGGGTCGATTTGAGAGATGGTGGGTTGCCATACCATTGTCTCTGGATATTCAACGTGCACGACACTCATCCGCTTAATATCCTCGGGCGAAAAGAGGCCAAACTGAATCTCCTTCACCGTGCGCAAAGGCGCCTTGGAGAAGGGAAAGAAGACGTTGGACATAGTTGCGGTGATAGGATGTAAAAAGTGAAGGTAATCGGGATCGACGAGTCGAGCGCGGAAGTGAGATAACGAAGGATCTGGGGATCGTTAACGCGCAAAAGCTGAAGAGACCGACTGGACCGATGGCCGAGAGTCAAAATCACACGAAGCGACGATGAAATGAAGGTGGGGTTGAAAGTAGCTGGCCGGCTGAGGCCTTTGGCAGCCCTTGCCACGAGGGCGCCGGCGACCTGGAGTCCCCGGAGTCACGAAGCCCGAAAAAGGAGGGAAAGAGGAGAGATGCCGCTAGTGGTCGCGAAATGGTAGACTCTTGAAGAGATATCGCGATGGGGAACGCGATATTCTTGGATGGGGAGGTGATGGCGGGCGTGTCGGGGGAGGTTGAAAGGGAGATGGTGAAGGTTGCCTCACCCGCTGATGGGGCTCGAGTTTTCCCTGGACTCACTAGCGCGACCGGCGCTGGTCGACGGGTACTATATGTGGAAGGCGGTGAATTCACACAGAACGGGGCAGAATCACTTAGATTCACTTTGTTTCCAATCACGATTCCATCTTTCTTGTACCTTAAATACACTAATTCACTGGGTCTACTGGTACACCGAGATGGTTTCCTTCTCCAGCTTCACCCACATGAAGATAACATATAAGATATTTCAACAGGCACATCATTGAACTTAGAATCTAGTATGCTCCAAGAATTGGCCCTTACTCTACTTGGGTGTGGGCCGCGTAGAGTTTGGTCTAGGTGCTTCTACTTTTAATATTGCTGTCCACGGGTAGCCATTGAAGTTGCGGACACTAGTCACCACGTAATCTAGCAACTGGAAGCTACCCGCTTTCTGCTTTGTTAAAGTGGCAGTGCTTGAATATACTTGAACATTCACCTATACATCACAGTGAGGTTCTAGGCCTTACGATCATCCTGGGATATATATCTGACGGACTGTTGTTGTCCCTTGATCGTTTAGACTTTCATTTAACAAGACTGTGTTGGGATAGTGACCCTAAGACAAAAACCAATAAGCCTTTCAGACCTAGATAGGTAAACAACAATTTCTCGAATATCCTTCAACAGTTAGAGGCTCTCCAAGGTAGATGATCTATAATGATGATGCTCACCGCCTTCTGGAAATCCTCCGGGCAGATCAAATATAACAACCTTATCGCACTGTCATTGTTTCCGCTCATTGCATTGTTGTGAAAGTCACGAGATCTCATTGCCCAATCTCGGTGCCACATGCTTGTTCTCTAATATCCTGGCCGTTCTTCCAGGCTGGGAATTACCTCTGAGAACAGCGCGTCCTCCGGGCCCCCCGCCGTAATGAACCTCTCGCTCGTTGATCCATTTGTCCTGGCCCAGGAATATCCCGATACTCTGACTGAGAAACTAAGTACGCAATACCTATAAACCACTCCTTTCCTAATGTTACATACTAAGTATATCCAGGCAGCGGTCATGCAACCTGCCTTCGTTTCAACCACACTGGCGACTATCTAGCATCCGGTCGAGTACGTACACCTTGAACGGAATCATAAGTCGCACATGAAATCGGTGACAGCTGACGGTAATATTATCTAGGTTGATGGTACTGTGGTTATTTTTGACATTGAGACCAACGGTGTCGCGCGAAAGCTCCAAGGCCATACTCGCCAGATCCAGTCTCTTAGGTTATTATTCCCCCTCCCCCCCACATCATAGGTCCAGGTTACTGATGGTTTGACTAGCTGGTCGCGATGTGGTCGCTACCTCCTAACCTCATCCCAGGATTGGAAGTGTATTTTATGGGACCTAGAGGATGGCTCACGCATACACACCGTCCGATTTGAGGCACCAGTGTATATTGCGGAGCTGCACCCATTTAACCAGTATAGCACACCTTTCCCCCTTCGTGCCATTCTCCATCTGCAGATGACTAACCATACTTTCAATATCTCTCAGTCTCCTCTTTGTGGCTTCACTCTTTGAAGATCAACCCGTCCTGGTCGATATTTCTAAAAGAACACCAGTCAAGCGTATCCTACCCACCGCCCCCTTCCGACCCGATAGCGAAGAAATAGACCCAGCGGCAGCAGCTAAGCGAGCTGCACAAGATGCCAAACAATCAACCTGTGTCACCATCTTCTCAGCATTCGGAAACCACATCATCTCCGGTACATCAAAAGGGTGGATCAACATCATCACAACCGAAACGTGCAGGACAATTCACTCCATGCGCCCCTGCAATGGAGTCGTGATTCTCCTCCGTCTTGCCCGTAACGGACGAGACCTACTGCTCAACAGCTCGGACCGTATTATCCGCACAGTTCTCATGCCCGACCTTTCCCAACTCGGGACCGACCTCGAAGAATCCAACATCAAACTCAATGTCGAACACAAATTTCAGGATGTCGTCAATCGTCTGAGCTGGAACCATGTGACGTTTTCCTCTACCGGTGAATTTGTCTGCGCGTCAACCTACATGAACTCAGACATCTACATTTGGGAACGCCGTCACGGATCCCTCGACAAGATCCTCGAAAGTCCCCAGGAACTCGGCGTGGTGGAGTGGCACCCTACACGGCCGATGATTGTAGGCTGCAGCTTGGAGACTGGATGCATATACACGTGGTCGATCATCAGTCCACAAAAATGGTCCGCCCTGGCGCCTGATTTCGGTGAAGTCGAGGAGAACGTCGAGTACGTCGAGCGCGAGGATGAATTCGACATCCACCCGGCTGAACAGGTTCATCAACGCCGTCTGGACCTGGAGGATGAAGAGCCCGATACTGTCACCGTAGATTCGGCCAAGGATATGACCGATGCAGATCTAGCGAGTGCCTTTCGTGTTCCTGTCCTCCTGGACGTCTCGGACAGCGAGAGCGGGGAAGACATCATCGCCGTTGGCCCTGGAACCATGCGCCGACGAACCCCTGGTGCAAGCCGGGAAGCAACTGATCCGGACGTGGAGAAGGACACTTCTGCTAATGGTACTTCTCGAGGAGCAGCTCGAAAGCGCCGGCGCTAAAAGTGGCTCCTTTGTTCAATGAATTTCTCATTTGCATACCAGGCGTTCTGAAAGGTTATTCATGATCTTGGTGTTTGTGGAGCCGAATTTTTGTACTGTCGTAGCATCAGGTGATGCACTCTGATACAACAACCATCTCCGAAAAGAAGCATCATGACCTTACGTCTCGGTGGCTTCAAAGCATACTGTATGAATCTATGATATCAATACCCATTTTGAATGACCAAAATACACCATATACCTTTGTGCTGCTAAGGCAAATGATTGTACGGAAATATCAATGCGCATGTGCAACTCGCCGCGGGGCTCGAGTAGCATCCATACAATGTAGTAAATTGAAGATGATTTGGAAGTCAGAGATTCATGTTCATAGATATTTTATATGCCATGCACTGAATATAAGAGCTACAAGAAGGTATCAAAACAAAGTCCCAAATGAAGTTTCTCAAAAAATCAAGACCAGTTGTCTGGCTAGCAAACTCAACCACAGAAGTTAAGGTGAGACACCTGGGTATATACCACAAGCCGGAGCAAAGAAAATTCCAAACGCCACGAAGATGCTAAAGGCAGCATGTAGAAAGCAAATCATGATATGATCTCTTCAATCCTTTTTCCTGTTCGACTCCATCAAGGTATGTGGAACGAGAGCAGAGAATCGTATTGTCATAATCTCCACAGAACTTGATTACCACCATTGTGGCTGATTTTTCGTTGCTTGGAGGTCGAAAAGAAGAGAGGGTTGATCATAGTCATCCGCCTTTGAAAGTTTTTGAATCAAAGCAGATGTTGGGCGTATCAGGAGGGGAATTTAATCGTTATAAAATGGAGTCTTGGGTGATCCCGTCGAGGGGGGGGGAAAAAAAGCTTCAAGGCACCTCCAGGGCACCGATCACAAAGCTAATTGGCAAGCGGCTTGCGCGCCTGGTAGATATTGAGGACGTTATAACAGTGAATGTCCTTGTTGAACGCTTCTGACTTGACATCGGTCGCGATACGCTGAATTTTATCGACTGGCCATTGATAGGTCCGGGAGAAGGTGGCCAAGCTGAGAGCCTCAATACTCTCGGACATGGCCAGGTTGTACCACCGAGCCACCTTGCGCTCGTGCTCATCCTTGTGCCAGGGGTTCAGCGGCAACCCGACTATCTGGTGGTCAATTTCCGTAAAGCCCGCATCTTGCAAGTTGCGAATGGCCTCGCGGGAGCTGTGTGCGATCGGTCGATTCCGTTCTTCGCTGGCATGTTTCAGGGCGTTGTACCAGTGACGCAAGGCGAGTCCATCCATCGAACGGTCGTCGCAGCGAGGCTCAAAGTCGATTTCCACTTGTTCAAACCAGGCCCCCGGACGAAGATGGTCAAAGATGCGTCGGTACAGGGATGGCCAGCTTTGCACGCTCCCGGATCCCATCTGCAGGTGGATCAGATCCCAGGAATCCTCACCCATCGCCCAGGGCCCCTCAAAGTCGAATGGGGCATGGAAGTCGCAATTTTTGGGCCGATTGGTCGGTTGAATGGGTGATAAATCGGTGCCGACCACAAAGGAATCAGGGTATTTATTGGCGACCTCGATACACCAGAGGCCCGTCCCACAACCTAGATCCAGAATACGCGAATTATTGGGATGCGGCGCATAAATCAACCCATCCGATGCGCGAGCGACGGTCAGGACTTTGTGGAAGATATCCAGTCGGTCCTGTTCCGTTTCATCACAAGGGAGGAAGTACATGCCCTTGTGATAACCATGGTAGAGGCGTCCATTCTCTTCTACCGGGGGGTATTTCTCGGGTATTCTGGAGACACATCGTCAGTGATTTGAAGTCCCACACTATCCCTTACAAACATACTTGCGATTGTTGATGATGACCGGTGGTGATGGGCGCGAGGCGTGTGAGATGAGGGATGAATGAGACGCGACCGAGCCATTACTGGTGAAACGACCAACACGAAGATCCTTGTCGCGATCGCGGTCCCTCTCCGATGGATCTCGATCGGTAATGACATAAATGTCCATGGCGGTGGAGGTTTGTCGCGAGGAGGCCCGCTCACTCGTGGAAACGGACTGGGAGTGATAGTACCTTGAGCGACCGGCATCACTGGCGGGCGTAGACTCTGACTTGTATCTCTTCGGAGGGGGTGGTGAAGAAGCCATTGGGGGCAAGTGTCGTAGACGATTATCGTCGATCGGCAAATGCCGTATGCGGTCGTCGAGAGGCATGACGGGTAGGGCTTTTGAGATTCAGGCGGTTCCAAGCAGTTCAGGAGGGGGTCGCACAAGCGGGTAGGATGACGACCGAACAGAGTCACGACAACGAAACAGTCAATGGACCCAGCCACCAAAGCAACTAGGAGCGCGATTTGCAGGGGAACGATCGAGATCGCAAAGAAACGAATGAATATTGGACGTAGGGGCTTGGGACCCTCTTCACTTCCCGTCCAGCATCCCAGGGAGTTTCCCAAGACTAAGGTTGAAGCTCTCTGGGATTGGGATTGGGATTGGGATCCACGGGTAGCGGGGGCGGATAAAGCAGCCGGAACCAAAGATGGGGGAGGAAAGAGGAAAGAAAATGAAAGGAAAGGAACAGGATCTTAGGGGCAAAATGAATCCCAATACAAGGTTTGGGCTAAAGTGTGTTCTTTGTTACATTACGCGCTTGAAAAAAGAACCTTGTATAAGCTCTCGGGTTTTCATGCCTCTGTATTTACTCCGTACTGTAATCCTCGCTTGATCGACTTGACCCACTGTCACGGGCGGGAACGCGGACCGTCTGGAGCCTACACATTCTGCCTTGAAGGCAAGTCTACAGAAAACCCAAGGGAGTGGTGCGCAATGACGCTAAGCCACGACGAGTCCCGTGCAATCCCTGTGACTCCCAAGGCCAGAGTACTGGGTCCTTTCCTTGACTGACTCGAGTTGGCCCCCGGCTTGGGCCTTAACTCCATCATCCACCGGGATTGCTGACGGAAATCCCCCCTATAACCCGCTTCCTTTCTCCATCTGGGCCTTCAAATTCGATGGTACCGAGATACGGTTTGGGGGCCAAATCCAAGAACAGATCCACTTCTCCCAATCAAAAAGGGCAAACTCAACGATTGAGCTCATCTGACAAACCCCCTCCTTTGTGGTACGTTTCCTGTTCCACGGTACGCGCTTGCTCTTCAGCTCCCTTGCAGGCTTATGGCCCAGCACTGCGAACACTCCCCACTTCGCTTGCATGACCCTCGGGATTTGCTCTGTCGATCGTGCACTAATGTCCTTAAGTTCCCTGGAACGCGCTCCAGGGATTGGTTCATCTACGTATTTGGAGATCTAATCCCCGCTTACGTCAGACTTGATCTATCTCAAAGAAATTCTTCCTGTAAAGATCTGCACTGCCTGGGACCTATCAGCCGAATCTCCCCTAAAAGGCTGGTCGCTCATCACACCGCGCTTCCCCAGCCACTGACCGACTACCCTATTGAAGAGCTCAGGTGGAATTGTTTGACTTTATCAGCAAATCTGAGCAAGGAGTTTCATCCATTTCCCTTTGTTAGCCACAATATTGCTATAGTTGTCTTGTCACGACGGACAATTATCTGGTCTTTTCACCGCGCTAGGATCATCCCTTACGCAAATTGTGATCGCCCCGCGCTCATCTCCCGTACGATCGATGAGACGTCAATTTAGAAAGCTACCGGATCTCAGCCAGGTAGAAAGCTAGTCAAAGATATAGTTCTTAAATCAATTGCGCCATTCCCGCTCTTTGGGGGCTCTGTCTCAACTGGTACCTTTTCCTTCCTACTCTTACCCGTAACTACTTGACTCCAGGGATCAGCTGGGCGGGTATCGGAGAATTTCTGCACTCTCATGCAAGGACATCGGTTCGGATCGTACCTAGTCTGTAGACTTTGCGGCCAAACGCAACCCAGGCTCAGGCGGCTGTGGTGTAGCAGGAGCTAATCACTGATAACGATAGATATTGATACAGCGCATTATGCCTGTCGCATTGAAACTATGAACACAACTGACGATTACGAGACTCCGCTGTAAGAAATTTGACTACTTCGATCTTCAGTGGAATCATTGTGCTTACGTTAGTACCTAAATGCTACGACAGCTCATCACAGACAACCGTTCCCCAGCTTCAATCTATAGCGTGACTTCTGACTTCGGATCTCTGACATGAATTAGATCGGTCCCCTCGTCTTAGCCCCCTTAGTGGACTATATGGTCGTCGCTCCGTGTTGAATTCTGGGAATGTATTCTCTTCACTCTATGCCACGTTGGCTATCAGTATCTCAGCCCCAAACGGGTTCTTGCGTTAGGTTACTATCCGGCATACGACATGGAGTATCCCAAACAATGTGGGTGGACAAGGCACGCAGAGCGCTTGCGATCCCGTAATCGATCACAAGGAATCCCCAACCCTGGTGCAAATACTGTCCTCCAGGGCTGTACCTCGAAAACATGCACTCGCTCTCCCATTGTAATTGAATATATATACCTATAAGGTTCCCTTCGAACTCCGCTGTTGTAGCGTCCTCGTGGCGCAAGGCATAATTCGACACCAGCGGAGTTAATAAGAGTATGTTCAACATAGACACCCGTGAACGAGGCTTTTGTAATTTAAAAATCAACTGCCGAGTATTCGCCTAGTCTTTCTAAATTTTTAGATATTAGGAAGAGAAGTCTTTTTGTCGAACGATCAAACCGTATTGTTTCCTGGTCAATATCAGTTTTAACTTCAATTATAAGTCCGTCTTCCATGGACCAGTGAGATCAGGTGACCACTTATCGACGCCTTATCGCCCAGGAACCTATTTTTTTTTTATCGGTCTCAACTCTTATCCGTCGACTTTTTCTCTCTTGCCAAGGGTCCCAAATCCCCTCAACAGTTCCCCCGAGAAGTGAACATCTACATCAAAACATATCTGTCTCTTGATTTTCGCCCGAGACCAATCATTTCCAAACCCACCATATCCACGAATCCCTTCCCTCATGGACGCTGAGGCCTACCTCAAACGCCACGGCTGGTCTGGCCCCGGCAACCCACTGAACAAAAACTCCCGCCCAGGACCGCACGGTGGTCTGGGTCTAACACGCCCTATTCTTGTTGCGCGCAAGCAGAACAACCACGGCGTCGGAAAGAAAGTGACCAAAGACTCTGCGACAAATCAATGGTGGCTGCGGGGATTTGAAGATGCGTTGAAGGGCGTAGGCGAAGAGAAGCCTGCTACGGCAGTATCAACAGCGAATGCGCTTACCAGTGAACTATACCGATTCTTTGTGCGAGGAGAGGGTCTGGCCGGGACACTCAATGACGCAAAACCATCAAAGCCGAAGTCCTCAAAGCCGAAAAGGAAACGCGATGACGATGATGAGGACGACCGCAAGGCCAGAAAGGAAGAGAAGGCTGCTCGGAAGGAAAAGAAAGAGGAGAAGCGCAAGCGGCGAAAGATGAAGGAGGAGACTGAGACCGGTTCTGCTTTCAGTGATTCTTCCGAGGAAGATAAGCGGAAGGAGAAGGAGAGCAGTGAGGAGCGCCGGGCAAGACGCAAGGAGAAGAAAGAGAAGAAGCTGAAACGGCCTGCCGAGGAAGACTATCCCACACCTATGTCGACGGAACAAGAGCAGGACCTAGATGTCGCCGAATCAGCAGTCCAAACAACGGACAAGAAGAACAAGGATAAGGAGAAGAAGAGCAGCAAAAAGATTAAGAGCAGCGACGGTAACCAAGAAATAGACGGAAAGAAATCTAAGAAGGAAAAGAAGGAAAAGAAAGAAAAGAAGTCCAAGAGCACCTGAACTCGTTTATTGGACATGAGTTGTCTACACTTTGCATACGCGTTTACTCGCGATCAAGATACCCATTTGTTCGATGATACAGTGAATAGAAACCTGAATATTTCGGCGTCATTTTTGATCTCCTCTTCATATCAGTTCTGCGGCAACTTGCCCGGTGTGCCTGACAAAATCCAAGGCCGCCTTGCCCAGAAATCATCCTTAATGATATCAACATGATCAACAACTACCTGTGCCTTGCGACGCAGTTTCTTCAACTTATCCTGTTGCGACCTTGATTGCTTAGCCTCTGGAACTGAAGCCTCATCTTCTGTCGAGGGAGTAGCTTTGGGCTCGACGAGCTCAAACTGAAAGTCACCTGTTAGAGTCGGCACCAAGAGTAAGGGCTGAGATGTTTTACCTGGCGATAGAGCACGCTTCCTTTTTTGTATATATCTCCTTCGTTATTGTAATTGATGCCAAACCGCTTGAAAAGGATCTCATTTTTGTCTGAAGACACAGTACCCTGATACCAAGTCAATACATACCGCAGGACAGCCTAACTTCGCGGAATAGACTTACCTTCAGCTCTTGTTCCGCATCTGTGTTGGTCATACCACCTTGCAGAACCATAGTCCAGAAAGTGGTATTGTAGAGATTATTGATATGACCTGCATGCCCTTGGTCAGCCAATCCAATGCACGAAGACGAATAGAGAAAAACTTACAATCAACCTGCCTCCAGCTCATGTAATCTCGTAGAATACGTGTGTTGGGGTAAATGACCGCTCGTCCATCAAAAGATGGGAGGTATGGCGGTGCTAGTGGGGTAGAAGGGAAATATGTGGGCCACAGATAGATATAGTACGCTGTGAATGTCGAGACAATGGTTGTAACCAGTTTGCTGGATACAATGTCTCGTCAATGAAATGTCCGCGATCATAATTGAGAGTATCAATCACTACTTACGCGTTTCGCCGCTCGAAGAGCTGACAAGTAGGTGGAAAGACGAAGCTGGAGCGTATCGATGAGTAACCATAGTAATTGCAATAGTTGAGTGGAATATACCTGTACTCATCGCTGACACCATAGGCAATGCATAGATCTGGAAGATCTTTCATGACCTCGACCGCAGCCGCATTCATGAGATCAAGCGCGCGGCGGTCATTGGGTTTTTGGAACGCATAGTGATCCGACAGCCTAAAGTCGTTAGATGAAAGTGAACGCTACACAAGACAGAGGTATTGAATCTGTAGTTGTCTAGGGAAACTTACTTGTGAAATCCTCTTCCGTCAATGCGAACCACAATCCAGGTACTAGGAAGCAACGGATCGGATTGCTCGAAGTCCTTGACATACTCAAATCTGTCGGAATTAGCACCTCGGCAAATGAGTTGAGAAATTGAATCATGTACTTCGAATTAGCCATATCTGTGGGTGGAAAGAAGCAGCGGTGTCGAGTGAGTAGATTTATCCCACCGACGAGTCATTTTGTGCGCGCGATAAGAGTCACCAGTTGACGAGCCCCGCTCCCCCACTAATATAAGGTTATCTATTCAGCCTAATACTACACGCTCACAAGCGTTAAAATGGCCATGGGAAATTACGAAGATGGAACAAAATTGCAAGAATACGTATGAAGGTTTGTAAAGAAACGGTCGCTATTGACCAATGTACTTCGGTTGAGTCGCCGTTGTGGTGTATGTAGTAACTGCAGAATCTAAGAAAAAAGAAACAGTGAAGGGACGGGAGATCATGAAAGAATCTCCGGAATTTCGGGGATTTCCTCGTCGCCAGTCTCACTGGCTCGCTCGCTCGTCTCGCTAGCCTTGTCCGATTTTCGTGATTTGCGAGAGAAGAAACCAAGACTACTGCGAGTAGATCGGTCTGCCGAGGGCACGCTAGAGAGTGTGCTATCGATGCTCTTCGCTAGCTGAGCTTCACTGGCTGCGTCTTCATCGATGTCGGTCTGTGAAGACTCGCCCTTTTTCGAAAATAATCCAGAACGGTCTTTCCAGGAGCTGAATTTGCTCGAGCTGCCTTTGCGGGTAATCTTGCGAATGAATGATTCCTTGGATGCATTGTCTACCGAAGTACCGGACGGCATGCGTTCCAAGGACTCGTAGGACTCACCCGTGAAGTGGGAAAAGGAGCGAGAGGTGCGAGGCTCAGAAGGAGACCCATCGTCGACGTGAAGATCAAAGGGGGCGTCAGACTCGTCTCTATCTTTCTCTCTATCCTTGTCAGATCTCCTGCTAGAAAACATTCCTCGAAAAGACGGCGCAGCCGGGTTTAGCTTGGGGGTGATAGGCCGATGGGACGAGGATGGACGAGTTCCAATCGGCGCTTGTAGCGGCCGATGATGGCGATCGTATGTGTCCTCGACGAAATCGGGCTCGCCAGTCAATCCTAAGGGAAGATGGCCAGACGACCCATATTGGATTGAGGGCCGACGAGAAGGCGCTCGTGACCAGGTTGATGGAGATGTCCAATCTAATCCCAGCGGGCTATTTCGATGTCCCATTTGATCCGTCGATGGCCACCCAAAGTGGCGATTGTCCGTAGAAGGATGGGGAAGCTGATTCTGATTCTCAAATGAAAACGTAGATGACGGCCTTGGAGATAGGGAACCACGTCGAACACCACCGAGAAGAGACGACGGATCAATAGGGTCATGGCGGGGACTGAATTGATTGTATCCGGTGCTCAGGTCGGAGTTTCCACGGCTACCAGCACCGCCAAACCCGAACTTGCTAGATGAGAAGATGTTCGAGAAGGCAGCCCTCCTGGAAGGCGCATGATCGGAGGAACTGTCTGCAGTCACACCAGTGGTGTTACTTCGAGGGAATAAGGACATTGCGTTTGCCCAATTGCCCGTATAACTCAATCTCCGACGTCGCGATCCGATTGGGTCTAACTCATCAACATTTCGGGGGAAAGATTGACTTTGCCCAGGTTTCAAAGTACCCAACATAGGTGGTCCATCAGCCAAGGTCTTCCCACGGGGGCGGTGGAACCCAAAAATCCCAGACAGTCGTCGAGAAGCGCTTTTCGGCGCTTCCTCGGCAGCGGACAACTGCCCCGGTTGGGAACCAGAGTCCTGTCGATTACGGGTCTCTAACGGGCTAGCAAATATACTGCCTGGCCTACTCCCAGAAGAAACAGGCGAGACAGGGCCATGACCAAACCCATCTAACGGCATGTTAGACGAATCCATCGTAGAAAATCGTGCGCGACCAACAGGTCGGGGAAATTCGGGCGATTCCTCATCTCCAAGCAGGTCTGATGGCAGCAGGGCATCGGCTCGGGGACTCATTTGCGGATTGTTAAAGGCAGCCTCGGCGTCAGAGCGCATGATCTCTGGCGGATCAGAAAGACCCGGGAGAGTCATACCATTATTAATATTGAAAAACGTAGAGGTCGGAGCGAACGTGGGGGAGTTGGACGAGGGCGGATTGCAATTGATTCCGGGAAAAGTCGATTCAATACCGGGGTAATTCAAAGACGAGGAGAAATTGCTCACCATGGAGCTGCGGTGGCGACGGGGCCGAATTGTCGCTGTATTCGACATATCCAGTTCCAAAGGCGGCAAGGAAAATGGTCCTGAGCTGCTAGGACGTTGCGTGGTAAGCCACTTCAGCCGCTCTTGGGCTTCTTGATACTGTTGCTGAGCCTGGGCATGGAGGTTGACAAGGGTGGCGTATCGAGCATGGAGTTCGCCCAGCTTCAGCTCCCATTGACGAGCCCGCTCATTATCAATCCGGTCAAGCTCCTTCCCGTCTTCGTTGTCACCACCCTGAAGACCTTGTCGTTCGTCCTCGAGCTTCTTGATTCGGCCGCCCTTGTCTTGAATTTCTTCGTCGATGATCTTCATCTCCGCCTGCTCTTTCGCAATCTTTTTGCGCACTTCTTCCCCTCGAGCCTCACCATCTTCCTCCAACCGAGTCTTGTCCTCCTTGGCTTGCGCAGCATCGGCAACCATGCGTGCAATCCGTTCTTGCCATCGGACAATATCGTTCTTGCGTTTTTTGCGCTCTGCTTCCTTCTGCTGAAGAAGCCTCATTCGTTTGGACTTCTCGCCCTGGACCGAGCGATTGATGCTCTCCAGTTTCGAGACGTGCTTCTTCAGATCTCCACTGACTTCGTCCTTCTCCTTGACTCGCTTCTTCAGCTCGTCACGATGCTTCTCCAGTTCCTTTAACATCACAATATGCTCGTCTTCCTCCTCAGTCACTTGTTTTTCCATATTTTCATTTTCTTGTTGTAACGCTTTCAATCGATCGGCGAGTTGTTCCAGACTTCCATCGCGATCATTCTTGAACACGCCTTTATGTAGTTCGTCGTGTCCATGTGCAAAATCTGCCGCTCCTGCCGCGGGGGACAATTTGCGGCCGGCAGATGGCCGTTTTCCGGGCAATTGTCCGGCGCTATGTTCACGGGCCATCACTGGGGCAGAGGGAGTCGGTAAGCCGGCCGTAGACCGTGGGATCGATGCTCGAATTGTTGGACCACCAGTGGGGGTATCCTGCTGGGACCGGGATAACGGAAGAGATTTCGTTCGGACATGGAGAATCGCACTTGGGGTCTGGAAATTTGCTGCGCTGACTGATAGAACACAGATGTGATAGATGCTTCCCGGTATGAGATTCAATATTTCCACCGCGGTCTCCGCGCGTTTCGACTCGCCCACTATTGCTCCATTAGTGCCTGCTCCGCAATGGTCCGAACATTGGGATAGCGAGGGCATCCATACCTTTAACATTATTCACCTGAATGATATGCTTATGTATGGAGTTATGAAAATCGGGTTGCTTCCAGGCTAGGCGGATCTCACGGGCCGTGATCTCTTCCAGGGTGACTTCTGGCGGCGGTGGGATATCTAGACCCAGCTTCTCCACAAGAAGCTCATTGGGGGTCTGACATACCTGCCAGGCACGATACAGAAGCCTGTGTCCGTTATTAAAACTGTGACTGCTGAGAATGCATTTGAACTCACCAGATCAGGGCCCATAGAATGGAGACGGCCAGGAAGAGAGCCATCACGCCTCGCACCCTGACTCGGGGAATGATAGTCGGGTAAGCGTCAAAGGCGTAGTAAAGTGGCTCATACATCCCAGCGTCGAGTACCCATGGACGCGGGCCGGCGGGGGTGGAGGAATCGGAAGGTGAATTAGGACGTTCTTGAGGATGTTCTTGATCGGCTTTCTCCAGTGGAGTGGGACAAGACCGCACGTGACCTGTTAGTCAGGGTCTGCCAAAATAGGTCTAGCGCGATCAGAGGCAGAACGATCGGCCACTAGCCCTGATGGGGACTAGTGTCTCAAACCTGCAAAAAGTGACGAGTTGCAGCCTCGGCATGATTGTTGGCCGCTTACTTAAGAATCGGTTGGGCGTTGAATGTTGATGAACCAACAGATCCGGGGATGACCGGCTAGTTCGACTATTGGGGTGAACTAGGGTCTCGGCGTTGTTTCAGCCTTTCTTTCTAGTTCTCCTCATATTGTATCTTTTTTTTATCATTTCAGGGAGACCATTTCCACTTATCAGTGGCCAGTTCAGCTGTTCCTTGCATTGTCAGCTGAATGTCACATGGGGCCGTTTGGCGGCGATTCCTCCAATTTCTTGGTCCTTACTCCTCATCCTTCTTTTTCCCTCCGACTGATCTAAAAACTCCCCCACTTTTGTCCTTTGCCGTGATTTCGGTCCCTTTGATTCCCGGGGCTTGATTTTGCTTGTTTATTGTACCTGGCCGAGGGTGTATGACCCAATCCGGCAAAGATGCAGTACGTCAGAAGCCTCAGCGGCTCCGTGTCCAAGACATGGAACTCTATCAATCCCGCCACGTTAAGCGGAGCTATTGATGTGATTGTCATAGAGCAAGAGGATGGTAAGTTTAGTGTCACAGATCCTTTTAGAATGATCTCCAACCTGACGTGTTTGTGTCGCAAGGAACCCTTGCCTGCTCGCCCTTCCATGTCCGCTTCGGAAAGTTCTCGCTTTTGCGCCCATTTGAGAAAAAGGTGGAGTTCAAGGTCAATGGAGTCAAACAACAGTATGCAATGAAGCTTGGAGAAGCGGGTGAGGCATTTTTCGTGTTCGAAACTACCGACGAGATCCCCGCGTCACTACAGACTTCCCCGCTAGTCTCGCCCGCTAGCAGCCCAAAGGTGCCCACCGAAGAGTTTGGGTCGCTTCAGGAACCAGAGTATTTGGACTTGGAGAAGAATGGGGATGTTGTCTCTGAGGGGGCGAAGACTCCACCTAATATACCGATATCACGACAATCGCGAGCTGCAACTGATCTAGGTACAATAACGCCTCTGTCACGGTCTCCCGACGGCTCAGACCTGCATCACGACTCTTTCAATAACCATCGAAGCAAACCATCTCTCGACCATTCGGTATCTGAGGATTTACTTTCGACTAGCCTCCCTCGGGCTGCGACCGAGCAGCTATCCTCTTCGCCCACCGGCTCAACTCAGGACGAGGACGCAGCACAAGCTCGTTCTCGTAGTCCACCTCCGGTATCTGTAGAAGAAGCGATGTCCCGTGCTATGTCTCTGTCCAAGAAACTTACAGGTTCCAACATTCAATCACATGTCACGGAAACAGGCGATCTGATGCTGGACATGACTGGTTACAAAAGCAACGAGGAAGATGCCCTTCGGGCCGAGGTTCTCGCTCGCAAGATTCTCGCGGAGGAACTAGAAGGGAGCTACGATATTGGTGCACTCATTGGAGCCGACGAACATGGGAACCTCTGGATCTATAGTAGCGAAGAGGCAAAAGAAGCGGCTGATCGGAGAGCGGCCATCAATTCGATGCGGCCCAGCACAGTCCTGAGCGATGATGCAATCTCGGACCCAGGGTATCACAGCGAGGGTGATCATCATATTACCCCTGGGCTACCGATTGGGGCCCGCCACCACCGAACCAAGTCCGATGTCCAGCCTGGCTTTCCTACACCCCCTCAAACTCCAATGCATGATTCGTTTGCCGTCGAAACCCGCAATTATGCGAAGACATTGCGATTGACCAGTGATCAACTCAAGGCTCTTCAATTGAAACCAGGAGCCAACACCATGTCCTTCAGCGTGAACAAAGCTACATGCACCGCGTCAATGTATTTGTGGAACGGCAACACTCCGATTGTGATTTCAGACATTGATGGAACGATCACAAAGTGAGTCAAATCTTAGAACTGATATTTGAGTTCCAAAGCTGACAATAAACTCAGGTCGGATGCGTTGGGCCACGTTCTGAATATGATTGGACGGGACTGGACCCATACTGGAGTCGCCAAATTATACACCGATATTGTGAACAACGGCTATAATATAATGTACCTCACTAGTCGATCCGTTGGTCAAGCCGATACTACACGGGCATACCTCTATGGTGTCTGCCAGGATGGATACCGGCTTCCCAGGGGCCCTGTGATTTGCAGTCCAGATCGTACGATGGCTGCACTCAGGCGAGAAATTTACCTCCGGAAGCCTGAAGTCTTCAAAATGGCATGTCTTCGGGACATTCTTAACCTATTTTGTGGGAAGGAGAACCCATTCTACGCTGGGTTTGGCAATCGATTGACGGACGCCTTGAGCTATCGAACTGTCAACATCCCGTCCACACGAATTTTTACCATCAACTCCAACGCTGAGGTTTCCCTGGACCTGCTTAGTCTTAACAAGTATAAGAGCAGCTATGTCAGCATGCGGGAATTGCTCGATCATTTCTTCCCTCCTACCAGTCTTCTGGTACACTCCGGTGGTGAAGAATATACGGATTTCACCTACTGGCGGGACACGCCACAGAATTTGGAGGATTTTTCACCCACCGACAGCGAAGATGAAGACGAGGATGACGAAGCAGCAGACGAAGACGAAGATGCGGACGAAGAAGACTACGATGATGAGCTCAGCGACGGCGACGAATATCCTGATGATGAAGAAGGCACTGATCTTGGTGCCAGCTACCTTTCGCAAGGCTCGGTCTTGTCTAATCCGGCGGGATCAATTCTGGAGTCTGTAGAGGGAGATCTGAATCCTCTGGACCTTGAGTCAGAAGTCGAGGAAGACGAAGGCCTGCCAGAAATAATCAAATCCGCAGGCATCAAATCCCTGCCGCTTCGTCCCAAGCCTTCACAAGATGCCTGAATGTTGTCTCATTGAGAACTTGGGCCAAATAATCGCCATGACGTTCACTATGCCCGGACGTCCACATACAACATACAACATACAACATACAGCATTGCGAGTTCTTTCAACTAGAACGTGGTTACGCATTGAGAGTACTTTGTTTTTCTTGTTTTGGCAAAGAGATACCCTGTTCAAACTTTTCATTTTACATGCAGATATCCAGTGTTGGACCTGCATTTTTATATACAACCTATCATTGCTACCCATTATTTGCATCCATGGCGTTTGAAATGTTTTCTTTATTGCAACGCGGTATACTCATAGCGTCTTGTGCTGCCTTTTCATCTGAAAATGGACACGACTCCTAAGTACAAAATCTATAGGAATAGCAAAGTGGATTTAACAGCTTTTCAAGGTTGATATACTGTAGTTTGAAGTTCGCATTGCCTAAAGCGGTTAGCGTCATATCGGAGCTCTTTTCGGCTTCACCAGGTTCCTCCTGTCAACGCTTCTTTTCCATTTCAGCTCTGTCAACCCTGCAATCACTTCAGCTCACCAGCGTGTCCCAAAGACTGCTGACTCGCCAATGATAGTAGACTGCCCACGGGTCATCGTCTAGCCGACCTCTTGGAACTGTCCCTCCGCCAGCTCCCCGACCGGTCCATTTCTCAACCCTCCCATCCACCACTCCTCCACATCTGATTTCGCAGCTTCCACAAAAATGGCTTCCCCAAGCCAGACTCAGGGCTCCGTGCCAGCGACTCAGCCTCTCACACCACCCGCAGAGTCTTCAGGGGCCAACGGCGCCTCTGCCCCGGCCGCAGCAGCAACCGCTTCGCAACCACCCACTGCTCCCCCCGCGACAGCACCAACCACATCAACAGGCCATCCACCACAAATCCCCGGAACCTCCCTACAAGATAGCGGTAAAACGCGCCGGCCACGCGACGTACGCTTGGTTCACATGCTCCTCGCGTCGCTAGGCGTAACAGCTTACCAAGACCGCGTGCCCCTCCAACTCCTTGACTTCGCCTATCGCTACACCTCCAACGTACTCCAAGATGCTGTGCACCTTGCTACAGAAGGTTATGCAGGCGCAGTGGGTGATGCCGCGGGGAATACCGGCAAGAACGCTAACTCGGCGGAAGTAAATGGTGTTTCGCTGCCAGCGCTGCGGTTGAGCATTGCATCGCGACTACATTATCAATTTCAGACTGGCCTGCCGAAGGAATTTCTGATGGATGTTGCATCTGAAAGGAATCGGATTGCGCTACCTGGTGTGTCGAGAGGGTTCGACGCTGCCGCTCCGGGTGGACCCAATGGAGCACCTGCGGCCGCGGCTAATCAGAGCGTCATGATGGCTGGTATGCGATTGCCGCCGGAGCGATTCTGTCTTACAGGAATGGGATGGAACATGAAAGATGAATGGGACAGTGAGGGCGAGGAAGAGGAGGATATACCCGATGCACCGCCACAGGGTGAGAAAGAGGATGGCGAGGAAGAGGAGAATGATGGGAAGATGGAGGATATCTTCGGTGAAGACACTGCCATGGGCGAAGCGGGTGATGACGATGAGGATCATAAGATGAATGATGTTTAGTCATGTTTACGCATCTCCATTTTTCTGCTTTATGCCTTGGGAGGGTTGGCTGGCGTTTGCGGGTGTCTGGAGTCCTGATCATAATACATTTGCGAGCTACTTAGACTGGGAAAAAGTTGATGGTACCTTGATAGCCAAAACATCTCCTGGGTTTGCACAACAATTTTCACCATAGGACGGGTAGAAAGTACACCATTACACAAGGAAGAAAAGGCAAGAAGATGACTTTGCAGTCTATAATCAAGACCGCCAAATGCATGTGTATACTGTACATGAAATCGAATGTCATCCAGGTCACTCCAGGTCGGGATGACCATGCAAAAAAAGACAGATGCCCAGCAAAACAGTAACGCCTGATTGATTCCCATTGCGCCGCGAGGAGAGAAGGCATACGAACTGCGCCCTGAGTCGGAGGTTCCCGGTATTCGGCATCAGGGGAAATCTACTGGATGAAACCTGTCCATCCAGAGGAAGTGGAACCAAAGCAGGATAGTCTTGGAACGATGCATGGAAACCGTCAACAAGCGGGCAAACCAAGCGATTCGTTCCTGGAACTCGCTCAAACGGACGCGCTCATTTGCGGGAGAAGAAAGTTTGGTGAATTGATCCAATCCCCCGACGCCGAAACCCATATACAACAATATACAACTCACCACAGAAAGCCGGTGATCGAAGGAAGAAAATGAAAACCCGAGAGGATCCCAGGGGATATAACATACGCTTGTTCGTGTCAGTAAATGAAATGACATTCAGCCAATCACCTCCCTTGAGTCTTCTCTCGGGTTCGCGCTTCGTCTTCACGCATCATACTGATGACCTCTGCGCGCCGCTTCTCCACACGTGCGAGCTCCTCTTCCTTTTGACGACGTCGCTCCTCATGTGTTGCGAACCAGTCCTCACGTGCGCGATCTTCCTCTTCTGGATTAGCATGGGCGACCATGCAAGAGTTCATGGCCAGACGCTGCGTGCGACAGATCCATGTTGCGGTGACGGTTCGGTTGACGGCGCATTCGGCGAATGCTGTAGTTTGACGTTAGTTCAATATCTGTCTTGGATATATGTGTAGCTGCTTCTCGGCCGAGTTTGAGATGAAACATGAACCAAGCTTTCAGGGACTATGGGGGATTTTTGACCCAAGAAGGGCAGCGTATAGAAGGGTGAGGCTGGTACATACCCTTAATCTCGGGGGCACAGTGGCTTCGTACGCGCTTGTAATAGAGGAGCTTGACTTCTTGTTCTTGGGAGGCAGAGAGTGGAAGCGGATTGCGGAGGTTGTATTTGCGGGGCGCAGGAGTAGCCGCTGGCGTGCCGGAAGTGGAGGGTGTAGCCATTGGGACGGAGTGGTTCGATCACGGAGATCGAGAATGATGGATGTCGATCAAGTTAGAGATGTCGGTCGGGGTGGAGGATTGAGTGGCAAACTCAATGGGCCGATAAATAGCTGCTAAACCACTGAATGTGACTCTTGAATAGCCCGGAAAGTCTGTGTACAGCAATTGGGATTGAAGGAGATATCTGATCAAGATGAGGTGCAGGGTGTGTTGATGCGGAGCGTGAGGAGCCGAGTCGGGCGGAGAGGGCAGAAAAAAAAAACTTCCGTACTTTCTTATGCTCTCACAACCACGACTAGCTAGACTTGTCAGCTCCTCGTTGTACATTTCGAATTTGAACATTGTCATTTTTGACACATAATACCCTGTTGAGTTTGGTTTTATTCAGCCCACACCTCACAACCACCCAGCATGTCCTCCATGCGCAATGCCGTTCAACGGCGAAACCACAAGGAGCGTGCCCAGCTCCAGGGCCGCGAGAAGTGGGGTATTCTTGAAAAGCACAAGGTTTGTCATTACTGGGAACTCAATACGGCTATTGGTTGCAGCAGGTTTTTCGGATCGTAAAGGCTGACTACTGCAACAGGATTACTCGCTCCGTGCCAAAGACTACAATGCCAAGAAGGCAAAAATCAAGCGTCTCGAAGAGAAGGCGCGCGACCGCAATCCCGATGAGTTTCACTTTGGTATGATGGGTGGTCAGAATCAGGCACAAGGCAAACATGGCCGAGGTGGCGTGGGGCGAGCTTCCGCTGCCGGACTGAGCCACGATGCGGTCAAGTTGCTCAAGACTCAGGATCAAGGATATCTCCGAACCGCCGGAGAACGGATACGTCGACAGATTGAGACTTTGCAGCGCGACATTCAGCTGCAGGATGGCATGAACGTGGCTTTGGGCGTGAAGACCCAAGAGAAGAAGGAAGAGTCAGAGGATGATGGCGATGACGATTTCGATGGATTCGACGACCTGGACGATTTCGCTTCCAGTAAACCCGCCAAGCCGAAGCCACGCAAGGTGGTCTTCGCTGATGACCGGGGTGAACAAAGAGTCATGAAGAAGGGGAGTAAACAGGCCGAGGACAGAGAGGAAAGTGATGAAGAGGAGCCTCGTCAGACCCGAACAACCCCCAAGGAGATTGCTGCCAAGCGACAAGCACTTGTTGAGGCTCGCCGGGCTCGCAAACTCCGAAAGCGGGCCGCCGAAGCTCGACAGAACAAGCTTGCTGCGCTGCAGAAGCAATACGAGGGCATCCAAGCCGCCGAGCGGGAGGTTGAATGGCAGCGAGGCAAGATGACCAACTCCGTGGGCGGAACCAACAAGAATGGGATCAAGTGGAAAATCCGAGAGCGCAAGCGCTAAGTGAAGGCATTTTCCTTATGAGTTGATGACCCGCGGCCATTTCACATTTGGTTTTTTAATGGGTTTACTCTATCTGTATCGATACCAGCATAGAAGGGGAGTTTCAGGCGTTGTCATGTATAAAGAGATTCCATATCAGAATCTAAAAAGAGCCAAGCGGGATCATTCTGCCAATCACTTGAAATCCATTTTGATTTGACGTAGTTTTCTATGTGTTCCTCGAGCCATTCGGGATCCGCATTGCAATCACCATTCACAGCCACAGGATTGATAATCGGCATCGTCCAGTGGTGTCATGTCTTGCGTGCTTGCTTTCCCATTTCGGGCAGCATATCCCATCTAGTTTTTAGTCTACGTTGATCCACATTCCCAGTAATCCCCGCAATCTGATAGGATGCTTGAAGACGAGGGTCCGCTCGGATTATAAATGAAAGGCTGACTAAGTTATCTTTATCGGTGACTCGAGAATGTCGCCACCCCTCACTTACACTACATTTTCTTCTTCTCTCCCACTCCTGTCTGTCCCCACCAAACCACTCACAATGGCTCCCTCATTTGTGTCCATTGATACAAACGACTCCGACGTATTTATGGCCCCGCCATTAAAGCCAGTCGACGCCCCGCGAACCCTTCTCCTCGCTCCCCCTCCATCGCCACCCAGGAGGACAAATTACGAGCCGTGTTCTCCTCCCACCCCCGCACAACCACAGACCTCCAAATGCTCGATCGCCTCTCCGCTGGTATCGTCACACTACCTTCAAACACTTACGATCTGGTCCTCATCCTCACCGATTCCGATGGTTCACGACGCGCCGAGGCTCTCCAGCTCCTCACTCGTGATGTATACACCGCCCTCGTACCGGCCATGAAGTCTGGCGCAAAATTGCAGACAGAAGATAATGCTCTTAATGCCTCTGAGGCAATGGAGGCGGTCTTGGCAGGCTTGGTGCAGAATGCGACCGGCTTTGAGAAGCCAAATTACGAACAAGCGTCCGCCGTCCCGCTGAAATTCGGCCTCAAGAAAAAGAAGACCCCCGCTGCGGCTCCCGTTCAAGCCCCACCTATGGGAATACAGTTTGGAAGTGGATTTGCATTGGATGGCATGAATGGCTCCAATCACGACAGGGACGACAATGATGAGTTGATTAATGAGGACTCTCTTCTTAACGAAGAGGATTTAACGAGACCCATTATGCCGCGTAAGTTTGCGCTTTTCTTATGACATCCATTGCTATTCTATTCACGTACTGACATAATTTTTTAGCCCCAGAGTGCCAGCCCAAGACTGGGAGAAGGAGGAAGGCCTGCAAGGACTGTTCTTGCGGTTTGGCCGACCGACTCGAGGCAGAGGATAAGGAGCGTCGCGAGAACGCTGATAAGAGTTTGAACGTCATGAAATTGAATACAGATGATCTGGCTGAGCTGGACTTCACCGTGGAGGGCAAACAAACTGGGTCCTGTGGGAGCTGCGCCCTTGGTGATGCATTCCGATGCGCGGGCTGTCCATACCTGGGCCTACCTGCATTCAAGCCCGGTCAGGAAGTGCAGATCTTGAATGACGTCGCTCAGTTGTGAATGTACTAGTTTCATCATTTTTTTGTTTAGTAGGTAGGCATGGTGGGTTTACGGATTCCGATGTCGGGGCTGGGCTTGGATATTTTTTTTTTTCTTTTTTGCGCTTGGTGCCCAAACTACATAGCCCCGATTATCTTGCATTGGGTTATTCCCTACATATGATACCGTGCTAGTCTCTAGCAATAATCAACTCAAAAGGTGTTTGGTTAATTTTCCAATCTCGTTCTACCCCTCGATCTCTAAGATAAACTATGTGGATCCTGACATCACCGCTTAACCCGCTAGTCACTAGTCTCGTGGCTCCGTCCTCTCACAATCTCTACAATGCGAATGACAATACGATTGATGGCATTGCGCAAATTAATCATTTTCGGAGCAGAGGAAAACAGATAAAAAGATAAGACTTTCGAAGTAAGTATACTTAGAGTAAAGGCTTCATAATCATAAACACAGATTGCCTCTGCAACAGGGCCTTTTATTTCGCTATTTTGAAATCATCGCACATTCCTCATGGCTGGTAAAACTATATTTTATGGAGAAAATGATAAACCGATCAAGAGCGGTCCTTCTTCATCTGCGCAACACGGATGCTGACTGCTCGCTTGTGGGCATCCAGTCCCTCGACGGCGGCTAGAGTCTCGACAGTCTTGGCCAGCGCCAGCAAACCGTCGGCAGTCAAGTTAGAGCTGGTGATGTGCTTCAAGAAGGAGCCAAGGTTAACACCGGAGTACTGCTTGGCATATCCGTAGGTAGCTGTGATTTGGTATGTTAGTTGATGTAATCTAAGCGGGGAACGAGAATGTGACTTACGCAGGGAGTGGTTGACACCAGCGGAGTAGTCCCCAACACTTTCGGGGGTCCAGGGGCCAATGAAGACACTGCCAGCGTTCTGGACCTGCTCGACGATAGCCTCGGCACCATCAACCTGCAGGATCAAATGCTCAGGGGCGTAATCGTTGCTCAGAGCCATCGCCTCGTTGATATCCTTCACCACGAAGGTGACGGAGTGCTCCAAAGAGCCGCGAACGATGTCCATACGGGGCAGAGCACGGGCCTGTGCGTCAACCTCGTCCTCAATAGCACGCAGCTGCTCCTCATTCAGGTCAACGGCAATAAGAATGACCTGCGAATCGACACCGTGCTCAGCCTGGCTCAACAGGTCAGAGGCAACAAAGGCCGGATTGGCAGTCTTGTCAGCAATGACAAGAACCTCACTGGGACCGGCGGGCATATCAATGCTAACACCCGCGGAAGTGTCGTTGGAGACAAGCATCTTGGCGGCAGTCACGAACTGGTTACCGGGACCCAAGATCTTGTCAACCTTGGTGATGCTCTCAGTACCGTAGGCCATGGCGGCCACGGCCTGGGCACCACCAGCCAGGACGATGCTCTCAGCACCGACCTTGTGTGCGACGTAGACAATCTCGGGGGAGATGCTGCCATCGGCACGGGGAGGGGAGGCCAGGACGATCTTCTGGCAACCGGCCACCATCGCGGGCACACCCAACATCATAGCGGTGGAGGGCAGAACGGCGGTACCACCGGGAATGTACAGACCAACACGCTCAATGGGGCGAGAGAAGCGAGAGCAGACCACACCGGGCATGGTCTCCATAGTGAGGGCATCATTGCTGCCCTTCTGCGCAGAGTGGAAGCGTTCAATGTTGCCAATGGAAACGTCAAGAGCCTCCTGAACATCGGGGGTGAGCTTCATCAGTTCGGGTGCGAATGGGGCGTGGATAACGGGGGAGGTCAATGAGGTCGCCTTCTCAAACTTGTGGGTGTACTTGAGCACGCCAGCGTCACCATGCTCGCGAACATCCTGGATGATGGGCTTCACTAGACCAACAATGGCGTCATTGGACTTCTGGGAAGGACGGTTAAGGAATTCCTTGACCTCAGCGGCAGAGACCTCAGTAGTGACGATGCGCTTCATTTCGATCCGCGAGCGGTCCTCAACGGGAGCCGGAGCCGGAGCCGGAGTAGGGGCCGGAGCAGGCTTAGCCTGGGGAGCAGCCAGACCAGCCTTCTCAGCCCAGGGTCCCTTGGCGTCGCCCTTTCTCCGCTTGACCTTCAAGCTCTTGAGGTCCAAGTTACGCTCAATGTCCTCAAGAGTCACACCGGCGGCAGTACACTTAGTCAGGGCAAAGTAGAACAGATCGGCAGCCTCAAAGGCAATCTCCTCCTTGGTTTTCGCACTGCACAGCTCCTCTGCCTCCTCCATAATCTTGGCCTCGGCGAGCTTGGGCTCATTGAACAAGCGAGCGGTGTATGAACCGACGGGGGCATCGGCCTTACGCTCCAGGAGGGTCTTCTGCAGACGCGACAGACCGGTGGAGGCGCCAAAGCAAGTTTCGGTGCCGAGGTGGCAGAAGCCTGGAATGAGTCACCGTAGTTAGCAATCGATTTCCATGATGAGATTATAGGAAAGCACGTCATACCGCGTCCGATCTGCTTTACAACAAAGACTAGGCAGTCGGCATCGCAGTCAAAGCCAATGCGGATCAATTCTTGCACGTCGCCGCTCGATTGGCCCTTGTACCACAATCCGCGCTTGCGGCTTTGGTAGACACCGGTACCGGTACGCAGGGCCTCGGCAATGCTCTCGTCGCTGCTCCAGACAAATCCAAGGCAAGCACCCCGCTCGTCGGTAACCGATGTCGCATACAGGCCATTGGACTGGTCAGTGACTGCGCGCGAAGCCAGAAGCTTGGCGGCAGAAAGCTGACCCGCCGCATCCCGCTCGACGGTCAACGTCTGGGAGGGGATAATGGCAATAGCACCCTGCTGAGTGACCTGCTGCACGGCATCTTCAGCGACCACCTGATCATTGTAAGAGACGTAAAGGCGTGGGGAATCGGAGCTGATGTTCAATTTGGAGGCGGCGGTGGTAGCGGCGGCAGGCTCGGTGCAGACGCTGGCATCGTTGCGCTCGGAGGCATTGGCAGAAATCCACTGTTGGAAAGTATCTAGCTGCTCGTTCGACGAGGTGTAGACCACCAATCGTGATGAAGGAACCGATTGTTCCTGGGAAAGTGCTGTCAATTGGTCGAGGGTGATGAAGATCTTTGCGGCACCGGCGTTGAGAATATCGACAAGATCACCGGCGGAAGAGACGGCAGTAGCGTCCACGTAAACATCCAGGTTACGGAAGTGCTCACGCAGGAACTTCTCTGCTTCAACAAGACCAGTAACCTTCACCAGCACCCGCCCGAAGTAGGCGATCTGCTTGAGCGAAAGGCCCGAGGTGGGGGTGGAGGGGTAGGAGATAAGGAATGGTGTAGCCATGGCGGTTAATGTGGAAGAGGAGATTAAAGAGGAAAAAGAGGGACTTCTCAAAGTGAGATCCCCAATGGAGTGGGTAAATGGATGACTCTTGTGGCACTTGGTTTTTTTCCAACCGTGACTGGTTAACCCCCCGCAACCGCTGATTCATCTCCCGATGCCGCTAAGTAACAGTACTATGACTCTTATCTTCTACACCATTTGTGAACATGCAATTGTTGAATGAATGATTGGTTTTAAACAGTTTAAACAGTTCTTTACGAATATACAGTCTCCCTAGCTCCAAAATATACAGCAGAAGCGTCCATGTCGTTTTCTGGCTTCCTGATTGGCTCTTATGAGTCATAGACGATCTTATAGGCCGAGCAAATACCCTTGAAAGCCTTGAGGGACGGAGGTAAGCCATCCAATAAAAAGCATTGGCTTTCTTGGGCCTGATAACATCTTGCTCCAGCCAAAATGATAATTGTTCGAATAGTGCCCTGACAGGAGCGTCACCATCAACGCTAATAAGCATTTAGCCGGGCCGATCCAAGAATTGGGTAAACCAGATGACCCGTCAATAGACATGAGCAAAGCAGTGTACTTGCAAGAATGCCGTCTACACCAAGATATCAGTGACATAAGTATTGCGAGCAACCTGTTCCGGATTCACTTTCTGTGACTACTTAGGAGGCCAGGAAAATAACCCATAATGTCCTCGGCCACTTGGGATACTTATAACAGATGTTTTGCTTGTTGGTGGTATATCTGCTGTCCCAGAGCAGCGCTGCCTGCCAAGGTATACTAGGTACAGCATCAGAACCATCAAGCTCGAATGATTTGAGCTGACTTACCATGGGATCCCGAGCCACTTAGGGGCTTGGCAAGTCGTCTAAGTCATGCGCTAACGTTCGGAAATTGACTGGAGTGATAGTCTTGGAAGTTATTGTCAAGAAATATGTGTCAGGGAGCACAGTAATCTGGAACGTGAGAATAATAAGGTGTATTGAACAGCTTCTCATCGTCTGGGAACACTGCTGGTAGGTAAACTTGGGATTATGTCATTGTCGCGTGTCCTGCACAGCCATGCATAGGAAGTTTCTCACAATTACTCAGTCTTATATCCCTTCATGCAGTTCCAGACTGTCTTTGCGCTACTGTACCCGAGACGGCTATGACTACCACTTCTGAGCATAGAATGTTACCTGTAAGGTTCTTGCCTCAAGGCCTCGCAATTTGCATGCACCCTCGGTAAACTCAGACCACGTTGGGAATCATATCCCTGTGAAGTATAAACAGCCAAGAAATGCAAATGCAACCCATTCTGCGGGGAGAGAATCCTCTAATGTGGTTGGAGGATCCCCTCGGGCTCGGAACATGGAAATCATGGGAACGAGGGAGCTTATTTCCAACATGCAAATGCATGTTTCTGAAGCTTTGACTGAAGAGAGAGAGGAGAGGAGTTTGGCTTTCTCTGTCTTGGCTCTTTGAAGTCTTTTCTTTTAGAGTGTAGGTTGTCTTTTCATGCAGCCTCATCGAGGCCGCCAAAGACCCTGAAAATTCAAGTCAGTATCACCTGGGCTGATCAGTCGCGCCAGATATAGTGTAGCCATGTTGGCAAAAGTAGACGAGGATCGGAATTCGCGATGAATTTATGGGGGATCGTCTCAAAAGTGGTTCAGCATTCCGAAACAACAGGGGGGAAAGTCAGCCCTTGCAGAAGTTGGAAGCCCCCTGGAAGGGAAGTGGACCTCGGAGATTGGAATCCAGGATCGGGGATTACGATCATACGGATGATGGAAGCGTGCAGGGAAGTAAACAGGGCGTGTGATTTCCCGATTTGCAACCCCACGCTTCACACTTCCCCACTCTTCATACCTCATTCCATTACATGCTTTAATAGTCGCGTTGTCCCCTGCTCATTTTCTTTACAGCTTTATTCTTAAAGCTACCTTCACTACATAAACCTACACGGCATACACTCTTTTGGGTTGAGACCCAACGAAACCATGCGCGTTACATCGTCATTATTATTAGTGGCCTTGGGCTTGGTGAGATCCACCACTGCTCATCCCTTTTGGCAAGACGCCGAGACTGTCTTGAGCGCATCATCCGTGTCGACGAACCAGCAGAAGGCCGATGCGGTCAAGGAGGCCTTTCAACATGCTTGGAATGGATACATGAAATATGCTTCCCCACACGATGAGTTGCACCCGGTGAGCAACGGGTACGGAGACTCCAGGTAAGCTTGATTCACACCGGACAAATTCAAAATTCAAGGGCCGAAATGAACCGCATATCTTTAGGAACGGATGGGGTGCCTCCGCTGTCGATGCGCTCTCAACTGCCATTATTATGGGTAACCAGGATGCGGTCAATACTATCCTGGATCATATCAAATCAATTGATTATAGCAAGACCTCGGATCAGGTCAGCTTGTTTGAGACGACCATTCGTTACCTGGCTGGCATGCTGTCCGGCTATGATCTGTTGACCGGCCCAGCTGCGAATCTGGTCACCGATTCAGACAGTGTTGATAGCTTGCTCACGCAGTCTAAGAATTTGGCCGACGTGCTCAAATTTGCCTTTGACACACCGTCGGGTGTGCCATACAACGGTATTAATATTACCTCGCAAGGCAATGACCAGGCCACAACGAATGGCCTCGCCGTGACCGGCACTCTGGTACTAGAATGGACGCGACTGTCTGACCTGCTGGGTGACGACGAGTATGCCAATCTCAGCCAAAAGGCCGAGTCGTACCTGTTGAACCCTCAGCCAGCCACCACGGAGCCATTCCCCGGCCTTGTGGGAAGTCACATTAGCATCGAAACTGGAGAAGTCACCGATGGTTCCGTCAGCTGGAATGGTGGCGACGACTCCTTCTATGAGTATTTAATCAAAATGTACGTGTACGACCCTACGCGGTTCAAGACATATAAGGACCGCTGGGTGCTTGCCGCAGAGTCGACCATGAAACATCTGGTGTCGCACCCGCAGCCCCGTCCAGAATTGACGTTCCTGTCTTCGTACAACAACGGCAACTATGATCTCAGCTCGCAGCATTTGACCTGTTTCGATGGCGGAAGCTTTTTACTGGGTGGAAGCGTGTTGGGTCGTCAAGACTTTATTGACTTTGGTCTCGAGCTTGTGCATGGCTGCGAGGCTACTTACAACTCGACTTTGACACATGTAGGTCCTGACTCCTGGGGGTGGGACCCTAAGCGGGTTCCAAGCAACCAGAAAGCCTTTTACGAAAAAGCCGGGTTCTACATCAACAGTGGTTACTATGTCTTGCGACCGGAGGTGATTGAGAGCTTCTACTATGCGTACCGCATAACCGGAAACAGCGTTGTAAGTTTCACCCCAGTCTGAATGACCAAAGCATTTCCTGACCATATAATAGTACCGTGACTGGGTGTGGAACGCATTTGTGGCCATCAATGCTACTTGCCGTACCGATTCGGGCTTTGCAGCTGTTACCAATGTGAACGCTGCCAACGGCGGCTCGAAGGATGACAATCAGGAGAGCTTTCTGTTTGCCGAGGTCCTGAAGTACTCGTACCTGGCCCATGCTGAAGGTAAGCTTAAGTGCCACCAAAGGCAGACTTTATGCTGACTGAGATTATAGATGCCGAATGGCAGATCCAGGAGGGTGATAAGAACACCTTTGTGTTCAACACCGAGGCTCACCCCATGCGTGTGAAGCATACCTAGTGTTTTTGTCGTCAATTATCTCTAGCACATAGGCATTTCGTATGAAGTCCGAACGAGTACATTCCATGCTTTGTTCTTTCCTCGTGACTAAGTATATGATTGTAAAGCTCATCTATTTGTCAAGGAAATTGCTGGTTTGCAGCTTCTTCACGATCTATTATTATTTTCTATTATTATTTGTGCATTCTCAAACATCATGTTAGAAATGAGAGATGAAAACTGCCTCAGTTGCCATCCATGGATGATGAACTCATACTAGTCGACCATCGCCCCGCGTATATCTCGTATACCCGATGCAACATGATGGCTATCCCTGTCGACAGAAACATGATGCTCGAATAGGCAGGTCAGCCATGGCCAAAGCAAGCCGTAATTGCGGCTCCAGAATGCGCGCTTCCGCCGTCCTCCCCAGCTTTGTGAGGCACTCATGGTAACCATGGAGAGCCCAAACGTTATTCGGGTGTCTCAAGGCACGAGGCAATGACTGATCGATTCCAAGATCGGCGGCGTATATGTCAGCTGCTTCCTCGACTCGACCCTGTTCAAGAAGTAAGGCCCCAAGAGCATGTCGAGTTGGCTGCATCCAGCCCCAGGGCTCATCATAAGGAAGGTTATCGTCCCGGTCAATAGCGGTTCGGAGACTAGCAAATGCTGCGTCATATCCTCCACAACGATAAAGAATCTCGCCTTCCAGCATGGGAGCAGCAACACCAAGAATGTCTACGCCTGTATTATTGAAGATGGTCCGAGAAGAAGGAACCCGGTTGGTTGCGGATATAAACTGCTCTTGTTCTTTCCTTGCCTCCTTAATCCGGCTCGTAGCTGCAAAGGCCACCCCTTTTGCATAGTGTATCATAGCTGTGGTCACGCAGTAGAGTCTTTGATTCATGGGAAGTGGGAGGGCAATAATATCATCCCAGCGACCAAATCGAATAAGAGGATGCACTCGCATGGCTACAAAACCTTCAAGCCAATCAGCAAGGGGAGGCGACTCGACCTGCAGGAGATCCTCGGTCATAGAATTTGCCAGCTCCGTGGCAGTGCTCAGAGCGATCTTAGACTGACCACCCAGCATAGCTGCATACATACGAAAGTGGTAATCATGCGCACGATACAGATGGTAAAAATGGCCCAGGCTCTGATTGGCCAAGAATTTCTCATCGGCACGAATTGCAGAAGAATTCGATGCTATAGCTCGACGGTAGTCGCCGCAGAGAATATCCAAATGAGTCGGCATATGTTCCAAGTGACCGGCATCGGGAACAAGGCCTCGTAGATTGTCCGCTATTGGAAGTGCACGCTCCGGGGTTGGAGACATTTCCATCAGATGGATATACAAGTGCAAGAGGCCAGGATGTTGCAGGGCATCTTCGCGCGCCAATGCGTGATCTAGTGCCTGTTTTACTTCAAGAGTCCGAGCATCATGGGTGGGTTCGCCAGACTTCAGGTCCCATAGACCCCAGGGAGTGAGGTTCATTAGTGCATCACAATAAAGGGCGATAACATCCAGATCCTCCGGAAAAGCCTGGTATACAGCTTCCATGGCCTTCGCATACTGGCAGTTCCAATCTGTGCAGTCCTTTACAGGTTCTGCCTGGGGATACCGGTGCTGTAAAGCCTCGATGAGGGCCTTCTCCACGGGTGACATGGTAGATGCGTGCTTCATGGCCTCCGTGACCGCAGCATGCGCCCGTGTTGTGGTGGTTGAAAGATCCTCTCCGTCAAAGAGCTGCCAAGGCTTATTGTAGTTTGGACCTAGGGCAAATGCTAAACCCCAGTATCCCATTGCGCAGGTTGGATCTGCCAAGATGCACTGTTCAAAACAACGGGCCGACTCCTGGTGGTTGAAGGCGTAGGCCCAGATAAGGCCACGATTGAACCACGACTGGGCATCTTGGCTGGCGGTTGTGACAGGCCGATGAAAGGTACCTAGGTCATAGTACTCTGTAGCTGATGACAGATTTTTCGGAATTACAGTTTGATGCCAAATTTTGGCAGCAGAGTCCAGATTGCTCATTGTCGCAGTTGATCATTTCACGAACTCGCGAAGCAAGGATTGGGTTCAGGGTGGGGGATGTGGGGCAGTGGGAACCAATCCCGAATGGACGCTAGAACTAGTGCAAATATACTGACATGAATCCGGGGAATCGAGTACTCGAGTACTTGCCTTGAAAGGTGGTTTTGATGATTGGGAAGCGTCGTTGCTTCCTCAAGTTCGCAATCTCCCGTTCGGGAAGACCAAGCCCGATTTCGACACTCAGCAACGTGACGTTCTATCTTCTCCAAGTCCCTTCATTGAACCTCAAGACATCATTATCGTGAACCCCGGTGAAACCCTTCATCAAATCTCTAGCCATTCGCTATTCAACATGTCCTCCCCTCCCATCAATATGCCCAGCTGGAAAGTGGCCTTCGGCATCTTTTTGTCGCTCACATGCATCATCCTGATCGAGAAGATCTTTGGCATCCATATCAATATCCTCAAGTACGTTGCCGTAATGATGTTTCAGGCTATCGACTAATATATTGTAGCAAGGGAACCGCCATGGCCACCTTCCCCGGATGGGCCCAGATTCTTGGACCCGGCGAAACCCAAGCGGCCCTTCTGCATCGGTGGATTGAAGCACACCGGAATCTGGGTCCTGTGCAAGCCCCAACTCAGCCCCCCGCGACCGCAACGCCAACCACGGCACAGAACACTCAGCACCTGGGGAAAGGTTCCTGCAAGTCGAAGCAACTGGGGGACGCATGATCAATTTGGTGATTTGAAAAAGGGATGTACAGCCGGATTGTTGATCCACTCCGGGATCCACAGTTGAGGGCATTTGAGCGGATCCGCTTTATCTGCTCGATCCCGCTCACCTTGGGGGTCAACCTTGCGGACTTATATATTCCGTACTCGTTGCTTGTTGGTGTTGAGTGAATATTCATATTTGGCTCGTCGCGTTAGCTCTGCATAACTCTGCACAGTCCCGACACTCAAGGCTCTTTTTATTTTTTATTTTTATCTAATTTTTATTTTCTTTTATCCACGCCATCAACCATGTGCGGCAACAGTAACCGTCCGACCTTCGGGGGCACCATTGCCGTGCTTTTCCCTAGACAGAACAAGTTGTCGTCAAACAACTCGGAGACTTCACTGTCCTCTTCACCGGATTCCGTTACTTCATCCGCTTCAACCTCTTCCATGTCTTCATATTCGCTCTTTTTCCGGGACCCTGAGGTAGACAGTCGCAAAACCAAAGCCATTTTTCAAATCGACGATGCCCAGACTTACCATGCACTGCGTGAATGTCAACAGGTGAATATGCGCATTGAGTAAGGTATCTCGGTCTTTTCAACCCAAACCATACACTAATATGCCTTTTGTAGGAAATACGGAGACCTCTCTTCCAACGGAGCATCTTCCGCTCCCTTGCATCAATTCCAGTTGGACTTTACAAAGAATGCACGAAGTTTCCAGACCAATGTGGAGTTTGAGTTGCCCGAAAGGCTGGACCTGGGTGTCTCAGAGAAGGGAGTTGTCGGTCGCCAACTCACAATGAGCGAAACGGACGGGACTATTCTGGGGATCGGCATCGTGGGATACAATTGATTATTCATGGTTTACATTATTTTTATATTCATACCCGGTAGGCCTCTGGCGATTAGGATATTCATAGCGTTATTGAATTTATCTTGCCCATTTGAGGATTTTCCTAACTAAACATTCACATCCGAGTAGGTCCACAAGCAAATGTTGTGAATGGGGGTCTTTTCTGATTCTAAATCTCTTCGCTCACAGTTTAACGGGATTCTCCACGCCAGCAGTGTATCGCTTCTCGGCCTCAGCCCAGTTGATGATCTTCCAGATACCCTCAATGTATCCAGCCTTGTTGTTAAGATACTACAGTCGAACCAAAGTCAGCGCATAATTGATCTGAGACAAGACAACACAACTCACCTGAAGGTAATAAGCATGCTCCCACATATCAACACCAAAAACCGGAACATCGCCTCCCGTCACCGGGTCCTGATCCTTGGTCGTAGTAATCTCCAACCGTCCTTTCGGACCTCCAGAACTGACCAGCCATCCCCATCCACTTCCTTGAATTCCAAGCAGAGCGGCTCCAAACGCATCAGTGAATCCCTTCTCCGATCCCCAACGGGCATTAATAGCTTCCCGTAGAGCCGGCGCCGCACTGGCAAGATCGTTTCCGGGCGTGCCAGGTGGAGTGAGGTTTTTCCAGAAAAGGGAGTGGTTAATGTGACCACCACCGTTAAAGCGGATCTTCTGCTGCAGAGAGATCAAAGCCGAGACATCATTTGTCTGTGTTGCGGTAGCGTGAGCTGTAAGGGCGGCGTTGAGGTTATTGACGTAGGTTTGGTGATGCTTCTGATGGTGGAGCTCCATGATTTGCTTTGAGATCACGGGCTCAAGGGCCTGGGATATGTGAGTTATGCTTTGATGTATCCGTGTTGTGAGACTTACATCGTAGCCATATGGAAGGGGAGGGAGAGTGTGGGATGCCATTGTGAGTTCAAGGTTGTTTGATGTGGTAGAGAAGTAGGAAGCAAGTGATTGTATAAAGAGAAAGTGTCACCAAGGTCCCCCTGATAAAGTGCCCCTCTTAAAGAACCCACCACCAAGGTACCACGTCAATTGTTATTGCGTGAGATTGAGCACATTTCTAGGGTCCACCCTTTACTTCCATTCCGATGATGCCATTCGTCCCTGATTGATCCACTTTATTGTGAAGATGAGTCTTGTATGACGGTAGACATGGTGTAAGCAACTAATTTGATCAATAGTTTATCCGTGAAGTATAGAGCTTAGGAAGATGGAACATAGCGACTTGGTCATATGTCATCTACATTTGGAGGCAAATTTTCCTGGTTTTTACGTGGAATTACTTACAGCTTTACCTGCTGACATGATCCCTGCCTAATCATAAAATGAGCCAGTTGACTATACTGACTTGATGACTGAACCCAATGATACAGAATGAATTAATGTATCAATTCAAACGACCTCATATTTTGGTCGTGACTTATTTCATTACTGGATGAATGCCGGATGACTAATTTCCAGATCTGCGGGGTTTCGGTTGTCAATAAGCCTCGGCCTACATGACTATATACAGGTGGACCCCAGCCGAGTTCTATCCCCAGAAACCCGCATTTCATTCATTATTCTGTCCAGCAATCATGTCAGCTACAGACCAGGTGCAGCTATCCAATTTTGGGAGCATCTTCTCTCTCGACGGCAAAGTCGCTGTCGTGACAGGTGGATCGCGCGGCTTGGGTCTACACGCCGCCTCAGGGTTCGTACCACCGTTTAAGGGGGGGGGTTTCAAAGCCACTATCCTTGAATCTACTACAATTCTCCTAGCTAACTCACAAAACAAGACTTCTACAAGCCGGATGCTCAAAGGTGTACATCACCTCTCGCAAGAAGCAGGCCTGCGATGAAGCCGTCGCAGCACTGAATGCCCTGCCCAACAAGCGACCCGGTGCCCAGGCAATTTCTGTACCGGCTGACAGCTCTAATATGGCCGAGTTGGACAGATTGGTTGCTGAAATTGGCAAAACGACCGACCATGTTGATCTCCTGTTCGCCAATGCGGGTGCGACCTGGGGCGAGAAGTTCGATACGCACCCAGAGAAGATGTTCTCCAAAGTGATGGATCTGAACGTGAAGAGTATTTTCTATACAATCCAGAAGTATGTCTAGCTTTCTACTCACACTTGAAGGCAATGCATTAACAATCAATCAGACTCACTCCTCTCTTAACGGCCAAGGCCACCCTCGAAAACCCATCCCGGGTAATCATCACTGCCTCCGTGGCAGGTATCGGCATTGGAAGTATCGGTGAGAATGCCACACCAAGTTACTCCATTTCCAAGGCAGCAGCAATCCATTTGGCCAAGAACCTGGCCGTTGAGCTCGGGCCGCGGCATATTCTGATCAATGCCATCGCACCCGGCTTTTATCCATCTAAGATGGCTAGTGGCCTGATTGAGCTGAAGGGCGGAACGAAGGAGTTGGAAGAGTACTCACCCAATGGCCGTTTGGGTCGGCCAGAGGATATTGCCGGCCTGGTGGTGTTCTTGTCATCTCGGGCTGCGAGCCATTTGAACGGGGCGGTTATTGCGACCGACGGCGGCGCGGTGCTGAAGGGGCGTCTTTAAATGATCACGTTGATTCATGTCAGATTATTGTTAGGCCCACCCGTCCAGTGGTTCTTCCCATATACTTCCCACCCATCCACCACCACCAAAACCCTGATTTAACATTGAGTCACAGTATCGTCTATGGATAGATAAGTCTACTTGATGATGCCTAGCAAAGTAAATTCAATTTTTTTTTTGATCCTTCGATCGCATTCAATGAAAGCTTGTCTTTGTTGGTCATACCACGTTCACTACTTGAACATGAGCGTAGCGGTGAATGCACCTTGGCCAACTACGCGCTATCTCAATTTTTAATAAACTCCAGCGCTTAATGTCTGAACCACTTGAGGATTGTACCCAGTGCAGCTGGGCTCTTGAAAAGCAAGTTAACGCCATAATTTCAGCATTCCGACACTGTTCCACAGCGCATCGGAACGAGGCGTCTGGTCTATTGATTCCGACGTGATCCTGAAACATCGACCAGATGGAGATTCAAAACCATTTATCAAACATAAATCACTAATATACCTAGCAACTCACACCAATTTTTATACGCAACTGGGTCGATCGCAACGGCCGATACTTCGTTATGAGCGAATGAACAGAGGACCAAACACTCGACGGGGCTTGGCCTTCTCTACCTAAGCACCCTTTGGCTTTACAGAGGGGTTGGTAGTCGGATGAAAGAGGCTTTTAGAAAGTGCTTAGGCGAGTATGGTGAAGCGCACGAAGATGCGAAAATATTCTGGACCGGTTTGTGTAATCTATGACCCTACCCGGCTTCGGATGTGGAAGGCCAATAAACATTGGAAAGACTTTCTTAATGAGTAAAACTAGTCGCTAGAGATTGTTATCTCAGCTATATACGAGACTTGTCTCATAGCTTTGCAGTGGCCGCGCGCCCCTGCACTGCTCTGTCGATGATTTCCATCGCTTGGAAAAGCTCATGGTCACGTTGCTTTGGAGTCACGACCTGCACACTCAATGGCGAGTCCAGATAAACCCGGCGATCGGTCGTTTTCTCATTCCCTGTCAATAATTAGCAATAGTCGCTTGTTTGTCCGGTTTCACAGCACTTACATAATTTACGATTCGCCTTGTCCCAGCTACCCAGCTCTGGAGAGTTCATCTCCTGTCCAATATCCAGATCGGACTCGACAAATCGACGCACCGGTACTGTGCCAGCAGGATAATCAAGCAGTACAAAAGATGAGGTATACCCGACAGCATTATAGCGGTCCATCTGGGGAACCGGATGGGGTGCCACGGGGCAAACAATAGCATCCACGCGTCTTTCGCGCGACACACCGAGTGTCCACATCTTTAACATCTCCTTCTCTAATTGAGAGCGCTGAGTATGCAGAGCTGCTAGCTGGTTGACATTCAATGCCTTGCCACGTCCGTAGCGACCCTGCAGCCAGGGAATCAAAGACTCGCCCATACTCTCAACGAGATCCATCATACTTGACCCGTCGTCAACACCCATAAGTCGACCAGCAACTCCTTGGCACTTGCTCATTGCAGGAGGGGTGGTAATATCAACAACCTCGACACCGGGAGTCTGGCGCAAGAGCTGGGCGACTTCATCGATGACACGAGCCACAGGTGGCAAGGGGGTAACAAGACCATCGGTCTTAAGGATACCAATAGTAAAGTTACGTGGCAGTGCCAGCATGGCCGGCACCGAAGACGCAGGCGTAGGCCAATACCCGGGAATACAATCTTCGTCAAAAAGCTCAGCGCGAGGCAAGATTTCAGCCATGACAGCGCCCAAATCTGCCACCGAGCGTGCAAGTGGGCCAGCTACAGCCTGCAAAGCCATCCGGCCTTTCCCAGAAAGCTGTCCACTTTGCTGTCCACCATACGGAACGCGTCCATTACTCGGCTTGAATCCATAAATACCCTGGCACATGGCCGGCACGCGGATACTACCGCCGATATCCGTGCCAAACCCGACCATTGTCCCGCGCATTGCAACGAGGACGCCCTCGCCGCCTGTACTTCCACCTGCCGTCCATTGACGATTTAGTGGATTGAGTGTCCGTCCGAAGAGGTGGTTGCAGCTGTCTAGCGTCGCGAGCGTTTGAGGAACGTTTGACTTGGCGATGACGATGGCGCCGAGACTCTCGAGGAGATCGACCAGTGGAGAGTTTGCAGATGCAGGTTTAAAAGCCAGTGCGGAGAGACCGATGCTTGAATCCACACCCTTGATATTGAAAGTATCCTTCACAGAGACGGGGAGGCCATGCAAGGGACCGACGGGGCGACCTGTGCGTTGGAGGTGGTTGTCCAGTTCCCGCGCCCGGTGTAATGCGCGATCAAACAGAGGCTCGGTCAGACAGCGCGTAAGTTGGTGGGCAATTGCTGCTCTCTAAACATTCGGGGTTAGCTAGTCTAATCTAGAAGAGAAGCGGAGGAGATAGGGCTTCTTACTTTGCAGAATCCCTGTACCACATCCTCGGCCTTGAGTGTACCCTCAGTCATCGCCAATACGAGGGCTCGGATGTCATATTTCTCTGTAATTTCCAGCTCCTTGAATGTCAGAAGTCCACAAGTGCGCGGAATCTCCATCACATTGACTCTGCCATACTGCTTCGGGCCCTCGGTGATGGACTCGGCTGGCGTGAGCATCCCCGCAGGAATGAACTGTGCAGGAAGTTTCCATTGCGTTGGAATAGCAGCAGCCAATTTGGCTTGCTTGCGCTGGGCAATCGCCACATATGCAGGCTCGGTGGAGGCCATGATGGTTGACAGAATCAACTGCGTGGTCCCAAGGTGGATTCAGGGTTTGTGTTGCATGCGGATGCGGGGATGCGGAGAAGCCTCGGCTCAGAACTAACCTTGCATATACGCACGGAACGGGGTTATTTTGCATTCGTATTCAAGTCATCAGATCATCGGTTTATCTTTCTATCATGAGATTTAAAGTACACTGAAGATGTTCTTTTAAAATAAGGTTTAATCCTTTCAAGAGCTGGCAGGCACCTGTCCTTCCCACTGGGACTTGGCCGACCCAAAGAGTGTATCATCAGTCAACATATCCCATCCAGTAAGAGCCAGTCCTTTACCAGTAAGAATGGCCTCCACATGTGCCTCATCGGTTCCAGCACAAGCAGTGAAAGTCGGGTGGTGGGGGAAGGAACCTTCTGGAGCTGGAATTGCAAACATGGAGTGCAGTGTTGGTGTGGCGTAGCTTACATTGCCTGCAGGTCATCAGCAATGATTCTGTTAAGGCTCAAGATCACATTTTCACTTACCGACATCAGAAGACCCGGTCAAGACCTTGTCGTGTTTCTGAATAATCTCCCTTCCATAGCTGCCCATGTGACCGGTGAATCGCTCACACAGGGTCTCATTTAAAACAATATCAGTGTAAAGTCCCTCTCTAATTCATAGTTATTAGCAATTGTCAAGATAGGATCATAGGCATGACTCACTCCACAATCTTGACCGTGCAGCCCGTCATACTCGCCGCTCCTTCGATACAACTCCGGACTCGGGCGATAAGGCTGGTTAATCCGGTCAAAGTCGGGCTTCGAATCTGCCAGTAAGACTTGGTGTAGGCAGGAATGACGTTGGCAACCTTTGGCACATCAAGGAAAGCACCGTGAATGCGCTCGTCGGGCAGAATCTGTTGTCTCAATGTGGAGATTCCGTTGTAAGCCTGCACCAATGCATCCAAAGCATTCACACCATCCCATGGGTTACCACCCGCATGGGCATTCTTGCCAAAGTATTCCACATGCAGCTCCTTGCGGGCGTTCATCAAGACACCAGCAACTCCATCACTGGGCTTTCCGGTCAGGTTTTTGGGTCCACCGTGACTAGCAATTATCAGTGAAATGGACATTTACGGATCAAAGACGCGGTAGCACTCACGACATCAAGGAAATATCAACACCCTTATAAGCGCCTGCGTTCAGCAGCTTCTCCTTACCACCACCGTTCTCCTCGGCGGGAGTACCGAGAAGCTGAATTCTACCACCAGTGCCAAACTTCTTTTGCAGGTGGCTCAGTGCGAGAAAGGCCGCAACACTGCTAGTGGCAATGAGATTGTGTCCGCAAGCATGTCCAATACCGGGAAGCGCATCATATTCAGCATTGAAGTTGATCGTTCGGCCCTCCGTTCCACTGATACATTCGAAGGATGTATCGACGCCGTAGGCATGTCGGGTAACTGTGAAACCCTGGCTCTCTAGGAAATCGCAAATTGCGTCATGTGCCTTGTGCTCTTCATACGCCAGTTCGGGGTTGGACCAGATCTAAACCTATTAGCCATAATCCACAGTTTTGACAAGGAACTCTAGGAGTCAGGACATACAAACTGATTCAATTCACGAAGCTGCTTGGCGACTTTCTCAAGAGCCTCGTCGATCGCAATTTGGGCCTCTTTGGCCGAGACAGAGACAGGGATAACTGCCATATCGTTCTAGATGTGTTTTAAAAGTAGGACGCTGAAGTGGTTTCCGTAAGGCTCGGATGTGTCGGGAATAATGATATAACTGATCTTAGAATGCCCTACGGAACGCGAACTCGTTCCTTTTATGTCACTAGATTTCCGGTGCTCTACTCCACCCGAGTGGAACATGCGGCACTCCAAACCCGTATGGTATGAAACATTGCATAAATGGATATCTGAGCGCTCATAACTCGATATCCGAGCCCACTATGGCTCCGTGGAACTTGAACATGATTGAGCATGAGGTAACAGTAACTTCTAAGACAACAATATCTACCCCGGAATCTTAGCGATCAGGGCGTTCAAAAGTCAATATAGGCGAGATCGGGTAATCAGTTTCACCAGTCTTATCGTTATAACCGGCAAAAGATAACATCCACCAATGCGGGGACACGAATTAGACTTCCTCATTGCCGAACTCGTGGCTTTGGGCTTAAACCGACCAATCAGCGAACCTCAATTGCCGACCTGATATCATCCTTGTTTATCCTTCGTTCCTTCCTTCCGCTACCCAATTGATATCCTTCGATTTGCCGACCTGAACCCTTCGTGGCTTAGACGACGTGTTCTGTTATGTGTATCTCTTTCCGCGGGAAAATCGCGAGTCAATGATAGGAAAGTATTTGTGTATGAATTGTCTAGTCATTGTCGAGTAATCATCTTATCGACTGATCAATCATGTCTGGACTATCTGTTGTAAGATCCTGATGTACTCACGACAATGATATCAAACTTTGCGCCCAGCGAGATCATACCACGCCATCTTATCTGTGATAAGCGACCTAGATCGGTTCCGGTACTTTACGTCAAACCTTACCATCTATATAGGCTAGGTTATATAGAGCATTTTCTCCGCACAATATCAATTCCATGATCTGTTTATTTACCAAAACCATCTACTACTCACATCATGAGTAAGTCACAGGCCTACGACGAGAAGGCAAGCTATGTCGACCATGAAATAGGGCAAGATGCCAGTGTCGGTGAAGTTGTTGAATATCATGCATCTCCTGAAGAGGAGCGTCGACTGTTATGGAAATTGGATCTTTTGTAAGCCTTACAGCCATTGGGGTGCGACCCTGCTCTAATACCATCTTAGCATGATTCCAACAATGGGAATCTGTTACATGCTTCAGTACATGGATAAACTGGCGCTTAGTCAAGCAACCCTTCTCAACCTCCGATCAGACCTTGTAAGTTCTCCCTCCCTGAATACATCCCTTCACCACTAACAGAGTCAGGGCCTTGTTGGCCAACAATATACATGGTGCTCTGCGATTTTCTATTTCGGCTACTTGGCCTGGAGTTGGCCAACGTCCTACTTGATCGTGCGCCTTCCTCTGGGAAAGTACCTCGCTGTATCAGTGTATGCTCTCCTGTCCAATATTCAAACAATCACCCGGCAAATTTGTCTGACATCGACCTAGATTCCTCTGGGGTGGAATACTCATGTGTCATGCAGCCTGCCAGAACTTTGCAGGCTTGATCACCGCTCGATTCTTCCTTGGCGTTGGTGAAGCTGCTGTCGCACCAGGCTTTGGTCTCATCACAGGAATGTTCTACAAGAGAGAAGAGCAACCCGCTCGGTAAGTGTGAGCGTTTAACTAAAGGGGGAACGATCATTAACTGACCCATCCTTTAGCCAGGGAGCATGGTTCGTTGGTAACTGCATTGCTAACATCATCGGCGGTGTGGTTGCATATGGCATTGGAAACACCGCTTCAGATCTCCAAAGCTGGCGTCTTTTGTTCCTCGTGCTTGGTGGAATCACCTCTGGCTACGCCATCGTTCTCTTTTTCGTCCTTCCCGACTCGCCCGCGAAAGCATCCTTCCTCACCGAGACCGAACGCGTGATCGCTGTGCAACGAACACTGAAGAACAAGACTGGCACTGCTGAGGCGACCGAGGTGTTCCAATGGAACCAGGTCTGGGAGGCTGTGCAAGACCCGCAGGCATGGTTCCTGGTACTTTACACCTTCTGTGTCAACCTCTGCAATGGTGGACTCACCAGTGTAAGTGGATTACGCCGGTTCGCACCTGTAAATGAGTTGCTAACATGAATCCAGTTCTCCGCCATCATCATTGAAGGCTTCGGGTACTCCAGCTTCAAGTCCCTCTTGCTGCAGATGCCCATGGGTGCCTCGCAACTAGTGTTCCTGATCATCACCGCAGGAATCGCCACATACGTCAAATCATCGCGTATCATGGCCATGATTTTCAATGTCATTGTCGCTGTCATTGGTATAGTTCTGATCTACACACTCAATGACACCCACAAGATCGCCAAACTGGTTGGTCTAGCCTTTGTTGCTGCTTTCGCGGTCAACATTCCACTCAGTTTGAGTATTGTCACCTCCAATGTCGCCGGTGCGACAAAGCGGAGTACCATCAGTGTTGCTATCTTTGCCGCCTACTGCGTGGGCAACATTGTCGGTCCTCAATTCTTCTTCGCGTCGCAAGAGCCAAAATACCAGGTATGTTATTTCTCTTATATCTTCAGTACCTCTTTTACTAATTTGATTCCCACAGAGCGGTATTGAGGCTTCATTGTGTGGATTGGTGCTTGGCATCTTCTTCCTAGGCTTGCTATTTGTTTACTACACTTGGGAGAATAGAAGACGGAACTCGCAAGATGCAGGAGTATCCGAGGGTGATCTCCGCGATATCGTTGAATCGCAGAACAACAAGACCGACAAGCAGATACCCGGGTTCAGATATTCCCTATGATTATGTTTCTATTTCACGTTTACTATATATTCTCCACCGAAATGCATGCCGCCTTTCATCGAATGGGAGTTATTGTAGCCCTCGGGGCATTTGATAATATTCAGGGTTGAATGAATAGGATTCGTAAAGGACTACTTGACGACTAGAAACGCGAGATGTCCCTTCCGAACAGCCGATTGAGAGTCCACCGGAAAGCAACCCGTAGCTTGTTGCGCCAGCTGATGCTCATGGTGATATATGCTGCGTTCCAAACCAATGAGGCCATTCTTCCCGTGATTCCTTCAGGAAGGTATTTGCTGCGGTTGCCATTTCGATCATCGTGGGGGATTTGCATCAGGGCCCGCTCACTCCCAATGTACGCCATCGTGCCCATATTGCGGAACGAGAAAGGTGGGCTCTGGTCCAAGTCCTTGTTATTCAGGTGCTTTGCTAACCATTTGGCTTCTTGGAAGGTAGCCTGTGCTGTGGCAGGGGGCGCTCCAGTCTCTATCATAGCATTGTCACCTAGCGCGAAAACATCTTGAAGAACAGCCGTGCGGCCCTTATCGTCTTGTAGCTGTACTCGAAGGTGTCCGTCAACAAGTAGAGCACCTTTCTTGGAAAATTTCTTGAACTCCCAGGAAGACTGGTCATCCTTGAATGATTGCAAGCTACTGTTGACAGAGTCGACGGGAAATTCTTCGACTTTGTCAAGGGCCTGGCTGACAAACTTGTTCATAGCATTGCCAGTCACCCAAACACACATGCCAACTCCTACCTCACCTTCTTCCTTCGTTTTGAGGGTGAGAGAACGCTTCGGATCCATCTCGTGAGGTGGTCGGTCGCCTGGTGCTCCCCACCGGAGATTCTCCACATGGTGAGAAGTCTTGATATCGATGCCTTCGCTCTTCATTGTCTCCATGGCGTATCGAGAAAGTGATTCGTCAAATGTTGACAAAACTTTAGGGGCGACATCGTAGAGACTGATCCTAGGGATGCCATCGAGAGCCGGGTACAATCTCATCATATCCTTGTAGATGAAATCACGAAGCGACGCCGCCAGCTCCGAACCAGTAGGGCCCGCTCCGACAATCGCAAAATGGAGCAGCCATTTCTGCATTTCGGGGGATGTGGTAGGAAGCACGGCCAGTTCAAAGCATTCACGTACACGTCGCTTCACGCGCTTGGCATCACCAATGTCCTTGAAGAAAAAAGCGTTCTCTCTAACTCCAGGAGTACCAAAGGTGCGGCTCACCGCGCCTACTGCGATGACAAGCTTATCATAGGGGACCTCAAACATCTCGCCTTGTTCCCACCAGCGGTATCCTTGCTTCGGATTCTTTGTTTTGCTCTCGGGGCTTTCGTCGACTTGTCTTTCATTTTCAGATGTCCGCGGTGTCTCAGTGACACCACTCTTAACCACTGTGGCCTCGCATAAAATAGTCTTTCTCTTTAGGTCTATCGACCTCGCCGCAGCTTGAATGAAGTCGACTTTGGCATGCGAGTCACGCACGGGCTCGACAATATTAGAGAAATCGAGAGACCCACTTGCCGCATCGGTCAGTAGAGGTGTGAAGACGAAGTAGGAACGCGGTGAGATGACGATGGGCGAGAAGGACTGCGGAGAAAGCCGGCGCGACACGGTATATCCGCCCCAACCCGATCCGAGAATGACTACACGTTCCTTTTGTGCATCGGATTGGTGGGCAGCTGTGGTATGGTCGATCTGCGTGGCAAGGCTTCTATACTTGAAACATGTTGAAGATGTCGGGATCAATGGTTTGCGGGCAATATGGTCGAGAGGGGCAGCGAAAGGGGAACAACCAGGGCGCAGAGCACCCAGAGGCCGGAGTGGCATAATCTCAGAATTTGGAAAGTGCTCTTTTTAGTCAATGGAGAACTGTACGATCATTGTAATGATTAGTGGAATCATGGGTGCTTTTGAGGTGGAGCTTGTCATAGACTTCCGCTGACATATTGATGACTTCATGCTCGGAATATGCAACAAGCGTCCTAAAGGGTAGACTCGGATCGGGATCTCAGGGACATTTCTCTGATCAGGTCCACTGGAATATCCACCCGGTATCGGGTTCTCGTGCTCCCGCGAACATGTTAGTCTGTTGGTGAAGGACTATCCTCAAGGGGAAAGCCGGAACCGTTCGGGGCCATCGGTGAAGAGTCGCACGTGCCACTGGGTCGGAAGAATCAGGCTGGAATACTTCAGCTTCATGTGCTTCTTATGGCCATATGAATGTGATTCTGCATGTATTTGGACAAGAAAGAGGGGAAGGAAGAGGAAAGACACAGAGGATCCGAACACCGTTGCCCATGTGGTCACGTGAGTGCGGCGTTAGCCTTATGCCCCACAATCATGCCACAGGTCTGGATCTATATCAAACATCCATGGATAAGATTGGGGTGATCGATATTGAAGAAAAGTAGGAACCTAATTTGTATCTTGTCCCCGTGGGTATGACTACGTTAAACTGCCAGAAAGCCCTATGGAATCAAGGTATAAGAGCACTGTTACATCTCTATTCTCACGTGCGGTAATGAAGGCACAGGGCTACGTCTGGCTTACACATGTAAACCTAGGTAGAGACTACTCTTAATTAATTCAAGATATATATACGGAGACTTCGCAAAGAGACACTTTCACCCCGAAGGCGCAACCCTATTGAGTTCATCTCGAGCATGGGGATGATATGCGGAGTCTTGGCCCACTCAGCGGAGCGGTCCACTCGTTTAACTGGGCCGCGCATGCATGAACGTTTCGATGCTGGGAAAAGGCGCGTGCTCAGTTGGTCCTTCCAATGAAATAAGGCAATTTCTAAAGAATATAACTTCAGCTTCACCGATAAGGATGATCAATGTCTTAGCCGTGTCAAGATAAGTTATCTCCACAATAAAGCTTGGAAACTCGGTTAGATAAGGTTTCCCGTCCTCTTGAAAGGCTTGTCAGTTTCCAGATTCCATGTTCCTGAGTTTTTGAACGAGGAATCAGGACTACAGCGTGAATATAATGTTGCCGCATCTTAAACATGTGGCATCGGCATGGGAATATGTATCGGGCGCAGTATGACTTTGCCACATACCACGCTGACCCTTTGACCTGATCTTGTTAGGGAAATAATCTAGATAGCCCGAGCGCCAACCAATGAGCATCGCGCGTGGCGTGTAACATTTAGTCGAGAGGCAAAGGCTAACTGGGGCCGGCAATTTTAGTCGACCGGACTCCGCAACGCTAATGTACAAGTCAACCTATCAGGCAATAAGATTTATGGTGTTATCTATCCCCCGCAGCCTCTGTCCACGTGCCAGTCTTTAAATTCGGCTTTGTTTTTTTTTTTCTTCCCTTTCAACGATCTCGTGCTCCCTCTCCCTCCACTCGCGGCCATGGCTTTTGATCCAGAAAAAGGCCTCGACAAGGTCAATTTCTCTACTGTCGACCAGAGTTCTCTCGATGTGGCCCCTGCCGAGAACAATGTCGCCCCGTCGCACGAGACCGGCTTTCTGGCCAAGATTCGGGCTTTGGAAGCCAGAATGGACAAGGCTTTGGGTCTAGAGTCGGAGGCTATCACCCGAAAACGTGCCGAGGACAAGAAACCCGTGCATTGGGTGGAAGAATTGTCGATGGCGTTGCTGTGGGCGAGTGGCACCATGAACACCTCCTGCTTTGCGACTGGCTTTCTCGGGTGGGAATTCGGCCTGACCCTGAAACAATCAATCCTCATTTCCATCTTCGTATCTATCCTGGCTGCATCGCTCAGTGGATTTTGTGCGACCTTTGGCGCGGTGACCGGGTTGCGCCAGATCAGTGTCAGTCGGTACAGCTTCGGTTGGTGGCCGAACAAACTGGTCGCTCTGCTCAACGGTATTCAGCAACTGGGCTGGGCAGCCGTCGCATGTATCACCGGAGGCCTTGCGTTGACTGCCGTTTCCGACGGCAAAGTCTCTTTGATTCTGGGAATCGTCATTCTGGCGGTCGTGGCCCTGCTCATCTCTTTCGTCGGACTGAAAGCCATTCTGATCTACGAGCGGTGGGCCTGGATGATCTTCTTTATTATCTTTTTGATCATCTATGGTGAGACCGGCCAGTATGCAGATAATACGGCACCCGCCTCCGTGACAGGAGTCACCTTCTCGGGTGAAGTGCTCAGTTTGATTGCCGTGGTCTACGGATCCAGCGCATCATGGTGCACAATGGCTAGCGATTACTACGTCCACTACCCTGCCGATGTCAGCCGTGTGAAGGTTTTCCTCATGACCACCTTCGGTATTGCAATTCCGACCTCCATTGGTTTGGTCGCCGGTTGTATCGCCGCCTCCGCGCTAAACACCAAGCCTGAATGGTCTGACGCATATGACCAGGGAATTGGCTACCTGATCCAAGAGATGCTCCATCCTCGTGGATTTGCGAAGTTTCTCCTTACCCTCCTCGTCTTGTCCGGTATCAATGTCAACGTGATCAGCATTTACAGTTCTGCCATTTCCTTCCAGCAATTGTCCCGACCCTTCGCCCGTGTTCCTCGTCTCCTGTGGACCCTCTTCTGCTTCGTCTGCATCCTTGCCCTGTCGATTGGTGGCCGAGAAAAGCTCAACACCTACCTCCAAGATTTCCTGAGTCTGCTGGGATACTGGTGCACGAGTTACGCTGTGATTCTGTTCGAGGAACACTATATTTTCCGCAAGGGCAGCTTCGACAATTACGATTTGGAAGGGTGGAACGATCCGGCCAGGCTGCCGCTAGGTATCGGTGCGGGAGTTGCATTTATCCTCGGGGTTGTGGCGTGGTGTATGGGCATGAGTGAGACGTGGTTCGTTGGGCCTCTTGCTAAAACGATTGGTGAATACGGTGGTGATGTTGCCAACGAATTTACTTTCGTGGTGACGGCCTTGACCTATATCCCAGCACGATACCTGGAGCTGAAGTATTTTGGCCGGTAAACTGTTGAATTAGTTATATATAATAGTGAGCATTCTGTCTGTATATTCACATTGAACCAGGTTCAAGTTTTGGTACCAAGAGCAACGTAGAGACCCTGGTAATCGTAGCTGTATGGCTGGTCCATTTTAACTATGTTTTAACCCTTGCTTGGGAACGCCTCCCGAGGTCTGTTTAGGGTGATCTAAATAATTCAATTACCCCGCGTGTCGACCGCGCTTAATACAAAGTAGTATAAAGCATGTCTGGAGTGGATCCGGAGTTTTCCTCGGAGTTTACCCGATGTCTGTCCCACGGCTAGGACCGTCGGTCTGCCCCGCGCACTCGGTCAACGCCGGTCTCTAAAGTGGACCAAAGAACCAAGGAGAATTACTTTTAATCTGCGGGGCTTGCTGATCTGAGATAGCTAAATACCAATTGGGCCCCCTTTGTCGCGAATTCCCAGTGAAACTCACCTTAACACCCACACCTACGCAGCACACTCACATTACCCCCCACTATGGTCAACGATAAGAAGATCGGTGCCTACTATGCACCCACCGGTGGATTGCCACCGCAGACTCAGATTCTCACCGATCGCGCCATGTTCACCGAAGCCTACGCCGTCATCCCCAAGGGCACCTTCAGCGACATCGTGACCAGTTTCCTTCCCTTCTGGGACCAGACCCGGTTATGGGTGATCGCTCGCCCACTCTCCGGCTTCGCCGAGACCTTTTCGCAATACATTATGGAAGTGCAGCCCGGTGGTGGAAGTGACCGGGCCGAGCTAGACGACGGCGCCCAAGGAGTCCTGTTCGTAGTTGAGGGCGAAGTCACCGTGACTCTGGCCGGGGAAGCCCACACCCTCACCGAAGGCGGTTACGCTTATCTCCCTCCGAAAAGCGGCTGGACCCTCCGCAACACGGGTTCCGCTACCGCCCGATTCCACTGGATCCGAAAGACCTATGAAGCCGTGGAGGGACTTGACTTCCCCGACCCGCTTTTCCTGAACGAAAAGGAAATCGCCCCCACAGTGATGCCGGATACCGATGGTTCATGGGCCACTACTCGCTTTGTGAACCCGACGGATCTTCGTCACGATATGCATGTGACTATCGTGACTTTCCAGCCGGGTGGTGTCATTCCTTTCGCCGAGACTCATGTTATGGAGCACGGATTGTATGTTTTGGAAGGAAAGGCTGTGTACCGACTCAACCAGGACTGGGTCGAGGTTGAGGCGGGTGACTTTATGTGGTTGCGCGCTTTCTGCCCGCAGGCTTGTTACGCTGGTGGCCCTGGCCCTTTCCGCTACCTGCTGTACAAGGATGTGAACCGCCACATGAAGTTGTCGCGTTAAAAGAATGTGTCGGACACTGAATGGAATATAATGACGCCACGCTTTCAACGTGAAGCTACGGGTGCATAACTGGAGGCCGAGTGAAAAGTCGGGACCAGAATAACGATAACCGGACCAAAGGGGTCCGGATTAGCTCTCACGACTTACGACCATTGCAGTCAACAGTTCAAAGCAAAAGGCTGAAGTGCATCCAGCGATATCAAACCAAATACAAACGATGCACAGGGGGGATGAATCATGAGTGGTATTCGATATCTGATTCGTTGGGACCACTCGATGTTCTGCTCAATTTTGGAATCTAAAATTATAAGAAAATATTATTGACTCGGATTATAACTTTTGCTCGTGACTACAGGTCGGGTCACCCACCACTTTACCTCCGATCACCCACCACGTGACTTTTTAGAAAAATAGAAAAAAAAGGTCGGGGTAGGTAATAGGAGGTCCTTACGCCCCACATGTCACGTATTATATCCGCTTTCGCCTGGTCGCTAATATAATACTATAAGTTTATATTTATATAATACATAACAATTTTGAAGCTAGTTAAGCACTAGTTAGAAACGAGTTTCTCGCTTAAGAAAGGTAGCTTATCTAGGAGACTATTTAAGAAAGGGTTAATAACTAGTTCTTATCTCTTTTATCTCTACTAAGCGACTTATAATGGCCTACTTATCTCTCTAGGATGGTTTGAGGGATACTACGATTAATAATCTAGTAGGCTTTATATCTTCTCTAATAGAGGATACTATAGTGATGGAAGCCCTAGGAAGGGATCTATTATATAAAGTATACTAAGTAATAGAGGATCTAGAATATATAAGAAGATATAGAGAATATTTATATAGCTAGTTACTAACTAGTTATTACCTTATTATAGGTCCTAGATCCCCTAAGACTACTAATATAATATAAACGTGCCCTAATTAGTATAGCTCTAATTAAATATACTACCTACCTTCCTAAATATCTATAAATATATATTAGAGGCTATATATATATTATTAGTCTTAAAGGGCTTTAAGAATAGAAGTAGGTACTAGATACCTTAAGTGGAGTAAGTAATAAAGAACTAGGTTTTAATTACTTACTAACTAGTTCTAGGTCTAATACTTAAAACACTAAGTAGGACTTACTAAAATAATATTTTACTCCTTTCTAGGTTATTATATTAAAAAGCGCCTTTACTAGTATAGTAGCGTAAGGGTTTATAAGTATCTTAATAATAAGATTAAAAAGGAGTATTATTCTTTTATAAGTAGTAAGCTTTAGACTTAGATCTCTAGTATTTATATATAATTACGCTAAGAATCTATAATCACTAAGAAATACTAAGTTACCTATTTATAAGTCTAAGTAGTTAATAACTACCTATTAACTAGTTACTAAGTAATATAATTTAATAGGCGATATTACAAAATTATAAGATAGTTTCTTATAGATAATACTTACTAGGATTATCTTAATATATATTATTTAACTTATAGGACTTTTCTACTAGTAAGTATTTTATTAATAGAGCTAATTATAAACTAGTTATTAACTAGCTCTAAAGTCTATCTTAGGAATTTATATAAAATACTTAACTTATATAAATATAATATAGTCTAATCTATATATATACTACTAGCTTCCTCTTAAAAGCTTTATTAAAAGCTATAATATAGATCTATTATATTATCTAGTTAATATAGATTAGCCTTTATATATAGAGATATATAGGAAAGTATCTAGAGTAATAAGTTAACTAGTAGACTATAGTAAGTTTAAGGGAACTATCTTATAACTAGTTTATAATAAGCTACTAACTATTCTACCTAGGTTTTAATTATCCTTAGGGTAAAGAATAAATATAGTATATATATTATAGTATATAGTACTATTTATTTATTCTATTAGATATTTAAGTATACCCTTATACTTTATTCTACTCCTATAGATATTATATATATCTACCTCTACTATCTAAGAAGGCACTATAAAAGATCCTTAATAAAGTTCTAAGCCTTATTATTAGGATATAAATACTAGATCTAACTCTAAGTAAGTCTTTAAGAACTAGTTAATACTTATCTATTAACTATTTCTAGGTACCTTTCTTACTAGTCCTAGATTATAAGAGCTTTATAAGAGGTATAATTATATAATATTTAGTTAGATCTATATAAGCTTTATTAAGTAAGATCGAATTACTATAATAATAGCTAAGTAATATACCTTTCGCTACCCTATAGATAGGGATCTTAGTGGTCTTTACTATAAGCTCTAGTAGAACGTAAAGTTAAAGGTAAGTCTAAGTCCCTCCTATAAAACCTAGACTAGTCTATAACTAGATAATAACTAGTTCTTTAGGATTATATTTAAGATATTAAATTATTTAATAGTAGTACTTTTATCTTTTATACTTTTAACGCCTAGATTAAACTTATAGTATCTCTCCTATTATTTAAGGTTAATATATCTTATAAGCGCCTAAGAGGGTCTATAAATAAGGTTATCTTTATAACCTTTATCCCTATATATAGGAAAAGTAAGTATTAAGTATTACTAGGGTGGTTCTATACTAGTTACTAACTAGTTCTTTAAAGTCTTTACCCTTTTTCGCGTCTTTATAGACTAAGAAATAACTATTAGTTACTAATTTATATTTACCCATATACTATACTAGATTATAAAAATCATAAAGAGGATATAGCTCTTTTATTATCTCTATAGTAGTAGATTTAAGGGTATTATAGTTAATATATATCTAAAATAGATAATAGGTATAAGTCTAGAACTAGTTATAGATCTATTAATAACTAGTTTAGGTCTAGGACTTTTCTTATAGACACTAGACCCCTAAAAGCGTGATTAGCGTTAGTAATTATAGAATATTCTTATATTCTATAGAGTTTATTTTATATATATAATCTATAAGATATTTCTAAAGTAATTAGATAGTACCTATCTATTAGAATATATATAGTTCTATACTTTAATAGAATATTAATTAGAATTAGACTATTATAAGCTTCTTAATTTACTAGTTAGTAAGTAAGTAACTAAATAACTAGATATTAACTAGTTCTTAGCTAATCTAGCTATCTTTATTAATATAATTTATTAGATTAGTATCCTTATTTATAGTAATAGGTATAATATAAGAGATATATTATAATTATAGCTAGTCTATATAAAGTATATTCTCTTATAAGGCCTAAATTCTTTAATGAAATTAGGCTCTATATAAATACTATTAAGTAAAGCCACTATAAGTCATATTTTCTTAGAACCTATAACTTATTAGTTAGTACTATTAAGAAGTATATTTTACCTAAGTTATAACTACTTAAGGACTAATTATTAACTAGCCCTAGGTCCTAAGATCGTAATTAACTAGATATTAATTAGTACCACTAATATAAGATATATAGATTATATTATTCCTATCGCTTAACTAATATTTAAATATAAATACGTAATTTAGACTAATAACTTAATAAGTTATATTAATAAATCCTTCTTTAATTAGTTAGTAACTAGTTACTAGAGCATAAGTAATAAAAAAGATAATAACTTGAGATAGGTAATCAAGAATAGAACATCGAAGATCAAATTCTTTATGAATTTAGTTCTTCTAGATATTCTATTTTAGCGCTAAAGTAGAGAAAACCTTAGAAGTAAGCTATAATAGCGTAGATAACGCGAAGGAGACCTAAAGTAAGGTAAGTTACTATAAGACTAGTTAAGAAGTAGTCACTAACTAGTTAATCTAGTCTATCTCTAAGCTCTAGATCTCTTCTTTATATAGTAACTATAAACTAGGGGCATCTCGCTTATAAAGCCTAATTTGTAAGTATATCACAATAGCTAAGTTAGGTAACAATATTACTTTAGAATATACTTTAGAATTAGGAACTAGTTAAGGACTAGTTATAAATCAAGTTACTACCTTTTAACTAGGCTATTACTCTATTTCTTCCACCATCTCTTCCACTATCCCTTCTACTATCTCTTCTACTATCTCTTCTTCTATATCTTCTTCTATATCTTCCTCTATATCTTCTTCTATATCTTCCTCTATATCTTCTTCTATATCTTCTTCTATATCTTCTTCTATATCTTCTTCTATATCTTCTTCTGTATCTTCTTCTATATCTTCTTCTATATCTTCTTCTATATCTTCTTCTATATCTTCTTCTATATCTTCTTCTATATCTTCTTCTATATCTTCTTCTATATCTTCTTCTATATCTTCTTCTATATCTAGTTAAAGTGCTTCTAGTTCGTCTTTACCTATCTCTGATAGTTCATCTCCAGCTCCAGCTCCAGCTCCAGCTCTAGGTGTAGCTCCGGGTGCAGCTCCAGCTCCAGCTCCAGCTCCAGCTCCAGGTGCAGCTCCAGGTCCAGGTGCAGCTCCAGGTCCAGCACCACCACCACCACCACCACCATCTCCAGCTCCAGGTACAGCTCCAGGTGCAGCTCCAGCTCCAGCTCCAGCTCCAGGTACAGCTCCAGGTCCAGGTACAGCTCCAGGTACAGCTCCAGCTCCAGGTACAGCTCCAGCTCCAGGTACAGCTCCAGGTCTAGGTACAGCTCCAGGTCCAGCACCACCACCACCACCACCACCATCTCCACCACCATCTCCACCACCATCTCCAGGTCCAGGTCCACCACCACCACCACCACCACCACCACCACCAGCTCCAGCTCTAGGTACAGCTCTAGATGCAGCTCCAGCTCTAGCTCCAGGTATAGCTCTAGGTCCAGGTATAGCTCTAGGTCCAGCACCACCACCACCACCACCACCACCATCTCTAGGTCCAGGTCCACTACCACTACCACCACCACTACTACTACTACCACTATCACCACCACCATTACCACCACTATTACCATCTAGCGCTTAAAAAAGCTCAAAGTATTCACAAATAGCTAAACTAAGGGCCCGACAATAGCTAGCTATAAGCTAGTTAGTAATCAGTTATAAACTAGCTAGATATAACTTACCTAGTAAAGCTAGACACCCTATATATAGAATAGTATAGCTAAGGTCTACTACCATTTTCCGTATTTTTAAAATATAAATCTAGAAGTATTAGATATAATAGCGTAATAAAGGAAGTAGAAATACTACTTATAATACTATCACGCTTTCTAGATATAATAGGGAGGATAGGTATAGCGCGAGTATTAAATATAGCTTTAAGAGCTATAAAGAAGCCTATAACTAGTTAGTAACTAGTCTTAAGGTAGTTTTTATATCTTACCTATCGTAGCTATTTTATCTAGAAGGGTTAGGCGCCCTTAAGGTAAATAGATAGTAATTTATAGATATTCTTAATTATAATAATAGCGAAGATTATTTATTAAGCTATATAGAGTTAAATTAATATAGCCTAGAAATTAATAATAGCGCTTACTATAGAAGATAACCTATCTTCTAAGCTAGAACTAGTTAGTAGGTAGTTCGTAACTAGTTAGGTATTTATTACTTATACTATTAACTACTAAGTCTAGGGATTTAATCTCCGCCTTAGTATAGGTTAAATACTATTAATAATTAGGATATTAAGAGATATTTATTAGTATTTTAATTATATACTATAGATAGAGGGTAGATATTAATATTCTAATAGAGCCTTAAGAAAAGTTAGTAATAGATATAGATATATATATCTTTAACCTCTATAATCTTAACTTTAGTTAGGTCTATCTATAGTAATTTAATATCTTAGACCCCTAAATCTTAAAATCTAATATTAAAGAGAAAGGTATAGATATAATTAAACCTTTATTAAACTTAATACTACTATCCTTTAAATTTTAAAGAGGCGTTAAAGTAGAGCTTAAAACTTAATATAGAGTTAAAGAATATATTTTTAGAGCTAGGAACTAGTTATAAATCAGTCCTAAACTAGTTATATAATAGTATATCTTTATATATTAATACTTTAAAATAAAAGTATAATAATAAAGTTTTTTTTGATTTTTATTAAATTAGTTACTAACTAAACCTTATCTACCTCCTCCTCGCCTTTTACCTTATCTTTATTCTTATCCTTAAAGAAAAATAGTAACTAGTAGTTATAATTATTATTTTTATTAAAGAGACTATATTCTAGTAACTAGTTAGTAACTAGTTAAGGAATAGACTTTAAATCCTATATATACTTAGCTATATCTTAGTAATCTTATATATATTATAAGGAACCTTTCTACCCTTCTTCTTAATAATCCTTTATATCTCTATAATATTAATCTAGTTAATAACTAGTTAGTAATAAGTTAAGAAAGTCTTTTACTTTTTACTTACTATATTATTATACTTTCGCGGGACTAGTAGCTAGAAATTATAGTTAAACTATTCCTTTAATCTAATATAGAACACTATAACTAGTTAGTAATTAGTTAAGAAAGGTATTTATTTTACTTACCCTATACTTTAGCTAGATCCTTATTACTAACTACGCTAGATTATATAGTTACTATAAGCTTACTATATTTAATTTATAGGTAGTAGCGTAAATTATTAGTACTTAAATAATAGGTCTATAATTAGTTAGTAATTAGTTATTAAATAATATATAGAATAAAGTATATACCACTAATCTATATCTATCTATATAGTAGAACACTTTACTAGTGTATACTATAATAGTATTAAGTCACTTCTCTTAGTTAGCTATAATAACTAGTTCCTAACTAGTTAGATTTTACTTACTTCCTCTTTAAATAGCGAGAGTCGTATCTCTTCTTTATCTTTTAATAAGTACCACTAGTAAACTAACTAATTAAATCTAATATTAGCCTCACTTATCTCTTACTTCCCTTTAATACCTATTTTTAGAGTAAATAAATCCTAATTTTAAGGGGGTTTCACTCACACTAGATTTAAGGGATTTCATCTTAAATAAGTTCCATAAGTATAGAAAACTAGTTATATTATAGTTAGTTAATAGATAGTTATAGAAGTTACGTTCGTTATAGCTATAAAGTAGAAATTTATATATGGAGCGCGCGTTTTTTTACATAGGTATTAACGGTGCCTGAAATCTCAAAACAACGGCCTCAGGCTCCCATCACCTTCCCCTACCTCTTTTTTTCCATTTCTCAAAAGGTCACGTGGTGGGTGATCGGAGGTAAAGTGGTGGGTGACCCGACCTGTTTTCTGCTTTTACTCACGATATTTAGTGACTTGCCTTAGGCCACAACATTAGTCATCAGCTGTGTACCCGCCTATTGTTTTCTCTTATTTTAGGAAACGCTTCTTTACTTAGCTGAATTAGTGTAGTTCCGGGTACGGGCCGAGGAACAAAATGGGTGAGGTAATCAATTAAAGATATTATTCTATATTAGACCGAGTCTGTGCAAGTTTGAGCCTCGCTTCATGCAAGTTTATTGGTGACGCGCCACTGTGGCGCAGTGGCTGTGGCGCTACTCCGATGACTCAGAATCTCGGATTTATGCCACGATTTCGGTCTTGAGTTCCCAATTCGGTAATTCCATCGTAGATTCGTTCGGTCACTTCGCCTCCCCGAGCTGTGAAGACTTTACGGCCTTCGGATATGCATCTTTTGGATGCGGGTAATTCCCAATGTATTCACTTCTCGGACTTATCAAGGTTCGGAGGCGCCGTAGGGCCAGTAAGGCGGGGGATCAAACAAGGCAGCATGATTGTGGAACGAGCTTGCGTGGCTGACAAGGATCTCGACTAACTGTGGCTGCCTTGCTCCACAAGTATATAAAGAGCTTAATCCTCTCATGAGAACTTCATCATTCACACTACAGTCTTCACTTGTGTCTTGTTATTTCTTCCAACCTTTCAACCTTCTTCAACTCTTCAACTTTACATATACCTCTCACATATACATTCGACCTTTTGATTATCCAAGATGGCTTCCATCTACCAACTCAATCATCCCCATTCATGGGATCCCTCGGCCACCGGTCTTGAGGATCACCCTTTCTTCGCGCGTGGAGGTCATCATCATGGCCCACACGCTCACCATGGACCCCCTGGTCCCCCTGGACCTCCTCCTCACTTCTGGGGCTATGGAGGCCCTCACCACGGCCACCATGGCCACCACGGTCCTCCCCAATTCTGGGGCTGGGGAGGTCCCGGCGAGCATGGCCCTCGCGGCCGTCGTCACCACCACCGCGGCGAGTGGGAGCACCCCGAGAACAATGAAGAGGTCGAGGCACCTGCAGAGGAGAACGCCGAGGCATCTGGGTCCACAGAGAAGATCCCCGAGACCCACGACAAAGAGGTAAACTCCTCTTCCGAGTCTGAATCCGACGAGCCCCGCTGCCGTAAACACAAGCACAAGGGCGACAAGGGTCATCACGGCCCTGATCACATTCGCGGATTCGGTAAAGGTGGACGCGGGGGAAAAGGCGGCAAGGCCCGTCACGGACACGGGCCTGGCCACAAGGGTGGTCCTGGATTCGGAGCTTTCGGTGGTCGTGGACATCACCATCATCACGGTCCTTATGGAGGTCCCGGCCCATTTGGCCCATACGGAGGACCTGACGGGTTTGGAGGTCCTGGTCACTTTGGAGGACATGGTCCTTACGGCCCCCCCTCATCACCATGCACACCCCATGTTCGGCTTCGGCGGTCCGATGGGCGGAAAGGGCCACAAGGGCCACAAGGGTCCCAAGGGTCCCAAGGGAGGACGTCGTGGCCGTGGGATGCGCGGCGGTGGTCCCGATAAGCACTTCATGCGCCAACTGAGCGCATTTTTTGGATTTCCCCTCGGCCAGAACGATGTTGATTTCCAGCCATCGGTTGATGTCTTCGATACCCCAGTCAACTACATTCTGCACGTCTCCCTACCCGGTGCGAAGAAGGGCGACCTGAACATCGACTATGATGCCGAAGAGTCCGTTATTCGTCTGACCGGTGTTATCCACCGACCTGGTATGGACGAGAACCTGCACCAGGCTCTGGTGATGGAAGAGCGAGCCCGCGAGGTGGGTGTTTTCGAGCGCGAGATTCGTCTTGGTACGCGCCACGCTCCGGCTCGCGTTATTGTTGACGGTATTGTCGCCAAGCTCGAGGATGGTGTTCTGACCGTGACTATCCCCAAGATTGAAGAACTTGAGTCAAAGAAGGTTCTTATTGAAGATGGCGATGTTCTGGAGAAAGATGCTATGGTGATGGATGAGCATGTGAGTCGGACTATCACTCCTGGCGAGTCGGAGGAAAGCGAGTCCGAGGAAGAGGCACGCGAGTACGTCAAGATTGCGGTGCAGTAAAGGGCCATGACAATTTGAAAATGATGATATGGCGTTGGGTTTGATTTGAAATCTTCTGTTAATAATGATTCTTTGCGTGAGCTTTTGCAGATTGAATAACAAATTACACTCGTTTCTAACACGAGTGTTATGCATGAACTTTGTGCCCTTTCTCCAACTCTCTTATTCCACTGTAGACATTGTAAGCCAAAAGCCAACAACCAAGTCCTTTGGAAGTAGATGAAGTACTCACTATATTTAGTGTTCAAGGGTTTCACTCTTTACTCACGTACAAAGGGTATCCTCGTCGCTCAAAAACCCAATGTTTCGGCCAAGTCAACCACTCCTGGTATTCAGGGCGGATCTTGCTCTCAATATCCTCCATTAACTGCCATCCAAGCCCATTCGTAAACCAAATATCGTCCACAAGATGAACCAGAACACAGTAGTATGCCATGATAACCAAGGCAGCAGGTTCATGCGCTTCAACTTCATCGTAGAACGTTTTACTCAGAGTTTGCGCAAATATTAGGACCATGCCCCATTCGACCTTCGTTCCTGCGAGCTCAATGCATCGTGACGCTCTTTCGAATGCGTCAAGGGCATTGATATACTCTTTTCGACGATCTGTTGGATCGCTCGCAGTTTCAGGATCACCGCTCGTCTGGCCAGGTTGAGCTGCCGGTGCGAACGGGTAATTATGAATGAATGCACGTAATTGGGATGCCTGCATCCAGAAGTTTGGAGGAAGTAAAGATTGGGCAATTTGAGCCTGGCTAATACAGAATACAAGTTAGTGATTAGTACTCCAGTCCAGCCAATGAAACCCTACCTTGGAATAAGCTCCGGATCTATAAGATAGATAGAGTTCACCAGGGGTGCCAACTGGGTCTTTCGAATAGAATGCAAAAACGGCTCCATAAGTGCCTGAAGCCCCTTGACACTTCCAAACAAATCTAACACATTCGAAATCGGTGCAGGCCACCGAGTAACACCAAGTCTAGTTGGGGTACCCATCAGATGAACGTTGATCATGCCGGCAAAGCAAAAAACCGGTTGCCAGTTCTTGGGATCAAGAGGCAAGGCGATCAGTTCTCGAAATGCTTTCAACCCCGTAGTGATATGGTACGCCGCCGCATTGACATATCGCTCTTTCTGATGAGGCGTATGTGCAAGGAATGCGCGATGTAAAGCAGCGATAGCCAAGAGACCGTTCATCACATAGGGATTAGCGTAGCCCTCAATAGGCATGATAACACGCCAAACATAGCGTGCATCTTCACGGACTGTCAGTGTGTTGCACGTCATAGTGCAGTAGTGGTGCATTAATTCAAGATCTAGAGCCCAGTCCTCCGGTGCCCGCAAAGAAGGGTCCGGGGGAGATTCGGATAGAATGCCGAGCAGATCAAACTTTTGCCCTGTTTGCGTCTCATTGGGGTGATGATTGACAGGAGCCCCCACATTGCTGATGGGGTTCTGCAGGGGCGGGTATAGATGTGGCTGGGTCAGGGTCTGGGACTGGGCCTGCGGCTGGGACTGAGCCACTGGGGATACAGTAGACACCGGAGTGGCCTGTGTGGAATCCTGTGGCTCAGTTGGAGCGACAAACTCGCAGTAAATGCCATGTTTCACGCAATTGGTGCATGGATGACGTTCGTCACACTAGTAGCATGAGTAGGTCGATCGGGGACTTAGATAATCAGGGCGAAAAACCTTCAATCTGCGCGCTTTGCATTGTGGACACCCATTGCGGCTTTTACGGTGCGTCCTGCGAGGTCCCATTATAACGATTGGGGTGTGTAAAGAAGAAGGGGCAGACATGCGAAGAAGTATTCGAATACGGTTACGGCACTCGCGAATACGGATACGGACTCGACTCCAGACTCCACTTAGTCGAGACCCACTATGGAACACGACGTTATCTCCACTGAGAATTTTCTTTTGTCTACAACTCAGATCCCATTATGTCCAGGCTTTATTTTTAATCTTCGAATTTCTTGGCTCTACACGTACCGAATACGACGCGATTGGACCAACTGACTATAAAAAACCGGACCTTTAACCTGTTCGGGGCAATATGAACTGTAGCGAAGGTAGAAATGGATGGTGGGGGGGGGCCTTGAATTGGAAATCCATATAAAAGGACTGGAGTCCCGTATTCTTGATTAAACATGAAGACTCATACATAACTTCACACAACATGAATCATAGTAATCTCTACGGATATGACCCATCCATAGCGGCCGCCGCCATCTTCGTTATACTCTTCGTCGCCACGACGGGTTACCACGTCTGGCAATTGACCAGGGCCCGATGCTGGTACTTCATTCCCTTTGTGATTGGTGGAATATGTATGTGCATGTTTCAAGTTGCTCTGGCCTCACAGAGTGCTAACCGGTAGCAGTTCAAATCATTGGTTACATTTGCCGGATTATCGCCCATAATGACCTGGGCTCCGTCACCATCTATGCTTTGCAATCCGTCATGACTCTTCTCGCACCAACACTATATGCTGCTTCCATTTATATGGTCCTTGGCCGCCTGGTGGGCTATCTCAATGCTGAAAATTTGAGTCTCGTCCCCGTCAAGTGGATGACCAAGATCTTTGTTGCGGGTGATGTCTTTTCGTTTATGATGCAATCAGCCGGTAAGCGATACTCTCAAACTCATCTACGGCATTGACATTAACATGGACTTTTAGGTGGTGGCCTCATGGCTAGCAAGAAAACCAGCACCCGCAATACTGGCTCCAACGTGGTCATCGGTGGTCTAGTCGTGCAACTCCTCTTTTTCGGCTTCTTTGTCATTGTCGCGGCCGTTTTCCACGTCCGCATCAACAAGTACCCGACCACCAAATCTTCGTCAGAGCGCCAGATGACGCGAAACCTGGGCTGGAAGCAGCGAAATTGGGCCACTGTGCTTATGGCGCTGTACGCGGTCAGCATACTTATTCTGGTCAGGTCGATCTTCCGTCTCATTGAGTACAAGTATGGCTTTGATGGGTATATCATGACGCATGAAGCATTTTCCTATATTTTCGATGCGCTGATTATGTTCATCGCCATGGTAATTATGAATCTTTACCACCCGGCGGTTATTCTGGGTGATGGAAAGAATGGACGAATCCCGGATTCGTATGAGATGCCCCTTTAGATTATGAGGACTTGATTATAGATCTTGCGATCTTGGCGTTTGGGGATCCAATTCATATCAACACTTAAGTGTTGATGGGACGTTATAGTCAGATACCCAATTTTTCGGACACAATAGACATAATAGAGGATCGACCACCTGGCATCCAAATGAAAAAAGAAATAATCAAGCAATCATATCTCGTAAAATCATTATGCAGGCCTGTACTCCACGCTGCGTCGTATCTCGTAAGTCTTTCTCAGTGTCCCATTCAATTCATTGGCATACAGACCTTCCGGCCTTCTCGACGTGCCAGTGCCACGAGTAGAAACAGGCAGTAGGCTGGGCCCATAATCCAAATCAGCACTTCTGCGTGATCGAGCCAAACTGATTATCTTCTCAATCTCCAGTGGCTGAATATTGCCCTCCGTTCGCTCAGCGGGGGCTGTATCCCGGTGGGAGAAGGGCAGCCAGCGTCTACCGTGGCGGAAGAAATCACCAATATCATCCAGTGAAAGCGCAACGAGAATAAGGGGAATGGAAATGGCAAAGCCAACACCAAATGTATACTTTGCTACATATTCGAGCTTCAAGTTATTGAATTCTTTCAGGTTGATCGTGAAGATGGAGGTAATGAATGATAGCGGCAGGAAGACAATGGTAACAATGGTGAAGACCATGATTGTCTTACTTTGACGAGTGGTTCCAGCTGCCTGATCACGGGCAAAACGGGCCTCGAAGGCGTTGGCATGTTTTTGTTTGAGATCGAGTAGGTCAGTGATGGAGTGGTAGATCCGCTCAGCTTGTTTATCCATGCGGTCAATGTCTTTCAGGTGCATGTCAATCATCCGCTGTTGGTCTTTGAACCGCTTTTTGACCTCGTATTGGGACCGATGCTGCCCTTGATAAGTTTCGCAGATCACTTCTTGGAAGTCTGCAAGGACGTGCTTCTGGTGCTCTAGCACGGTACGAATCATGTTCAATTCATCACGGATATCTTTAATCTCGGCAAGAAGATCGGTTTCCTCTCCAATATCGAGGAGATCATCGACGAAAAGGGGTGAGCCATCGCCATGACAAGAATCATCATCGCTATCCGGGTTTTCTTCCTCTGGCATGTCTCGGCTAGATGCTGAACGGGTCCTGCTACGGGCGAATTTATTCAGCTTGCGATGGCTCTTAAGCCAGCTCGATGCCTGTGCAGACGCATGATTGAACCGATTAAATAGAAGTGTCTCCCGATCAGTCGCTATACCAATGGAAGATTCAAACATGTCCAGGAACTGGTACTCGTCATCTCCCAGTCGGTGTCGATCGAAGACGCCGGAGCATCGGTTGGTAATGATGATCGCTAGGTCATATACCGACTTGACAGGATCACGGGTCTTGGAATTGATGTCCTCGATGATCCCGTCCAGCACATTTAGTGGATCGTTTTTGGGTTGATCCCAACGCTGAGGAAAACTGGTCACAATGAGGTTTGTGCCCAAAACCCACATCCAAAGCTGATCAACCATGAAAATCTTCGGGTCATTGCCTGGCCCCTCGCACCCAGGGCCCTTGGTTTGGTATCGATAAACAACCTGGTCCTGGTCCCGACTCTGTGTATCAATATTGGGGTAAAAGAATTGGTCCAAGGTTCGGCGAACATGGAGAGAGGTAGTGGAAGATGAAAGATGCGCATCAATCAGCATCTCATCCCGCGTACGACTTCTCTTCAAATGCTGAGGATCGAACCTTAATTTCTCAGCCCGTTGGATCGCATCTTGCATTTTCTGTCGGCGCTCTGCAGTCTCGAAGTGCAAATATGGCATGAAAACGCAGATATTACATGCGGAAGTGAGGCTAGAGGGTTCTTTGCAGAAAGAGGAAGAATGAAGCGAAAGCCGTCCTTTATCATTTGAGCCCCAAGGAGCTTTGGCTTTGTTTTCGGTTTTCGGGGTCCCAGGATTGCTTCCTGATTTGCCACGCTTTTGGTTGTTCTTGTTCTTCTTCCCGGGGAGACCTTCATTACCTTCGTCAAGGGAACCTCCTCGATCCACCTTTCCTGTTAGTCCTTTCTGCTTGCGAACCACAGAACTGTTATCTGTGATTATCGATTGGCTATCTGCCGGTGGTTCTTCTGTCTTTTCATCTTCTCGCCGTCTCGGCGTACGAGGCGTATTTTGGCATAAGGGTCGCATGAAGTGTGAGTGAATCTTCTGGCCACGATGTTGATAATTAAAAGACTTCTCAAGGCCCTTGAAACCATCCACGTCATGGGCGCCTTCTTCAATGAAGGACTTGGTCAGAAGAGCCTCAACCCAAGCCATATTATTGGCCGGTAGATGAATCCAACGAAATTCCGTTGCGCGGCTATCAGCGGGGACCGTGGTCATAGCCTGCTTGCGCGGATTCTCAGGGTCTCGACCATAAAGCAGATTGTAGACCGACATTCGCTGCACACGGTTCTCATTGTGGAAATTTCCAAAATCCACAATTGTACTATCGAAGGCTGCAGAGGCTTGCTTGACATCTTCCGATAGAGATTCGACATTGTTGAACGGAGCCAACAACAGCACCACATCCTTTCTCTTGAACTGCGCTGCACGTAAAAAAGGAGTGCTACCAAAATTATCTCGCACCCGCCGCCTGAGATCTGGTCTTTCCAAAAGGCATTCCACAACCTCCCTATGGCCCCCCTGCGCTGCGAGATGCAACGGCGTCACACCATTCAAGAGCTGGCTATTGATATGCGCGCCCGCGCGCAACAAAATCCGAACAATCTCCTCGCATCCCTTGTCACATGCATTATGCAGCGGCGTCCAACCACCATCACTGCAAGCATTGACCGCGGCATCGTGCGTCAGAAGCAATTGGACAATGTCTGCTCGGTCGTGTGCTGTCGCAATGTGTAAAGCCGTCTTCCCCCGCAACTCCATAGCATCGATCTCTGCCTTCGGTCCCCCATCTGGCCGAGTAAGTAGTAGCTCAGCGAGGCGCGAATTTCCCGTCGCGCAAGCCCAATGCAATGGGGAGCGACCAAGCTCATCCTGTCCATCAACCCCATCAATCTTGCAGTCCGTCCTCATCAACAATCTCACAATCTCATCACCCCAACCCCATGAGCACTCCTTATCTGCAGCAAGATTATGCATCACGTTCCTTTTCCTTAAATCGCGCGCATTCACATCTGCGCCCCGCATAATCAATAGCTGTAGGACATCCGCATGGTTCTTCCACGCCGCTGTCATCAGCGCAGTCCGGCCCTCTTTATCTGTACTATCGGGCGATGCGCCAGCGTCAAGAAGTAGTCGCACAATCTGATAGTGATCTCGCTCGACGGCACGTAGGAGCGGTGAGAGTCTATTGCTCGCGACATCAGTTTTGGCGCCGAGTTTCAGGAGGTGCTCAGTTGTCGCAATGCGATTGCGCTCAGCGCTGCGCATGAGAGCGATACGGAGAAAGTTGTCGGTGAGTTGACCATATTCGCGCGCAAGGGTGATGGTGTTGTGGAGGGCTTCAACATCGTCGTTTTCGGCAGCGCGGAGGAGTCGTGGCTCGAGGCGCTCGTGGCCCTCGCTTGTCATGCTGGAGCGAGATCGGGGCATAATGATCGGCTGGCAGGGTATATAGGGGGCAGTCTTCTTTTTTGGCTTCTAGCTTTGTGCCCGTATATTCCAGAAAGGGATTAGGCCATGACTGGTGTGGTGTCACCCGAGTATTCTTCCTTTCCACCCAGGCGAGCTACTGGAGAATGTTTGGACACTGAGAGAAGGAAAGGGTAAGCTAAAACTCGTCAGGGTATGGCTAAACCAACCATCAGGTCAGGATCCCATTAGGTAAGAGCAGGGATCAGCAGAATGATCAATTCCCTGCATGAGATGGTGAAAAGGCTCCATTGGGAGCGATGAGCGGGTGTTGGAGCACAGCCTCGTATTTCAAGATTGCCTTTTTGTGGGTCAGGGAGATTAGCGACAGACTAGACTTCACTGCAGTGCAAGGAACTTCAGACCCGGGAGAGCTCTGGATGTTATGGAAAATAAAAGTAGCATCGTAGAAGAAGGTAAATACAAAGTTGTATCCAAGGTTCGCGGTCGTGTTCCATGGTTCCAGAATTCAAACACAGACGAACTAATACAGTAATAGCATATACAGCAATCTCAACCAAATGTATTGCAGATAGTTAAATCTCTATTTGCTATCAGGCAATCTCCAAAATACAGGAAGACCAAATTAAAAGAAGTAGGGGGAATCCAACAAAAAAAAAAAGACCAGGAAGAAAAGAAAAAACCACAGGTCTTCCACGGATGCTGATGCTGATATGCTGATAATTATGATAGTGTGCCATCTTCCATGCTTCTTCAATACATTAAATGGTTTGCTTTTGTTCTCTCCTCACTTTCCTGTGAATCGCGCCGTTCCAACCCAGTGGTTCATCTCACAAATATGCGCCTATTCACAAACATTCAATAGGGGGGGGGGGGAAAACATAAAAAGAAAAAGAAAAAGACAAGGGGCCATATGTGACCAAAAGTGGATGGTGAAACACCGCAATGCTGCCAGGGGCGAATGAAGAATCAAGAATATAAGAAAGACATGGAAAAGAAGGGGCATCTAGTGCTTCTTGCCCTTCTCCTTTTTTGGCACTTCCTTTAAGATGTCGTCGAAACTCATGTTGGGGTTAAAGCGACTGATGGGACGTGAAGGAGGCTCAAGGGGAGCAATACCAGCAGGTAATGGCAGGGCCTCCAACCCAGGGTAGATGGAGTGACGATGCTCAGCCCGGGCTCCAGCCGCAGGAGACCGTTGCCGGGGAATAGCAGGTGGAGGTGGCGTGAGGCCACCGTGGGGGATGTTCATCATTTGAGACTGCTGCTCAGAAGAGGAGCCAGCCGATGACTGCTGAGCCGGATAAGGCGATGAGATTGAAGACTCGTCCTCTTCCCAGTCCTCTACAGACGGAGGTTCAATCAGCTGACCGGCCTCCGCCCATTGTTCAGCTACCTGCCAGCAATGGCTGCGGCGGTAAACACCTTCGACGCCGTTGATGACCACATCGGAAGGCAGACTGACAACACCCGCTCCACCAGCAACACCGAACCAGCTGCGAGCAGTCTTGGTATCGTTCTGAATCCAAGGTGCTCCACCACGGGGGGCAATGGAGAGGAAATATTCTACACCTTCTGTGAATCGGACCTCGGGAACGTCGACAACCAGCATGGGAAGAGACTGGATGACAGCGTAGAGGAAAATCCATTGACCACAGCGCAGTTCCGTGATGTCCTCCAATGTCTTGCCGGCAGCAGACCGCCGCTCAAATTGCATAAAGCTTTCAATGAAGGTTGTGGGGCGCATGCTCTCCCGAGTATATGAGTCCATCAAGACGGCATTGATATCGGCGTTCTTGAGTTTCTTGGTTCGCAATTTACCCGCCTTCTTGGGCTCCAGAGGCTTCCGGTGCAGCACTTGCAGCGAAGGGATCTGAGGAACATCGAACGGAATCGGGGGAAGGACGGGTGGAGTACTACGATCGTATTCGCTGAGAACTTGCCGGAGAGCACGGAGAGTGACATCCTTGACATCCGTAGAGGAATTGTCGCCACCAGAGCCGGAAGCGTCGATGGTACGAGTGGTGAGCGAAGTGCGGTCAACCAAAAGATCGTAGAGATCAGTGAAATCATGATACAAGTCCAGGAGGAGCTGACGATTCAATCCACTCTCTTCAAATTCGTTCTTCTTTGATCGAGCCTTGGGCGGCCAGCTGCCATACTTTTGTCGGTAAAATTGCATTGTGAAACGACGGAATTCCATGAAACTGGACTTCCAGTTCCTGAAACGAATAATTTTGCTTTCCATCGAAGTGGCCGAATTCGCGCTACCGGAGAAAACCGAAGGGAAGTCGAAATCTTCCAGCTTTGAGTAAAGACCACGCAAGCGAGTATCCAGGTCAATGAAACCACGCTCAAGACGCTTCTGGGTGATGGGGTGGATAAAGGTGTATTTCGGGCTTCGCAGTTGCTTGATTTCATCCAACTTTCCGACACCGTGAACGAATCCCTCCAGGTAAAGAGGGAAGTATCGTAGACGTTCACCGAGCACAATGGCCTCAATTGTCTTCTCGCGACTCTTGCGCACATCGGCCAAGCGCAGTTCATCACAGTAGTTGCTGAAGCTAGAAGTAGCGGTTTCACCAAAGTTGGAACCGTCCAGATTGGTGAATTCAAATCGGGCCAACAGAACTGCGACGTCCATGAAGATGCTGAATAGTGATGCGGATTTCGGGCTGGAAATCAGGGACTGGCCCAGGAGGAAAGCGAAGAGATTGCGGAATAAGAGCAGATTGTCCGTATCCTCCTGCGACAAGCGACAAAGCGGGTTGGATACGTCACTGTTGAGAGGAATTGGCAGATACAGATGCAATTCCTGGACGTCATCGGCACCGTCATCAAAGGCCATCCGTTGGCTGCCTTGGCTATCGTTGTCATTGTCTACTAAATGGTCGAGCGGGGTGGTAGGAGGGGAGACGAGAGAGAGGGTGCGGGTGGGCTGCTCCAAGCCGCTGACTTTAGCATCGGTGCCGCGTGCAAGGTAGGTAAGGGAGGGGGATTCGGCAAAGATCGTAGAGTCGACCTTGAAGGATGGCGAGCGGCCGGTGTTTTGAGGGAACAGGTAGACAAAAGTATCACCTTGTTCATTCCATAGCTCCGAGATCTATTTTCACAATCCACTAGTCAGCAAAGGAGATCCTCCGAGTTGTGATTCTGCGCAGGATGCCACGTACCTGCTCTCCTCGTAACAACGGTCCTAGATCGTACACGACTTTCTGGTCCAACCCGGCAATCCAGGCACTCGGGGCGGTGGCCGCTGCGGGCCGCTTGTCCACGGAACTGGCTCGCGACCGAGCACCCATTCCGGGCATCCAACTTCTCCGTTTTGATGGTGTGCTCGGGCGGGAGTCTGGTGTAGATCCCGGAATGGCCAAACCAGCCATACTGGAGGGGCGACTCATCTCGCGCCCCCTGCTCTGGGGTCGGCCGGATGTTGGGGAGCTAGGAGCACTGCTGGCCAGATCATGATTCACCGCGAGTAACGAAGGTGGGGGCTGAAGGCTCTCCAAATCGAAGTCCAAAGGTGCGGGATCGGGAACGGTCCGGGGCTCTGAGGAGGAGAAGACAGCATTTGGTGTGGAGACATGGCGAGTTGGTCGAGAGTTGCTTCGTTGACGGTCTTTTGAGTCGGAAGGTTTGAAACCGGGCGAACTCGCTGAGGACCCAGACGCATTATGGTCTTTATGACTCCCCAGGGAGAAGAGAGACGAGATGCGCTTCGCCGATTTAACGGGAGCCGACAACATCTTGTCACCGGGTTATAGGAGGGATTGAGGATAGGGAGAAGGTTTAGAGGCGACCAAGGCGCTGGTCAAAGAGAAAGGTGAGGTCAAGCCCACATAGAACACAGGAATGAGTGTAGTAGTTAGGGGAGGGGGAACAGGGGAGTTCGGGGAATGGATCGGCAGGAGGGATTGCACAAGAATGGCAGGGAGAAACGGTAAGTGGGAATGAAGCCGCAAGTACCGTGACTGTTATGAGAAAAAAAAAAGAAAAAGGAAAAACCAGTCCGCCTTTGGAAGGAAAAGAAGAAGCGGATCAGGGGTGTTTCAGGAGAGAGTGAATGGTATATAGTTGAATTTTTTTTTTTTTTATCTTACATGAAGCCTTACCCAAACGCCCCAAAACCCATAGAAAAAGTAAAAAACCGTACGAGCTTCGATCCGGTTCCTTCCCATGCCAATAATAGCTCGATAATGGGTCCTTGGCTGTGCATGACTAGGTGGATCCCCCGGAAAACCTGTTAATACTTGATACCCGTATATTGAATTTTACATGAGCTGGCAGTAAACATTGATGATTGATTCAATGTGCATAGCCTTCGTCCGTATATACTTTTATCCTTGCACATATATTTGGGGCCAAAGTTAGACTGGAGGCTATGAATAGCCCCCTCCAGGGTTGTTGTCAGGGCCAAGAGCTTGGTATGTAAGAAATAGACGGATTTAAGGTCCACCTATGACAGATAGCTCTTTACATTGCATACATATATATATAGAGCGAGAATCCATGCAACTCTGTACTGTAATGTGAGAACTATGTCAATCCTTCATAGTCATCCAATTGGATAGGACTCAGATCCCACGATGATACATCGATCCGACCGGGGGTTCCAAGGTTCCCTATGGATACATAGATGGGGCACTAGTCGTTAATTACATGGAGCACCTTGCGAGCCATTGACTGGTCAACTAAGTCAGACTGAGACCTTGGCCACACTGGAAGCTTGTATGAGAGGTATAAATCCCAGCATATTAGTATCCACTCAGATGAGATACAGATCTGTACCACATTGTAGTACCGGAAGTTGCCTGTTCCTGTTCCTTGTGCCTGTTCGTGTATCGGTTTCCCCTCACGGTTTTGGGTTTGGGTTCCACACTCGCTTCCGCACAATGTCTAATCTCGGTTCGCCCATGGAGACGTAGTTCTCCATAGCTATCCCGAGGTACCTTGATGCTTGTACATTATTTCCTGTCAAAATGCATTCGGAACGGATTGATCTGTCGGCTGGGTGGCCTAACCCCACGCTCCTCCCCGCCCCCGAGCTGCTCCGCTCCGCCTCAACGGTGCTGACGGACCCCTCCATTGCGCACCCAGCATTGGGGTATGGCCCCGATGAAGGCCATGAGCCTCTCCGTGTCCACATCGCTGCGTGGCTGGAATCCTTTTACCAACCTCGCCACCCGATTTCTTCCCAACGTATTTGCATCACCGGTGGGGCCAGCCAGAACCTCGCCTGTGTGTTGGCCGTGTTCACTGACCCCATTTACACGCGGAATGTCTGGCAGGTTGATCCCACATATTTTCTGGCTGGCCGGATGTTCGACGACGCCGGCTTTGCTGGGCGAGTGCGGGCGGTACCCGAGGATGACGAAGGGATCGATCTAGATTTCTTGGAACGCGGCCTACGTGAGGCTGAGCGAAAGGCTACCGCGGAAGGGAACGACACACCGGTAATTGGGCCAAATGAGAACAGATCGCAAAGTGCTGCTTCCATAGACTTCGACTGACGCTATTCGCTAGAAAATTAAACCGCCTCGGGCATGGCGCAAGATCTACAAGCACGTTATCTATGCCGTCCCCACATTTGCGAACCCCTCCACTAAGACTATGTCGCTGCATCATCGGGAGCAACTCATGCGATTGGCACGAAAGTATGATGCTCTTGTAGTGACGGACGATGTATACGATCTCTTACAGTGGTCTTCCACTGTGGGTGGTGAGCTGGCATCGCCCGACCGTGCATTTGTCCCACGCCTAGTGGATGTGGATCGCTACTTAGACGGTGGCCCTGTGGATGAATGGGGCCACGCAATAAGCAATGGGAGTTTCAGTAAACTAATCGGACCCGGGGCCCGCACGGGGTGGGCAGAAGCATCTGAAAAGGTGGCCTACGGAATCTCACAAGTGTAAGTTCGATTTTCGTAATTTGTGTTACCGTTCGAAAGTCGCCGGGGACGTCGATAGGCTGACGTGACTACTCCGTACAGAGGCTCGTCTCGGTCTGGTGGAGCACCCTCCCAAATGACCTCGACCTTCATCGACCAGCTCCTGCGATCTGGATTTCTCAATCAACACATTCGTGATACGTTACGACCTGCATATGCACAGCGGTATCATGATCTAACATCCGCCATTCAGGAACACCTGGTGCCACTGGGTGTCACCCTTGCGGCACCCACCAACGGTGTGGCGGGCGGGTATTTCATTTGGATTACCCTGCCTGCTCCACTGCTGGCGGCAGATGTAGTACAGCGGGCTGATCGCCAGGAGAACCTGCGCTTAGCGCCTGGTGATGTGTTCCAAGTGGCTGGGGACCCCCAGGCAGCCGAAGATCGCTTCACCAACCACCTTCGTTTGTGCTTCGCGTGGGCAGAGCCGCGTGATCTGATCAAGGGAGTGCGTAGACTTGCACGCGTCATAGAACAGTTGGTTTAGAAAATGGTCACTGCCTAGAGGTCCTCTATGTTGCCACTTGGAAACGGAGCTTGACTGGCCGTTCCGGTTAATTGGACGCGCGGCCCCAAGCATTAATTCATATAGGGAGGAGGCCTAGTGCCCTAAATAGTATTAGGGCCTCAGATGGATACACAAACAAATTACCGTGGATACAGTAAAATAATCCATACACTTTGTACAAAACAAGAGGACGTGGGCAATTCGTAAGAAAGAATCATCCATTCCAGAGAAGGTTATTTCACCCGAGGATTAGCCGCTGCATAAATCACCAAAATATACGCTAGCCAACTTAACGTACAGACAGTACTGTTATCTGAAATGATCTATGATCTGCATCAAAACTGGCAGGTCAGAAGCGAGCTGTCATAGAGGAACCCTGTAATGAGATCATCGTATTCGTACATCTATAATACATGCATGTCTCCGTCCACTGCAGTGCGCTAACCCAAATGCCGCCACATTATCCAGGGGCAAAGCTTGGCTAACAGTTTACTTGCTCGACTAAAGCGAGTACAATTCCATGCTTTCTAGACATGGTCGCCTTGGATCTGTGATGTCGTTGATGCCATCATCAAGAATCTTCGGTTCCCCTTCCCCGCGTCTAGGAATGTTCATCCATAGCATCCGCCCCTGACAACCAAAACAACACCACCCAATTTTGGAAATCTTGGCCTAGTACACGTGCCTCTCATGACTGGTGCTCTTGCTCACGAAACCATGCCGGACGTTCCGATTGACTTGCCGAGAATGGCAAGAGTTCTAGGCGCGGAGGCCCCCTGATATGTGACCCGTCGCGAAGGGGGGCTCCACAGGGCAACGCGCTTGATCGGCCATACCAGGGAGTAAAAACAAGCAGGGACCCTCATCTTACCCATCAATTGATGGAATGGTCCAGGAAATAACAGCCCATGCAAAAAAAGGAAAAGTCAGCCCCTGGGCCAGGCATTGAGCAACACCTCCCATGCGACGAGAAACCTCCCAAGAATGCGTACCCTGCGCAGGATCTCGCAGGGTATATTAGCAACGTAGACCCTTTTCCCCCAGTATTCCCGGAATTCCTTTCTCTTCCTTTTGGCTTTCTACGTTGAGCTATTTATACATCAAAAAGCAGTCGAGTTGGGTGTTGGCGGTTGAAATCTCAACCTTAGAAACCCCCCCACAAGCTTGGCTTTTTCGATCCAGGCCGTCTGGTCACAAGAAAAGGAGTGAATTCCAGAAATCCCGAGTCTACCTGCTACATCTGGCCAGTGATTAGTTGCTTCAGTGTTTCAGTTCCTGACTATCACGTTTCAAGGGCAGCGCCAGACCGTCGGTGGGGCCGTGTGATTGGTGGGTGTGGACTACAGAGCAGCGCCGGCGCATGCGATAGGCGGAGCCCGTGATTCAGGGACAATCCGTGCAGGGACCATTGGGAAGTGTGAGTCTCCATAATTGATTCTTCTTAACTGCTTGTTTTCTTCACTTCTTGCAACTTCTATTCATTTTCGGTCTTGTGGTTGGGAATTTGTTGTTTCCTCATTCACTCATTTCTTCTGGAGGAAGTATAGATCGCGACTGCTATCTATACTCAAGCCTGGTGCTGCCTCACATTCAATCGTTCTGTGAACGCATTTCCCCTTTATCCTCCTTTCCATTCTTTTTTTTTTCTTTTCTTTCATCAAAACGGATCTGCTTTTCACCCCAACTCTGTACAGTACTGGTTACTGAACGGTTTCATCTATAAGGGTCCAGTGTTTCCATTTACAAACGCTTCGCTGCAGGTTCAGCAACAGTCATCTTGAAGATGGCCAATTTTCAATCCTCGATCATGCTATTCCTAGCCCATTTCATCCTACTGTTGGGTCTACCGACGGCCCTGGTGGGCGCGGTCCCAATGCCTAATAGCCTGGAGGTTTCCAAACGGGCTAGCTCGAGCTACTGGATGGCCAACATCAAGCGCCAAGGTGTGGCGCCTTTCAATAGCAATGCCGACTACGAGGTTTTCCGCAATGTTAAAGACTTCGGTGCTAAGGGTATGAGGCTGCACGATATCCCATATCATGATTCCTTGAGACTAACTATGATCTAGGTGATGGCTCCACCGATGATACCGCTGCCATCAACAAGGCTATCTCCTCCGGTGACCGTTGTGGTAAGGGCTGCGACTCATCAACCACTACCCCGGCGCTTGTTTACTTCCCGCCTGGTACCTATGTGGTGTCCAAGCCTATCGTCCAGTATTACTACACCCAGATCGTTGGCGATGCCACCGATCTGCCCATCATCAAGGCTGCTGCTGCCTTCACTGGAATGGCTGTAATCGACGCTGATCCCTATGAGGATGATGGGTCCAATTGGTACACCAACCAGAACAACTTCTTCCGTGGTGTCCGTAACCTTGTCATCGATTTGACTGCCATGCCCAAGGGCTCCGGTGCTGGTATTCACTGGCAGGTGGGCCAGGCAACCAGCTTGCAGAATATCCGATTCGAGATGGTTAAGGGCGGTGGATCCGCTAACAAGCAGGAGGGTATCTTCATGGATAATGGCTCTGGTGGCTTCATGTCCGACTTGACTTTCAACGGTGGTAACTACGGCATGTTCCTGGGTAACCAGCAATTCACCACTCGCAACCTTACTTTCAATGATTGCAACACCGCTATCTTCATGAACTGGAACTGGGCATGGACCTTCAAGTCGGTCAGCATCAACAACTGCGAGGTCGGTTTGAACATGTCCACATCGCCGTCTAACCAGACCGTTGGTTCTGTTATGATGCTCGACAGCAAGCTTACCAACACCCCTACCGGTATCGTTACTGCCTGGACCAAGAAGAGTATCCCTATCGGTGGTGGCACTTTGGTCTTGGACAACGTCGACTTCTCTGGCTCCGACGTTGCTGTTGCTGGTATTGACGGTAACACCATTCTGACTGGCGGTTCCGTTGTCGCCAATTGGGTCCAGGGTAACACCTATACCCCAAGCTCCGGAGTCAGCAAGCGTGCTGTCCAGGCTGATGAGGACGCTGAAGTTGTTACTGTGACCCAGACCGTCATGCAGACTGTTGAGGCTTGTCCCGCGTCTTATACTTCTGCTACCCTCGCCAGCAACAACGCTGGTGGTGGCGTCGCCGAGTCCACCAGCCAGGCCATTCCTGCTTCCGTCACTGGCTCTGAAGATGGAATGCGCACCGTCGCCCTATCGGCCACCGGTGTCGCTAAGAGTACTCCTACCGTTCAGGCTAGCCTTGAGCCCACTGTCACCGAGGAGCTTACTGTAGTCCCCTCCGGAGAGAACACCGTTGTTGCTACTGGAACTGCCGAGAACACCATCACCATTCCTACTGCCGAGAGTACTGTAGTCGCTACCGGCGCTGGTAAGAACACCGCGGCCGTTACCCCCACTGCTGAGAACACCGTCGCTGCTAGCACCACCGCTGCCCAGAGCTCTTATGCCGCCAGCTCTGGCTCCGGATCAAGTGGCAGCACCGGTTCCTGTGGTGCTAACCAAGCCGTCGAGTCCGCCCGTACCCAGGCTACCCTGAAGACTGCCTCCAAGCCAGCTGATCTCCTGGTCGATGGTGCTGTCTTCGAAAAGTCCAAGCCCCTGTATGAGAGTCTTCCTGCCTCGTCCTTCATCAGTGTCAAGTCTGCTGGTGCCAAGGGTGACGGTTCTACCGACGATACCAAAATCATTCAGAAGGTCCTGGATAGCGCCACCTCTGACCAGGTCGTCTACTTTGACCACGGTGCCTACGTCATCACCGACACCATCAAGATACCCAAGGATATCAAGATTACTGGTGAAATCTGGCCCATGATCATGGCCCATGGCAGCAAATTTGCGGATGAGGAGAACCCTATTCCCGCCATTCAAGTCGGCCAGAAGGGTGAGACCGGCTCCGTCGAGATTAGTGACCTTGTTATCATGACCAAGGGTGCTGCCCCTGGTGCCATTCTCATGGAGTGGAACGTTGCCGCTACCACTCAGGGTTCCGCCGGTATGTGGGATGTTCACTTCCGTATTGGTGGTGCTGCTGGATCTGGTATGCAGAGCAACACCTGCCCTAAGACTCCCCACGTCACGACTACCCCCAAGTCTGAGTGCATGGCTGCGTTCATGCTTCTCCACGTCACCGAGAAGGCCAGCGCTTACCTCGAGAACACCTGGATGTGGACAGCCGATCACGAGCTTGATCTTGCTGGCCACGACCAGATCAACGTTTACACTGGACGTGGTATCCTCATCGAATCCAAGGGCCCGGTCTGGCTGTGGGGTACCGCCTCCGAGCACCACCAGCTCTACAACTACCAGGTCTCCAATGCTGAGAACGTCTTCATGGGACTGATCCAGACAGAGACTCCCTACTATCAGTCCAACCCCAGCGCTCTCACTCCCTTCACTCCCCAACCTGAGAAATGGAACGATCCCGACTTCTCCACCTGCACCACCGCCTCGTGTCGTAAGTCCTGGGGTCTGCGTGTGCTCAACTCCTCGGACACCTACATCTATGGTGCCGGTCTGTACAGCTTCTTCGAGAACTACGCACAGACCTGTCTCAACTCCGAGGATTGTCAAGAAAACATCGTTGAAGTCGACTGCTCCGATGTCCACATCTACGGTCTCACCACCAAGGCGTCCGTCAACATGGTCACGTCCTCTAGCGGGAAGAGCATGGTTCCCGAACTCCCGAACAAGAGTACCTATGGCTCAACCATTGCATTGTTCGAACAGTCCGTCTAGATACCCGGTAACGGCTCACCTTAGGATGTGGATGTTTATTTGGTATCTTCGTTCTAGTTGATTGTTATTCCCTTTCCTGTTCCTGTTTGCATCTTTCCCACCATGTCTGATCTTCATGTGTGGAATCCGCCCCTTTCTTCTTTCTCTTTTCCCTGTTTTAGATTATGGTGGAACATTGGATTTGGTGCTTGTTCAAAATACGGTACCGCGTTGGAGGCATTTTTTTATACCACCCGGTTTTATTTGTATGACGAGATCAATAATAGATATGTGATCCAACAAAGATATATCATGCCACAGAATTTCGAGATTTCACTTGTATAGAATAATTGGTAAATCTTGTAATTCTTCAGTATTGACTTGTGCGTGCGCCCTGATTGAGCCCATAGGCAGATACTGTATTTGCAAGAGACCAGTGGCTGAAAATAATGAATAAAATGCCGTTTAGAACATTCCAAGGTTCAACAGAGCACATAGTCGAATGTACCTGGTGTATCCAATATCAGGCACTATTTCCAGTAGAAGAAGGGACCGACATTGACCGTGTGGACATGGTGGACATGGTGGACATGGTGGCCGTGTCTTCATGGCCATTTCTTACTTGACTATAGTTGATTGCATCAATAAATCGTCTAAAAATCTTCAAGTCATTATATTGATATATTCAATGCTCATGAGTCACATCACAAAAGCAGAAAATTGAAATCATCAGGCCGGTCCCTCGCCAAATCAATCCAAGAAGCAAGTCGCTGATCTGATATATTCCACCAAGTTTCCAAAAACTCCAGAACCCTCGCCCGATCTAGCGTCCGACTAAGCCGCATAACATCTTTGAAAGCATTCTCCACAAACTTTTGACTTGGCCGGTCATCCCTCAACTCCGTTCCCGCAATGAAAAGCGGCCAAACCAGATCCTGCGCCCACATTCCGTTCCTCGTCTCCGAAAGACGCCGCACATGGCTTAGGATCTGATCTCGAGAATGGGTGACGTCGATCACCGTCCCGCGGAGCTGTGGAAATGCTTGAGCGCTGTAGATCAAATTTGCGTGGTAGAACATCCAGACGACGAACTCAAAGTCTGTGCGATCGGATTCGGACCAGAAGTTGACTTTTTGACTTAGGCGGAAGCTTTTGACGCGTGCGGATTCGATTTGCGCGTGAATATCTTCGATTAGGGAGTAAGGGAGCGGGGACTGGGAGCGGCTTTGCTGTCGCTCCAGTTGAGTGATTTGGTGGATTATGCGAATGAAGTCTGCGACAGCGGCGTCTTCGGTGCTTGTGGGCGCAGTGCTAAGGTTACTGATTACGTTCATGTCGTCGAAAGCGGTTAGATGGGTCCAGACGGAGGTGGAGTAGAATTCCTGGAGGAGAAATTCTTGAATGCGAAGGAGTTGCTGGTGGAGGTAAGATTGACTTTCTCCGACAAGGATCAATTCGCGTGCGGCAAGTAGATGGATCTTCCATCCTGATGATTGAGCCGAGAGAAGTTGATTGTTGCATAAGATGAGCACCGAAGCTAGTGTCATGGACGCGTCCGGGCTGGTTTGCAGCGAAGGCGAGGCCGTCAGGTCGCTCAGTTCCTTCGCCAGGAGCGCTAGGGCTTTATTCTGGTACGCATCAGAGATATCCTGAAACCTGACGAACCAGGGATCTTTAACAGGATATTGGGACGCCAAATCATGCGCAGCGAGAGCAAGGACAGACGAAAGCACAGTCTCCGAGTTCTCGGCCAGAGGTAAGATAATCTGTCTCCAAGGATTCTCCGGTCCATCGATCCAAGCCAGTCGATGCGCAACCCGCTCTTTGAACCAAGCAAGCAATCGTGAAGCATGGGGGGACCGAGGCCCCGACAGACTCAGATCGATTGAAGGCGAACCCATCAGACTTACCGGGGACAGAGGCTGAGTCCTCAAGAAATCGACCTGCCCTGATCCAACAAGCTCAAACGGCGTACCACTACCACCTGTGGCACCTACAACCAAGAACTGATTGGATGCATCGGCGCCCTCGCGCACTGGGATCATCTGTCCCTGCAACCTACCACGACTCGCGACTCCCTGGCCCCATTTCAGCTGCAGGCCGTAGCCCGGACATTCAAGATTCCGCTTCCCACATTTTGTACAACCAGGCAAGCTGCGATCGCATTTGATACGCCGCCTTTGGCAGGTTGGACAGTCTATTCCGAAATTAGCCGCTGTGCGCTAAGATAGGGTGTACCGATAGTACCTTTTGCGGGGGGTTGCGTAGACCGCTCTGACATGTCCCCAATGGGGATCAAAAGAACCCAGTCACGATACGACTGGACCTATTGAATTACGGCGTTTGATATTTGGGAAATTTGATGTCATTTACGATTCTCCCGAGGTTGAAGCTCGATGAAATTCCATGATGTTAGTCAGCGGTCTAGACTCGATTAGGACATGGTGTCAAGCGGAGCGCAACGTGATTGGATGGACTTGATGGACTCTTTGGAATCTTCATAGAATCTTCGTTGTGGATTCATTCCAGTAATTATGAGGTTGAGTTATATATTATTATGTACAAAAATGAAAACGCTTTTGCTCCACTAGACAAGCCAGTAGAAATGTGAAATGGCTACAAAACAAATGCACTTTGTGGTCAATACGCCTTTATAGCTCCTTCTTGAGGAAATGCTCCGGCTTATGGGTGGTCTCATAGTCGACGTGCACGTAGGCACGCTCAACATCAGGCAGGGATTCGAGCTTGATCTGTAGCTCCTCGGCGACATCATGGGTTGCGCGGAGAGTTGCACCAGCATCCATGACAATATCGACCTCGACAAGAAGGCGAGGGCCGGACGTGTACGCACGAACGGTGTCGATTGCTGTGATCATAGGGGAGTGGGTCATAGCTGTGGTAGTCAGTATCGTATCTACTACTTGCAACACATCGCGAGGACTTACAAATATAGGTGATCAGCTGCTGCATCTTGGTATCCGCGGTGACACCAATCAGTAGCTGGAATTCGCCGTAGGCGGAGTGCAACCACAGCCCGCTGACAATCAATGACAGGATAATAGCACCCATAGGATCAATCCACCAGCGGACTTTACTACCTAAAATAGAGGTCATAACACCGATTCCGTTGATGAGCAGGTCGTTCCGGTGATCCTCCCACAGAATACGAATCTGGGAGACCTGGTTGCGCAAGGCAAAGCAGTACAGGAAAAGCGCGAGCTTGGTGAAGAAGGCGATGGCAACAGCGATGACGGAGGGCAGGTGGAAGGGAGCTCGGAGGGTGTCGGAGCCCTCAACAATCTCGCGAATGGAGAAGGCAATGATGATGAGCGAAACAGCAGTCATGAGGCAACAGAAGCAGATGTTGCCAGCGGTCTCAATACGAGCCTTTCCAGCAGGAAATTGGCGAGGGTCGACTCGATTGACGGCTTTATTGCACAGCAGCAGGGTCAAGTTGGACATGGGGTCGAAGATGGCATCCGCCATGGTGGTGAATAACGACAACGATCCAGAGGACACAGCACCGTAGATTTGCACACCACAAAGAATAAGGTTTGCAGCAAAACTGGCGTACACGGCGATCTTGTACTTGAGACTGTTTTCGCTGTTCAACTCGCGGGCGGCCCGCACATGCTCTTCAACCGGTTTCAGCATGCGCTCGATGTTCTCATTCTGGTTCTCGTAAAAGCCCTGGAGCTTGCGCGCGACAATCGCCTGCTTGCCGATCGCGCCCGTCTTTTGTACCATCTCCATGGCCCTAGTGCTATCGGTGTTGGGATCACGCTTCCGTGAAGTATTGGCCTTCATCTGTCGGATCTCATCCTCCGTCTTGATCTTAGAGGCCAGCTGGAATGGATCGCTCTCTGCGGTGTATCGAGGTGGAAGCTGACCCTCTTCATCGGGGCTACCAGGGCGGTTCTGGAGGACTGCCTCATGCTCGAGGGCGCTTGAGGTGCCCTCATTGTAGGATCGGGGAGTCATAGCGCGGTGCGATGAGTGTGGGCTGCTGCTATGCAAATGTTGCAAAGCATGTGGATGGTTGGAGATACTCTGACGGATGTGTTCCTCCATGGTGACGGTATGTGGAACGTGAGGAATGAAGGGAGTAAGGGGAAGAAGCAATTATTCTCCGGCTTACAATGGGGTAAAGGGAAAAAGGGACGAAAAGTGGCAGTGCTTATCTTATCAGCTTGGCATCTTGGCAGGAGTAAATAGATTGATTTGCATTATTGTCCAATTGGCATCAAGAATATATGTATTCCTGTTCATATAGTGCCATTGAGTCTAATATGACAATACTACAAGCATTTGACATTAAAGAGTAAGTGCAAGGCTTAGGGTGTGACAATCACAGTATGATATAGATTGGACTGACGGGATTGCGTAGATGTGGGCTGCATCTCAGACTGGGCACAGCATAAAGAGAAACAAAAGAAAATAGAAAAAGATGTCGAAGAAAGAAGAGTAAGAACAAGTGATAATAAAAGAAAAGCAAAAAAGGAATATCCATGGAAGGAATTGAACCTCCGAATGTCAAGCCCCCAACTTTCGACCCATAGTGCGTAACACTAAAAGAATGGATTCAAGGATAAGTATGGGCGGACCTTCTAGGGTTCGTACTTGGTTCGGGCAACCTAGGCTTGACCTACTTGACTAGCACACTACGTTGGCTGGTTAAACATTATTCGCAATGGTGCTATAAAGCAGAAGATTGATTCACATTTTAGGTCTTTCGGTTGGCGCCGCAAAGCCCCACTTACGATCGACAGATCAATTACCTTGCACTTATTCCGGTGTTTCGAAGTGCCTAGGTGGTATGTCACACTTTCCGAGATAGTTTGTATTAAGGTCTGGCGAGCTTCGCTGTTTTGGGGATGGGTAATGGAGGTGTTTCATACTGGAGCGTGTTGGACTGTGGATTGGTAGGTACTCTATCTTCTTGACACCTTGGATATCAAACAACCAAGGATTTTAGCTACATGGCTGCCCATATCCCAAAGACTGCATACAACTAGAATGACTTCATAACGCCTTTTAGAATACTGGTATACCGATTAATACTTGAAATCTTATGCATCCACCTAGATATGTAATGGAAGAGATGGAAATCGGTCAGAAATTATTGTATCAACTCCAACTAATCTCAGTTTTATATAGGGATTTAAAAATGTCCTTAAACATAAGCGGCAAGCGGTTTGTATATTCTGATGCTTCTATATAGAGATACACCTCGATCCCTCTGAAGGATGGGCCAAGTATATAGTCAAACCAAATCCCCAGGACTTCTACTGCACCAACTGAGCCCTTAGTTGTTGCCCACAAGGTACTTAAATACACTCTCCACCCAGTTCAACTTCTCTTCGGCGGAGGCATTGGTGGGGATTGACACGGAAGTAGCAACACCAGTTGACGAAGCCAGGGAGCCAGACGCACGAAGTTGAGTAGCAAAAGTAGTGCTGGGGATCACGTCCGCAGAGGCAGTGGGGGTCTCAGCGGGGGCGGAAGTAGCAACTACGGCTGGAGTAGTGGTCTCAGCCGCCGCGGGAGTCTCAGTGGGAGTCACGACGGGAGTGGATGTCTCAGCGGAAGTGGATGTCTCAGCGGGAGTAGGTGTCTCGGTGGGAGTAGCCGAGGACGAAGTAGAGGCGGAAGATGTGGAAGTAGGTGTAGCAGTCGAGGAAGTAGCCTCCGTAGAAGCGCTGGAGGTAGAGCCAGTAGAGCCCGAGCTGGAACTAGAGCCCGATCCATCGACAGTAAAGTCGACACAGGACTCGTAGGTCTGATCAATGGACTCGGCATACCAGTACCACTGCAGCACACAGTCACCACCAGTGGTGCACTGATCACCCAGGTCATCAGGAATAGTAACACTGAACGCAGTGTTGTTCGCTGCCACACCGGTCGAGACGGAAGCATAGACAGACCATGAGATCAGCGGGCTACCGATGACAGTGTTGGTAGAAGTATCGACCACCGAGACGTTGGCGACACCGGTATGCGGAGCCTGGATTGTGACCTCGAAGTCCACCGTCTCACCCGCCGTGTACGAGTAAGTGACATTGTTGTCGGCATACTTGAAGCCCTTGCACAGCCAAGCATTGCACTCGGCAGCATTGTAGTCACTTTGACTCTCGGCAACTTGGAGCATGCCCTGGACGTTTCCGTAGATATCAGCTGTTTCGGTATCGTAGGCTTGTTGGCCACAGGCAGCTTCAAACGCTGAGCCAGGGTAACGAGGTGTTGGGCTGCTAATGAAGCCATGGCCGTGGACTAGAGAAACAAGTCCGGCGACGGCAGCTAGGGATGTGAATTGCTTCATTTTGATTGGAAAGAATGAGATTGATCGGTAAACCGGTACCGTTCAAGTATATAGTGAATGAAAGGGTAAAAAACAGACTGCACGGTCACAGACCGGAGAGAAAGAATGGAAGAAGTAAAAGTCAAAGAATAGACCAGCTTGACGGGCGCCATATTGGGGCCATGCTATGATTTATATAAATTCGCTTCATTTCCCACGATCCCATATCTCGAGTCTGTCAGATTAGAAGCTTAATCAACTGCAAACACCTTGAAAGTACCAAGGAAAGATCTTCCGTGAAAAGCTGTCAATCAACCAGACCTAAAAGACAATATGAAACACTTAAACCCCCTGACGTCCTCCAAGGGATCATACTCCTCCACCGGGGGGCGCGTGGTGAGACCGGCGATATTGCTTAATCCCAGGATCTCGGGGCATTTTCAGACAGTCCAGCCTGCTCTATCGCATGAGTTAGTACCTGCATTCGGGACAAGGCCGACGTCCCTGTTAGGGCTTGCCAAGGCCGATTCCACGCGCCGGACGAGTTTCAGGTTGAAGAGCACCGCACTGCACCGAAACACGAGTCTACGAAATGCCATTTTGTGATTGATGGGAATATTGATCATTCTGATAACGCTGATCCTGACAAAAATTTGGGTCAATTTGGTCATGCCAGAAAAAACTCGGGTAGACGTGGATGATGGGTTGGGCGCTTCCCTTTTTTCAGCCTCGGTCCCTGTCTCCATCAAGTTTGATTAAGGTTGATCCAGGGCCTTGATTGTGGAGTCTGGCTGAAACGTTGCAAGTGATGGGTCTTCCAACACCACTCTCCGGTGACGAAGGCCAAGGGAGCTCAAGAGATGTGACATTCTGGTTCAAGACTCCCGAGGTCAGTCTTGCTGGACAAAAACAAATGACAGTCCTGAGATAAGATTCCATAGCCAACCTTGAAATTTGTTAAATGCAAGTATCCAAGACCTTCCGAAAAACAGTAATCCCTCACTAACTACGAAAGGTATAATGGACTCGACATTCCCATCGGAATTTGGTTACGACAATCATATCTGTGTTCAACTAAAGGACGCGGACAAGAGGTCTTTCACATCCCCATAAATAGCTCGAGGTATCGTGAAAAATGCAGATAGCAAAGAACGAAAGGTGTCTGCGCACGGGAAAAACCAACAAACGCATTCAAAAATAGCAAGATCAAGACCAATGTAACGCTCGGGTAAAGGGTATCAATCATCAAGTACGAATCATCGTAGATCGCACAATCAATCAAGCATGCTCCGAGGATTGAAAATGCACCGCACGCTCACCCTGGCCGGCATTGGGTCGGTTCCGCTCCGCATCAGGGTATTGTGTGGCATTGTTATCGGCGAACGGATTCTCCACCTCAAAGTCCGATGCCTGGTACTCGTACGGCTCATGAGTGTCTCTGACGGTGCCGATGCGGCCTTCGATGGTGGTCGTATTATCCAAGTCAATCAAGGGCGATGCAGGATCTTGACGCGCACCAGATGCCATGATCGGTGAAACGGAGCTAGGGGCATTCGGGCTGGAAAGAGGACTCATCGAGCCTCGGGCCTTACGGGCCTTCAGCATGGCACGTTGCTGATGCGACAGCGCGACGGAGATCTCATCATTGCACTCGATCAGGGTAAGAAGAGTGTCCTCATCAGGAGGGGGGTTGTTCGCGTGGATATAAGATTGAATGAGTCGCGAAGATGTTCGGCAGCGATCAATAAACTCCTTGATGAGTTCGTTCTGGTCAATCTCTGCAGCGGGTGTCGTCTGTACAAATTGCGTGAGAAGCTTGGCGGAATTCCGCGCCTCCTCCACGCGCGCCGCCAGTTCGCCTGGCTCGGGGTACACGGCAGTTGAGGGTGCTTGCATATGAGCACTCGGGTGCGGCGGCGGGATTGGGGCCATCTGGGCATTATACCCCGGATTCGCCGGATTCGCTTGGGGGAACCGATCCGCCTGTGGGAAACCGTGGTGAGCATGCATGTTGGTGAGGGCAGTAGGAAAAATAAACATACTTACAAAGGACCGCTCGCCCTTGGTTTTCTCCTTGGCCCACATCTGAAGGAGCTCCTGGAGATCTTCATCGCCGAGTCGAGTACCCTCGAGGGTGTTCAAGTATTGACGCAGGTAGTGCTGTACATGCCAGTCTCGGCCGTAGCGCAGCAGCTCCTTGATTGTGGTGACAAATTTTGTGTCGAAGTTGCGCGTAAAGGTGTGCCCCGGGTTGTCGGCCAAAATGCGCATAACCATAATCGCATTGTACTGGACGTGGTTCGAGACTCTGGTCGGAGTCTTCAAGTATTTGCGAATGCGGTAGGCCGCTTCCTTAGCGGCGGCGGGACTAGACTCAGCGAGCTCAACAATGCGAGGGAGGTGAACAAATTCATTTCCGTGCTGGGTAAGAATGGTAAGCGATTTGTTTATAGGTGGAAGGGTCGGCGGCGCTACATACCGAGTCCTGCGGGTTGCTGTTGGATTCGCAGAAGGTTTTCTGAGAAGCGCAACGTCAGTTAAGATAATATCAAACCAAGAATCGAGAGATACAAACCAATTCATGAAGAAGAGCAGCTTCCGGTGAGTCATCGTCATGGGTGGTCTCATTGTCGCTCGGAGAAGCTGGAGAGCCTATGGGTAATTAGTGAGGGTTGCGGGGGAATGTGGGGTGCAGACGCACTATCTCGGCGACTCAATTTGTCTAGAAAGCGATTCATTGTAGGAGAGTAAATTTGTAAGGGATAGGGAAGAGGAAGAAAGAGGAAGAAAGAGGAAAAAAGGAAAAAGAAGCTAGTGAAGATGTGGAGGAGAACCGGGGGATGATATGAACTAGTAGCCTCGCGTAGGCAGGGTCCATGCTTGGTCACACTGTCATCCGCGCTTAACTATAGAGGCGTTCATTCTGGGAATCCATGTGGCAAATGATCTTCATTGACTACGTGGAATCCGCGTCAATTCTTTACCTCAGGAAGTTAGTATTTCCGTCCCATGAGTTTTCAACTTTTTTACCCTTTTCCTCGGCTTTGAGGCTCTGATCGCATCTACGATTACCCGGATGTGACCTTAGCCGGCTTGATTTCGGCTACAGTGACGTGGTGGCCATCGCATCAAGAAGAGATTATATTGATTCTACCCTCGCCATGATCCCAGGATATCCTTTGAATTCCTTCATACTTTCTTCAAATGCCTGATGATGTACCCAAGTGTGGCGGAGCAAAATTGGCACCGCCAAGCCTGCTCGGACTCCCACCACGGTAAAGTGGATGCATCTTCCTATGGCTAGATGCGCCATACACTGCATCAAGGACGGCCCCAACTTAAAAATGCCCAGGCAGCAACCTCCCCTTGACAGAAATTGCTCAATCCTCATTCTGCAAGGCATCTGCCATTTCACCCAGCGTGTCAAAGCGCCAATCAAAAATGGGAGCTTCCTCTCCAGTCCCCATCGTGGCACCAGGTCTCTCGATCCACACTGACCGAATTCCCGCCCGAGATGCGGGCTGATGATCATGGAACTGACTTTGTGCCGTCTGCAAGATCTGTGCCGGCTCAACGCCCAAGTCTGCATGTACAGCTTTCTTCATATACGCAAAGTTCCGCGCGTCGGGCTTGTAAGAGCCCACGTGTTCAGCGGTAATAATCAGATCAAAGGGAAACCCCTGTAGACTGCCAGCGTTGGACTGGGCGAAGGAAGCCCGGTCGACATTGGAGAGGACCACGAGCTTGTAGTGCTTCTGTAGGCGGTGCAGGGCCTCCACAGTATCGGGGAAGGCCGGCCAAGAGCCCACTGACTCGCCGAACTGGGTGCTTTCCTCTTCACTAGGAGTAGGTAGTTCTAGTCTATGGGCCAGGAGGGGGTGTATAGTAGAGAGAAGCTGGGAGTATGGTTTGTCTGGGGTAAGGCGCTGCTGTTCGCTTTCGAGCTCATGATAGATGGTCAGTAGATGCTTCCGAGTGAACTCGGTCTGGCTGTGTTGGAGGATCGGCTGGAGTGCGGTGATGATTCCACTTTCCCAGTCGATGAGTGTGCCGTAGACATCGAAGCAGAGAAGACGATAATCTGATAAACGGGACATGATTTGAAGACTGTGAGTGCCAGGAGTACAAGTCGTGGTACGATATAGATCTACATGAACTCGAGCCCCGCACATGTCCCCGCCGATTTATTATCTAGCGGCTCACGTAGGTTGTTCCAGATTGATCATAAAACATAGTGATATTATTTCAGAATGTCCATCATTCTTGATCACCTGAAGGAGAAAGTACAAGATCTATAACATTGCACAGAAGAGAAACCACGTTTGTATCATGATCAGATCAGGCAGTACAGAATACTATGTCGGAGCCGCGCTTTAAACTTTTTATTTGGTTCTCCTCCGTGTTGGTACCATGACCTGAAAAATCTTGTATGATCCGGTATCATTCCGTTCCAACATACAGATGCGCAAGAACTCCGGCCCGTCCACGGCGATCCATTTTCTTTCAATCACCGTTCAACATCCCTTCCCCGGCGATCCGTTTATGCCTCAATGAGAGCCTGGCGGATCTGAGCGCCACGCTGGCGGGAAGACAGGCGAACCTTGTCCTCCTTGGCGGCCTTCTTGACCTCCTCGTTGGCCTCAGTGAGGATCAACTCGATGTGGCAGGGGTTGGTCATGTAGGGGTTGATCTATGTGATATGTTAGCGAGAGGTCAAAGATTGGTGCAAGGAAAGATAAAACGTACACGACCGTGAGCACGGTAAGTGCGGCGGCGGCCCTTGGGAGCCTGGTTAACCTGGATGCGCTGGACAACAAGGTTGCCAGTGTCGAGACCCTTGGTATCGGCGTTGGCCTCAGCGTTCTTGAGGAGGTCGATCAGGAACTCGGCGGACTTGACGGGCCAGCGGGCCTTGGAGACACCGAACTGCTTGCCTGGAGACGAAAACTGTCAGCTGGTTGTTCGATAGCCCAGATCCCACACATTGAATTTTCTTTTTCGAGCGGCAACGGTGTCCCAGAAATCGCACAAAATCTTCCTCTCATAGCAAATAATCCGTCTGCTTGCACAATCGCACATTGTCGTAAGGATTTCGAATATTCCACACTTCCATTTGCCCCAATCGTAACACCCCTTGACACCGTTGCCTCCGAAAGTTCATCCAACATAATAAGAAAATTTCGATCGAAACTCACCCTGAGCGGTGCGACCGGTGGAACCAGCGTAGCGGCGCATGGGGACAGCCATCGACTTCTTGGTGACGTTGTCGAGGTAGGTGAGAGCCTTCTGCAGCTTCATGCCGTTGATGGCCTGAGCAGTCTCACGGGTGTTCTTGAAGGAAACACGGAGGTAAGAGCCGCGAGCGCGGGCGCTCTTAGCGTTCTGGATCTCCTGGGCGGCGTAACGGACCTGTAAAACGAACAGAAGTCGTCAGTAATCATGGTGGTGGTTGAGTTTGTGGTAATGGTTTTTTTCGATATCCAAATGGACTAGGTGCATTCGTCCTTGTATTCGAGATATAAGGGTCGTGAATGGCCTCTAGGAAGTCGTTTGGGGTATATCGAAGGCTGGGGGGTGCAAAACTCACCATCTTGAAGGAGTTGGCGAGGGGAAGTCGATGGTCCTCGGTGTCGGGATGATGTTGTCGCTTTTCGTCTTCGACCGCTAACGCTAGAACTCCAAGTTTGGTGCGGTTTTTTTCGCTCTTGGCGCGCGGGCCCTAAGCGAGCCCTAACACTAGCTTCTTTCGGTAATTAATTAGGTAAGCATCACCCGTCGGGTGCTGAGTCATCATTGTCCCTTCTTCAGCCTCAGGCAAACAGCGTATACTGTGTTTTTACTGGGAGTTGTGAAGCTCAAACCTGAGGCAGTCAAGTCTTGTTATTGCAAGCATCAAATACAATTATCTCTATCTTCAATGTTGAATCTAACTTGCTCCTTATCTATGCCCGCTTTTGTTCTGGTACTTGTGTAATCAACTTTCCCTTCTCCACCGCAGACCGCAGATTGTCGAGCACCAGGATCTCCATCTCCTTTTGTGTCTCATAGGTCATTGTACCAATATGAGGGAGCAGCATGACCCGCGGGTTGTTCACCAGACCGGGCTCAATTGCTGGCTCATTTTCGTATACATCCAGGCCAGCAGACCGAACCTATTCAGCGGAACTCGTTAGTGAAATCCTTCACAGAGGTCAATTTAAATGTTGAATGCAGAGATAATACCTTGCCAGATTCGATCGCAGCGACCAGCGCCTTCTCGTCGATCAAAGCTCCACGCGCAGTGTTGACAATCACTACGCCATCCTTCATTTTCCCAAACTCCTTCGCGCTAATAATATGCCGTGTCGATGCGTTCAGGGCCAAGTTCAAGCTGAGGACGTCGGCATTAGCCAGAAGCTGATCGAACGAAACATATGTCGCTCCACCCTCCAGTTCCGCCGGCAGCTGGGAGCGATTGTGGTATTGGATCTTCATGCCAAAAGCCTTGGCCCGTGCGGCCATTTCCTGTTGATCAATTCAATTAGCCAAGGTAGCAATAACAGGACCTGGTATACCCACGCGACCAATTCCGCCCATGCCCAAAATTCCCAAAACTTTGCCCTGGGGGTCATTGCCCAGAGTCGACTGTCCTTGCCAAGTGCCTATTATTGATATCTAGTTAGACTCTATTTCCGCGTCTCGGTCTCGATCGTAGAAATTATCACTCACCAGCCCGAAGAGCAGCCTGGGGCACATAAGCCTGGCGGAGTGCACCAATCATAAGAAAAATGCCCACATCAGCAGTGGCATTATTCACCGCGACGGGAGTGCTCGAGACGGAAATATTCTTCTGCGAGCAAGTTGCCACATCGAGATTGTCATATCCGGCGCCATTATGGCAGATATACTTGACCGACTGGGGTAGCACGGCGAGCAGCTCGGCATCGAAGTTTCCGGTGTACTATCAAGTATTTAGCTTCGGTCCGGTGATAACACCTGTCATAGTTACATGCGCACCTTATTAGAGGTATTGGATCGGTAAATTGCAGTCACATCATCGTAGTGTCCCGCCTTGCAGTTCTTAATGAACTCCTCTCGAGTGCCGCTGGGGAATTCCTGCGCGAGTTAGCAGGTTCTCCGTGCAATGCGCCATGTAACTAACCTTGAGGGACAGGATCGAGGAGAGACTCTCCCATTCTTTGCGCGCGTGCGTAATAGCCCCAATGAGGAGAGCAGCTTGGGAAGGCATGTTGGAAACTACTATGCGCAATGAGCTCATGCATGTCGCTCGCAGCGCGTCACACACTTACTTTGGATGTATAAGGGGCCCGGTATTGATGATTTCTAGGATAGACAATTAGACAGAGAGATCTGGAAAGGAAAGAAAAAGAAAGACCTCGGACAAAACTACGTATTCGCCAACCCAAACCCCGCGATTCCCGCGAGCTTAAGTGGAGAAATGTGGAAGTTGTATTCCGGCAAATGAACTATAGTACATATACAACTTGGTGATCAGTCACAATACATTTCGCTACCATTGACTATACCTTTATGCCTCTATGACTTTATTACTTCCTATCCCCTTTAGATTTCTTCTCTTTCTTTGATAAATATTGATATTATCGGAAAATGCGGAATCTCGCATAACCCCCACGTCAGGCCATCGGCTATTGGGAATTGCCGATTTCGGCGCAATAACCGACCGGAGTAAATCCGTGGATGTCGAACCAACCGCGTCACATCTTCCCCACTGATGTCGTGGGGGGAAAATGAGGGGACTACTTTTCAGTCGCCGCTTATGAGCTCCTCCATTCAGTTTGTTTTCTTGCTCTTTGATTCTACTCTTTCACACACCCATTGCATACATACACCATGGCAGAAACATCCGCGACTGTACTCGTCCTCCACGGCGCAAAGGACCTCCGTGTGGTAGGCTCCATCAGCTCAAGCTCAGATACGTAGTCCCAACTAATACATAGTCCAGGAGAAACGCAATGTTCCAGCTCCATCCGGCAGCGATATCCAAATCGCCGTTCAAGCAACCGGTCTCTGTGGCTCAGATCTACACTATTACTCCCACGGCCGCAATGGTGACTTCGTCGTCCGCGAGCCAATGTGTCTTGGTCACGAATCCGCCGGCACAATCACAGCCATCGGACCAAATGTAACCACCCACCAAGTCGGCGACCGCGTCGCCATGGAAGTCGGCCTCCCCTGCCGTAAATGCGCCCTCTGCCAACAAGGCCGCTACAACATTTGTCCCTCAATGCAGTTCCGCAGCAGTGCAAAGGTCTTCCCCCACCTCGACGGCACACTGATGGAGCGCACAAACCACCCAGCTGAGATGTGCCATGCTCTCCCTGCAAACGTCACAGATGCAGGTGGTGCCCTCGTGGAACCCCTCGCTGTCTGCTTACATGCTATCCGCCGCTCACGTCCCCCAACAAAGGAGCAAGTCGAGATCGCCCGCTCAACAGGTGAGGCTACCGCAGCTCTCGTTTTCGGTGCAGGTGCAATTGGTCTCCTCCTCGCCTCTGCCCTCGCCGCAAGCGAGAACTTCACCTCTATCGTTGTGGCTGATATCGATGCCTCGCGTCTCGAGATCGCCGCGTCCCTCGGACTGGGCTTGAAGACATCTCTTATCCCCCGCGGTGATCCTGCCAACCCGCCTCCCGCTAAGGATGCCCCGCATGCCGAGCAAACAGCCTGGGCACTCGCGAACGCGCAAAACGTCGCTGCTACCCTCACTGCCGCGGCCGGTACTGAGGGAGGTCTCACTGTGCCCGGATTCAACCGTGTCTACGATTGTACCGGTGTGCCCTCTTGCGTGCAGGCAGGTATCTACGCATCCCAGCCCGGTGGTGTTCTCGTTCAGATTGGCATGGGCAACCCTATTCAAACACTCCCCGTTGGCGCAGCTGCGCTGCGCGAGGTCGATATCATCGGTACATTCCGATACGACGGACACGCCTACCCAGCTGCTATTGCGCTCTTGGCAAGCGGGAAGATGCAGTCGACCGAGGAGAAGGTTGTTACGCACCGGGTCAAGCTTGAGGATGGTGCGAGGGCATTTACACTTGCCGGCAAGGGAGTTGATGAAGCTGGAAACCCGGTTGTCAAGGTTATTATCGAGGGACCGGGTGAGGCTACTAAGGCTAGCTTGTAATTTGCTTCTTCACCTTTTTTTATAGGCGGTTTGTGATGAGATGATGATGTTGATGACTGAAAATACCCCTTTGAGAAAGTAGATGAGGGATTGTAATTCAAAACTGAGACTAGATTGTGGAATGAAGTCGCGCAAATAAAGTGATTTGGAATAAAAGAAAATGAAACACCACAACGAGGTCTTGAGCCCGCAATCTTGCAGGATTGGGAGATCTTCAAGAATTTCAAAGAGTCATAGATTATTACAGAAAGCATTATTGAAAGAAGTAGAAAAGACCACCTTCGGCCTTTTGCCCAGCAGTATAGGCCGGATTTCCCCTCCCCAGCCCAACACTATAACCGATAACTTGCATACTCTAGACCTGCCCAAGGCTTTTGGCAAATGTTCATAAAACCTCATGCTTTGAGTATTGAAGGTTCTAATAGAGAATACATGATATTGATTCTGACATATGAATTTGACTAAGTATAAGGGCCTTTGAGTCTTGGAGATTATGATATTGCTTATTTAACTTGGGTGGAATTTTTATCGGTAGGTATTGAAACGATGCTTATTTCAATCCTCCGGCCAGCAAGAGACTCTGTCCTGTCATGTACCCTGTAGTCACGAGCATCGTAACGACATTAGCCGTCTCTTCCACAGTACCCAGACGGCCTATTGGGATTCCAGCAGCCACCTCTGGGATCGCTGCGGCATTAGGGATCATTCCCGTCTCGCCAATCATAGCGGGAGCGACATCGTTGACACTGATGTTGTGTTCGGCGAGACGAGTAGAGAGGTTCTTCATCATACCAGTGAGACCGCCCTTGGATGCAGCATAATCTGAAAAGGAATAAACATTAGAACAAAGGCTGGGTACTGGCTCGCAGGATCCTTGGAAAGACTCACGACATCCATTAATACCGCCACCAGACGCAGCAATTGAGGACATAAACACGATCCGTCCCCACCGCTGACTCTTCATATGCTCAACAACACCCTTTACAAGAATGAAAGACGCACGCAGATTGATGTTTAACGTGTAATCAAACTCTTCCAGCGTAATATCCCACACGTTGGGGAACCGCTTGCCATACCCCGCATTTGAGATTAGGATATCTGGCCGTTGACCATGCTCAGCATCAATCTGTTGAAACATCGCCTCCATCTGGTCTGCAGATCCAACATCGACCTGGTGGATCGAAATGCGCAGTTTATTCTCTGCATGTTTGGACTGTAGATCTGCGACGATCCCGTTCATCGCGTCTAGATTAGTCGCATAGGTAAGTGCGAGGTGGACTCCACGTCCTGCAAGTTGTTCTGCGCACGCTGCTCCAATACTGAAATTGATTCTTGTTAGTATTTACCACTGTAGATGTATGGTTTTACCACCGAACTAGACTTACCCTCCCGAAGCACCAGTGATTAGCGCCAATCGGCCTCGAATATCGTTGAGCGAAGACATTATGTGTGTGAAACGAGAATATACAGCTGGTTGGAATAGAAAGGAATCGCTGTCTGACCGTGTGATAAGACAATAGTCCGGGCTAAGGAGTAAAGACCGGCCCCGGTTACCCCTCGGCGGAGTCGGGGGAATCTCCGAGAGGAGCTCCGCAGCCCCGCATCAATTGCCGTATCGCGAGCGGCGTTTGACCGAAACGCCACAGCAAATAAACTAAAACAGAAGATTACTGCTCATATCTCCAAGCCAAGTTGACGGCTGCCACGTCTGTGATCGGTCTTGTCCAGACTGGTACGGATCAGGGTTCTGGAAAGCATCCAGTCCCAATAGGCCACCGGATATTTGATCTCCCGAGACATAGTCGCCGACAGCCTCGAGATCGAGCCAGGAGAAATCGTTCGCAGGACTGAAATCCATGTAGGAATGGTCTGCGACTGGATTCGACAGTGCTTGCATTGCAAACTCGGCGCTTTGTGGTGTTTCGGCGGATGCTGCTATAGTTGCTGGCTTGGCTTTCCAGAGAAGTTCGAGGAGACGGGAGTAGCGCGAGCCAATATCATCAGGGCCAGCGCTCGCTTGCTTGAGGACTTCGGTGGTCCTTGCAACTAAGCCCTGGACTTTGGCTTCTTCGGAGGGAAGCATCATTCCGAATGAGCGAGCCTTGTAGAGGAAAACTGCAGAATAGATTCCATACCTAAATGTCGTCAGCAAGCGTCTATTTCAACGGAATTTGTCAGCTCACAGATAGAAGCGAAGGGGCATAAAGTGTAAGTGTCTTTCTGGCTCCACCGAATCCACAAGAATTGTCAAGTAGGCTTTGGCCGCATCGACAGACTCGTAGATAAAACGAGAGTCCTGCATCGAGGCAACATTTTTGAAGGTAGATCTGAGCTGATCCCGATGGGAAGCTCCATCAGTCTTTTTTGAGGCCAAGGACTGCGAGATCGCAGCTTGGAATGCAAAGGCAGTCGTATAAAGTCGTAGGTATTCATATGATAGTTGCAGTGTGGCCCGCATGGCCGGTGAACCTTGTGGAGGTAAGAATCAAAAGATTGACATGATAAGAAGGTGAACTTACAATCCAAAGGTCCCCAGAGTGATTTCCACCTCAAAATAGCAAGACGGAAGTCATCGACATATTTGACGTAATCTCCCATCAACATCATTTGATTGCTCGTGCGCATTCCAGAATATAAGACCTCGTGAACATTACCATAGAGCTGCGTGAGATCCAGTATCGCCTGGAAGATTTTCGAATAATCTTCCTCTCCCTCGCTGGCCGGTTGCAGCGACGGAAAATCTTGGCTTACGAGGCCCGTCATTGGGCCCGGACCTCGCGACCAAAATGCTCTTCCAATGCGCACCGATATCAAACGATCCGAGACATAGCAACTGGCCCATGCTAATCGACGACGAGCCTCGGTCGCCTGATCACCGTATGGATCTCCTCGAAAAGAGGTGCGATCCAGCCCAATAAAGTAGCCCGAGCGCAGAGCCAAGCCAACATGCATCCATGCAGCACGATCCTCCTCTCCACGACCCACACGCTCAATGCGGGATCGAAGGCCGTGAGGCTCCCACTCCGCGAGCAAGAGTAGAGCTTCAATGGCATCCACATCGCAGTCAGCACCAGCAGAAATGCCCGATATCAGTTCGAGCATATATTTTGAGCAGCACTCGTGGATTTCGGGTCGGTCGAGCAGATCTTTCGAAGCGATGGTGACAATAGCTGTCAGAAGATATTTCTCATTAGAGGCAAATTCATCCAGCGCGGAACGTTGGAAGTATTTTCTGGGGACTAGTGGGAGATATGGATGGAAGTTGTCTGCGTAACGAGTAACCAGTTGCCACACCGTTGTGGGGTCTAAAGCCCGAGACTGAACGAGCCGGTAAGCTCTAATCCCGGTACTAGGAGCGTTAAAATCCGACACGATACTATTGCGCAGGCCATTGTGCGCTGAAAAGCTGCCGGACTTTGACCTGGCATGATCGCCGCGTCGCTCTGGAGGCACGCCTGCGCTTTGGGTAGCAATACCTGTCAAACACTGCCAGGCATCTGAAGGGTTGCGAGGGACTGAATCAAGCGAGCCATCATCTTCGACGGCGACCGAAGTAGCTCCTGCGGGTGGGTTTGGTGGGAGAAATACCACCGGTTGAGAATACGATGCAGATGGCGCACGGCGAGCTTCAGAGCTCGAAGGGCTCAGAGTTTCTTCCGAATCTTTACTGGGCGATTGATTGGTCGCAGGGGTAAAGTTTTTAATCTTGTTCTTGCGGATACGTCGTCCCCCGCGATTTGAGCCGCCGAGCACACATTCACGATGTTCCCGGACACAGCGCTGACATGGCGGCTTCCCGGGATTGCCGTTGCTGTCACTATGCGGGATTAGTGGGAACACAGAGCATGCAGATCCCCGAGGCCAGGGGTATAGTTAGGTGGAAGACTTACAGGTCACATCGCGACTTGCGCTGGCGGCAATGTAGACAAGCTCGGGATACGCGCTTGACGGTGTGGTCGGGCGGCTGAGACGCGACCTGCGGGGACTCCATGTCGTTCGGCCGCTAGAGCTTAGGATCAATTAATGTGACATGATAGGGAATTGCGAAGGGACAAAAGCCGACTTCCTCTGTAGACCCACAGGCAGAGCTCGGGGTCATTACTCATCTCTCCGCGTGGTTGACGGGGTTTTTTTTTTGCGGGGAAATCCAAACCATACAACGCCTACAGGTATTTAGGTTACTTTAGACAGCGCTTCTACTTTTTCTTCTTTTATGATATGGACTGTGTAGAGTTGATAGTATAGTCTGTTCCAAGCCTCTTACTCTCGTTTTCTTCCTTGTTTATCATGTAAATGCCTACCAAATGGACATAACTTTAGCCCAGTCAGTTGCCGTCGGTGATTGACTCGGCAACGGGAGCTGCTACATCGAGCATCACAGTATTGTAGGTCACGTTGCTTCTTGCAGTAAGGATGACTAATAGATTGTACTGTCTTGGTGCCTTTATGCCTTGGTGCCTTGAAAAACTGGCCCCGAGTGGGATTTTGTTTCAAGTCCCAACCTTTCTTCCTTATCAATCATATTGAACCCCTTGGCTTGTCGCAGCTGTCAAGGAATCGTGAATCATATGATGATTCGGAGATTACTTAGTGGGCTTATTCCGCCACCAGTATCAACTTCATGGTCCGTGGTTTCCAATTGACAGCTCTGAAACATTCGAACAAAGCCAATGTTTTAAAGGGTCTATGATAGCGCTTTGGCCAAGCTTTTAGCTCCTGTTAGCTCCATTTGAACGGAGCTTGTCGGCAGTACGAAATGACAGGCCCCATCGGCTGGGTCCTGGACCCTCAAGGGCGTTACGCCGGTCGGGGGTTCTGCAAGGTTTTCCTCCAGCTCCGTCCGCAGCCCCGATGGACAAATGAGAGTGCAGGCTTTTAGAGTGCCTGCGTCCCTGAGAAACGCAGATGTACCCCTAGTCATCAGGGGAGCAGCTCCGATTGGTCATGACAAGCTTGCTGGCGCCATGAAGATATGACCTCTGGTCCAAACAGTGGCTGAAGGATAGAGCACTCTCGGACATGGTCATTGATGATGCATTATTTCGGTTCTTTTAATACTGACCCTTTGCCCCTGGAAAGCTTGGTCCTGGTTCGTCTTCGTATCATTTCCTCGTTCGTTGCCGATCGGCTGGTTCCTCGGTTCTGCTTCTATAGATCATTTCTGCCCAGCGTTGATCGCTTAGACTTGTTCATTTCGGACTACGTTTATATACTTCTATCACTACCTTTACTCTCCCATTTTGTCTTGGCAAAGAGGTGTGTTCTCCCCTCTGTCTCCCTTGCTGCATTCCAGGGCCCTGGACGATGCCTTTAGCGCCCAGTGGGCAACTGCAGATCTGTACCAGGGTTATTTGCCCGGTCCATTCATTGAATCATGTTGAATTCCAGAGATTAAATGTTTAGTTGTCGTCATTTCAGCGTTTGTTGACCGGCTGCATCTTTCCTAGGCGTCATTCACTCCCGACAATGAAACTTTGGGCTGCTTTACTACACATTTACAGCTTCAATAACGTCCAATCCTGATCGGCTCTTATTACACACCTCCTCCGTGCCGCTTCACTTGCATTCTTGTCGTCTTCCTCCAACCAGCGTCATCTACATGCCTTTGCCAGTCCAAAGCTGAAGGACTGTTTTCTGCAACCCACCAACCAGATCTGTGATCTGCACTTGTCCTTTTATCTACAATTCATCTCATCTTCAAGCTTGTCTTTTCAACTGACCTAGTCTTCATACAGCCCTTCAGCGAGTCTGGGGCACTTCGATGGCTGTGCCTTTTCCGCATGTTGCCGCACGGGGCTATGGACCAAATATTACATATGTCTTTGAATACTCGAGAGGCCTGAGTGGTGTGAATGTTCCCCTAGATGTGCTTATCGCCCGTGTCATCTACTCCTCGATCACTATATTGGCTGTCGTCATTTTCTGCAGCCGAATCGCGCAAATAAGCCACGCCTACCTTCGATTGACCACCGCTTCTTCGTCTAACCAACGACAACAAACATACTGGAGTCGGGAACAGTCAAGATGGTGGCCATGGATGAAGAAGCAGCTCATATATGCTCCCCTTGGGAGAAAGAGACACAACCGAGAAGTTCAACTTTCATCCGCTATCGGCATGGGCACCTTGCCGTCCCGATTTCAGACCATATTGATCTCCATGTACCTCGCGAGTCAGGTTGTGTATTGTTTGTTCCTCGATTATGGGGCAAATGAAAAGCAAGCGCTGGTAGCAGAGCTTCGTGGACGTTCTGGTACGCTGGCTGTCTTCAACATGGTGCCCCTTTTTCTCCTGGCATCTCGCAATAATCCGTTGATATCCATTCTGCATATCAGCTTCGACACATATAACCTTCTTCACCGATGGCTCGGTCGCATTGTGGCCCTCGAGGCCATCACCCACACTACCGCATGGGCAGTCAACGCCTGCGCTGAGCAGGATTTCACTGACATGCTCGCGCGGTTGAGGGACACTCCCTTCTTCAGCTGGGGATTACTAGGAACATGCGCCATGGGTTGCCTTGCTCTGCACTCCCCTTCTCCCATTCGGCATGCTTTCTACGAGATCTTCCTGCATCTGCATCAGCTCTTTGCGCTACTGGCTTTCATCGGCGTATATCTCCACTTGAAACTAGACTCTCTCCCACAGAAGCCCTGGATTGATGCCGTCGCCGTGATCTGGATCACCGAGCGCAGCATAAGACTTCTCCGTCTTGCTTATCTCAACTTGTCTCCCAAACACGGCAGCACTCGCATGACCGTCGTGGCCCTCCCAGGCGAAGCTTGTCGAGTTACCTTCCACCTCCCGAAGCGCGTGGACATTCAACCCGGCTGCCATGTCTACGCCTACATTCCTTGCGTATCCTGGTGGATGTCTCATCCCTTTTCCATCGCATGGACTGAACCCCGCAGCACGCCTAACGAGAGCCCATACCTGGACGACAACCCATTCAGCAACAATCCACCTCTGACACCCTGCTCCATCGAAAAGCAGGGCTTCGACCTCAATTTCGAACCCCAGGACCACCGTCCCCAGCCTACAGAGGTATCTCTCATAGTCAGTGCTCGGCAAGGCATGACCCGCGCACTCTACAACCTCGCCCGCTCAAAACCAAATCAAACCCTTCACAGCTCCGGCTTTATCGAAGGCCCTTACGGCTCTCATCCCGCCAACGCTTCAAGCTACGGTACCGCAGTCCTCTTCTCAGCTGGCGCAGGAATAACCCATCATCTCCTCTACACCCGCGATCTGCTTATGCGGTCCGCCTCTGAAACAGCAGCAACCCGCCGCATCTACCTTATCTGGTCCGTCCGCTCCACAGACCATTTGGCCTGGGTGAGTAAATGGATGGACCAGATCCTGAAACTTCCCATGCGCCGCGATATCCTCGTCATCAAACTTTTTGTTTCGAAGCCACGGCGCGCGGCAGATATCGTCTCGCCGTCTAAAACGGTGCAGATGTTTTCCGGTCGGTGTAGACCTGACGTTGTGATGGATGAGATCATGCCGAGAAGAGTGGGTGCCACGCTGGTTTCGGTTTGTGGGCCCGGGGCTTTTGCAGATGAAGTGAGAATGGCGGCTAGAGAGAGGATTGGGAACGGGGCTGTGGTTGATTTCGTGGAAGAGGCTTTTACGTGGTAAATTCCCTAGATTAGATCGTTCTCTCATCTTTCTGTCTCTCATTTTCTCTTCTCTGTTTTTAGATTATGTTTATACCTTTAACGATGCATGGACTGTCATCGCATATCATCTTTTTTTACATTTCCGAGATTTGATAAACTTCAAACAAAATCTCTATAGTAATTACGTTGAGGTTACCAGTATGAAAGTACTATGAAAGTATTATGAAGTTGGTAGATGTGTGTAAATGGTTCTAATCTATTCTAGAACTCTTCAGAAAGCCTTCCAATGCAAAACATATGCTTCAATGCAAACATGAGTCGGAGAGGTAATAAATAACTATGTATAGTGAACAATCAATATTGAGTCAAAATTTAGCGAGTCTCGCAGAAAGTCCATAAGGAATAAACAAGGAAAGATTTCGTTGTATCGAAAAGAGAGGAAAGAGTCAATATCAATCAAGCAGAGCTCTTGTTACGGCTGCCCTTGGGAACGCGCGCAAGCCAGTAAATAAAGACGGCCATGCAAATGTTGAAGATAATGTAGATCCACATAAAGCCAAAGTTGCGCCACGCGTCCGAGTAGTAGCTGCCGACCGACGCGAGGAAGGTATCGGTCGAGTCCATGGAGCAGAACGAGCAGTCGGTGGTGGCATTGGGGTTCTGGAGATACCCACCGTAGGAGGACATGTAGTCGGACATGTACTGGTAACAGGTATCACCCGAAGGAGGGTTGAAATTGAGGAATTCGACGGAGCCACAAACAACGTCCGTGCCCGAGACACCAGTGGACAGCATTGCAGAGACGAGGTATGTGAAGGGCGAGACACGGTACATGAAGATCCAGAAGCCCGGCATTTCGGAAGGAGTGGCGAGGACACCACAGAAGACGAGGCAGAGAGAGAAGAACAAGTTGGCGAGGTTACCACCGGTCTCGGCGAGCTCGATACCGGCAATAATCATGTGTGCAAAAGTAGAGGTGAAGAGAAGGAAAGTCCAGATCAGAAGGAACATGAGGGCTCCACGCTCGTGGACGGCACCCGTGGGTTCGGCGTTCTGGTAGAGACCAATGGGGTAGTACCAGCAGACGAAGATGAGCAAAGCAGCGAGGGTGTTCCAGGGGAGCTCGACGAGGATGTTGGAGGCCATGAATGCCTGCCAAGAGTATGTCTTCGAGGGCCGCTCGCGCACCTCGTAGAGGGAGCGCTGGGTGCAGAAGTGAGGCATGATTTGTTGAACCAGGTTACCGAAAATAGTCATCAGCATGAAAATACTGAACATCTGATTCTGGAGACCTTGGAGACTGTTCTGAGCGTGGAAGAAGGAGAAACCAATGTAGAGCGAGGTGAGAACCGATAGAGCACACTTGGAGTAAATATAAACCGGGGTGCGCCAGTACTGACTGAACACACGGACAAGACACTCATAAAGTTGAACACTAAAGGGAGCGGCGAATTCCTTGAAGCTAACGGCATCGTTGGCGGGTTCAGAAGCGGCCTTCGCGGAGAGGGTGCTCTTTAGTTCAGCCAGATGATCGTGCACAGCCTGGCGCTCGGGAGACTCCTTCCATACGGCAGGCCAGTCAATATCAGAGTGGGATCCTGGTGCGGCACCAATGACTTCAAGCATCCATTCGGCGGGGTTGGCATCACTAGGAAGTGGGGGGGCACCATTCTTCTCGAAGTAGTTAGACAGTGTAGAGGACTTCTCGCCGATGTCACCAAAGTAGACGGTTCTACCACCGCGAGCAAGGAAGAGCAAGCGGTCAAAACGTTGGAAGAGCATAGCTGAGGGCTGGTGGATGGTGCAGAGAATAGCTTGTCCGTGCTGGGTCAGGGTGTCAATGAGATCGAGAATAGACCAAGAAGTCTGACTGTCAAGACCAGAGGTGGGCTCGTCCAAGAAGAGAAGCAATTGTGGTTTGGCAGCGAGTTCGACACCAATAGTGAGACGCTTACGCTGTTCGACGTTAAGACCTTCACCAGGGACACCGACGATGGCATCGGCATAAGTTTCCATTCCCAAGAGCTTGATAACCTCCTCAACGTATTCCAGCTTCTCCTGTCGGGAGACCTCGGCGGGTTGACGCAAGATGGCGCTGAATCGGAGAGCCTCACGAACGGTGGTAGTGTATAAGTGCAAGTCTTGCTGCTGAACGTAGCCAGTCTTCCGCTGGAAAGACTGATCACGCTGGCGACCATCGACCAACATCTCACCAGTAACAACACCCATAGTCACACGAGTAGCAAGTACATCCAACAGCGTGGTCTTACCAGCACCAGACACACCCATCAGAGCCGTGCAAGTACCGGGCTTGACCCAACCATCAACGTGGTCCAGAATGCGGCGTTCCTCGCTCTTGATCTTGATGTCGTAGCACACGTCCTGCCATTGGAAAATGGCTGTCTGGCGCTGGATACCAGCACTGACTTCCTGATTGCCCGCTTCGGTCTTCTCGGCCGGACCAACAATCTCGGTGTTTTCAATATCTCCGGTTTCAGTGTGCTTGGGGGTCTGTCCACGACGGAAAAGCAAAACCTCGCCCTTAGACTTGGACTCGGAGATATATTCGGTGCCAATGAGGTAAGTAGCGAGGAAGAAGATCATGAAGGCGAACATGATACCAAGATTTCTCCATTTGTGGCTGTCATAGTACTGGAAGCTTGTGGCGAGGTATTCAGTACCTTGAACGTACTGAGATCCAGCCGTAGCACCGGTAGTGGAGCAAACCTTGTAGGCAAGTGACATGGCGTCGTACTTGCCACCTTGCGGGACCATAGAAGATTCCTCACACAGGAAGGTGCGACCGTGGAACTCGTTGACCATCAAGGACTCGAATCCGTATGCAATGGGATCAAGGTAATTCATCCATCGGGACCATCCAAGCATATCGCGGGTGGGGATTGTGAAACCAGTGTAGATGACCAGACCCAGAATCAGGATGGCGGCAGGGACGAGAGCCTGAGATAGGGTTCGGGAGCTTGCAGCAATGGTACGGAAGATCATAGACATGGTCAGAGTAGTCACGAAGGAGAACAAGAGGAAAAAGAAGAAAGCACCAGGCTCGCGGCGGAGGTTCGTCATGAAGTAAAGGGTCACGTTGAAGGTGATGGCGTTCAGAAGCTTGTACGGCATATCACACAACATAGAAGCAATGGCCTCCGCAAAGGGGTGGTACATGGCATAACGAGCTTGTTTCTCGACAATGGGACGTTGAGCGTAAAGAGTCAAGATCTAGTTGATTTTGGTTAGAAATAACGTTTCTTCGAGCAATAGGGCTTCGCTTACTTCTAGGGCACTAGAGAAAGCATTAAGGAGAACAGCGAAGAAAAGGAGAGCACCGCGAGAGTAAAAGCTAGCGGTAGTGTCCTGGAGGTTGAAGAAGACGGAACCGATAATCAAAGCCATGATAAAGTTACCAATGAGTTGAGACAGAGTCAAACTGGCATCACCCTTTAGACGTTGGAAACCACGAACCATGCAAAGGTTGACCTGCTGAACAACGGACATGGTGTAAGGGGACTTGACATGCTGGTTCTTATCCTGCATGGCCTTGCGACCAGCAATGAACTTCTGCAGGGCCTCTCCACCAAGAGGATAGCTCTGGTCGTACTCTTCAATCTCCTTAATCAAGCTGCGGTACTCCTTGCTGTTCTTCCAGGCGGCAGCGAACTCATCGGGAGTGCGGGGGACAGCGTTTTCGAAGCCAGGGCGCACAATACGTTCGTGGGGGCTCGTGAGCGAAGTCAAGAAGTCGGCGTCAGTCTGACGCTCAGGACACTCGTAACCCATGTTGACAAAGAAATCCTTTGCCTCGTTGGTGCGACCGAAGTAGATCTGTCGGCCCTCGTATAGGACGGTGACCTTGTCGAACACATCGTAGGCACTTTGGGAGGCTTGGTAAATGGCAACAGCACAGGTAGTGCCCGAGTACTTGGTCATCAAGTTCAGAGTCTTACAGAACTCCAGGGCGTTGGCACTGTCAAGACCACGGGTACTGTTATCCCAGCATTGGAGCGGGCTACCACAAAGGGTAGCCTCGGCGATGCTGACACGCTTGCGCTCACCACCAGAAACACCACGGATGAAATCGTTACCAACCTTAGTGTTGATGGTGTGGGACAGACCAAGCATGGCCATGACGACATCACGCATGTGCTCCGCATACTGGTCGCGGGTAACACCCGGCAGACGGTTGCTAGGGGCACGAGCAAGCGCGGCGAATTTCAAGGTGTCACCAACGCAAAGCTGGGGGAAGTGAACATCGGTTTCGGCGGTGTAGATGGCCTCACCGCGGAACTGTTTCTTCATCTGCTTGTCGGAAATACCCTGGTAGTTCATGTGAGATTCCTTGTCCTTGTAGATACCATTCATCTCTCCAGCCAGAGTCTTGAGAAAGGTCGAGCAACCGCTACCAGGACGGCCCAGCACGACGAGCATCTCGCCACTCTTGACCAGACCGTCGAAATCGCGGAGAATTTGGATCTTTTGCTTGCCAGTACCAGTAGCCATACGGGCAAGAGCTCCAATCTGGAAGACAGAGTTGAACACATCCTTCTGGTAATCTGTGGGACTACCGAAACCATGCACACTCAGGTTACGGAAAGAGACACCTGCCTGACGGGCCGGGTAGCGTTCAGGGTCCCGCGAGGTGAGGGCCAACAAATTCTTCATCCAGTTGCGAGCGCGGAAGTTAGGGCTGGCAGGGTTGAGAGTCGAGTCCTCCTTGGTCTCCAGGAATGTGTTCTCACCCTCCGTGATGTGAGTCGACTCACGGGTGAGTTTGCGAGCGAGGCGGGTCACCTCCTCCTCGATTTGTTCCTCATTGGCGACCTCGACCTTCTCCTCCTCCCCCATCATGGTTTCGTCTGTACTGACACTGGCTGCAGGGTCATGGCGGCGAACCTCGCGCGAGGCCGACTGGTCGGCCTCGGGGAGGTTGGGGTTAATCGTCCCCAGGAGTGACATTGTGAGCTTGCTGTGTCACGTCGGGATGTTGAGTTTGATCCCAATGGCTCAGTC